TTAATTCGACGTATTTTTCGGTGGACGAGCTCGTTAGCTATAATACGTATAGAGCTTTTTCTAAGTCGGTATTTCTATCGGTAGTTTAGCGCTAGGTAAGCGAGGACTAGGCGTCTTTTCGAAAAGCGTTAAACGAGTTACGCTTAACGTAAGTTTCCGCCGAGTCGTTCTAGCTTTTATTTACGAAAGTAGCCGCGGTATTAACTAAGTAAGATCGTTTCGGCTTTAAAGAAGCGGTACGTATATATTTTACGCGTAAAGAGGTACTTTAGTATAATTTTAACTATTTCGTAACGCTTAATTCGCTAGTTATTTAAACGTACGCCATTTATTACGGCCGAGGAGCGCTAAACGCGTCTAGCGACTTAGCCGGTAACCTTTTCTTTAAGCTATTACTTTATATAGGCGTTCGAGTAATATTATTACGTAATATTTCTTCCGAAATACGGCTTATAAATAACTCTTAAGGCTTTATTTACGATATAAGTTAAGCGTAAGGCGCTAATCCTAAACGCGAGCCGCTAGTAGTAGTTATAGTAGCTTTCGACGATTACGACGGGCCCGGGTTTAAAGATACTTAGGGAAATAAACTACGCGATTTTCGAGGGAAAAAGGTAGTGCTAATATTACGCGAACGTTAGGAGTTCGATTATAAGGATATTTCCTATATACGAAAATAATTCCCCCTAATTATTTTATACGTAATAACCGTTTATAAAGCGTAGGGTATTATTATTCTTTACGTTATCGTTAGAATTATAAAGAAGGAATTCGCGTTAGGGTTAAATTACGTCGCCTGCTTTAGGGTTACCTCGTTATAAGGCCTAATATTCGACGAGCCGTTTTATAGGAATGCGGTATATAAGAAGCTAATAAATGGTAAGTTTCTTTTTACGTTCGCTAATATTTAAGTTAATATATATTTCGTAGGTATAAAAGCTAAGCTAGAAGATAGAGATCTCCTTTTACGTATATAATTATTTACTTAATCTTTATACCTATTACGATACCTTTATAAATAACGTACTTTAGCGTTATAAATAACGAATAAGAATAGCGTATATACGTTAATTTTATCGAGCGAGTATAGTTTATAATACTTTAATTAATCTTTATATAGCTAGACCGCGTAAAAGTAAAGAATACGGGTATAAAAGTAGTATAGATATGCCATTTTTTATATAGGAGTACGTTTTTCTTGCTTTAATTACGGAGCGTTTCTTAAAGTACGCCGCTCCTTTTTAACGTATAAAAATATCGCGACTTCCTTAGTAATTAACGCCGTACCTTCCTTTAATCGCGACTTCTTATAACGCTTCCTTATTTACGAAATAAAATAACCTATTTCCTATTATTAATTACTTTTATTATTTCCTTTCCCTTTTTCTTACGCCTCTTATCCTTCTTATAACTACGTAAATTTAAACCTTCGTATATAGCTAATTAAGCTTAAAACGAACGCTAACGATATTTCGTAGTCTTTTATTTAATAAAATAAGATTAAAGCAGTTAAAAAAAGTAAGAAATTTAATACGCGCGCGATAGATTTAGCTAATTAAAGTAGTATTTAGGATTTCGATTACCGAGCTCGTTAACCTAGGCTTCGATTAACTATCGGCTAGCGACGCCTACCGCGTAGTTAGTATTAGTATTACGATAGGTAGTATTAACGGCCTAGCGGCCGCCGGCGGCGGTAGCGACCTTCCTCCTTTTAGTATATCCTATAAAGTAAGTTATACTTTACGAACTTTATGGTATAAAAAAAAGTACGCGATTAAATAATAATATACGTAGGCGTTAATTTTATTATATAAAATCTACCTATAAACCGAATCCGCTTCCTTATTAATAGCGACGACGACGACGACGACGGTAGCGACGACGGTAGCGACGACGGTAGCGACGACGATAGCGACGAGGAAAGAGCGTTACTTTATAAGGTATGCTTTAGACGAATTAATCGATTATAAGCGAACGCTTACGTAAAAAGAACCGGTATATAAAATAGCGTAGAAAACGCGGAAAGTTACGTATACGCGATAATTAATAAGTATAAAAGATAATCGCTACTATTACTACTATAAGGGTTATTACGCTTACGCTAAGGTACCTCGGGAGGCCGAGCTAGAGCTCGTTAAATTTATAGAATTAAAAAAAGCTCTCGATTTTAAAAAAATTAATAAAAGGGTACGTTAATACGTAATAAAGTACGCTAACGTAGAAATTCTAATTTAAAGTAGGCTTTTAATAAAGTCTATAAGAAAACTAGAAAGGTAATCCGGAAGGCGGAAGAGCGGGTTATAAAGTAATAAGGATTAGATATTAACGCTCTTTCTAGTAACGAATTATTACGAGAAATCCTACGTATATTACGAGAAAAAAATACGGGTACGTAGAAAAAAGTAGAAAAGAAACGTAGAAAGAAATAATAAAGATATAAGTTTAAGGGTTTCGTAGTTTTATTAAGCATAGCGCCCTTTTTTAATATAGAAATTACGTACCTACGTAATTTTAACTTTAAAAAAATTTTTCTATATTAGATTTCTTTTATGTTTTATTCTTCTTAAATTCGTTTTACTATATACGTTTTTTAACCTAAATAATATACGCTTTACTTAATATAATATACGTTAACGTAAAAATTTAAACTAGTTTCGAATTTATAAAAGATAGTTTCGTATGAATTATAAGTTTTCTATATATAATTTCTTACGTTTTCTAGGTTTTCTATAATAAATAAAGTTCGTAGCTCTAAAAATTAGTATTAAATAAACTAAGTATACTTTTTATATCTTTTTATCCTCCGGATAGGTTATTATTTTTAGCGTTTACGTTAAAAATAAGCCCGAATTATTCTGCGAAGTAGAATAATTCGGGCCTTATTTTATTTTTATCGGCAACTACTTAGTTTTGCCCTCTTCGCCTGGTTGCCATCTTACAGCTAGACATACCAGTTACAGCTGTAGCAGCTTGCCGTTCGCTGTTGACTAGCACTTGGACTGGTCTTTGGCACACTTCTGTCTCGGCTCCCAGAAAGCTTCCCACGCTGTTCCTCTTCAATATAGAGGCCAGTAACCAACCTTTACTTCCACACAACTGTTACCATGGCCCCCCTAGGCATGCCAGCGCTGGCCCTCTCTCTATCTAGAGATGCGGTCGAGTCGCTCAGATCGCAACTATTATCGACACTTTAGGCGACCAGTGTGCCCGAATTGAACCTATCGCCAGAGCCGACGTTAACCTGGATAATTTACCATCAATGATCTCCCGTCAACGAATTCGACCGCCGCCGAGTAATCCGTCTTCCACCATGCTGACGTGCTCACATCCCGGCCTGCCTTCTAGATGCCCTCGATGGAAGACTAGACATGTTGGCTCCACTACACAAGTGCCCACAGATGCCTCGAAGGAGCGACTCTATCGCCGTCGATATGGATGAGTCTCGGATTCGTGGCCCTGACCTGGGCGCGGATTTAGCACGGGTAGGGGGAGGCGTTGGCATCCAAGATCGCCATGCAGATATTATCGGCGTGTGCCACAACATCCCTAAGTACTAACCCAGTGAAACCATGCACCTTTCAAAGCCCCATCCAGATCACCAGCCTCTATCTACTAAACGTGATGGCCTGGTTTCGTGAGCGACTCAGGACAAGGGTTCTAAGCACACACGATGACGATAGGGGCGAATGGGCCAACCAAGTTGAAAGAGCCCAGCGTGCCCGACTGGTTGTTCTAGCCCTCGGATTGCACCAGCCGATGCTGGTAGGGCTCGGGCTGGCCTGAAATCTACCACTAGCGAGCCCACGAAGCGTATCAAGGCGTAATGAACACTGAATTGCTTTAGTGTTTGTAGCTTATCAGTAGGTAGGGACTGCCACGGTACTATGCAGCAGTTAAAAAAAGACGGAATCGGCTAATGACAGGTCCAGTCCATTAACTGATCCTAGATAAGCTATCGTCACATTAGTCTCAACGTGATCCTTAGCATATCACACCAGGTAATCAGCACCGGCCCGGCCGGCCGGTCTCCGCCGGAGTAGGGGGTGCCGCCGACTTTGCGCAGCGTGCCACCGTTCGTCTGGTTGACGTTTGTCTTCCTGGAGCCAGGCGCGCTACAGGCGTTGGCGTAGATGGTATCGGCCCAGTGCCTAGTGGGTTCCCGCATACTTCGACGCGCTCTAACGGCGCCCGCGAGAATTTTCGGTTGGATGGGAGACTGGGGAGTCTAGTATCTCAGGTCATAACAGCTGACGAGCCGATGCCATTACGAAAGATTGGCATACCAGCATCGTCCGTCTCGTGCTGAGAAGAAGGTCGAGGGTATATTGCTGCTGATCTTTGAGAACCGAAACGTATCAGCCACCGTCATCCAGACTTCCGAGGAGCCTAATCCACAAGTCGCTTGTTACTTCTAATCCAGGATTGATAGCAAAGCGTATTCTCCGACGGCTCTGAGGATCTCCACCAAAAACATAAGCTAACTTCAACACCATCTGCCATGTCACAATTCTCCAAGAATCGAAAGCAGATTATGTAGCCCAACAACTCCCTTCTCCCTCCCTCTATATCTCACGTGTTGACTAGTACCTAGCTCTTCGACATTCCGGAGACGACGATCGTAGCAAAGATCCCGACACGATCGCATCTCAGTAGTGTGTTATCGGCGACAGCTCCGCCGCCGAGAGATTGTAACCACAGAGGAAATGGTACGTCTGGTATCCGAACGTCGCGAGGGCGAAGTTACCGTGTAATCCATAGAGTTCTGTTGTAAATCAACGTCTGAGAGAACGACTGTAACCCGTGAGAGCGTTTCGAAAACAATACGCAAGATTCTAACACAAGCGAATCGCAAGCCACCTTTTTAAAGAGTGTACACGCTAAACTAGGCACAACCAACAGACCAATGTACCCGTGTGTGGTCTCATGATTACTACCCGACGCAAGAACTAAGTTGTTTGCGAAGACGGCTGCGGCCAGCAGCTACGGGCCTTTCCCGGATCTCACAATTGTGGCACCAATATCAGCACGACCAATCCGATACTGCCATCGGCATCCCTCATCGGAGTCCAGTGGCTCATAAGCGGTTCTGGTCTCGGGCTCTTGACCGACCCCCTCGCGGCCCTAGGGTTAGTCTCGTCCTTCGTATTATCCACCTCCGCCGTTTTTGGTCTCCCACCGCTGATGGTGGTTCTGAGTCTTTTGCCAATAGTTCGGTTCGTGTGGACTAGAATTTCGGCACTAGTTGACTTCCCACGCTCGATACGGTCCCTAATAGTTGATCTGAAAGACTTCGTAACAGAAGGTGAACGGGCGCTATCTGCTAGAACGCGAAAGATATCCATTTGTGAAAAGTCTTCGCGAAGTGATAATGCTGCCGCCGCCTCGTCGGAGTAGTATGTTACATAGAGTTTTAGGCTGTGCTTTTTCTTCGTCTCCGGCGACGTGGGCGGCGACGATCGCGGCGAATGGCATTGCAGGAGAACGTGTCGAGAATAAACAGTTGGCGAGTTTCGGATGTGTGCAGGAAGTTTGGACCTTTGTGTTGAAAAGTGGTCACCCTGGGTTGGCCGATTCTCTGCAGTGTCCGAGGTATTAGTATCTGGAGATTCAGGGAAAGGAGGGAAGTAAGGGGTGCGTGACGGCCTCCGGAATTGATGGAGGAATCGATTACGAGACGTCGAGCTCCGAGAACTCTCTCGACTGTGGACACTACGGTCTTTTTCGAACTTCGGCTCCGTCGCGAGAACTGCCTTGAATGACTGCTCGCTTTCAGTCTCTTGAACATCCTCGGAGGCTGACTCGGGATAATCGCCACTTGCTAACACCCGTAGCAGATAATTCCGCGTTCTCAAAACAGCGGAAACATCAACTTGAGCGCCGAGCCAGCAACGGAGTTGCTTGTCTCTGTCCCTCAATGGATACAGGAAACACATGCTCCAAAAGGGCTCGCCATCTTTGCGCGGGTTCAGCAGAAGCTCGACCGCCTCTCGCCCTTGTCCCAGAAGGCCAGCACTTTCGGTATGGTTCTTTGCGTCGTGAACGAAATCACGACTCTCACGAACAGCATCTTGAAGGTGATAGCCAGTAATCCTGAGGAAAGCACCTGTGACAGCATTGATAGTCGAACCCGAGGCATCAACAATACAAAAGCCCTCCCCGAGACCGGGGAGCTCAGACTTTGACGGCGCAATATTCGGAGCACCACGCATGAGGACGGCGGTCATATAGTGCAGTAGTTGGCTTTTGACGAATTTAGGAAATATACTCGTAGCTACGCGACTCTCGACATGAGCTTTCGACTCTTGAAAGACGCCCTCCAAATTGGGTAGCGTAGTATGCGCGATACGTTTCATATCAGCGCTCAGCGTTCTCGATAGGGTGGTGGGTAGGTTTAACGAATGAGTTGCACCCGGGACGATGAAAGAAGTTGATATTGCGGTTAAGGCCGAGGTCATCTCATTAATGGACTTGGTGTATTCCCGAACCTAATGAATGACCAGAGGTGAGCTCAAAATGGCCCAGCATCTATGCCCTGCTTCTCTCTCATGACTAACCTTGACTAAGAATTCGAAGTAGCCCTCATACCCCTCCTCTTTGCAATACCCCATGAATTTCCTACACACGGCCGGATTATCCAGGGCTATATTGTGAACATCTTCCCCCAAGAACTCCGGCCAGTAGATGGCACAGTCTACGTTCCCCGTCGCCCACGGCATTTTCGCGTAGAACGAAGAGTTTGCCACATCTTCGTCCAGGGGTAGAGGGTGGTCCTGGTGATCGCAGGAAGATGGATGTCGCAGCCAACTCTTTTTATATTTAATATATTTGCTCAGAGCCGCGTCGTTAGTGTGCAGCGCAAGCCCAGAGTTGCTCCTCAGACGTAAGGACAGACTGTCATGGCGAGTTGGCGGACTCCGATAAGTGGGGGAGGGGGGGAGAGCCTGCAGGCTCGTCGAAACGTTATCGACACATTCTAGTCCCGACGAGACGACGGGTATCGTAGACACAGGGCGGTCGACGGGCCTCGGTTGTCCTTTCGGGAGATTCGACTCGGGTGATTGAATGGGCATGATGACTTTTACATCAAGACGCGGATGCGGAAGCGACGCCGTGTGCGCTCTAGCGGTGTGACATACTTGAGGAAACTCGGTATTCCTGCCTACGACGGATTCTTCCTTGGTCCTTGAAGCGGCAATATGTCGAGGATACTTTGAGACCTAAGTAGGTGCGCAGAGTACGGTAGACACCTTGCACCCTATATAGGTAAGTGTCTGGATGATGGACCCGGATATGAGGCTGCATCTAAAAGATAGTGTAGGCCACTAGTTTTTGTTAGGAGGTGTGCTATGACCCATCATTTTCTCGTTGAAGCTGTTCCCAGGCTGAGCATACCCATCTAACATAGGCATTGTATGTACATGGCTAGTATGGGACTATATGTAGCGCACGTTATGAAGGTAGGTTGAGGACTTGCCCGCAAAAGGAGGAGAGCAAGTCGACTTCTACCTGAACCAAGGGTCCGCAAGGCCAGGTACCCCTAACTGTTAGCTCAGGCCCACCTCACTAGGTTCCTGAGGCGAGGTACCTACACGTATTAGCCCCTACAAGCTGAGGCCACTACAAGCTGAGGCCCCTACACCACTATAGACCTAGGTGGGCATGTATAGACGCGCAACTAGGTAAGAAGTGTAATATCCCGTAAGTTGACAAATACGGGGACCACACCCTGAGAGTTTGCCCCGCAGGTCATAGGTAGTGAACCTACCGATTCTTATCGTGGTTGTTGGTATGATGGCAAATCACCTCTTTGGTCAAAGCTCAAAACTTGGAACCTAAGCTGCTGTCGTATATATGCCGTATACATATACAGGTACAGGCTCTTTATTCTCGTCAATCAACGGAGAAGTCATCATAAAGTACGACTATATGCATAGATAGGGGTACGTTCAGTGTCAAGATTATTGATAAAACAATTATCTCTAATTGCGGATCGGCCGAGAATCCTAAAGCCTACGGCCACACGTAGATGTAAAATTTCAAGGGTGAAATGTGTATGTGTATGCTCATAACACCTTTCCCGGGACGGCACTCTCTGTCTTAGGTATCCGTCTTCCCTAAGCAGACCCGAGAACCCGACCAACCGCTTTGAGGAGGTCGTCCGACTAATGGCCAATCGAGAATCATCTCCATGTCTATGTATGCAGACCAGCCGTTGATATGACTAGGGAGATCAGAAACCCTTAGCTTCACTTGGTTAGCCACCACCACCAACATTTAGACGAGCATCTATGCATACACTATATCGCCCTAGCACAGAGTAGACAGGAGAAATCCCGCTAACCAGTCCCTAACCACCCAAGTTCTTATCGACGGCATGCAGAGTGGTATAGCAGCTGCAAACACAGCAGGCTCGGACCTGGGCGACAAAACTTACATACCTACGTATTAGCCAGAGTCGAGAACGACAGGGTCCAGATGCCGTATGAGAATGACGAACTCATCACGTACATATACCAGTCACCAGCTAGTTACGCAGCTGAAATACGATCGGTTGCTCGTTTCTTCCAGAATTCGGCTTCTTTATCCATGCGCCATTGGCACGCCTCGGCAAATTCACACGACCGACACTTGTAGGTCTCCTCGATCGATACACCTTCGCCGTCGCGTTCTCCCCGCCACCATTCCAGACACCGACCAATATATGCATCCAACGCTTCGGGGTCGTTCGGGAACGTGTTGTTCCCGATTATGCGACCGTCGTCCCTGTGCCGATATTGGACGGCAACGAGATCGCCCAGGCTAGCAGCACCGCGAGGAAAAGTCTCTCGTAGTTCAGATTGTAGTAATGGAAGTATTTGTGTGATGGACCGGTACCTTATCAGATCTTGGGGGGGCGTGTTCTGCGATGACCGATTCGAGAATGGCCTGTCCGGTGTCTCGGTGGAATCCTCAGGGCAGGGGGATGTTGATTCCAAATCCGAATCTGCGTCATAAAATACTTCGTCGTGAAGATTGCCAACCTGAGCCATGAAAGCATCGGAAAACAAGGCCTCGGCCCTAAGGCCATACCGATTTACTACGTCAGCAAATTTTACCACACCAGCGGCCATGCCCCCCAAGAGCCGATGATACAGGAACAGTTGAACCCTAGCGGGCCTGAGGGCAGCTCCATTAGGTAACCGATCTGATCCTCGCGTTTTGACATCGGTTAAATAAAATCTTCTCTGATGCGTGTCCAGATTATCTGACATGGATCCCTGGTGATTCGGCTGGGACGCGGCAGTGCTATCGAACGGTTCAGACAGGTTCAGTTCCCGTTCAAAGTCGGGGTTTGGGCTCCTGTCGCTCAGTTCGTCAATGACGCCGTTTATAATTTGACCTTCAATAGCCCCCCACACTTCCAGTTCCCTGGTCATCCCGGTGTCCCGAAGCGTCCGCAGTCCCTGGATGACGTTCCATAGCCTTAGCGCAAACGCTTCCTCCTTGTTGGTTACGCTCACTTGAACCGTAGTGTGTACCTGGTCCTCTAAGGTTTGGTGAACGCGGGTCCCCCCCCGCATTGCTGCCGTTCTCGTCTTTCTTCCCCCGGGCAGAAGACTCAGTGTGTACCAATATTGCAACTCACACCAGGCACCCGAGGCCAAGTCGGAGACAGTGAGCGGCTTCCTCGGAAAGGAACGAAAGCGTTGTAGGGGGGATCGTGAATCCTTGAGAGGGGTCGTAGGCGTGAGACGAGATCTCGGGGAAGGAGTTATACGGGGCCTAGCATCCAATATGACTGGGATAACTAACAACTACCAGTTAGTTAGACGCATTTACATCTGGCATGTTTAACTTCTCTGGACAATGAACCTACGGTCTGGGTATCGGACTGAGTCCTGGGTGCGGACAATTGTTGGTGCCACAGCCTCGATGCACTGGCCGCTCCCGGTCTGGCGGTGCTCGTCTCCATTCTCGAGAGGGAGTGAAGGCGCTGTCTGGCTAAGGCCATCGAGGAGCCTATTTACAATCCCCTCCTCCCCAGCAGAAAAGTCGGACCCATAGTCGCTTTCGTGGGAACCGTCGCCGTTCGGGGCGGGAGGAATCGAGGTGGCCATGTGGGTTAGTTGGTCAACCGTCGAGCATCACGCCAGGTCAAGCTGGCCACTTTATGCAGAGCGCGTCCGCGTGTACCTATGTGCAGACTGTGCACTTGGTAACCGGTAGGGCGCAGCAAGATGCGTACAGGAGCAATTAAATGTAGGAAAGGCCATAAACTGAGTCATGATCAACGGGACGATTTGGCGACGGCATGTGGAGGACAGACAGTTGTGGAGGGGGGGGGGGAGAACATACCAAGATGACAATTTGGTAAGAACGCGACCCGCTCAGCCCTCAACGCGCTTGTCTCGAGCCTGGTAGGTCCGGGGACCACATGAAGGAGGTAAACAGCGTGCGGGACGCTGAGGTACCTAGATACCTAGGTATTAGTACCACAGTTTAATCTTTCTGCTCGCATGAGGTACGAGAAGGTGTCTACCTTAGGTACCTAGGTAGAGGTACCTAACGGCACAACCCCATTTGCATAGGTACCTATACACCCGGTCAGCCTTCTTAGGTTCCCTCCTAACTACCCACCTACCTGGCACCCTCTCAGGTCGGAAAACTGCCTAGCACCACGACATCCTAGCCATTCCTCGTGTTCCATTAGTGCCAACGTTGATAGCAAGGATCTATAGTACCTTAGGTGCCAGGTATGTAATGTAGAAACTCTCATCTCTCCGAGACAGCTATAGCCTATAGGGGCATGTCAGGTAGAAGGTACCCAGCCTCCTAAGCCAGCTCTGCCTTCCATGCCCCTTTCCCACGGTGGATAGGCTGGATAGGCAGGAGGTATGGGAGAGGGAACACGGCGCATCGAGGAACCATAACTCACATATGTACGAATTTATTATTATCATGAGAGGTAGGTACCTAGGTATTTTTCCCTTCGGTGTCTGCCTACTAGGTACCTCTAGCCAGGTACTTGGCTAAAAATGCCATTTTACCAGCCCATCGTACTCGTCGTGATCGTGACGTGGCGAAGCGTCCATCAGGTTCACTGTCAAGGAATACATCATCTGGCCACGACGCCAACAAACCTCAGCTTCGCCTGCCAAGCCCGGAGGCCAGGCTGCAGGCATCTATAAAGTGATCGAGCCATTCCCATCCCCTCAGCGGCGAGGCGTCCACGTCCGACCTCGTCGCCAGCCGTGAAACCCAACCTGTCGCATAGGTACTCGCCCTGTTTAGGTACCGGTCGCCTACGGTTCGATTCGTTACTTCGGAAACGCGCGATACTCCCTTCTCCTATCCTCTCCTGCTCTCTTCCCCGTCGCGCCGCCCTCGGGTAAGTACCCGCACAGCACCGGTAAACCACATTTCGACCATACCTACGTGTAAACGTTTCCCACCGCCTTGATACCACCGAGATGTCCCCTCCAAAGCCTTCTAGTGGGACCCCCGCTACCGGATCCCTTCGTGCAGGCGCATCCAGCTTCGTGAACTTACCGGCCGAATTACATATCCTCATCAGCCAACAACTCACATACCCCGACGCCCTCTCTCTGAAACACGCCAACCGGTACTTCTACCACCTAGTGGACACCGGCCTCAAGCTCAAGGTGGACTGGTTGATCGAGCGCCGAAGTCTGCATCTGGAATGTCCAAACGACCGCTGCTGTGATCTGGGGAGCGACTTGAAGTTCTGCAGAGGCAGCGTTAGGTAAGGCTTACGTCGGCGCGCCACCGCCCGCCCTTCCTGCCCCTCTCTGCGGCGGCTAAACCACACGTTCTAGACTACTTATGCAACGACGCCGCGAACACTTCGAATGCGAATCCCGCCCCGGCTTGGGATGTCTTGTCTACGGGACGAAGCGCTGTGCGCATCGACAGCAGCCTGGATTCTGGATTAAGCGATGGCTGCGTCTCCGTGTGTCCATCGAGCTATGGTGGGCTATCGTAGTCATGGCTCCTGTTTTGTTCGCATTCCTGTGGATGATAGACCTTGCAGCTTGGCGCGTGAAGGGTGCGATGGAAACTACTCTGGTCAGTTAGACATGCAGCCCTATATAGAAATACCTGGGCAACCTATGGAAAACTGCGGTCTGGCACGGCGAATAGGTTGATAAGCATCTAGATGGATTGAATCTTGAGGAAATCTTTGTGTGGCACGGCGACCTATAGTGCGGAGTGACAAATGCAGAATAGCACTGGGTTCCAACTTATGCTGACTCACTACCTAACCTACCTCAAGGTACCTACGCAGAATCCCGTATTACCTAATTTCTTCTCCTCTCGTCGGGTTCCGGTTGCCTACTCTTACGCCAACGGTGGATTTCCAAACCCCCTCGTAAAATAGAAGTGCTTAGCGCACACTCATAGGTAGGTAGGTATAAAATTAGCAGACCAGGTTGATGCCCGATAGGTAGTAGTATACTTGCCATAACTTCGGCTCATCAACCATAGCTACCCGTCTCACGATATAATATGGCTTCGACGCGGTACTGGCTGGACAGGCTCTACCTCGTCTATTTTCTTGTTCACCTCCCGGTTCTCTTTTGTACGTTCCTGGTACTCTATCCTATCTGCATTTCCCCCCGTCACATCCATTCTAGACTCACCCACAGCATATAGGTATGATAACTTACCGGCCCAAGCCATCTAACGTCTGTATGTAGGTGTCGACCTTGTGCCACTCTATCCGACCGCCCTCTGGGTACCCCCTTCGTCGCCGCTCCACTTCCTATATGATTTGCGAGTTTATTACATAGAGACGTACAACGACCAATTCTTCGCACCGCCCCCCGCGCCAATCCCCAGCTTCTTTCCACTTTTCGCCTTTCTGGAGCTCGTCTTCCATCTGCCGGTGTCGCTGTGGGCAGTGGGCGCGTTCCTTCGCGGTGATGGCGGTAAACAGAGCGCTCTGGGTGGCCGTTCCGAGCTACTGCTGCTCGTCTACGGTATTGAGACAGCGCTGACGACAGCGACGTGCATGTACGAGGCTTTGCTTTGGGACCCAGCCGTAGTGACCGTGCAGCAGAAGGTGGTGCTATTGGGCGGATTGTATGGTGGTTATCTAGCCGTCGGTAAGCTAAGACCGTTGATCGAGCCTTTGAATTGTGAACCCAAGGTGCAAACCGACTGACGACGGTGTAGCGATTCTCTTAACCAGCGACATGTACACACGGCTAGTCAACCGTCTCGACGCGGTTGAAGCTAGGAAGAAGGCTGAGTAGCTGCCTGGTAGCTATGGGGCCGTTATTCGACCTGGAGCTTTGGTGTTTCGTCGCAGACGTAACCGGCGTTTCGTTTCCTCTGACAACATTTCCGTGACTTGTTTATAGGTACACGCAGTCGGCATTTCCAAGGCCGTTACAAGATACCTAATACCTTCTAGTGAGCCCTACTCCCCGAAGAAATATTTACAAGAAGTCCTCCGTGTTACTCGGGCGGTGGCTAGTTCGAGCGTTCAATCCAGCCTCTTCGAATAGCCCCATCCGTTGCCGACACCGTTTAGACCGTAGCCCAACGGTGTAGCACCACCTAGACCTCGGCCCTTAAGCCTCTTCGGTAGTATTACGCCAAAGAAGTAAGCGCCCGAAACCAGGACTCCCGCGATAAAGGACACCAGGGCATAGAATACCGTACTGGCGTAAATATGGCCTCCCATCCCTTGCCATTCGACCTTCCCCTCGGTCTTGGGTAAAGCAGGGGTCGGAAACCACCTGACGCTGAAACTTAAGGGCAGGGGATCGCCGATGACCAACCTCCTCGTATGACTGCCCTCCATATGGCTGAGAGGACTGGTGCTATACGCGGCACCGCTATCCAGGACACCGCTGTCGTGAGGGTGCATATGGGGTTTCGGGATGCTGTGGAGCAGGATATTGAGATGGGTGCTAATATGCAGATGGCTCAGCTGCAGAGTGCCGGCCAGAGCGAACACGAGAGGGACGTATTCTTGCTCGTAGGGCTTCTCGCCGACCATCGCGATGTGAGCGGGTGGCCGAGCGGGGAGGCGACAGGACAGCGGGGCGTCACTATGAATGTAAAATTCGAGCAGATGGAAGAAAGGGTCATCGATCATAGGAATAGTGCAGTTAATTTCGCCTTCAACCCCATAGTGGAACTCGAGAGACTTCCCGGTCTCGTTGCATAGAGGGAAGGGAATCCATTGGATCTCGTTTTTCGCATTCTGGATATGTTCGCCCGTCTCCCTGCAGAAAACGCATTAGGTCGCGCATGATCGCATCGGCATGCTTTAGATCGTTCAGAACTCACACACTCCTATTCATGCACTCAACGGCGATTGGCGCGGCATAATGATAGGACGGCAGAACGCCTTCTCTGAGGCTGGTGGCGGCTGCGGCGATGGGGATGAGGAGTGGAAGCGCGCTCAGAACCAGGCGCGTGATCGTTGAAGGCATAGTGGGCCACCAATTCTGATTGCTAGGTCGTCGGGAAGGACATTTCGAGCTCCTGAACGCGAGGAAGAGAACGGTACAAGTGTAGGTGTGCACTGACTGTGCCTGCGTCGAGCTCTCTCGGATTCGCAAGAGAGAGACAAAGGGCTGAAAGCCAGCCTGGTCAAAATCAGCCGGGCTGGATGCAGACGGGATCTATCAAATTCGCAAATGGCTATTGAGGTAGGTACGTAGGTACTTTATGTATCTATACAATACCGTCTGTATCTCGGAGGAGGTACCTGTAGGCACGTGCCTCTTCCTGCCACGTAACTAACTCGCCTGTAAGCCTCATTCCAAGTATCTCCCTCAAAACTACCTACACATATAAATTTACCTACAAGGGCTTCTGACAAGTCGCCAGAACTATGGTCGAGCTGAGATCCCACCCTTGGCCATTATATTTCTCCCTTAGATGCTTCAGGATATGGCCATCCAGCATACCCCGCGCCTTCTCCTTGCTCTCCTCACTCCAGTACGTGTAAACCATCCAGCTCTTCATCATGGCATAGCTCTCAAGGTAGTCCTCGGCGGTATAGACGGGGATGATGTGCGGCAGACTTCGGATTTGAAATTTCTCGAATACAGCACTTCTCAGCTCCTGCCCAATGCCTGCCGGGTCTGCCCACTACCTAGGGTTTCCCGTGGACAACCATAGGCACTCGATCGGGCATCGGCGCGTCGAACGGCAACGCCTTAAAGCACGACCTCAGGTCAGGGCCCCAGCCTTGGCTGTCCTTGTGCCAGACACTAAACGCGAGCGTACCTCCCGGCTTCGGGATCCTCATGGTGTCTGTAAGCACGTCAGCAATGCGTTCGTCCCGGTCTATTTCTACCGGGATACCTCGAAGCACAGCCTGTGGGTCGGGGATAATGTGCATAGCAAAGTTGAGGGTGACGTGCGAGAACGACTTGTCCGGAAACCCCGAATTCTAGCGCAAAGAGGTGAGACGAGTTCCGTAAGGCTCTAAGCAAGCCACGTCGACTTACCTGGGCGTCGACCACCGCCGTCGCAGTATTTTCCCAGCCGTATTTCGCTATTCGTTTCTTCAGTATCTCAACAAGGTTCCTGTTGAAGTCGGCACAGGTTACTTGACTCTCTCACAACACCTTCTAGTCGATATGGCCTTGTAACTGTGTAGCGACCGGACCTGTTCCACAAGCATTATCAAGGAGTGTGAAGGGATTACTAGTCGACTCGTCGAGCCCTGCCTGTGTAAGCAGCAGGCCCGCAGGCCCTTTCATGATACGCTCAGAATTCGCGATTATTTTCTCCAACCCTTCATCGTCGAACGCCCTCGAGAAACCCTTGTAGAGCTTTTGCAGTTCCCTCTGCTCAGCTGTCGCTATGACGCTGGGTGAATAAATGGTCTCGATGAGTATATTATGTTAGAATAATGCTGGTGTCCATTGAAGACTATACCGATGATGTCCTCTTGCCCACGTGTTCCTGAAGCTGCTACTCACATACGCCTTATATACGCACGCTGGTCACACGCTGGTAGATGTCATCGGCCCAGACAATGTTTCCGGAAAGTCTCGTGGATGACCCTGAGGACCATGGCTATGCTAGAAAATTTAGCATCAAGGCCTACTTGTTACCGCGACAAGTCCCAAACTTTTACCTATCCGGCTCCCGCGTCATGCGCATTGTTACCCTAAAGGCACTCGTCTCTGCCTCCAGCTAAGTGTATGGAAGTATATACTCCCATTCCTGGCCGCACATTTCGTCGCTTGTAATAGTTAAACTGGCATCCGCACGTCGTATGACGGTAGGAAAATATAAAGTAGTGTTCTTCCAAAGTTTCCGAATAGGATCGAAAGGGGACAATTATAAATCCCTAACCGAAATACTCATTGCCTGTTGATTTTCTTTTCCGTCCTGCAGGGAAAATATGGCACGCGGGAATCTGTTACGATTTTATTGTTTCCCCTTTTTAATCCTGCGCTCCTTTACCTCGTCCTCGCGTCGCTAAGTCTTCATAGGCACTATAGTCCCGTGTTGAACCAAGATGTCTCGTCTGCTCGGCCTATAGCGAAGTTACGGATTAGTAAGGGCATGTTAAATATAACATTGGTACATTTCTGCGTTTCTTCATCGCGGTTCACAGACTAGTTTCGCTTATCCCGTCTCGCGCCCCTTTGATTGCTCTCTAATAGTATGTATAAGCCATTCGTCGAGGCTAGCGGAGATCGTCGTATTATGTGATTATCGCCTCGCTGTTGATTGAGTGAAGCATCTATTGTCAGACCGTACCAAGCTTTCCTATGATGTAGCCTGCATATAGGGTACTCCGAAGTGGCATACATCTGACCGCGCGGGCATAAAGAATGACTAAGGAAGTGAGGCGCGACATGTTGCGAAAACCGAGACACCAGGATACGCAAAGAGATGGTCGATTCCTAGAAGTCATCGGATGGGGAGAGACTGGGCCGACCAACCGGACGATTAAAAGCAGCTGCTAGATACCCATCATGGCTGATATATCTGTCTATAACCACCAGTTTAGTTATTTCCACCAGCCCCAGACAGCCCCACCCATGGGCCCGAACTGCCTCCTAGTCGTCGTCTGCCTACATTACATAAACATGAATAGGCGTCAAAGAGACACCACAGCACTACCCGTCGATGTGCCGCTCAAGGATATCTACTCGCCGAACCGGGTCCAATAATTAAAACATACGGCTGGCCCGCGGCCAACTTGCCACGGCGTCGACCGTTTGAAATTACCGTTGATCGTCATTTTCAGCCCCTCCCCTAAAGAAGTATTCTTATCCTAACGCCCAATGCATACCAGACACACACCTTCTTAGGCCGTCTCACTCTAATCTGGAAGTCTGTCTCCATATTCTTCATACCTCAATAGAAACCCATGCTCCTATTGGCCGCTGGTGACACCATCAGACCATCGACGGATCTCCTCACTTCTTTAACACTTCGCAAGAGGTCTCTGATATCAGCGCCCCCCTCGTTGGCGATACGTGCATTTGAGGACACCCAGTTGTCACACTCAGAGACCAGCTGGGCCACCCACGGGTCCAGTCTCGCGTCAGGACGACCGTTCCGGCCTAAGTCGCGAATCCATTGGCTGATGGTATGCGAGATCCATTCAACAAGCCGGGCACGGCCGGCACCGCGGAACGGAACCTCCTGGGACTCGAACATCTGCTCCAAGACACGAACGACGAGGTCGTAGCTCACCCCCAATTTGAGGAAAACAAGTACTGGCCAGTTGACGTCGGCACCAATCCTTGCGTCCTGGGCGTTCTCAAAGGCATAGCGGCAGATTTCGGGGAGAAGGGTAGGTACAGGAAAGATGAAAGAGTCATTAGAAGAGCGATGGCAAATGTCCTGAATCTGGGCGACTAGGGATTCGTACGGTTGCGGGGGGGGGTCGCTAGCTTGCACTCCACGCCCACGCCGTTCTATCTCGTATGTGGACCACTGTTCTGCAATGTTCTCGTGAGTTTGCTGGATGAGGCTGCTCCACGTTTGTGCGATGGTGGTAGAGTTCCTAAAATCGGCAACGTGATAAATAAGAAGGCAAAGGTCGTAGTAGCCAGCTTGGTCGGCATAGCCGTTAAAGAGCTAGGCAAGCCACGTTAGTAATTACATATGTGATGCTCGTTGGAGATACGTACTTCAGAGAGCGCTTGTATCTTGCCGTCCAAGGCCTCCTGGATCTCCGGCTGCCGCTCGGCGGGAATTCTACTGTCCGCTCTGAGTCGTTCTAGAAGATCATCCTGAATATGGGCGACCTCGAGTAGCTCCGTGACGTCGTGATTCAGGAGCTGCTGCTCTTGTCGGCTAACGCCGGCGGTCATGACGCTGGCGTTGGTTTTAGCTTTGCTGAGCAAGCTGAGGCGGTCTTTGATGGAGATTGGAAAGTCAGATTGCGCAAGGTCAGACTGGACCTTTGCCGCCTCAAAAAACATCCCCCGCATTGTATGGAATCTACAAAGGAGATCTGCGTGCTCAAAGTCCTTAGACGCTAGGCGGCGAAGAAATGTGGTGACGTGGGGGGAGTTGATCACGAGCAGCCGGTCGGTCCATCCTTGTTGTATATACCACTCGTAGAGGTCGAAATGGAAAACCTCATCGGTCGAGTTGCTGACGACATCGTAGGCTTCCGCGCGCTTAGTCGCAATCAGCGTCGGCTTCCCGTCGATCAGTTCGGGTTCGCGACTCGAAGCCGCATCCAGGTCCTGGAGGACGCGGTGGATCAACCTGTAGGAAACTTTGCGCTCGTTGAACAGATGTTCTCGTGGATCACCGGCAGGCTTGCCATCGTTGATCCAAGACAACGCCGAATTGCCCCGGTCTTTTTCGTTAGCAACCACCAGGCATAGTTGAATAGCTCCGGCGTAATACCTCACACCGACGTACTGCTCGATTGCCGACTCAAGATTTCCCTGGGTGAGACTTTTCGCAACTTTCTGGAAGAGCCTCAAACTCTCATGGAGAAGTGTGCGCGATGTGTTAGGGTTTTGAGACTCATTCGACGCCTTCTTCAACTGCTCCTGAGCCTTGAAAATGACGACATCGTCAGGGCTGCAAAAGCTGCCACACTTCCGCCGAAGTGCGTCAGCTACGGTCTCTACGTTAGACCCGTTCTCGATGTTCCGATTGACGATGGCCTTTACAAGCATCTTGGCTAGCTCCTTCCCCTCGGACAGCGAAAAGAGCTGCTCGTAGGTGAGATTGAGAAGTTGTTGGCGCGACGTATCATCAAGGCCGCGATATATATCCACAACACGCTCCTCGAATAGAGTGGTCACGAAAGATATGCCTTCCGTGATGCCTACCATCAACGTTTCTAGGGCATGCATGGCCTGGTGTTCGCCGCGGAAACCGAGCTCTTCCTGCTTGCTCCCTGCCCGCCGCAAGTCCGCAGGTCCAGAAAGGCCCTGTATGAAAGCACGGTTGGTTTCAAGGAAATTCCGCAGGCTTTCTACGCTCCCTTGAACTTCTCTCAGCTTTTGAGCCGGGATAACACTAGTGATAGTCAAGGCACCGTTGCTATCGGCCCCCTGACTAATGACCCTGGACCTCCAGAGCGTTCGCACAAGCCGGCTTAGATACAGAGTCAACGCAGCATGGCGAGTCGAAGGTTGCACCATCTCCACATTAGCTGGCTGTCCGTCCTGCTCGGGTAGCCTAGGGTTGCCGCCAAAGCTGATATATACCTGTTTCGCGCGATCTTGGGTGGCTTGGTCGACGGCGCCCCGAGCCACTCCGGGGCGGCCGTTATCCCCCTGACGACACGCAACGGCGAGGGCGGCGGTGATGGTTTCAACACGGCCATATGCGCTCTGAAACTTGCTCACCTCGGCCTTTAGGCCTTCATCTCCGGCAGCAGTCCTAATAGCTCCGGCAAAGATATCAACGAGTCTACGGCGGCGCACCACATGAATCCCGGTGTTCGTGAGGATGGCGAACTCGCTCCCTTCGGGATCGTCGAACTGGACAGCCAGTTCGTTCCCAAACCCCAAAGGCTGCTTAGTTGCAGCAAACGGTTTCGTGATAAGCCCAACGTCTTCAGCTTTGCTACCGATCTCGATCCAGTTGGCTTGCTCATAGTACCTCAGGGTTTGGGTTTGGCGGGCATGATTGATTCGCCCACTATCGGGCGCCGACATGAAGAGGATGTCGTCGTTCGGACTGTCAGTCTTACTGACAAAATCTAGGAAGTACCCCGGAGCGAAACGAATCCCTTGCCGGCTCGTCTGGAGGGACGAGGATTGGATGTCCACGGATTCGCCTGGGCCAAATCGATCAGCTCTAGGTCTTCGCTGCTCAGAAGGCGGAAATTTTATGGCCTGCAGTTGCATGCTCTGAGGCGCCTGACTCTGGGAATTTAGCATGTAAGACGCGGCGCTGGTGGCGCTCATGAACAACCGAGTGCCCGTGTTGGTTAAGGCCATGAGGTGAACCTTGTTATCTTCGACGGCGGAGATAGGACTGATGGACACGATTTCCATACGTTCGTTGAGCAGAGGCGATACGACGCTCAGCGCATGGGCGATGTCACGCAAGAAGTCGTTTTTGGTCTTCTCGATAACCTTGGTGAGCTTGTTGGGAGATTCCATGTGGTAAGTGCGCACAGTTGACGTGTTGGAAAGAGAAAAGAGCAGCTTTCTACTGTCATCTACGACGATTTCTTTGATCTTTTCGCTCGCCGTAGTTCCCCAGAGAATCTGGGAGGGCATGGGAACCGTGGCAGACCAGCCCCGGGACGTATGGTTGATTCGGCTAATGCGGCTCGAGAACCACTTCTCTTCCTGCTGATAGGATAGCTCGTAGATATCGGTATCTGAAGGGCTGCAGAAGAATATACGCCCATCCGCGGATCCCGCGATGACATGAGCTTCGATACCTCGCATGGGCAACGACATCTTCGTACCGTACAACTCGACCGTCTTCGAGCCGCCCGGGGCGCCTCGGACAGCGACACCCAATAGAAATATCTCGGAACTAGTGGCAACGACTAGTATCTTCTTGATTACACTGTTGAATACGCCGGGTTTGGGCTCCACAAGCCTGATGGCAGTGATGCTTTGTTGGCTGTCCTCGTAGCCGATGAGTTCGGGATTCGGGTGTGTGTAGTCCCACAGGTAAAGGCAATTGTCGATTGTCACCCAGGCATGGTTAAGCTCGGCGAACAACCCCATCATCGTAGAAACCTCAGCTCGGTTGTATTGTTCGAGAATAGTCTGCGGTATGGGGTGCATGTGTGTCTTCTGGAAGGGAGCCCAGGGACTATCGACGCGGGTAAGATCATATTCGGATGAAGATTCTGCACAACACCCGTTGTCAGATATGCGGCCACGTACGAGAAGCAGGGGAGAGAGTACTCACGTCGGCAATAGGAATCGAGCTGGGGATATTCGCTGTCTTTGGTGAGGGCATTGTTGATATACGCGGCCGCTTTGGCCAATGGAGGTTGGGGCGGCATATTTTGGCCTGGAAGTCCTCGTATGGTCTGCGGATCGGCAGCCAAAGGAGCAGGGTCGGGCCCGAGGCCGCCAGTATCCTGTCCGAATAGTACGGTCTGATTGCTAGAAGAATTGGGAGGTTCCCGGAACAGACGCCGCCGGACCGGATCTTGCTGGGAGCTGAAGCGCGATGCGACGGCAGGCGTATGTAAGAAAGCGCCGGGCAGCGCCTGTGACGGAGTCTGCGGGAACGCCATGGTATACGCGCTCGTGGGCGTGACTTAGGCGCAACGATGAGGCCGGTTAGTGCTAAGGGGTCAGAGAGGCAGTCAGTAAGGGAGCCAGTGCGGGCGGTAGGGCACCGAAGTGCTACCGGGACATCAAGGGCGACGTTGAGAGATATCGGTAGAGTTCGAATTGACGGTGTGGAAGGCCAGGTGCGGACGAGGGGTGAAGCTCTCGCGCAGAAACACGATGATTTTTGCTTCGGATATATTTGAGGTGTGAAGCCGGAAAATGTCGTGGTGGTGAGATATGTTAAGATACTATTTTTTTCGGTTTTGGGGCTTTTTTTTCCCTGTCCGGGGGCCTTTGAGGAGCTTCAGACAACAGGCGCGCTTCAATTTCCTGAAGCTTCCTCTCTTCAATTTATTTCGCGACGCAGGGGCGCTAATCCCAACGTGGTACGTGCCTTGCTCCGAGAGCCATGTCACAAGTGGAGCGCTTAATTCGACGGTCGTTCCGCTCTGTTGGACTTGCTGCAATATAGCCTCATTGGTACTGGCTTTTTTTCAACACGGTACCTACCAAAGGGACTGACTTCAACATACCTTTTCCGTAGCATCCAATTAGCCTTGACTGGCTTCCGACAGCAGCCGTATATGCTCAAAGTAAAAAAAAACTTGATGCTACCTGGTGCACTCAGAATTTAAAATCCGTCTCGCTGCTTTCAAAAATTCATACCTACATTCAACCAGCTTCTATTTACCTAGCAATAGGCTTGTGTGTGGTGTATATATAGTGGTCAATTGCAATTGACCATGAGTGGGAAAACTACCTACCGACCTAGGTGCCTACTGTTAAATTAATCATTCACACCGTATTACTAAGAAGAGCTACAATCCCAAGGTACCAGGTACATATCAAGGTACCTCCCGATCTCTACCCCAGATCACTGGGCGTCCATACATTTTGCACTGGAGGTAAGCAGGTTGGCCCTTTTACTCCATGTTCTATCTCTACATGGAGGTCTACACGTAGGATATTTGTCGACGATAACATAAGCATTTATCACACCTTACATATAGATTGGCTTCATAAATCACCTCCAGCATGTAGATATATTCCTACATTAAGCATGCCTCCTCGCCCCCATATGATAAGGTCATAAACTCAGTCTGAATATTAGGCCAAGGGATGTACGCTGTAAATTGTAACTCGGGTACCATGGAAATATTATGCCTGGTTATAGGATTCCCTGCCCATCCTTCTATTCACATATCCGTCCGACCATCCTTCTTTACTTTTCCTCCACACCCATGTTGAACCGTGCCTCCTCATGGCTGATTCATTACAAGCCGGCCTCAAGCTACCAAGAATCCGTCTATTCCTTCTTCGAGCTCCTAGCAGCTTTTCTCAGGGCACGGCTCCGAATACCCATATGCATCTTCAGGTTAACCAATATACCCAGCGAGTGACCGATACCAATGGTATTCTCAATCACCCATGCCATTAGGGCATGGCTCCAATACGGGGTGTAGGTATACGCTGTGTTCTGCCACCCCCCCGATCCCACCTTGCCCAGGGCGCCCCGTACGAAAGATTTCGGATCAGGAATCAACAGACTCGTCCGTCGCACCTTGCTCATCGCCGTTGTGACAAGGTAGCTGAGGCAGAGTTGGACATCGATATTACTGGACTTCAGCTCGGCGGCAAGGGACGACGACCAGTGCTGTAAGAAGGCTTTGCTGCCCGAGTAGGTCGCTAAATACGGGGTAGGCATCCATCCACCAAAGCTACCCATCGTTAGAATCAGGCCGCGTTTGCGAGTCTGCATTCCCGGAGCGACGATTTGGGTGACCTTTAGAGTGCCAAGACAGTTGATGGTGACAATATCCCGCAGTTCTTTGCTCTCGGTTTCAAGGAAGGGGACGGGTATGCTATGGCTCTGGCCAACATTGTTGATAAGAATGCCGACATCGAGGCCATAGATTAGCTGGGCGAGGCGGGCGTAGTCGGCTTCATCGTCGGCAGAGAAGTCCATGTCGAGCACCCGCGTTTGTAACCCGGAGAATTTTCCCTCAAGCTCCTGAGAGAGCGCCTCTAGATTGGACAGGGTGCGAGATACGAGAACGAGGTTGAAGCCTTTGGCGGCGAGCTGGGTGGCAAATTCCTTCCCTAGGCCACTAGAGGCACCTGTCACCACAGCCCAGGTGCCCTTCTTCCCATATTTCCTAAGCTACGTCGTGGGCCACATGTAAGCATCGGGGCAAGTGCGAGCTAGTTGTAGGGCTGCGTATAGGGATGCTTACATTGGTGCCGCTGAGGACAAATACGCTGAGGAATAGACGGAGAAAGCTTAGGATCTTGGAGGTTACAAACAGAGCTCCGAATCCAGCCAAGGCCAAGTGTAAGGCCCGTGGAATTGAATCGAGAGTGTTATTTAAATAGTCCATGTCTGTAAGCAACGGCCGAGGTCAGGCGCCGCTTCGCTAACTGTCCTGATCGCTCTGAGGCGCCTTATATAACCTATTCGAATAAACGGGGAAGGTTGGGAATGGGGGGGGGATGGTAAGGAAGGGTGGACGTGGCAGGGTTAGATCTCGCGTCGAGACTTTTTAAGGAATCGGAGATAGGATTAAAATACGTCGAAGCATTCCGCGCTTCTCCACGTTTTCGTGCCGAAAACCTGGGACCTCTCCGAAGGCTAGGGAAAAGGGGGTAAGTAGGAATCGACGTTTGAACGGCGAAAAGGGATCGATTAGTAATCTACTTTTAATTAAACGGGGAGAAACTGACCTCGATTGAACGGAGAGGAACGGACCTTGATTGATCTATATATAAATAGTATTAAAATGAGTAGGAAATATAATTAAGTGCGTTAGTAAGTAAATAGTAATATATAGATTCCGTCGCGTATGTTACGATTTTATTAGATATATTTCTTTTATATGAGTTATATAAACGTTTAGTTAATAAAAATAAAGTATCCTTTAAATAACTCTATATTTACTGGAGTATTTACCCCTATAAATTAATTAGCATAATAGGGGGCTTAACGTATTATAACTATCCTTCAGATAGTTAGAATACAGATCAGAGGTAGGTACCTAAAAGAAAACATACCTGCTACTCTAGGTACCTATACCTGACGTAGGCACATAAGACATTGTGATCCACATGAACAGTGTACGGAAGACTCTGCTCTCAACATCCCTAGCAGTTACTCTCCGCTTACATTGCCACGAAGGCTTCAAACATACCATCATTAGCCGGTAACCCACACATCTCTACGTCTTCTTCTCATCACAGCTTTTGTAGTAGGGTAGCAGGGCCTTACAATGGATGATCTGAGAGCATACCTCCCACCGGCCAAGGGCTATTTGCCATATTACATGTTTGGCGTAAGTGAATTTGTCTCCCCCCCCCCTTTTTTTTTTGCCCCTCGCTGTTACTGATCAGCTCCTCCGCACCCTCTTGGCCAAGGATGTCTCGATCGTCTGCTTACGATACACCTGCTTTGTCTAGCTCTCTATTCTTGCTGTCGGCAACTCTCTACAAAACTACCTAACACTCCATTACTCGCGACGTCTCTACAACGGCCAGTTCGTACCGAACTCTTCGCTCCCCAAGAAAACGGCCTCCTTCGATCCGGAGGACTCGACGCGGAAGCTCGTGTCGACATCCGCAACAACGTTCAGCTCCAAGGGGGCCCGCACTCAAGACCAGGTCACGCCGCTTGCGGCAAGGTTATTCGGCACCTACACTCTCATATCGGCCATCGTCCGCATCTACGCGAGCTACAACCTACACCTAGCTCCCGTGTACAATATTGCTCTATGGACTTATGCGGTTGCACTCGTGCACTTTGGATCCGAATGGGCCATCTACCGGTCAGCCCGCCTCGGCGCCCCGATTTTGTTTCCTTTTTTCTTCGCTTCAGTCGGGATAGTGTGGATGGTTAGTCAGTATAATTTCTATGTTGAAGCATGAGCCTGGAAATGTAGACAGTTACGAATCTCCATGCCGTAAGAGAGGGAGAGGGATCAACCGGGGCAGCCTACGATCTCTCCTGGCTCAATGAATGATGATCGTAGCATTGACGGCCATGGCATAGTAACCTACCTACGTACCGCTATGAACTTGTGCGTACTAAATACCTCTCAAGCGTATGTACGTATACCATCATCCTCTAACCGGCCCTGCTGTAAAATCTGCGAGTGCCATCCGCCAGCTATTGCAGCGTCCTGCGATAGAGCTCCCCACCACAACTCCTCAGCTTCGCTGCGGCCTGCTCCGGGGTAATGTCTCGCTGCGGCTCCGCCATCAATTCGTATCCGACCAAGAACTTGCGCACCGTGGCCGATCGAAGCAGGGGCGGATAGAAGTGCATATGAAACCAGCTATTCTCGACCTCTTTCTCAGTCCCGTCGAGCGGGGCTTGGTGGATTCCAGAGCTGTACGGGAAGCTGGTCTCGAACAAGTTGTCATATCTTCTTGTCACTTCTTGCATCGCCTGGGCCAACCCGAACCTCTCCTGTTCTGACAGGTCCACCAACGCTCGTACGTGCCGCTTGGCGATGATCATGACCTCGAAGGGCCAAACCGCCCACCATGGGCAGACCACTAGGAAAGACTCGTTCTGGTACACGATGCGCTCATTTTTCTCCACCTCTAGCTTAACATAATCCCCTAGCAGATGACGTCCTCCGTGCTCGGCTCGGTATTTTGCCAGCTGAGCGGCTTCGGAGGCTGGCTCCTCTGGCAGGGCGTTGGTGGTCCAAATCTGGCAGTGCGGATGGGGGTTTGAGCACCCCATCGCAGCGCCTTTATTTTCGAAAATCTGCATATACCGCAGCTGCTGTGTCGGTGGGGGAACTAGAGACTCGGGGGGAGCTTCACGGCTAAGGAGGTTGAGCTTTGCGGCGACCGGCGAGAGGAGGTTGGTCGGTGAAAGGTAGGCTGCATAGATCCTTGTCCACGTCTCGATGATCGGAAGAATTTCCTCGGCGGGCATGTCGGCAAGCGTGAGGTGATGCTTCGGCGAGAAGGTGAGGACGAAACACTTGCCCTTGACACCCTCGGCTCGAAGCAATAACGAGGAGAGATCTGCTTGGATTAACCAGGCCTGGCCATCGATTTCAAAATCGTGCAAGGGACGCTAAATACCATCGCTCGAGGGCTCTGCCTCGTAGTCTGGCTGTTGCTCTTTTACGGCGCTATAGTCGTTTACGAATACAAAGGTTTGGCTGTAGTCGGGATTGGTATCTCCCTGCGCCCGTGAGTTTCTGGGGCATAGGTAGCACTTTGGCGCGATTAGCTACCTATCAAGGAGGTTCCTCCTCTTTGTCGTAGCAGAGAAGGCGCATACCTTGGGGTCGTATTCGGGCAACGTGACGATGCCCGGCGCTTCCTGCTGACCTCTGGCCAAAGATATAGTGAGCGATCGTGATGTATTCACGCTACGCGCGAGCGTCGATACGACGCACTTACTGCCAGGGCCGCTTCGTTCTGTGAGGGGATACCAGCAGCCATGATCCTCTCAGTGGATTGTAGCGCCGATGTGATATGTCGTCGAGGATGTTGCCGGCCATGGCAAATAGAGAGCAAATGCCAAGTGAGGGGCGAAGTGAAGTCGTCTAGGCAATCTCAACTCGGGGAAGGGAGGGAGGGGTAAGTAGGCAAGGAGGAAGGGTTGGAAGAGAAATTAAATCGGTACCTTAGGTCCCTACCTAACTTATCCAGAGGTTAAGGACCTGATAGGGCGCCTTTGCTCACCTGCTTAGGTTAGGGAGGTACCTACCAAATGTAAGCGGGGACAAGAAGCGAAAAGCATAGGTGCGTAGTAGGTATATTCAGGTACCTCTCACTACCCAAGGCAAGTTGTGCACCAGATGCCTACTAGGTACCTAGGTACGTTTAGGAGCTAACGCGGTAACGTAACTACCTACCAGGCACCTACCTGCCTAGAGATAGGTACCTACCTAGGTAGGCTATAAGATCCCATGGGACCGACAGGCCCCTCCCTACCTACCTCTAGGTACCTACTGCGTCATGCAGAACATTAGGTACCTAGGCAGGTCAGTACGATACGGCATATCAATGATTGCGACGGATACTCGGTAGGTGTGTGTTTATTCGTACATCCTCAGAATGTAATAATACCTACATCATGATGTCCTGCAGCACATGCAAGGAGTTGTAGGTACCTAAGACAACGAGCCAGGTTCGGCCAGATGATGTCACAAATGCTGCTGAATCCTCGGCCATTTGGTCGGCTGAATTTCTCAGTTTCTCGCAGAGCAAATAGGCTTTGTTGCTTAGGTAAGTCGCACCTATCTACCTCCCTAACTTAGGTGTGGCTCCGGTAAGAAGCCACCGCGGGCTGAACGTCTACGTGACAGACTACCCACATATAAAGGTGTCATCGGTATGGTGGCTAGACTCTCTCTCGGGTCTCTCTGCAGGTATGTATCACCCCAGGTACCAGATAGGTAGGTAGCACGCGGATGTTGCGGCTAAGAGACGAGCGCTTATGCGGACCAACATCCCGCGGGATCAGACCTGCCTAGTGGCTAACCCCCAATGTTACCCTTACACGGCAAACCTCAAAGAAAGCGATTTCGCGTAGCGATAGAATTGAACCAGTCACAAATGACGGTGCCGGAGCGTATTTATTGTGGTAGTGGTGATGTAGGTAGGTATGAGATGCGATGTTGCGATGGTCGTCCCTGGGTGGCCTCTACCTCCCTACATACCTACTTGCATATGGAATCCAGCAAATATGAGCAAGTCCGAGGCTGGCCAGCAAAGCAACCCGATGAGACATAACGACAGTCTGCTTATCCCTTAAACTGCCTAGATTCGAGACGGCTGCGTGTAAAATCCCAGTCGGCCATGCAGGCCTAGCGTTGACTAATCAAAGCCTAGGTAGCTTGGTAGCTTGGTAATACCTACTAAGTTGTCAGACTAAGCAGGTGTAACATCGTGGAAAGCATTTTCCGATCGGAGATTCACATTTAAGCCTCCCAACAGGACCCTTATTAGGTACAGCTTGAAAAAACATTGTGAGATATAAGGCTGGCGAGAAACGGGCAACATCACCACAATTCGTTAGCGCATCTGACTCTCGACGGGTTTACGTCAGGACTGGGGCACGATTACATCAGTCATATGTCTGCTCGTTATAGCCATACCCCTACATTACAGAGTAGGATCCGCTATTGTACTCTGCGCCGGGATTGCTTTCGATTGTAACATTGTTTACTACAGGAGCGCAGCTATTCCGACCAGCTACTGAAATTTTGGGACCCTCCTCCGCTCTGCGTATCAGTTATGTGTACGCATCTTATAGACGATTCCTCTTCTCGCTGTTTTATGTCAACGTGGGCCTCTATCTGCCGAAGACCTTGCGTTTGCTTCTGAACACCCGTGTCCGTCCTAAAAGCTAAACCCCAATCCAGGCCTTGCTCCGTCTTTTGAGTCACGGTTAGAGCTTATGAGCACTTCGTTATGATTCTCAATTCCACCTCCAAATGTAGGACGAGAGTGCGACCATACTACATGAAAACTTAGACCTATAATATTTCCACCCCGGGTTGTGTAGCCTTGTGTGGCATGTTCCTCCGTGGCATACTACCAAATTCCTTACCTCACTGCTTGCTCATCAATATTCTCTAACGATTTCAGGAGGTATTCAATAGAGATTACTACCCAAATACGTTCAACCAAATGCTATGGCCAATATTGGTTATCTGTTGCCGAGTACTAAGGTCTATATGCAGGCAGTGCTTGTCTAATAGTTGGTGTTGGGCTTGAACCGATGTAGCGTTGGGCCTTTCAAGTAAGCACAAATATGGCGGTGTACGCTGTACCTATCTGCAGAGGGCCGGCTCAATACACACCAGGATTGTAGCACCTGCCCCTGCGTGGCCAGCGCAGGGTCACGATACGACCCCTGGAACAAGAATGGTATGGGTTCTTTGGAACAGAGAAAGCAAATAACAATGGCTCGAAACCGACGAGTCCCGGGTTAAACATATTGAGATATAAGTTTGTGTGTATGATGTCTATCTAGTGCTAAAGAAACAGTGAAAATGGCATATCCTAGACAAAAGAATAGGTTGGTTATGTGAGGTAGGCGAGCCAGGAATCATCCAAACCGGTTTAACCAAATGTGTTTAGGAGGAGGAGTCTGAGACAAGGATGTTGGTACGAGTCGCAGGGAATGACTAGCGAATAACAAAAGACCTCAAATCAGAGAACGACTTTGCCACAGTAAGGATCATTCGATCAAATACAATACGAAACGACTGCCATCAACAAAAAAGATTTTTCTCTTCACGTAATTGTTACTCACCCCTACTGTATCCTCCCACCTCTCCCCCCTTCCCCCTCTCCCCTTCGAATGGCTAAAACTGCCCTCTTGGCCCGCAGGACTGTATTCGGAGCTTCGGGCACCTCCGGATATCACATTCCCAAATGTATATCGCCGCGGTCTTGGGAAAGTCGGGAAAGTTCGAAGATCGTAAAATGGAATGGCGGGATATTGTGCAAGGCCTATATCCGGTACTTTCGGACACACCTCCGTAATCTACCCACGACAGAGGCGTAGACAGGTGTGCTCTAAGAATCTAGAATAGGTCCAAAGGCCGGGATGCCACGACTCTCTAGCTGGTATGTTGTCTTCGCGATTGTACTCCGGTTCGAGATGATGCAGACACACTCCGCGCCGCTGTCCTTGTAGGCCTGGTAGGCCAACTTCGTGAGGTCCGGTCTGCCCCGCTCGTCCGTATCCCAGATAACGGCCTCTGGGTCGCAGGCAAGGACCATGTCGATTATCTTTTGCCCGTAGGTCGCTACTGGGTTCTTGGTCGACCACACTACGTGGCATGGCACGCGGCGCTCCATGATGACGGGGAGACACGGCCCGATTCCCGATCCAGTAGCGAGAAGTACAACCTTTTTGAAGAGGGGAGTGATGGCGAGGACACCCGAGGCCGGAGTACCACGGGTCCAGATGGAGGTGGGCGGCTTCTCGATTATCCTCTTTGTCCAGTCGCCAGCCTTCGAGACAATAATAGAGAAGCCCTTTCCGCTTGGGTCGGGGATGGCGGCAAAAGCATGCCACTCAACCATAGGCCGATCTGTGATACGGACACCCAGAGAGGTAGATGGCCCGGGCGTGCAGAAATCGAAATGTAGTCGGACTGCATGTTTCGACAGCGGCTCGGGAACAACTTTGACGCGCCGCAGTCTCATCCAGGGTAACGCAACGCTAAACGTAGTCACGGCCACGAGGTAGATGGACGGGGTTTTAGCCAGTGTTGTAGCTAAGGGCTCAGAGGACGTTGACGCGGCGGAGGCGATGATATGTGCCCAGACCAATGCCAATGCAGACCACCCTCCGAAGCGGTGAATCCATTCGAACTGATCATGCATCGCAATGCGTATGGTAGGATAAGCCATAACCACTATAGCCAAGAGAAGAAACAGTATAAGGTAGGTCAATCCAAGGGTGGCCAGCTTGGTAGAAGATAGCACCTGTCCGGTACTGTCGCGGCTTGCCGAAACCGTAAAGATCACCCACCAAACGGTGGCAGAAACAGCACATCCCGAGTGGACGCCACCGTTATGATAGACGCGCGCAAAATGTCGCCGGATGCTTAGTGGCATTGATGTGGGGACTCTGGAGCACATCCAGTAGATGAAGTTGACGACGTAGTCCTGGCGAAGGAGCACGGCCACCATAAGATTTGCAGAGACTGCCGTGGCTAAGTGAGACTGCGGTAGAGAGTAGTTCCTGTCGCGGCTGTCCCACAATAGGAACACGAAGACACTCAGATTTGCGAGAAAGATAACTCCAAATAGCTTGCGGTAAGCCATGAGAGCTCGGTGACGCACCCACCGTAGGCCGTGAAGACCATTTTTTTCTGGTAGCTCGTGCTCTTCCTCCATTTCTTCCACGATGGTCTTGGGCGTCTTTTCCAGATCCAGATCAGAGCCATTGGATCCGGTTGCAGGGAGGGCCGTACCGGCCTCGCTCACAGCCGAGCTACTTGAGGCGTACGTAGACTTCAAGTGTGGAATAGACGGTACTGGTGTGAGCGATGATGGAGACGAGAGTTGCGACCCCTCCGGAGAGCTCTCGGCAGCGATCTTGTAGAGAGCTCTCTTATCAACCTTGCCGTTGGGTGTCAGCTCAATGGCAGGTAAATGTTTCCAGACGGTTGGGACAGCGTAGAATGGCTGCCCGGAGCCTACAATCCTCTTTAACTCGGCTTCGTCGATTCTCACAGGGGCGGAGTAGAACCCCCACAGACGATCTTCAATCTTGAGTGCGCACCCTTTCGTGACACTCGGAACCTTTTCGATGGAACGGGAAATGCCATCCAGCTCGACTCGAAATCCCTTGATCTTCACCTGGTCGTCCTTCCGGCCCAGGGGCATCAGGCTTCCATCCTCGAGCCAACGAGCAAGATCACCAGTATTGAACATCATGCGCCTACTCCTGGTTAGCTAGACCGGAAGGAAGAGAAAAAACTGGCACTTACCCATCCTGAGTGAACTTGTCGCGTTTATATCGTGTAGCTGTCAACTCTGGTAGGTTCAGGTAGCCTCGTGAAACGCCTAAGCCTCCAGCCCACATGACTCCGGGTTCTCCGATCTTAACGGGATTCTCATCGTCGTCTAGAATGTAGACGTTTGTATTTGGATTCGGCTTGCCGATCGATAAGGTGCCGCCAGGCTTGTGAAGGTGGGCAGTGTTCAGAATGCTGATCTCAGTAGGGCCACACACGTTCCAGAACTTCACGTACGGTGCCCAATGCTCAGCTAGAGCAAGCGGACAGGGTTCACCGCCTACTGCGATCGTTTGAACGTTTGGAAAGTCTTCACGTCGAGGCATATACTTCAGCACGACAGAGGGCGTCGCGATGACTGTATCCACGCGTCGCAGGCAATCTGTCCAGAGCTCGATCCCACTGCCTCGGATGTGAAGTGTGCCGCCGTTCATCACGGTACCAAGAATTTCCCACGCACCTATTTCATCGTTAGCAGCGGGCCTATAAGGAAGCCGGATGAGGTTACTTACACATGTCGAAACCGACATTCAACTGCTGTGCTACATTCTTCCCCACAGTGATTCCCAGCCGGGAGGGCTCCGCCAGGAGAGTGTTGGTAACGCCCTCATGCCGCACATCAACACCTTTGGATTTCCCAGTAGTCCCGGAGGTGTAGATCACATATGCGCCGTTATCTGGCCGGACGTCCACCATAGGACTCACGGGGTTCCCCTGTTGCCATAGCAAAGAGTGTTTGTCGAGGTCGAGTACCTTGACGGAGCTTCGCCTTCCTGCAGGGATGCTCCGCTCCACTTTCTCCCGGAACTTTGGGAGGCACAGCACAACAGAAGCATTGGAATCGACAATGCCATGACCGAGGGTGTCCTCAGGGATGATGCCGCCGTCCAAGGGTACGTATTGCCCGCCTGCTTTGAGGACTGCGAGAATGAATACAACCATCTCGATGCACCGCGAGTATACGAGGACGACGCGGTTTCCAACCGTCACGCCGTATGTGCCCTTAAGCTCGTTGGCGAGCATATTGGCCCGGCGATCAAGCTCTCGGTAGGTGATGGTTGTCCCGTCAGAGTGTCGAACTGCCGTAACATGGGGATGGGCAGCTGCGATGGCCTCGAAAGCGTGGTGAACGACATGGTAGGGGATCGACACACGAGGTCCCCTGCTAAATTGGTTGAAGCGAGCCTGATCGGCGAGCGACAGGCTCTCAATGGAATAGAACGAAGGTGAAGAAGACATGATTCGGAGTTTATGGCTGCCGATTTCTTTCTCGTCACACAAACCATAGCTTTGGGAACGGAACAACCTGGCTCTATTTAACTGTAGTCTTGACGTTATGTGGATTTGCGTCCACCAAGCGCCTAACCATGCCTGTGCCTAACCATGCCTCTGCCTAGCCTTGACGCCGGAACAAAGTCACTAACTACTCCGTGGATTTTACGAGAAGGTCGCGAATATTACTGTAACGTCGTCTAAAGCTTCAAACGCGCCTTGGACGACCTTCCGTTCTGAGTTGAGGTCGCCGAGGTAGCATCAAGGAATTAGGGTGCGGGAGGATCCCGCGGGAGGACTCCCTAAACAGGTAAAAACAATGGGTTTGCAGTGGATCTTGGCGTTTTAGGTAACCTCACACCCCCCTAGGCTATAGGCGAGCAGTTCTCATATGCCCGATTGGGATTAGAACTGTGGTGGGATCCTTCACCAACTAACCTTCTGGAATTGTTATTTTGATCATAGTAGACTACCTTTGTGGCCGGTAGGTATATGTTTCTGTTACAGTAGCAATGGCATGGATGAATCTTACTAGTTTCGTACACATGCACTTAAATATGGAATCCATCCTCTAAGTCGGGTCTATCTGTATGTTTCTATTGTATAACTTATACTATTGAGCTTTGGCAATGCTCGAAGTTCCCTATCTCGTAAAGGGGCGTGAAGAGCGGGTGATCAGATGGAGCCTAGTGTAACTGGGAAGACGGGATTTATTTTTGTGGTACCCTATGAATCCGGCTCCAACTTCCGCCAGGTACTATTATCTGAATGGTGCAATTCGAAGCCAGACAACCCCTTCGAGATATGCCGTCAGGCTAGACTAGATGCAGTAATAAGACCTTACGCCAAGACGGGGGGTTTCATTCCCCGGGGCAGCAGAGGGAACGCAGGCATTGTGGAGCCAGAAGTCAGACCACTATTGGATCTGAGGAGACCCCGTAGAACGGCTAAAGAGATTGGTGCTAGTTGTAAGCGCAAGCGAGTTGTTGGTATGTAGTAATAGGCGTAGGCGACTAACAATTGGAAGGGGTGCCGCGTGGAAAAAAAAAAACCTGCATGTATAAGCCTACACAACTAAACGAGGAAGTATAGGGGTCTACATTTTTAACCTGACATATATATTATTAATATTCCGCACCCAGAATCTCAGCACCGGCCGGTGTCCCTTGGTGCCTATCAGACAAAACTCGCCATCCAGAAACAACTTACCGTTCTAGACAATCACGAAGCCAACCCTCTAGCGACGCTAAGCACGATGGAGAACCCTCAATTCTTCAAGATCACCCTTGATGCCGATAAAGGCACTGCACTGATCCAATTTGACCGCCCAAAGAAGAGAAATGCCTTTTCACAGGCTATGCTTACTGAGTTGGTTGCGCTCCTGGGCGCTCTTGACGCCCTGGAAACCGTTCGTGCAGTCGTTCTTACTGGTGGTCCCGATGGGCATTTTTGTGGTAGGCAAAGCCCATAGAGGCCACATAGCGTCTAACCGCCATGTCTTAACACATCGAGACCCTCCCCTCATGCGATATAATTTCTGCAATTGCAGTTTAACTCACTTTATCCCGATACAACAGTTGGCTGATATTTTTTTCTCCTCTGTAGCCGGGATGGATCTCAATGAGCTGGTGAAAATATCTACAGCTGACGCCTACAAAATCTCGTTTCTCAAAGACCTGACGGACGCATTTGCCAATTTTTCAAAGCCAATCATCGCTGCCGTTGTCGGGTTTGCGGTCAGTCAAGCGCCACTGTTTATGTCTCCCGCACTATGTTGACATAATGTGAATCTAGCTGGGGGGCGGCTTTGAGATTGCTCTCGCTGTTAGTAAAAGTCTCTCCTGCGTATATTTAGCTCGAACATCACAGGCTTAATCCTCCAACTAGTGCGATATTATCTATGCCGCTGAAGATGCCATGCTTGGTCTACCGGAGGTCAAGATCGGAACCATCCCTGGCGCCGGTGGCACGCAACGACTAGCTCAAGCGCTAGGAAAGCATAAGGTGAGTGTACTGGCCACCCCTTCATAATTCGTAATCTAACTAGCCTCAGGCCATGGAGTTCATCCTCACTGGCGACCCGGCCAGCGGGTCTGAGTTCGAGCGACTTGGTGTTATCAACAAGGTCTTTCAACAGCCGGAAGTAGTTCCTGCAGCAATCAGGCTCGCGGAGAGGATTGCCGGCCTGTCAGGTCCCGTCATCAAGACTGCAAAGCAGGCAGTCCTTACGAGTACGTAGTATCCTCACTCAGTAACCGATTATAAGATAGAAGCGAGTAGTGTCGGATTGTCATGCTAACACGATTCACAGTTGAAAATAGCAGTTTGGATGCCGGGATGACTCATGAAAAGTCACTGTATTATTCTACATTCAGCCTCGGCGACTTCCAAGAGGGCTTAACCGCATTCCTGCAGAAGAGACGCCCAGAGTTCAAGCATGTGTAATTGCAAGGCGAAGTAACCTTGGTAGAGGCTATATTCGGGTCTGCTATGGAAGTAGAGATTGTATGTCGACGGTTATTCATTGTTAGGTAGTAGCTATTGTGTTGAGACTATTGTGTGTATTTCTCCAAGGGGTTAGTTCCTATTAGTTAAGCTATCGTGCTGTTACATTCTGGAGGGCTTTTACGCTCAGACCGCCGATCGTCACCTTTGACTCTTTAGCGCTTTCTATGAGAGTTGGCCGAAGATGACCCACAATACCTTTGCCAACCTACAACTCTATAAAAGTAACTATCTCCAACTGTACACAGGAGGCATTTTCCTCAATCGTATACCTAACTTGTCCTATCCGAAGGATAATTATAATATGCTGTAAGCAAAGCTATAAGCCACCGATATTTACTTTTCTTCAGGTACCTGCCTATTTGGGCCTGTATGAGGACATTGTGGTCTCGGGGATCGCGTACTGTTCACTATTACTTCCTAACACACAAGTGCTAGGTATTAAAAATTCCACCAGTGTTATCTTTCTAGGACCTGTAAGCACACACTAGGCTAATCATAGAGTGCTCTACACGGGTCACTAACACATCCAATAGAAATCTCTGACACGGGTGAGAAAGCTATTCACCTAAGTCATCCCAGTCCAGTTCCTTGTCTGTAAATCTTTGGACCCGGGGCACATTGTCAGAGAGAGGCAAGGTTGACGAGGTAACCGTCAGTATAAAGCATGCCACGTCAGATCATAGACGCCTGTATTTCCTTGTTTCGATACGCAGGCTTACAGGGTCATTTCTTTTCCTACGCAACGTGTCTCATCTGCCAGATCTCGGTCAGAATCCGGGAGGCCTTTTAGCCATGAGAGCTGAACTTTTGATTCATAGATTCAGGCGCAAACACCCCGGTGAGGTTTGAGAACGGACGAATGGGCCAAAATTAGATGTGTTTGGAGGAATCCGATTCCAAATCCCGGGAAAAGACACCCGGCTGGTATTAATATGGGGGGCAGCACAGGCGCACAAGAGTCATGGGTTGCTCGTCGATGCAATGCGCCTTCAATTCCTACCTAGCTCTAAGACTGTCTGAACGGGCCGGAAAATTGGGATCTCGGCTCCTAAATGCAGCCCACGACTGCGTTGAGATAGGAGTTTCAAGGAACTGCTGTCTATGGACAGCGGAAGAGTTGTGTGGTGGGTGTATAGGCAGGGCCTCCCCCTCCCCACCACCCAGCAGCCAGGTAGGTGATACACGCAGTACAGTAAGTCGGCACCCCATAAACCACGTCGTTCGGCAGGTTGAAACCTCCGGTTATAACTGCCATTACCTGCGTAAGAGTTAGGTATGGCAAGGGGAATGACGCAAAAGCTGAAGGCCCATAAACGAAGACTCCCTGGTTCCTCCTACTCTTCTCAGGCAAAGAGGCGAGCAGGGGCTGAGGTGGGCTGATGGCACGGCTGAACCGAAGTTGTGCCAGGGAGCAACGGCCACAAAATGCGGCCGCCTGTGCTGAGCCACATGCCGCTAGAGTTTCGTCTTACTGGGCAGTTCCCGTGCAGGAACACGGCTCAATTAATTGTGGCCTTCCTAAACCCCCTATACCCAGCTGGCCAGGGCTTGTCGCTTGTCGGATACCCTCCCGGTTTCGATACTCCAGTACTCGGGTATTTCAGCTTCTCAACCCACCTGATTTACATGTCCGCCACGTAGCAATAAGGTGCTTACTTGTGAAGAAAAAAAGCTTGTGGAAAAATAACGCGCGTCTATTGCATGCATTACCGACAGACAACGCAACCAATAATCGGGTGCAAGCACGTTTGGCCCAAACCCCCACAGGCACACACTGCCTAATCTCAGGGTCCTGTGTAGGAGCCCAGAAAAGGCTCGATTCGCTTGTTCCTGGTTTATTTTTATCGAAGATGCCATAGGCCGCATGTATGAGCAAAAGTTTGGCACGAGAACAGCACCCAGACACACATAATTATCACGGCCTACACCCAGCGGAATTTGTAGCTCTTCCACCCCACGGCCAGAGGTGGAAGGTGTACACGTAATAATAAGTGCGACCTACCTTTAGGAGGCCTGTGAGAGCGCTAGCGGACTTTGTTGTGCTGAGAAAAAAAAGCACGTCTTTGCACATTTGACTATCGCCGTCGTCCAGCAAGCCCGCACACGAATATAGAACAGAATCACGGCCCAAATGATGCATTCTCGGCTACGTAGAATGTTTGTAGCACTGCAGTCGATCTCGGTAAAGTATTCATTTGTTACACCTCGAAATCAGCGATGGGATAGACATCTAGATTCCTACAGCGATATGAGGAATGTTCGTCAACCTGTCGATGAAGAGAGACAGGATCATAAGAAGTCTATCCGGGGAATATGCTGTCCACCGCCTTCCTTACAGACTAGAAGGGCAGGAGAGGGATAGAAGTGCCAAAGTGGTAATAGTGTGCAAAACGCCCTAGGCACGACGACGCACACGGGGTGCAACGGGCTGTAAGCAGCATCGGAGCACCGGTGCATCGCCGTCACGGTCGGCGACCTCGTTCAAGCCGCAAATGGTAATAGAGTGCGAGAGCATCCTACCTAACAATAGGATCACGTCCTGGGAGACAACATGTTGGGAGTATATTGACCACGTGCAAACACATACCTGCCGCATGCGGCGTGCCAAACAGACGGAGAATTGACAAGTGTCAATCCCGCTTGTGTATCCAGCCGAGTCAGCTCCTCGGCGAGATTACCTTGCGGGAAGGTACGAAAGCAGTCCAGATTTCGGCGGTGGGTATTTTGGTACGGGCCCGGCCGCGTGGTCCGTTCAGAGAGTAAAAGTGTTGAGACCCAACATCCATGCGCTGGACTATTTGAGTAGGTGTATAATGAGACAAGTGCTCTCCTTTCTCCAGAGACCGATGTTTAGGCCTGACAGGTTGTCAGGTTGAAGCCATGTTGAAGAAAAATCCTTCCGGCGTCTTACCATATTACTTCCCCGGGCCCGTCGGTCATCAGAGGAAAGGAAACTTGGGCCAGGGTTCTAAGAACAGGTTAGTTGCCGGCCTCAACGCTCTGCCGAAGCAGGAACTCAGGATGGAGTATAGTAAGCCAATCGCCTGCCTCCTTTACCTGACACTTGGGGGTTCAATTGTGTCATATCAGCTCGCGCTTACACCAGCGCAGGAGCCACGAAGATAATAATTCCTATACGCAATGTGGACAATGGAATCACGGCTATTTGAGACGCTTGTCTAGCCAATTAGGATCCATATCTATGCCGATGTGGTGGATGGCTAATCTAATAAACGCCGGTGTTTAAGACATAAATCCCGTGATGCTGGAGCGTCAGCTCTATAGGTTGAGGGATTTGTCTCTCGCTCGACTGTTCCACTGGCGGAAGATGAGATCTAGACGCTGCTAGGATACCCAAACTTGTTTAGACCGCATAGGGGTTGCCTATAACGGGCTGCAATGTAATACGCATAGCTTTAGACCCAGGGGCGCATATCCATCAGGTAGGTATGTGGTAGTGGAGCTCAAGATTCCTTGGTAGAGCTCAGCTCAGATTTCAACTGAGCCTCAGCGGCTTAGCCTTAATTTGCGGCCAGTTTTATCCGCATCCTAAATGCAACGCTACGGGATATTGTTCGCTAATATGAAGATGCAGAATCCTCATAATCCTTCCTTTGAGATCTGCGCCAACACCGCCAGCTACCTGGTAGACCATGACACATGAACCAACCAACTATGTGTAGGCACCCATTACTACGTAGTAAGCACACATGCTTGGCCAAACGCTGCTGAATGGGACAAGTGGGCGAGATATTCTTACCCACGTGGCAACAGCAGTCGCATAAGTCCAAGCCAGCTTGCCGACAGAGAAATCAGGGTCCCCTCTACGCCACCAGGGTCTTCCCCCATCAGGGTCTCCCCCTCTAGTATAAAAAGCAAAACATTCTATATTTGAACCCCTCTTATACCTCAAGTATATTCTGGCTACGAATACTCGAATACCATTTGCGATTGGCAAATTCGTCATCTGCATGCTTAATAATATTCATTATGTCGTAGGAAAAGCAGGCATCTACGCTTCCCCATTTGGTTATGGAGGTTGAATATCATGTGGTATTATTTCCACGCGATGGGTGCTAGGTTTGATCCCACCGGTTTTCCACTATTTTCAGCCTTTCAAAATGGCCAAAACTCATAGAAAGAAAATGGTATTAGTTCTAGTGCCAAAAGCATAATAGGACCGTATAGTTTCCAATGACCACTTTTAAACGCTCCCTTACGTTAGGTCTGTATCGATATTTTAAGATGTGTGCTCTTGACTTCGAAATGATTACGATGTCGTACTTGTTAGGCGGCTCCGTACATTTGCCCACTGTAGAGGTGTTCGGAGACCCCTTGCCTAGATGCGTCCACCAGCCCCCTATAAGCAGCCAACAGCAACAAAACAAGCCGATATGGCCACTCCAAGGTGCCCCATGTCCGAGAAGCACTATTAGCTCATTCGTTAGAATTTTGGATTCATTCGTCCTACTAGCCCTGGGAATTTTGTGAATCTTGACACATTTCTGATCCCGAGGAATATTACGTAAGATCGACGAGGCTACGTCGTCCGTTATCCTGAGGGTCGGCGGGTGCATCGATTGCGCTGGCAGAAGCCTATAGACCTAATAGAGATCCTACCGGCTCCGAGATACCGTAAGGTGTGCGACTCAACAACTTAGTGAAACTGAGGACTGGCTTGACTATTAGTAGACGTCACGGCCTTAGTTGTGTGAAACCTAAAGCCCTACCTATATATCTACAAGTAGTAGAATGTAGGCGTCTACGTTTTACGCAATATACTCATAGGTATAATCATATCAATGCTCACTCGTCAGGACCAGGTCGGTACCGGTTTTAGATACAAATCTCGCGTTCGGCGCTCATACTACCGTATCCGTTCAATAATTTAAACCGCTTCGATAAAACCCCGATAGAGGCCACTGCTAGTAAAGAAAGACAAGTTATGTTTATTAAGATTGTCAAAGGAGGCAATTGGGCACCTTTCCCCAGAACTAACTTCTCGACTTACCGAATGGGTCATCCCACGAACGATATGCCCGGGCATCTCTAAGACAATGCTTGTTGCTCTTTCTAATACCTCGCTCAGCCTACATCTAGTTTCGTAGCCCAACGATTAGAAAATGTTTCGTGGGCCTCTGACGATGGTTTAGAGAGCCTGGTTGAGCTCCCTTAATTAAGCAAGGTAGACGCCTGTCGTATTATTGGCTTCGGGGCCGCGCTTAGGCTTTCGGTCGTTACTCCTGTTTGTAGTGGGTGGACTAAAGAGACGAAGCATAGCACTTGTATAATAGTACGTAAGGGTAGAGAGTAGTGAAGTTATCGATGCAGCTTACCTGATATAAGTCAGAAAACTGTGAATAAGATGCACTTTATAGACTATGCAGGTGCACGGAGGACAGCTCGGAGGAGATATTGTTTCGGAACACTTCCGATCACACTGCTGTTTTCTTCAGAAGGCTAACATGAATTGCCCACAGGCTATTGAAATAGTGAGGTCGCTAGGCCTTTAATAACGTCACATTGTTCCTGAACCTTTTTCATTCGATAAGCCGGATACACCAACATTGTAACAATTCCCCCGATAAAGGCTTCGGATTTCGAGAAACAAGAAGCGAAGTGTGATATTATGACAACGTACTATTGTCTACTATGTGGTGCTCCGTTCCATATGCGTATCCGAATACAATTAGTAGGTATAATAGTTGGCTGATTTCGGGTTGCGGGCATCCATCGTCCTACCTAATTCTCATACTTTGTTTCCTTAAGCTCACTTTCAGGCGCTGCTACGCTACATCTACCTCTATAAGCCACAGGCCTTGGTTGCATCTGAGCTAACAATTCTAGGACCTCGGTCTTACACTACCTATATGTTGTAATCTAAATTATCTTAGGCAAGAAAGAGCCTAGCACAACTGAACTATGAGCCTATCATAGGGGTGGATTTTGACAGAAGGGCAGCAGTGTACCACGGAAATTTGCGGTCAGCTTCTCGTTTCCAAGACAACCTAGACAGCAACACGGCATAGAGGCAGCATGGCGGCCTAGTCTCAATTTTAGTCGTTGGTACTGCCACTGTTCTTCTAGTGTGCTTGCTTCCGCCCACTCCAATAGTAACCATAGCCATGCTTTGAGCTCGAACTCGTAGGACATAGATAGATAGGTAGGTACTTAAGAGGTATCATATTTGTAAATACCAGTAGACCTCAGGAGGTACCCTGGTAGGTACGTCCTAATGTCAGGTACCTCCTACCCGCCTAACCTGAGGTAGAGGTACCTACTGAGGTACCTGTGTACTTATCTGAGAATGCAGATGTTCCCGTTGCTCCACCATGCGGCCTACCAGAACAGGTACCTGAGGTAAATGTCAGAAGGCGGTCACCTGCCCATGTAAGGTTACATGCCTACCCAGAAATGGATCAATAAACCAGGTAGGTACCTAGGTACCATGTAGGTACCAGCCTAACCTGCAGAATATGCGCGCGGTACTTGTGACTCACCCCACGTGATTCTTTAAGCCTCAACGCAGCCGCGCAACGTCAACATCACAACCTCATCTGCTAAACTTAGCCATTACCTACCTACCTCCTCCAGCATTGTTGGATAACCTCATCGTCATTCAAAGCAAAATTTGACATCAACCAATACCACGCCCACATTGAATGCATTGCGCACCACACCAGCCGCTAAAATCTACCCGCATTTTCTTACGGAGTCTTCGCCGACTTCGTAATCTGCATCTTCCACCCTGGCCGAAGACATGGGCGTTATCCGCAAAAAAACAGCCACGAGAGGTGGTGAAGGTGGTGTGAAGTATGTCTGCGATGTCTGCTCGGCGGATATCACGTCTACCGTATGTTGGCCCCTAGAGCCCCTTGTTGTGAAGCCTAAGGCTGCCGACCACCGCTGCCTGTCATTCCCACAGCCAGTCCACCGCTCTCGACAGCATAGCTGCTACGGGTATCACTCTCTTGCTGATCTCGACACGTTTTCATAGGTACGGATAAGGTGTGCCCACAGCGCATGTAACGAATATGACCTCTGCGTTCAGTGCTTCGCGAGCGGATCCTCTAGCGGTTCTCACCAGCCTGCCACACATCCCTATAAGGTCATCGAACAGAACTCTTTCCCTATATTCGACCAGGACTGGGGCGCTGATGAAGAGCTCTTACTTTTGGAAGGCTGCGAGATTTACGGGCTCGGATCTTGGGCCGATATTGCAGATCACATCGGAGGCTACCGGCGTAAGGATGAAGTTCGAGACCACTACCTCAAAGTCTACGTCGATTCCCCATTTTTTCCGCTCCCAAAACGGTGCCGGCCGTCGGACATGGAACTAGCCCAAGAAATATCTCGCGAGGAATTCCAGGGACGCAAGAAACGTAGGATCGAAGAACGTAGAGAAGCCCAGAAGAACGCGCCGCCCTTGCCACCCAAGACCAAGCCGACAGCCAGCGTACCTTCCTGCCACGAAATACAAGGTTACATGCCTGGACGACTCGAGTTCGAGACCGAATATGCCAACGAGGCGGAAGAAGCGGTCCAATTGATGCAGTTTGATCCGGGCGACGGTATTAACCCACGTACCGGCGAGCTCGAACCCGAAATGGATCTTAAGCTGACAGTGATGGACATCTACAACTCACGCCTCACCCAGCGCGTGGAGCGCAAGAAGGTCATTTTCGAGCATAATCTGCTAGATTACAGGGAAAATAGTAAGATTGAGAAGAAGAGGACCAAGGAAGAGCGAGATATCCTGAACAAGGCAAAGCCGTTCGCGCGCATGATGAATCACGACGACTTCGAGGCGTTCTGCCAAGGGCTGGTGGACGAACTGAACCTGCGACAGGCGATCACACAACTGCAGGAGTGGAGGAATATGGGAATCGGAGATCTTCGTAGCGGAGAGAAGTACGAGCAGGAGAAGGCTCAGCGCATTCAGAAGTCCATGCCGATGGGATCGATGGACCGCGAGCGACTTGCCTCGGCGCAGCGCAACAAGCAGAGTGTCCAGCCGGAACCTCCCAGCGGCGCCGCGCTCCTCATAGCACCCGAGCTCCCGTTTCGCCCAGCCGCTGCGGGAGCATCATCCCATGGAAACACAGACGCGTCTGGGAACGGCCATACGAACGGCGATGCCAATGGCGTCACGACTAACGGGGGACCAGTGCCGGGGAAGCAGAAATTCGTTTCCCAGCCCATCTCGGGCGTGCAACCTCTAGCCCTGACGCAGGACAACGCGCCAGATATGCATCTCCTCACCCCCGAAGAAGTCGATTTGTGCAAAGTGTCACGATTACAGCCGAAGCCGTACCTGATGATCAAGGAGCAAGTTCTGAAGGAAGCCCTCAAAGGCAATGGGTCGCTCAAGAAGAAACAGGTGAAGGAGATATGCCGATTAGATTCTCAAAAAGGAGGCAGGATTTTCGACTTCTTCATCAATGCCGGCTGGATCGCGAAAGCGTAGGCCTAGTTTCTGGCGTCCCTGTTAGAGGCCCACCACGCGCTACGGTACGGCTCGTCGATCCCAGTTTCGGACCCGAGATGCGGGAGCTCTCGCAGAGGGGTTCCTAGCGACCAGATTACGCCTACCGCCTACATGCAGTACAGAGGTTATTGGTGGATGGGCTGTACATGTAGATAGTAATTTTTACACGAAGATTGCTGCGCCCTGCGGCTTTCCCTAGCGCCACCAGGAGACATTTTTGCTGGCCGTAGCGATGTGTACGACGACACCGTGCCGCTATCATCCATGTTAGCGGGAGCGGCTAGACAGCCGCCGTGCAGCATGTAACCCCAGTGATTTCCAACTCATATCTTCGCGCCGAAGCGACGCTTCACGCAAATGGTGAATGTCCATGATGTGTTGGATTCTTCGAAATGGCAACCATTAGTAGCGTGCTACGATCTAATATATACTGGACTAGCATTTTCCCATCCACACATCCTGTTCCCATGGCGCACTATAAACAACGTGGGTGCCCGGGCAGGTAGGTCGTTTTGCAGAATTAGGTACGTACTCATACTACAGGCGTGCTAGGTAGGTACCTAGGTACCTAAGACATGGTATGGAAGGCACCTCTGGCGATGCTGACTAATGTCGTTAGGTGGCTGTGGCAAGGTGGGCTAGGTACCTCTTGCTTCGAAACCATGTAGCCCATACCTACCTCATGTCCATTTTCCATCGATTTAAGCCACCTCAGGCCGTTCCTCAGTATCCTCAGCTTGGTACCTGATGTAGTCCCTATTCGTGTCTTGCGCAGAGGAACAAATAAAAGCAGTAAATGAATTCGCAATCCCTAAATCCCTAACCGCAACTCGGCTTCTACCCTTTCCTACCCACGCCAGCCGGCCACGTTGACATCGATCAGGGAATACCCCGCCTGTACAGCCATACAACTGTACAACGGGTGCAAGAGGGAGCCCGATAGTGTGTAGGAGGGTAGAACAGGTACCTATGCATGTGCATACCTACCTCCTAGGTAAGGTATACCTATACATGCCAGCAGAGGCGACCGATACCTACCCTCTCTCCACCACACCAAGCCGCCTGCCCCCCCTGGCCAGACCTGGTGGGCGCCAGCCCATTCCTATTTCTACCAGCCGGCCTTGGCTTCGCTGCGACTCTTCTCTCCCTACAGGTAATGGCCATTGGCTACCAGAGACTCGTAGGCTTCATGCCGCGTCGCAACTTTCTCCTTCCAACCCTCTGCATCGTCCTCCTCGTCGCGGCATGGTCTTTCCGTGCCCCTCGGCCGCCCTTTAGCGGCTGGCTCGATGTCGCTCCTGTACGAGGCGTCTCGCCGCCGCCCTCGCCGCCCTCGCCCGTGAGTCCGCCGGTTCGATCTCCAGGTGATGTCGACCTATCGGCGCCCGATGCGCCCTTCGTCGGCTGGCCGCTACAGCGAGTGTGCGACGAGGCCACGTGGGTGAAGGGCCTCGTATACATCTGCGACAACAATTCGGGCGGCATCGGTAACATTCGAAACTACATCCACACCTGTCTACGGTACGCCCTGGAGGCTGGTGCTACCGGGCTGGTCATACCCATGATTCGAAAGCGCAACGAGACAGATTTGGCCGACCTTTTCACCGACTACCTGCCGTTTGGCTACATGTTCGACGAGCAGCACTTCAAGGACGCGTTCACGTCCAGCTGCCCTCAGATCACCATCTACAACGCTATCAAGGATATACCGGGGGCGGGCATGAAGCCCAACATCGAACACATCACGCCCAAGAAGTTTGGGAATCGCGAAGGCTGCGATTGGAAAGATCAGAACCGTCACACAGACCGGTTTGGCGATAGGTTCCGCAAATGGCTGCACGATCCCAAGAATGGTCTGCCCCCGCCCTCTGAGGACCGTCCGCGGCTGATCCGCTTCAACTGGGGCGTTCTCTGGGACTGGCAGGTATATCGCGACGGACCCGAGTTTGCCAACACGTTTGGCGGCGTTCTTAGGTTCAATGGCCAGCTGCTACGCCTGGGAAAGATAGCGTTAGAGAACATGCGCGCTTTCGCGGCGGCCAATGGAGCCAAGGACGGTAGGTTTCTAGGCGTGCACCTACGAACGGAGAGCGACGCTTTGGGGTTCTGGCCGACGTACAGCACCCAGACCGACGCCTACCTCAAACAGGCGACCAAACGAGGATTTGAGGCAGCGTACATAGCTACGGGGGACTCTCTAGAGGCGCAGAATTTTGCAGGCGCCGCTATAGAACTGGCGCAGATGCGAGTCGTTTCCAAGATGGAGCTACTGAAAGGCGAGGACTTGGAGGAGCTAGAGTCGCTGAGCTGGGACCAACAGGCCTTGGTCGACTTCATCGTCCTGTTAGGGAGCGATTTCTTCGTGGGCACCATGCCGAGCAGTTTCTCGATCTACATGGCCATGAAACGACACCTCAGGACAGGGGGCCTGTATACGAGGCCTTACAAGACAGGGACGGAAGGGGACGGGCTGTCGTATCTCGTGGGAAATTACGAAAAGTACTGGGAGGGCTGGCTCTTCATGTGGGACGGCATGTGGCCTTGAGGCACACCCCTAGTAAGTCTGGGGATTTATTTCTTTGTTATCTTCGTAGATACGAGCGTCGTACTCATATACGCGGCTACTCAGGATCGCCTACGCTCTCATCGACATGCAACTTTTGTGGAATCCGAACCAATATAGTATGTATCTGTCTATCAAGAGACGCGGATACACGGGGGCAGGGGGGTACATAGGTAGGTAAGTGCCTACCTACCTGTACCTAGGTAGGTAATCAACCGCCTCCCCCTGTAAGCGCCCATTTCAATAAGCCGAGATATTTGCACGGTATTATGCATATAACCACAAAACCATAGTTACACGTATCTACCTTGAGATCCGTTCACTCCGTCCTGTCCGTCCCAGGCATCTGCACATCAACACACGCCTATATCTACACGTCTTCACATGCCGGCACACGCTCGTTCCCGTAAACGTTAGGAGGTACCCGATTGCGATACCCTTGTTTACTCTCGACCACGGCATAAGAATCCACGTGCATCTACACCTGAGATGTCCGTGGCGACGGTATCCAACCTGCAGCGCATCACAGCTGCAAAGCTAGCCGAAATTCTCCTCGCTAGCACAAACCAATCCTCCTCGAATTCTACGATAGCGATCGTAGACGTGCGGGATGACGGTAGTGGAACCCTCCCCCCGGTCCCCCAACACCCCAAGGCGTAGATTCCCGCCATTTGCTTTGAACCCGTTACCCCCCTCCAAGCCCACGACACGCATCCTCGTTCGGGGCTCGTACGTATAGTTCGTTCCGAATCAAGACCCCCCGCTCGTCCTGCTGCCATCTCATCACGACTAGCGCTAACGGCGCGGACAGACCACATAGGTGGGCACATCAAGTCGTCGCTGCATTTTCCTAGCCGCAGTCTCGACGCTACGATGCCGACGCTCCTGCGCAAGCTCGCCGGCAAGGAGGTCGTGGTCTTCCACTGCGCCCTGAGCCAGCAGCGAGGTCCCAGCGCCGCTCTGCGATACCTCAGGGAGAGTGCGGCCGCCGCGGCGAAGACGTCCGCTTCATCCTCTGCCGCGGCCAAGGCTGCGACGCCCGAGAAAGGGGGAAGGGAAGCGGGGCAGGCTGACGAGGTGCCCCAGCAGCAGAAGGTCTACGTCCTGGACCGCGGTTTCGTCGGCTGGCAAGAGGCCTACGGCCGTGACGAGCGTCTGACGGAAGTGTGGAGGAAAGAGTTGTGGGAGGACTACTGAGGAAGCCGGCGAGTAGATTGAGTGGGAAGGCCGGGGGCACCAGTGCAGTGCTCGAGGAAGCAAAGAGCGTTTGGATTCGTCCTGCGGCAACACAACTTCGCGGGGGACCTACGAATTAGCTCCGGCGCAAACTGTACACATACGACAGCCCCGATCTTCTGTGGGCGCCATCACGATATACGATCGGTTAATCGTTTGGTAACAATACCGCTGTATTCCGACTTACTGTATACGCACTCCCTCAGACGGGTCTATCCCGAGAAATATAGGTGATTAATTGGTTAATTCCTTAAGCAGCTACTCGCTGAACCCATATATGTTCCTCGTGTAGCGCAAGTACAGGTGGTGACTGAACAGGTTCGCCGCTGGAGGATTTACTCAACTAGAAGCGACCTCCGCAATCAAGGTGGCTATTGGCAACCTGTGTTCCAGACGACGAACTGTGTAGTATGCATATGCTCTTCTAATTCCACCCTCAGCGTACACATATCTGTGCCAACACCACTCTGTACCCATGACCCCACCGTCGTTGAGATAGGTATTTCCTACATCAAGTCATTTTAGAACTACGCAGAAATTCCAGAGAGCGAATACAACAGGGAACCGGAGTATGAGTCTAGTATATATGAGAACCCCCGTCGAAACTCGGGAGACTGTAGTGGTTTTCAGCGAAGCATAAGTTGCTCTGAGGAACCGTCATGGTCTCATTGGCTCACAGACGGTAGATACCACTAATATCACAACGATTATAACGTACTGTCATCATCTAGATATAGAGGATACTTACTGGTTGATTCTACCTATTAAACACTAAGCAGCCACAGGACTAGGTGGAAGAGCCTTTCCCAAGAACTGCACTGGCTAGCATGGGTACATTGTGAAGGGAATCTTGCCGCCTTGCTCGACGCTTCTTTTTTTCTCGCGTGATTAAAGGAGGGCTCGTGCTGATGTCGTCGCTAGCGCCGTGTGGCGGCCGCGGTTTACACGTATGCGTCATTGCTAGATGGCAGAGAGGAATACGAAGGCGCACAAGAGTAACTACGTGGGTAGTCAACATTGATTCGTGTTCGTAGTTTTATTAATATAGGTAGGGTCTAATTAATAAACTTCCCGCCGCAGCCACCACAGAGCTCTGACGAAATTTCGTCCAGGATGATTTCCTTGAGCTGGGGGGCCATGCTGATGAGATCCTCGCGCTTCAGACACTGGGAGGCGCACACGTTACAAGTTCGTGAGACGCCGGGGGCCAAGATCGGGAGGCCCGTAGTCGCACACGTAGCTGGAAGAGGTGTCAGAGTATCACCCACACAGAGAGAAGATGACGTCCTCGCTTGACTTGATGATAGGTTGCCTGGCCATGCTTACCGAAAAAGTGACCGCTGCTACATTTCGCGAACTTGCCCTCGGTACTGAGAGGGAGGTCGCAAAAGGCGCAGGCTTGCCTGCGGGCGATGAGCGCAAAGTGGTCTTTCAACGCGCTCCGCTTGCCGCTCTCATGCGCTGTCGAAAGGTCAACCCCGGGCACAGAGTGTCCTCCACCGTACATCCACTCCCACATCTTTGCTTCGGTACTAAGCTTCTTCACAGCCATGCCTTGACCGTGTTTCCCGAAGAGGACGCGACACGTCGCCCCACCGTATGTATCTCTCTCCGGGATGAGAGCGCTGTGTCGGCTAATGAAGACAGCTATGACGCCTCCGCCCGGGCTAGCCGCCATCCCCCATATGCGAGCCCTATTAATATGGACTTGATCCGAAGTGTCTAGACCAGCGATAACACTCTGCTCGGAATCATAGTGGGAATCGACGTCCGAACCACCGCCCATCATGTCCTCATTGTCCGAGCCCCCCTCGAGGTCGGCACTGCCATCGTCTGATGAGAGGCTAGGTCGGTATGCCATTCTTCGAGGAAGTCGATGCTCGATGATTTGATCGATCTCATTGACCCACTGTGGTAACATAACTCCATCCTCTGGATTAGGCGGAAGCGGGAGGTTTGTTTGGTACCAGCCGTCATTCTCGTGCGTCGCCGAAAGCCGAACCAGCGAGTACAACAACGTCGGGGCGGCATGTGAAAGCGAGGGAGGGTGGACGACAAGCCCTACAGCTGGTGAGTCGGACAATCGCATAGCGAAGCGAAGCTAGCACCTACCAGTTATAGGATTCAGAGCCGACCCGCCGTTGTCAATTTCTGGATACGTCGTACCGCACTCGTCCGTAGTATGCTCCGAGATTCCGGATTGAGTCGAGTCGAATGCTACCTGGAGCGCTTGAACTCTAGTCGGGGTTGCAACGATTCCACGGCAGACCTTTGAACCGTTGACCGTCCATATCTATCATCCAATTAACCACCGCGTTCAGCTGCATTATGCTTAGTGACGAAGACGCAACTTACCAGCTCCTCCCAAGCCATAAATGCATCTGGTGCTAGATGAAGACAGATTCCGTTGGAATCGACCGGGTCGATTTCTAGATTCGGCGTCTTCGTGCTCTTGAACGTCCCCTTTATTGTCACCTGCCTGAACCCAACATAGTTCTTAGCTATATATGATAGCATGCAAGTCTTTGAAGTGCCCCTTTTCAGCCAAGGGCCCCAGCTGAGAGAGAACGATGACCCGGATGGCGAGTAGTCTGGGTCGGTCGGCTATAGTAAGCGTTAGTGAAATAAGGTAGGATTGCTTCAACTACGTACGTCAAGCCTCAGATGGGGCCCTGTAGCCACGAATCTCACGACTTCTTCGACTCTCCATAAACCACAGTCTCCGGGGGCCGCCTTGGAGTCATGCTTTGCCTGAACCGAGACGATGACAACGTCGTCCTCGTCATTTGCGTACGCCAGCAGCGCTCCGTGGCCGTCGGTGTCTTTAGACCAAGAAAATGCCGTGATATACTCTCTGGTGTACTGTGCTATGTGCCCTTCTGCGACTGGCAGAAGTAAACCAGTGCCTACACCCCAGGCAACAAGCCACGGCTTCAAACCCCTAGTATTGCCGCCGTGAAGCTTAAAGGCATTCATGCCGTCCGAGGCAGCTTCGAGATACATAGTGATGGTGCCAGCCCCGGTGAGAACGGCCAGGACAGACCGATCCATGCGACCCAAGCCGCAGGGTGACCATTCCAATGCAACGACATGGTTCATAGAGCTGCCCTGGCTGGCGACGGGACCCGAGCCGCCGGCGCCGCCGGGGATGTGCTCATATTCAGGAAAATCCTGGCCGACAAGATCAAATAAGGGACGGTTGAGTTCCGGGTCCCTATGCCCGACGCTCGGGAAGCGGAGGGCAGCCGCGTTATACTGTCGATGCAATGTGGTGCCTCGCTCCGCACCCTCCGATCTAGGACGGCTGTACTCGGGAAGAAAGACGAAGACACAGTCGTCGCAGCCGATAGCAAGTTCGGCATCGGGAGACCACGCTATATTGTGCGTACTCGTAGGGACAGCCGTCAGATCGAACGACTCCAGCGGGAGGATATTGTTGTTACTTTCCGAGGTCATCTTGGTTCTGGCTGGCGTCCCAGGATGCGTTCCTGGGTCGTCGGAAGGAGCCGTGCCCCGATAGCGATGAACATGCGCAGAGCAAGGCCAGCATGACAGCGCAACCCCCAGGAATGCCCGGCGGAAGCGAGGTGAAGGAGTCAGTTGAAACGAGGTAGACTCATACGGAGTTTCCCGTTCAGGTGTCTTATTATTGAGCGGTAGGTAGACGGAGAAGATATACTTCAGCAAAAGATAAGAAAAGAAGGCGAGAGAGAGAGAATATGCCAATACTGAACACAAAATCTCACTCTATCGGTATATATCATCTGTTCACTTGTAGAAGTTTAAGAGTCGACCCTTCGAGGTCAGTAAATGTGTGTGACCTACTTTTCCTCAAATACAGGTACGTAGGTGACCTATACCTTGGGTAGGAGGGACCTACCTATGCCTTACCTGTGAAGTGTTTGGAGGTACATAGGTACGGCAGGTTAGGAGGCTGTATCCGACCTACCTAGGTAGGTAGGTTAGGTACCTCAGGTACCTATAGTGGCAGCTTGAGAGGCACCCAGGTGTCTAATGTACCTACCTATCTGCCCACCTACCGAACCTTTCATATGTCTCTGGTAACATTACAATCCCTTACGACAACTAATGATCTCCGTAACATCATCTTCTGAAGAGGTATGGTCACAGGTATCTACTGTCCCTTCACAGTGATTTTTTTCCTCATATATTTACCTGTATACCAATCAATGCTGCTGCTTTTTTGGTGACTCCAAGTATGACCCAAGGACCCAGAGACCCGCACAGCTAACTAATGCCGTCGCGCCCACGAGCTTCTTGGTGAGCCAGTTATCGTCCGTTAGCGGTTTGGCGATCTGGACCCTCTTCGGTAATCGCGAGTTGCTCGGAGCCGGCACCGCGGTAGTGTCGCTCTTGTTGGCCGTAGCCTCCTCCTGATCAGCCAGGGCTCGGAGCTTAGCAATGGTCCTACTGAGGGCCAGCATCTCCTCGTCGACCGTGTTGTTTCCAGCCCCGTCTACCTCGACGTTTTGAATATTGCCAAAAAAGTCTGTCAACAGGCGACTACGCGCGACCTCGGCGCCACCCCGGAACAGGTCGTAGCGCACGCCCGCGTTGGAGTGGATCTTCTCGTAGTTGTAGCTGTCAAAGAGATCGCCGACCGTCTTCTTGCTGCTCAAGTCCTTGACCTCGGACTCGAGGAACTCGAGGTTGTAATAGGTGTAGCGGTCGATGACGGCGACCCCAACATCATTATCGGCGTGATGCGAGTAGGAGGATTGGTCGAGTTCTGAGGATCCAGTGGCAATGATGTTTGGGGAATACAGCTTGCTGTACATAGTATTCGCCTGGCAAGTGTCGATCATGAAGAGGATCTCATGATACCTAGGCGCCACGATCATCGTTAACTCCGAATAGCGCGGGATGCATAACATGCTTGAGGATCGGGATGGCTGTAGTAGGCCTTACCGTCGCTTCTCCCACATCTGCTCGAAGGCATCGGCTAGATCGAAAGCGCCGATCTCCTCCGCGTCCTGGAACTTCAGAAACTCGTTGCCTCCGTGGCCCGTCATGTAAACGAAAATATTGCTCCGATCATCGGTCAGCAATCGCTTGCTCCTGGGCATCTCATCGCCCACGCGGTCGGTCAGCAGGCGGATGAAGTTCTCGACGGTAACCTCGTATCCTCGGTAGTCGACTTCAATATTGTCCCCGTAGAGATCGACGGCGCGGTCTGCGTTACTATAGACGGTCCCGGGGAAGGCGTTGCGGGGGTTACAGGCCATGTCGTCAGGAAGCATGAGGATGATTTGCGAATCGGGGATTCCGAGTCGCTTAACGGTGCGGTACATGGATAAGACATTAGCAAGATGGCGATAGTTAAACCAGAACCTCGACGTCCCGACTAGGACGGCCCAATTGCTGGTGTGCTCGGCCGACACGAGGTGTCCCGGGGCGAGGAGGAATGAAGCCAGAAACGTCGGGAGGTGTAAGACGCGCGAGAGCTTCATGGTGGACGTCGGATTGCTGGTAGGTAGGGGATTCCAGCTGTCTTCGAAATTCTGCTGCGTTCGAGATAGCGTAGCGCAATACTTGAATATACCGTGCCCTCTTCAATAGACTCACGTGTCGTTCAGAATAATCTAGACACACTCCAGTCGTGACGTGAAGACTGGTTGTAGAACAGTTGGCGAGGAATTGATTTGTCAGGGAGTTGGCGCATCAGGGTACTATGTATACCAGGCACCTAGGAGGTAGGTAGGTACCGAAGACATTCACATTAGCACCTCCTCAACCTAAATGCCTAAAGTAGGCAGGTACCCACGTTTTCTGGTTCCTAAGGACAGGAGGTAGGTGCTTCTAATGGTGTATATGCACGTGTATGTAGTGCTACCAACAGCTGCAACCCAGATATTTGGTTTAGGTTTAGATAGGTACCTAGGAAAGCGCGTATTAGTTTTGATACCTTAGGTACCGTCGGGTATAGCAAGCGCGTAAAGATGTACACTTAGGTACCTAGGAGGTAGGTACCTAGGTACTTCTACCTGTAAGTACAGGTACTCAAGTACCCACAAGTACCTCGGTACTTATTCGAATCCTTAGGTGCCCCACATATTACCCTCGCCTACCTTAGGTCGGTGTCCCAAACACGTACCTAAGGTTAGGTTAGGTTGGGTACGTAGCAGGTGTGCGTTAATCCTCTGGATCCTAAGGCGGCGGGCGTAAGTCGTGATTTAAGGATCTTGTAATTATTCTGTATTACCATCACCTCGACGCTCTTTTCTCCTTCTCCCTCTCTTGTAAGCTCCTTCTTGTCGCTACATACATTCCAACATCCCCCACCAAATAATATCCACACGTTTTTAATCGTCTCAAGATGCCGCCCGTGCCCCGTTGAAAAAGGGGAAAGCCATAAGGGTATAGAGCATATATACATACATATACATATACATACACATACATATATATATGTGTGTGTGTGTGTGTGTGTGTGTGTGTGTGTGGTGCGTGTGGCGCGTGTGTGTGTGTCTATACGGTCCGAGGAGTTGGCAAGTTTCACAGTATTAGCGAAGATGGTTTATTGCGACGCCGATGCTTCATCTAGAGCTACGACTTGGTAACGGGATAACGCCTAATTCACCTTCACCTTTTTTTTTCCTTTTTTTTTTTCTAATCTTGCATGGCCTTGGGCATATTTATATATACCTGACTCCCACAGTTGCCCGGAAATTTGTGCGGAGTGCTCTGGAGCCAACCACGTTCATCGGCCAACTACGGTATCACATGCGTGAATTGTCAGTCTTACAAGAGCAGCGTAGCTTCAGACATACCAGATAGCGGCACCTAGAGACACACTGGTAATAACCTATAACAAACCACATTTTATCTTCTCTCTCTACGTAATACGACTGACGATCCTTCGCCTGCTTCGATCTACTCCAGCTGCCCCATTGCTTCCACACGCTGCTATTTATGGTCGAGTCTCTGAAGACTGCTACCGGCCCGAGACCACCATAGCCCATTCTCTACACTTCACCGCACAAGTCAGCGAAGCCAGGTTGAGGAGCCAGTGGATGCCATGGGGCGCCCACCAGCTTACATATTCGTTGTAAGGTACGTGCCTTACAGGACATTTCTCCCCCGAGCTCACAGAACAGGTCGAGACAACTGACCAGGACGAACGCAAATCTAGGCACGGAAAGCGTCTTGACGCCGCAGACAAGCAATGGCACCTCTCCTCGCCCACGCCCTACGACCCACCCCTAACATATGGCGGTTGGATACAATCCAAGACCGTCGGCACGAGAATCGCCTCTATCCTGCACGAGAGGGAGGCTAGGGACGAGGCCGCCGCCCGCGCCGATCCCAACTCGCCCCCTACGAGACACTCGAAGAAGCGTGGCTACAAGGTTGTCATACACAGTTCTCCCTTCCTCCGCTGCGTCCAGACCTCCGTTGCTATTGCTGCTGGTCTCGCTACAAATCCCCCACCATCTCCTCCGGGTGAGAGATCACCATCTCCCCGAGCCATCCAGCCATCCCCCTTAAACCCGTCGCCGTCGCGCTCGCATCCAGTAAACCACACGCATACGAATGTACCCCATAACTTGCCGGAAAGTTCTATCGCGAAGTCGGTCCTGCGCCTCGATCCGTTCCTCGGCGAATGGCTATCACCTGACTATTTCGAACATATTACGCCACCTTCCAAGTCGAGTCTGATGCTAGCTACCGCGAAAGCTGAACTCTTGCGTCGGGAGAATTACCACGATTACCCTCACTTCCAAGCTCGACATCATCACACTCCCGGCGCGTCGTCTCAATTGTGGAGTGCGTCTCCTAACCGCGGCTGCCCTGTGGCTCATTCCAGGTCCCCCGAATCCGACGCCGCCTTCGGTCTTGATAGCCTCTCCGCTCTTAAAGGCGGTTTACCAAGGCTCAGAAGCGATTCGACCGGTCATATAGATCACAGAGCATTGCGCAGCGTGTCATCCCCGGATCCCACATCGATTCCGGGTTACGTTTCCCCGACTCCTTCGTATGCGCTCTCCACCTCCGAGCCGATACCGACTGGTTATGTCGCGCATGCTCGCGACGCATGTGTAGACGTCGACTACCAGTGGGATTCCAGCCGAGACAACCTCGGCTGGGGAGACGGCGGCGAATTGCCCGAGGAATGGGCAGCGATGCACCAGAGGTTTAGGAAGGGCCTGAGAAGGTTAATCGAATGGTATAGCACGACAGAGAACCCGGGGGAGATGGTGACCAAAACAGTATCGCGTCTACAGTCCGCCCAAACTACCCAACAGGAGAGCGATCGTGGTTGTCTTCCTGCAGAGGAAGCTGACGTAGAAGAAGTTGTTATTCTAGTCTCACATGGTGCCGGTTGTAATGCTCTCATTGGTGCTATCACACAGCAACCGGTCCTGATCGATGTCGGAATGTCGTCTATTACCATGGCGCAACGAAAACCGGAATTTGACTACGAGGTTAATGTTAGGGTTACTGAGAAACCTGCCTCTTCTCTTGAAGAGGCCCTATTGAGCGAGCGACCGATGATGTCGGATATGTTCGAAATCGTATTATTCGCCAACACAGATCATCTACATTCTGCAGTCACGCCACCATCACTCGGCCCGCCCTCTTCTACTAGCCGCAACCCACGTAGCTGGCAGGCCAACGGATTTGGTGCTGCTTTGAACGAGACCAATCTCGGTTCGTCGCTATACGGTAGCTCATCCCCGGGCAGTCGAAGCAACTCTGTCAACGCGTCGCTCGGTAGCATGCGAAGAGTTCCACAGGGACCTTCATCGTCTGCCCTGCTATCATCGCCTAATATTATGGGGTTTGGCGGCACGTCTCCTGACGGTGGCATCGCCAATTCATCGCCTGCTCAATCGAATCATTCTAGTTCCAGCGGCCTATGGACGCCTAAGTATGAGGATAACATACCTGAGAAGCAAGCGACTACGCTGCCAGCGCTAAATATAAATCAAGAAAAGGAGTTGCGGAAGAAAGACGATGGACATTTGCCCAGAATTTGGCAAAGCGAAACGAGGCCCGTCGAACCAGAACCGTCCACCCCAGCCAGGAATAACAACACAGTAGAACCGCCGGTGCAGACTCCGCGCAGCGAAGAGCACGACCAATTTGACGAGGATGCCGCCCCCCGTCTCTGGGCTAGTAAGGGTACCGGAAGTCCCTGGGGTACGCCTCGGCCCCCGGGCGAAGCGGAGAGATTACGAGACTTCAGCTCTACAAAACGACGATGGACGGTAAACGAGCGATGAATGCCTCGTCTCACGACATCAATACCGACAGGCCTCAACTAATCTGACGATGCTCCCTACTATTGTGGGTTTCGTCGCCGATTTTTCTTCATACCGGGCCCGCCAAGCTAAATGGCCAGCATGTTCGGGTTTTGCCGCCATACGTAGCACGGGGAGACCGGGCTAATGGGGTATTTAATCGTTCTGCGCCCGCTGGGCCGGAGGTCAGCGACGGCGAGTTCTCCTCGGCGTCACGGTTAATGAATGGAGTGGCACCTGAGGATAAATAAGAGCCACATCCATATGCAATCATGTATTGGCGCTGAACATACTGATGGTAACTTTCTATACCACATTATTCTTTGGAGCTTGGAGGAGGGGAGATAGGGGAGGTATACCCTTTTCTCTCTGTTTTTTTGTTATTCACAAGATACCTATGCCGCTTAGAATCTGCATGCCCAGGAGAGCATAAAATGACGGTGGGCATAGGCCTGGAGTTCAGATAGCGACCACGGTAGGGCTCAGTTGGGCAGGTAGTCAACTTCATATTGTATAAGCGAGTCTACGAATGAAGACCTTGTTCCTACTAAACATCTTCTATTATTTCGTTGTTGCCAGGCCTCTCTACCTCCCTAATACAGCGGATGGGACCCCTCCTCCGGCCCACGAGCTATGCAGAGAACAAGGCGCGGATTCGTTGCCTTTAGTAGATGTACGGCGTAGGATGAGAGGGCGGCAGACCATGGGGAAAAGCCCACCAGGTACGCAATGCCGATCGGCCACCACGGCATCGTAGTACTTCCGTCACCCCTGAGGTCCCGTGTTGTGTGGCGACCTTGGCGAGCCTCCGTGTCTAGCAGCGTTGACATGCATGCCATGTCGTTCTCATCACGTCTACGAGGGCCGTCAGCCGTCTCATGTCTCGGTATGCGAGACGCCGGCACACACGCACGCATGCATGTGTGCATGTATGCGCGCGGGGAGGTAGAGAAGGCACCGAATCAGAACCCGGGCTAGCAACCGACGCAATACGAAGCCTCCTTCGCATGAGGAGGCGGGGTTTCGAGGGTGTCTCGTACGACGGTCAGAGCCTCTCGCGAGGCTCGGGGCCGCGAGAAGGCAGCTCTGAGATATAAACAACAGGTTGTTAGGTTTCCAGGCATGCATGCATGCACACATACCTGTCTCGTACATATATACCGATAGATACCCGGATGTGTAGGTGCCCAAGACTGTACCTAAAGTGTCACACGCATCAACCCGGATCAGTTCCTGCCTACAACAAATACATAGGCGTGTACATAAATGTCTGTCGTCTAAATCTACCAAGGACGACTGCCCGGGTCGACGCCAACTCAGGGCTGTAAATACTCTGCTAGCTGAATCCCCGGTTGTGCCGTCGATGCAAAACACTGTATGGCCGCTTTCTTTCCCTCGTAAACGCCATAGTTATGAGGTCCCAGAGTCCTGTGTAGGCTTTTCCGTCTTCTAGAACGAAGGTTTGCCGATTTCTCCTTTACCCCTACGCCACCAGCACGTCCTAAGCTAAGGAACACTGCCCCTATTTTCCAGCTCAGAAACTGCTTGCCGATCTAGGTGCTTCGCCAAGGCCTCGACCGTCTCGTCGCCGTCTACCTCTATAGGACCTGGAAGCGGATGCTCCCGAGACTTCACATAAACGTGGGTTAAAGCAACGACAGCGCCTTTCCATCTGCACGTCTTGCCCTCTATCCTCTGCCTCGGCCAATCAACCAAACACCTTCTTGAGTGCCTGGTGTGCGAGCTCGACGCCGAGGAAGGTCGCCGCGTTCGCGGGCACGGCCCGGGCGAGGGCGGGCCCAAAGCCGGGGAAGAAGGCCTTGACGCCGCCGCGGGCGTACAGCTCGCGCACGACGCCGCCAACGCTTACATTCCCCTCCGCAGTTTGCAACCGGCTCTTGACGGTGTCGATGGGGAAGACGGGAATCCACATGGCGATTCCGGCGGCGCCGCCCGCGCACGTAATGGCCGTGAGGCTGAGCTCACCCTTGGGTGCTCCGGTGGCCGGGTCGCGTGGCGTCAGGCGCCGCTTGATATATTCGTAGGCGGCGAAGTAGGCGGCGCTTCCTGGGCCGTCGCGGGCGAGGGTAGCGGCACTACCCCGGAATACGGAGCGCACGCCACCCTCGCGGTAGAGCTGGCGCACGACGTCCAGACCGCCCTTGTACTTGGGCTCCTCTCCGGGTTTGAGGCGCTGGCCCTGGACCTGCAGAATCACCTTGACGCGCTCGAAGGGCGCCGTGATGGCAGTCATGGGAATCGCGCTGAAGAAGCCGGCGGCGCTGATCTGGCCAATCGAGAGGGTACCGGTGGGACTCGGCGCGGAAACGGTGGTCACGAGCTGCTTGCCGAGATCGTACCCCCAGAAAGAGACGGCGACTAGTACGGCGTCCACGGTTAGTGTTTTCCTATCAGTCGGTGATGTGCCTGTCCCTCCACGCCTAGGGCCCACAGGCCATGATAAGGGGCGACAAGGTATAGGGAGATGGGCATCTTACACATGGGCGTGACGCCCACCAGCGGCGCACTAACTCCGGCATAAAGCCCCTGCCTTAGGCCATCTCTCGCGATGCTTTTTCTTACGACGTCGACGGCGGAAGAGTAGACGCCCTTGTCAGCTGTCTGCAGGCGTACCTTGACAAGGTCGAAGGGGTGGCCGACTACGACAGCACAGACGCCTCCGAAGCCGCCAGCGGCGAAGGATCGCAGCTGGGACGACAGGCTGCTGGCGGCAACTTGGGCCTCAGCCTTCAACTCAGCCTTCAGCTCATCTTTGGATTCGGGTATGTGCGGTAGCCGATCGGCGACGGGAGACGGCAGCGAGGCGTGCAACTTTTGGTTGATGCCGTCGTGGCTGTTCGAAGACATGGCTGCGTGCGCGCAGACGCTCTCCGCTCCGGACCTGTGTTGTCGACCTGTTCTCTCCGTCCACGCGTCGGCCGAGTCTGGTAGGCTGCTTGCGCCTAGAGAGAGGGGGTGAGGGCGGTTAGCGGGTAGTGTCGAATCGACAGATACACAGTCTAATCGCGCGCTCGGCTATCGCAGTACAACCGCAGATACCTACGTGCTGATTCCGAAAGATGTGACGAATGCGATTCGCTGCCGCCTACGATGGGTAGTGCGCCTTTTCTTTTTCTTTTCCTTTCCCTTCTAGGCCTTTCTTTCTATACGCACATACGTATAGCGGAGGTCCGTGTGGCCCCCGAGACGAAAGAGGGAGAACGGCGTGCAACTCGAAGCAATTCGGTGCTAAGGCCGGTGGTAAAGACGAGTCGAGATGCTGGTCTTGGTCTCGGCAATAAGACAGCCGAACAACGTCAGAAGCGAAACGAGCCTCGGCAAATGTACAGGGGAGAGAAGGATAGGAGGGATTTGATTTTTAGAGGGTCGGCGAGGTAGCTTATTGGCTTTTTTTAGGCAAAAAATAGCGGCGTCTTGAATGCTTGAAGAGGTACCTACTTTTAGGGTAGTCTGGACGGTCTGCGGTACCGTTCCCCTTTCCATACCCTCCCTTCATTCACTAGGTACATCGACGGGGCAGCGTGCCCTTCATGACATCAGGCACGATGCCCCTTAAGCGCAGCAATTCCACAACCGAACCATTCGTTCGCAACTGTTTTCTCTATCACACCCGGCCCGTAAAAATGCAACAAGATATTAGGGTTATGGATGGCGAAATCAGGAACGGCGTAGATGCCAAGCCGACACTGGACGACCAGCGAGGTCGTAAAGGGGGAGCTGAGATAGTACATAGGTTAAACGGACGTTCGAGCGGGGAAAGGGGGCATCTTTTTCTCCCGTGTTTATGGAAAAAAAAAACCCCCAACATGTGAACGCAAGTTCGCGAGCCTAATAATGCTTGCGCTCCTGAACAAACTCAACGTCTCCTGGAAAACTGTACGCCATAACAAGCATCCCCCCACCCCCTCCCCTCTGTAGGTACTTTCCTGTCTAGGTATCTATAAGGCGTCCAATAAGCTGCCTAAACCAGGGTCCAGCAGCCTCAGCATCGTACCGCGCTTGTGACCACCATCTATCCTCAATCTGGACAGAAGGAAAAACGTACCACAGCCAAGTCGGTTTAATGGAAGGTGAGCAAACGTGAGTATCTCATTACGTTCTCTCCGCCCACCCAGGGAGGGGGACACCCGTCCATCCGTCCCTAGGCAGTTACTGGCGAGTCCTTACCGTGCTGGGGCCTACATAGAGCGAGGACGACACTACCTTTAGGTACCTAGGTACCCACTAACAGGTAGACATAGCACATATTGTGCTAGGTATGTACCTTAGGGACGAGTCAGGTACCTCTAACCTATAGAGGGACACGGAGATGCCTCCCACGATCCGAAATATCATCCCGTGCCTTAGGCTGGGTACCTAAGGTACCTACGGATGCATGAGAATGGGAGTTGTTGGGATGGAGGCTTGAAGACAGGTACCTCCTCGGGTACCTAAGAGGTAAGTTGGGATAGGCAGGTTAAAACTCTGGGGAGGGAAGCTAAGTACCTAAGGTACCTAAGGAACCCGATGGAGGGGAACAATACTGATCACATAAGGTACCTATGTAACCTTCGCACAACATGCATGTGAACGACCCTCGGAGTAAGTGCCGGCAGAAGCCATCACGGTTGCCTCAGTGCAGGTGCCCACGGACCTGTTGGGGGATACGTCATATTAAGTCGTGACAAACCGGTTCTCCGATGCCGCATGAAAAGGAGAAGACATCCAATGTCCGATATGCGGGGACGTGATAGGAGTCGAGGGCTGCGTTACGTAGCAAAATGTCGAAGCCGCTTTGCGCTAATCAACACGTCCCGATCCGCCCCTTTTAAGCGCATTATTACTCCTCATACCCCAGGACCGCATGTCATAAATCTACATTTACTAGTGTACCTAGGTGAGCACCCTTCGATAGATAGGCAGGCATATCACACATATAGTGGGTATGTATAATCTATCACCCCTCGTCCCGGTCTACTCCCCACCCCCTATCCTGTCAGTCCCGTGTCCGAAATCGACATCGCTTCTGACGCAACTACAATGAAAGCGGGGATCCTCAAGAGCCACGCGGTTACACAGACCGCATTAGACGGGAGCGCGGCGGATCCGATGGCACGCTCTCCCTGGGCCCGGTCCAAGGGAACCTCGACTATAAAACCAACCACACCAGTCGTCAGTTTCCGCTAATCCGCAACTCCGCCCTCTCAATATCCGCCCAGTCCCTTAGCCGCAATGGCGTTGAGCCGACCCATTCCGCACCAGCAGCTCGTGTCGCCTTCCCTCTCCACCTGGATCGTAAGGTCGATGCCGTGTTTACCCAAGTAATTCTGCACCCTCTCGCGAACTTCCTCCTGGTCCGCGCCACGAACCGCCGCTACGTGCACCACTCCTAGCAGTTTGCCACCAGTCCCGCTTCCTGCGCCGTCATCTACCCAGAATTTGGGCACGGAGTAGGAGGCGACGCCTCGCTGGTTGGTGATCTCGGACAGCGTGTTGCGAAGATTGTATTCCGTATCCGCTGGTATCGTCAGCAGCAGTCGTCGCGCCGACGATTTCACTAATGGGATTGCCGTGATGAGAATCAGATACGCGATCAGGAAGGAAGCCAGAGGGTCCCAGCCGGCCCACGGGATCACATAGGTCAAGATGGTCGATATGATCACCGATGCACTCCCTAGTGTGTCTGCGAGGATATGCAGGTATATCCCATGCATATTCTCATTTTCATGACCGTGGTGCGAATGAGCGTGACCGTGGCTGTGATCGTGACTGTGCTCTTGGTGCGCGTGGCAATCGTGGTTGTGGTCTTTTTCGTGATTGTGACCGTGGCTGTGTCCGTGATTGTGGTCGTGGCCGTGACTGTGCCCATGATGGCCATGGGAGCCGAAAGAGAATATACCCAAGAGATTGACCACTAAGCCCAAGGTGCTAACAATAAATAGTTCCCGGAGCCTTTTGGTTTCTCGTCCTTCGAGCAACCGCTCAAACCCCTCGATCATAATCTCGACGCTGATGAGTCTAGGGTTTCCGTTAGCCGGTTCCCAATCGTTCATTCTACTGGGATATCGACATACATCAGAAAGACACCATTCGCAAACCCGCTTAGTGTTTCAATTTTCCCGAAGCCGTAGGGAAATCTTTCACTGGGCCGCCACTTGCTCATAACGGACGCGAAAAGCCCCACGGCGAGAGCTACACAGTCGAAAAACATATGTATGCTATCGCTGAGAAGCCCCAACGAATCGGTGAGGTATCCGTAAACAGCCTGGACAGCCATGAACGAGAAATTAACCCTGGAAAGTAGATCGTAAGCGTCGGATCTCGGAGGAAAGAAACAATGCGAAGAATTCGTTTCCAGCACATACCCCATAAAATAGAAAATACGACGCGAGTCTTTCTCCATCATGATAGCGTGAATCAACGGCCACCTCGACGTATAAGGCAGAAGCAATGCCGTAAATTTCGAATAACCCGCTCCATGTGCGTGATCGTGGCCGTGATGGTCGTCGTGTTTGTGGTCATCGGGGAAAATAGCACCAGCAGGCGCCTCATACTTCGGTACTACCAGCGGGTCTTTTATCCCAATTCCCTCCGGGCTTATCGGCTCCTCGCTATGCCTAAGGGGAGACGGTCGCCTCTCACGTCTCTGTACTGTTACGTACGAATTTGCTCGGTGTTGTGTCATGTTTCGGTAAACATGCGCTTGCGCGTCGTGGCCGACATGCTCGCTGGCGTGGTCGTGATTGTGGTCGTGATTGTGGTCATGTGTGTGGTCGTGGGTGTGGTCGTGGTCATGAATCGATTGCTGTCTTAGGGAGCGACCTGACCTCGAGTGGCCAAAGGACGGAGGTGAGTGTGAGTGTGAGGGCGAGTGTGAGTGCGAATGCCCGTGGTTGTATGGTAAGGGAGGCTGCGGTAGGGCGTATGAGGAGGCCATGATTCAGTCTTTTTCGTCCGAAGATCCGGCCTGCTAGGCTAGAAGCTAACGTTGTTGGGGCCTCATAGACTCCGGCATTCCCCAGGTTTACCGCATACGGGTGGGTTTGCGATTAATAGGGCGAGGATTGCCAATCGATGCCTTCTGATCTTCGGACGGACCGAGTAGCCTTTTTAGGGATATGGACAAGTAGGTAGATAGATAGCTGCCAGTGGATCGGGCGAGCTTATCAGTCGTTCTGGAGCGTGCCAGGAGGAATGGGGTGGAAATACAAGAGACGACAGGACTAGGAGGGGGCGAGAAAGAACGAGTTCCACGCAGTCAATGCCTACGAATCCTCGGCATAGGAAATGAAAGAATGGACAGGGAGAGAAACGAGCGGCGGCGCGAGGAAGAAAGAGGACGAGGTAGATCGGTCGCCAGGACCTGTCTGCCCTAGCCTCCTATCAACTAGTGCACATCCAGATGGAGGTCGGCTGGGTGGTTATAGTTAGCTGTACCTTGCCTTCCTGTGTGAGACAAGTTCAATGCGAATCCATGTACCTCTGTGTGTGGTTTACTGCCACGTAGTACCTTACTAGGTACCCAGGTACCCGTGTTAGGAGGTTTCACTCGCTGATGAATGCGGCATCGTGTGTGTTTCCTGCATAGCATTTCCAATATTAAGACATTGCTCTCCTCCAGTTACCAGCCCTTGCGAGCGCAAATCTAGGATGGCAGCCTACTTGCGGATCTCGTCCCGCAAATGATTCCGTAGCCACATGCATGCCTCCTTAAACACACAGGTATAGAGGTCCCTGTAGCGGGTACCTGGTAGATTCGGTACCTCCTACCTCCTGCCCACCTTAGGTGACCAGGCACCTGTAGGAGTGGACGTTAGTAGACTCTACCTGTCCCAACTGGCGGGAAACTGCCCAAAATATCGGCACAAAGGGTAAATCGACAGGCGTCTCCTCATAGGCGCATACCCCCAAAGAAAGGTACCTCTCTGATGTCAATAAATGCGAGATAGATAGGTACAATACGTATATCACGTATTTTGGCCGGGAAGGGATCCGCATCCGCCAAGGACAGAGTGACACGCTCCCCATTGGCTTATCAGACGACCCAGCTTGGCTTGGCTATCTCATGCCGCCGACTACCTAGAATCCGTTCCCGCTGCAGGTCCTCCATACTTCTCTCCAGCACCCTCTTGGCAACAAGTTAACCTTACCTCGACGCCGCAATATCAACGCTGTGTACGCGTTCCCCTCCGTCCTCCCTTCCTGGCATCCTGAGATGTATCCTGCCCCCATCGCTCGGCAGTGCTAGTCCGGCCTGTGAGGTGGGGAGTCCACTCGGGGACACGTTACCGTTACCGTTATCTTTCCCCCTTTTTATCCTCCCTGGGTTTTCGGAATGGCGTACCTTGCTACCGTCCTAGGATTCACCTCGGTAGGGCTGCTGGCCGGTCTCGTCGTGGTTCTCACCATGGTTCCCTCACGTTACGTCAAGCACTCTCCTGCCACTAAGGAGAGTGTCTTCGTCCAGGTCTTGGTCCTCGGTGATATTGGGCGAAGCCCGCGCATGCAATACCATGCGTTGAGCATTGCGAGGCACGGCGGGAGGGTTGATCTCGTCGGCTACTATGGTTCTTCACCCCTTATTACTACGTATACGGGAGGACTTGGTGCTAATCGGTTATGTAGAATCGGAACCCCACCCTGATCTTCTTACCAATCCCCGAGTTAAGATCTACCCGCTAGCACCTCCACCAGATCTTCTAAGATCTGGATCAATCCCTTTCGTCATATCGGGGCCTATGAAGGTCTTATGGCAAGTATGGACTCTTACTCGAGTCTTAGGCTATCAAACACCGCCGGCAAGATGGCTGCTCGTTCAGGTAGGTACAGAATACCAGCCCATCCTTTCCCATTTTTTCATCTCTCTCTAATACAAATCTTAGAACCCCCCGTCTATCCCAACTCTAGCTATTGCTCTTCTTGTTTCCGTCCTGCGGAACACTCATCTCATGGTCGATTGGCATAACTTTGGCTGGACGATCCTCGCTGGAACTAAAGGGCGTAATCACCCATTCGTGAAGATTTCAAGGGCTTATGAATGCGTGTTGGGCCAGGCAGCCCCCACCGCCAACATCACAGTTACTCGTGCAATGAAGCGGCAACTAGAACGGCCTCCTTATAACATCAAGTCGCCGATCCTCACCCTCCATGACAGGCCGGCTTCAATCTTCCAGCCTGTCAACTCTCTACCAGACCGCAGGGATTTCCTTGAGAAGCTGCCGGAGACGAAAGCCTTCGCCGCAAAAATCATGGCTGGAGAGACTAAGCTTGTCGTGAGCAGTACTTCCTGGACGCCCGACGAGGACTTTTCGCTTTTCCTGGATGCCTTAGTTGCGTACGCTGAGGGGGAAGATGTCTGTCCGCTCATGGCAATTATCACGGGGCGCGGCCCGCAAAAGGCCTTTTACGAAGAGCGGATCCGGGACCTTCAACAGAAAGGAAGACTCCCTAATATCCGTATACTGACCGCTTGGCTTACAATCGAGGATTACGCTAAGCTCATAAGTTGCGCAGACCTCGGAGTATGCCTCCACATGTCCAGCTCGGGCGTTGATCTACCGATGAAGGTGGTAGATATGTTCGGATCGGGGTTGCCGGTCGTAGCTTACTCGGGGTACGAAAGCTTCAGTGAGTTGGTCCAAGAGGGGGTCAACGGATGCGGGTTCCAAACCGCCGGGGAATTGGCCGTCCTCCTAAAGCGATTGTTCAGCCCGGCCGGATCGAACGAGCTCCGGGCCTTACGGGAAGGGGCAAAGAAGGAGAGCGATTTACGGTGGGACGAGGAATGGGACCGGGTGCTGGGCCGTGTCTTCGGGTTTGTAGACTAATGAGCATCACTAAAGGCATCCTTTCCTTGCGAATCCCGACGGCAGCTAAAATGACGGCAAAATTTAACCAAATGTGTTTCCCGAAAAGTGGCTCCCCCTTCCTTAGAACGCCTGCTTTGATGCTTAGGCGAACTGGCATCTTGACTGGTTCGACCCGCTTGATAGGACCTCCAAGGAGGGTTCCTTATGCACTGTGCACACTATGTCCTCCGGAAAGACTGCGACGCTTGCTATGCTCGTGTTCAGCAGGTATCAATTTAGGTTTATCGACCGTGGCGTGCTTAGTCTTCGCCTAGACTCTCCCTAACACACTTCCTCACCCTCTTGCGAAACTCCTTCGGGCCGCCCTCTCGCTCAGCGCGAAGCAATTTCGCAGCGTCTAGATTCGCGGGGCTCTCGTCGTTGGGCTCGTTGAAAAGGCTCAGAACGCTTAGAAGGATGGTCTCGGGCGTCTGAACGGGGCTCCACCGCTCAGAAGCCCTCTCGTAACCGTATTTATCCTCCTCGGGCGGGTGCAAGATGGATATGCAGAGCTCGCCGTTCGGGTAGATGTTTGGATGGAAAGGCACCGGGGTCTGGAAGACGATCTTCGGCGGCATATGGGGGTACTCGGGTGGGAAGGACATGTAGGCACGGAAGTAGGCGCCTTTTCAGCGATACGCAGATGTCGTACGAGTTAGCATTGATCTGACCGCACGGGGTCCTCACCACGTGGTGTAAGACTTGAGAGAGGGGATTCGGGATCAAACAGGCAATAGGTGCGGGTTAGGACATACCCCCGTAATACTTGCACTCGTCGTTAATCATGAGGATCACCTCCCACTCGAAGACGTTGCTATCCTTCACCAATCCGACCGAGATGCCCGACAGGTCGGAGGATGTGTGCATCTCCTTGAGCTGGCGCTGTAGGAGCCGGGCCGTAGCCGACGTCTGAGAGGAGGTGGACATGGCGGCGGATCTCCTGTCGTGCCGTGTGCGGGCTGGGCTGTGGCGAGGTGGAATCTCGGGATGCCTAAGCCCCTCCTCTCTCACCTGTCAGGAGGTAAAGGGTGGTAACGGTACTGCTCTCGGGCGAGTTGGGGGCACGCTCAGTGCCTGACTGGGCAGACGCACGAGTACACGGCGGGCCGATGGCTAAGGGAGTATATGTGAATTTGGCAGAGAGGGTAGGTAGAGAAGTAGGAGACGAGCGTTGGGGTGTCACGAGAAAGCGACAGAAAGACGACAGCGGGTGGCATGGGTGGGACGGCGGAGAGGGTAAAGAGACGATCCGGTTGATATTCCTTAGGTCATCCCGCACCGGGGGGTCGTGCTGGGGTGGGGGGAGGGAGGGTAGAAGAAGGCCGACGGGAAATCCTGAGGGAGGATCCTCACGAGCGGCCGTGCCATTGATAGATTAGGTACCTACCTACCTACCTGGACCTTACTCGACGGCGATAACCGGCAACCTGCCCAGGTACTTACTTCCAAATGTACCTAACCTAAGGTAATGGTACCTAGGTATCTACCCGTACCCAGGTAGATTTCCCTGTGAGGCATACGTGCATAAGCTTCTGAGTCGCGGGAGGCGGCGGGAAATGTAGTGCCTCTAGACACTGGATCTATACCTAGGTAGGTACCTTAGGTACCTGCCTTCCTTAGGCTTATAATTGCACGTCCCCAACTTCCGGTATCCCGTTTCCATAAGTCTTACTGGGGTTGTCTCACAACTACGTGTAGGAGGCCAATTCGTACCTATCTAATATAGGCCACGGGGTAGGATGGGTAGGAACCCAAGAAAAACGCGAGCGGCATATATACTTGTTGCCGTACAACCAGACCAACCCAAGCGCCAGGACCTATGCACCGTTGACGCCTCCCATCGATATCTCGGAATTGTAGTGAATGCCATGCACGCTTACCACGGGGAGGACGAACATGACCACGCCTCCAACACATGTAGGAAATATTACCGTTTCTTCGATGTGCCGAAGCCGGTAATCCCCATGGCGGCCATCATGTCGTCCTCGTCGTGCTCGCCCTCAATGCGGACATCGTCGCCGTACTCGACCTTGACGCGCTCCGTGGCCTCTCTTTCGGCCTTCTTGCGCGCCAGCTCCTCGTGCCGCTTCAGCCGGCGCGCCTCGCGCTCCTGGGCCGCCTCCTCCTCGCGCATCTCGAGGCGCTCGCGCAGCGTGGTGGTCGACGCCCGTTGCTGCTCCTGGATCCGCTCCCACACCTCGACGATGCGCTGGTGCACCTCCTCCGCCGTCGCCCGCCGCACCTCGCCCGTCTCGCCGATGTTGCGCAGGTGCTGCATGCTGTTGACGTGCTCGACCCACTGAATGTTGTCCTTGAACGTGAGGTCGCACGCGCTGCAGTAGAACCCGGCGCCACGCCCCCTCTTGCCCTGGCCCGCGCCCGCAGGGACGAGCATCGTCTTTCCCACGTTGGCCTCTAGGTCTATGACCTCGCGCCGCGCCCGCGTGTGCGTCTCATCTCCCGTCATCGGCTTGTAATACTTCTTACCCGCCATCTTGGCCTCGTACCGCGCCTTAGCCTCCTCTTTCTCGGCCGACTCCCGCACCTTCGCTTTCTGCGCGTACTCGTCTAGGTCGTAATTGCGCCGGAAGGACGTGTCCGACGCCGGCGTGCCGTACGCCGAGCCTTTCTTGTCGGACATCTTGATTCGGGCCGCAATGAGCAGAGTGTGGGAGGTGGAGGGAGGTATGGAGGTTGCGCTTGTCATATATACCGTCGCAGCTGGGTCCTGCCGAAGGCGGAAGAAGGCAGAACTCGATGTGTGGCAGATGAGCGATCGTTGTTGCGAACATAAAGAGGGTAGGTTATAGGGTTCGAATTTGAATTTGAGAAACAACAAACACATTGAACGCGGTTGATCGCGGACGTTATGATAAAGTCAATGCTTTATCTTATCGCTTATATTGCATATGTAATTACCCCGCCATTTATTCAAGTAAGCGATTAAATCTCACTATAACAAATCGGCTAGGCAAGAGGAAACTAGGTAACTCTCCTACCTTCGACTGCTCTGCCAACTTGAAAATCACGCGCCGCGGAAATCCCGTTGGCATCCACCTCTACATGCCCACTCCTTGAACCCACGATTCCCATGCTCTACCTCGTAGGTCTCGGTCTCTCAGACGAGACTGATATCACTGTCAAAGGTCTTGATATCGTGAAAAAGGCATCGCGTGTCTACCTTGAGGCGTACACGAGCATTCTCCTCGTGGGCCAACCTGTCTTGGTGAGGATCTCTCGTCTTTTCGTCGCATCAGGACCACCTTACCCTACGCGGCTAACGCTGAGTTGGTGGTAGGAAGCCTATTATGGCCGATCTATCGTAGTCGCTGACCGCGAGATGGTCGAGTCAAGCAGCGACGAGATCTTGCGCGACGCCCAAACGGAAGACGTCGCGTTTCTAGTGGTCGGCGATCCATTCGGGTATGGTACAGCGACGAGAGACGTGTCGTTATAGGACTACCCATCTCGCGAACAGCCCTTTTGAGCAACAATGGCTGACGACTTCGATATAGAGCCACTACGCACACCGATCTGGTTCTCCGAGCGCGTGAGCTCTCGATCCCTGTCAAGACCATCCCCAACGCGTCCATCATGTCTGCAATCGGCGCCACGGGCCTACAGCTTTACAACTTTGGCCAGACCGTTTCCATGGTCTTCTTCCTGGATAACTGGCGGCCGGCCTCGTTCTACGACCGCATAAAGGAGAATCGAGAGATCGGGCTCCACACGCTCGTGCTGTTGGACATCAAAGTCAAGGAACAGAGCCTAGAGAACATGGCCCGCGGGAGAAAAGTATACGAGCCCCCGAGATACATGACTGTTGGCCAATGCGCGCGGCAGATGCTCGAGGTCGAGGAAGAGAAGAAGGAGGGCGTTTACGGACCGGAGAGCCTAGCCATCGGAGCAGCAAGGGTTGGCGGTAGGACGGAGAAATTTGTTGCTGGAACGCTGAAGCAGCTTTGCGACGCTGATGAAGCCCTGGGGCCACCGCTTCATAGCTTGGTGCTGCTCGGTAAAAGGGCACACGAGCTCGAGAGAGATTACGCGCGGGAGTTTGCCCTTGATAGGGAAGTATGGGAAACGGTCTGGACCAGGGACTACGGTAAGCAATAGATTATTCTTGGCTGCTGGTCCCGACCCGCTCCCCGTTGCCGTCTGCATTGGACAAAGCTACAACTACAGGCTCCCAAGGTGTATGTATACCCATCACCACCCACGGCTCCGTCAGTGGGAGGCTCTCCAGGACTGGGACTCGCTCTCGCTGACCTCGCGAATCTTGTTGACGCTGGCTGGCTGACCGGTCACAGTCCCCTTCGCCACCTCTGCTGCGAAGCCGATGAGAGTCCTGTCGCTAACCGCGTAGGTTGCCGTCGAAATCTTGACCCGTATGATTCCAATGCGTGGGTCTCGCTCTGACCCATCATGAACTCCGTCGCCCAAGTCGCCGAGCCAGGCTTTCAGGGTGGGGTTGTAGTATTTCTTGATCAAGCCGGGTTCTGTCTCAACTAAGGCGATCCCCGACACGGAGGCCCACTGGCCAGAGCTGTCTAGGAACGACAGGTTGACGTGGGGGTCGGCTTCTAACTCTTGAGTTTTGTGTGACTCGGTATTAGTGAAGAAGGGTTGGTCGATACCCCCGTGCTCCTGTTTAAGTCTCATGTTAGCCGGCCTACCGTTGGGCTAGAACGAGAACGGTTCGTGTGCCGGAAGTTAGGACATACACTAGCGACCAATGCCATGCAACGAGACACAAGTCTGCCCGTGCTCGAGTCCCGGGTAGTCATCATGCCGTACTTGCGAGAGGCGGCGAACTTGTCGAGGGCCTCGATCTTTTGGTCGATCGAAACATGGGGATCCTTGTTTGCGGCCGTGTAAGGGTCGGCCGCCTTGCCGCCGGTGCTTGGTGTAGACATTTCTACGGGAATGTGCAGTTTCGTACGTTTCACGGGAAATGGAGTTGGTATCTGGAGAAGGGCGGGGAGTTTGCGAGGGTAGAGTTGGCTGATGGGGAGCGGTTTCGTAGATGGGGAGACGGCAAGACTTGGATTGCTACTTATATAGTGAGGCTAGACTGCCTGACGCACCCGTTTCAGCGAAGACGTGGTCGTCTATAGCCTTGTGCAGCCGCTGTACGTGCGTCACATCCTATTACGAGCGATCTACCCGGTGGCACTGTCTCACGAGGTACACCATATTTCATCATAGACCCCGGAAGCAGCGTGAATAGCTCTGAGATGCCGAGCCCTAAGACATGACGTCAAGCTAGGGCTGCCACCGGGCCCCCTGAGGTCGGGGACACAACCCGAGGTGCGCTCGCCTTAGACCAATACCTTTATAGAGGTGCTTACCCGCTGTACGGGTACCTGTTAGTTAAGCTTGAGGTTACTCATAACTCGTATGCGTGCATCGTGGGACAGGCAACATCAAATAGATAGGTCGCCGCATATTGATGTCATTTGTACGCCTAAAATTATACCCCTTTGGCCTTGGTAGGAATCTGTACCTGCGATGTTCATACTTCATCAAGAGCATACCTCCTTATGAGACTGGTACGGCCTATGGGGGTTGACATCCCCTCTCCAGGTTCAGGTTTGGGGTTCAAGTCCGAGGTTGGAGACGCTTACAATGCCACAGTTAATCCTCGCAGTGTTCTCCCTCTTGGCCGAACAAATTGCAATAACCATATAGGCATCGATTTACTCGACACGGCGGCTCTCCCATCTAGTTTCATCGAGAGGCTCGCGGTTCGTGTCTAATATATCTACCAAGTAGGATTGTTATTTCATGACCGGACCCCAACGACCCTACGTCTGCCGATAACGTAGTATCCTGCCTCTCAGGTGCAGGCGCGGTCGCCTGTGTTCTCACCGTCTACTTGTCCTATCGCCGACGAACTGATCTGTTGGCCCCGGTTCTATCACTGTTGGCATTTTCTATTGGGTGTCTGCTACCGAATCCGGCACTTCTCGACGGGATCCTAAGCTATTCATAAGCGAACGGCCAGGCGTCGGTATAATTAGAAACAAAATCCCGATTCGCGTCGCGGCATGAAAGTTGATAGGTAGGTATGTCATATATTCCATGCATAATAGGTCGGCACCCATTTACTGATGGCTGTTGCATGACTGGTCGACTGGCCCGTAATCTTACCAAGCAAGATTACTCGGAACGGGCGATTCGTTGGTAGGTTAGCCTGATATAAGGAAACTGGGGTTACTGGAAGGGAACAGCTGGGACATGATACCCCCCCGGGTCAGTTACACAAATCATATATCATACAGTGATCGGCTTGCGCATTGCCTAATTGTAGAGCAAAAGGTACTGAGATAAACACGGGCACAAATGCCGATGTGATGGGGCGGAAGCGGGGCTGACCTCTGCTTCTTAAAACGCTGCGCTTGCGTAGCTCAGTTTTGAGACTCGAAGCACCGACCGAGCGGGTTACGTGTGTACACCTGAGATGCCTTTACCTTTAGAGCCCTGTTGAGGTGGCAGGAATACGTCAGATGCCTACGGTGTGGGGGAATTGTATATGAGCAAATGCCACCCAGCACTACATGAGATGCCTTGAGTAGGTACCTACCTAACTTAAGATATACTCATGTGACGAATACAACCTAAATAACAGGCACCTTGTAAACCGGTTTGACCGATTTGGGGTCTCCGCGTTATCCCTCACATGACGGTACGTTGACGGTACCGCGGGGTAACGCATCATTGCGTTATTCTCAGGTGTTCGCTCCACCTTGACGGGCAGCCATAGTAGGAGGTATGTACCTAGGTAGGTACCTAGGTAGGTACCTACCTAGGTAGGCACCTATATGCAGGCATAATTACCTACGAGTTAGGTAGGCAGGTATGCGGGCGGGCGGGCCGTCACATGGATGTTGCAAGTCCCGTTTAGGTACCTACCTACCTACCTAGGACCGTACGGCACGTGTAGCCTCGCCTAGCCATGCCGACGCCCCGCATGATTTCCAATGTAATACCTCATTCATACCTACCTCTACCCATAACCTAGGTACGCATAACCCACCTATAACTTGCCATAGGTACCTATAACCTACCTGTACATACGTTAGACACCAAGCAACCAATTGGAAGCTAGATTCATTCCCTTCCTGATCGGGATTAGGTAGGTACCTACGTACACGATAAGGTACATCCCTACTGCGCCGAGGCAGGTTATCTAAGGCGCCTCGGGCCCGTATCTGTAGGTATGTAGGAGGTACCTGCCTACCTACCGGGTACCTGTGTGTGTACAGACTTACCTACCTGACGTAATACGCTGCCTCGCGCTTTTTCTCTGTTTTCTGCTCTGCCCTTTCATTGCCCAATGGGTTTCCTCCCTCCCTTCCTTGGCAGAACCCGCTCCGCTCCCACTCTGCTGCTCTGCATAATCTCGCAACATGCACCCGCACAGAATCACACATCCCGACCCTGCCTCGCTAGCCTCGATTACCTACCTACCTCTATGACCTCTCACACTGCGACAATACACCCACCTGCGCCTGGCCAGCATCTCATCGCGCACCCGGCCTCAGAGCTGTCTCGTCTCTCCTCCCACCACGCGTCGTCTTAGACACGACAACCTCTTTGGATTCCTTGATCGCCATCACCTGACCACGCGACTGACTGTCTTTTCCTTGCCTTCTTCCCTCCCCATCTGCCTCTCCCCCCTTCTCTCCATGACCTCGCAGTCCCGCATTCCGTGCCTGGTGCGTTGCTCGCCGGCATCGCTCGGACATTAGCGTGTTTCCGGCCCTCCTCCGCCGACCCAGACCAGGACTCCAATTCTGTCCAATTCTGTCGCAGACTCCCCTCCCGTCCTGTCCTGGCCATCCGTCTGTCTGATCCTGTCGGCTTTCGCCCGTCCAAGTGCTCCTCACGAGCCGACCCTTGTGTAGGCGTATCCGCGCCCAGGGCGCGTTGGGAAGGCCGGCGATCGGGACTTCTCCCGATTCCAACGTCACCCACGCCTACGTAGGCGTGCGTTTTTACTTATCCATCCTATCGATTTAGAGGTACTGCGTCGCGACTCCTCCCTACTTCCGATCCCTGCTCTGGCATCCCCGAGGGCTCGCTTTCTGCGCAACACCACTCGTGGTTATGACCAGCACTCGGTTGCAACTTGACGGTTCTCCGTATCACTCAACATGGTATGATATGCCTCCTCCGGTCCCTTGCCGGCATCCCTCCGTTGCTGACCGCACACACAGAGTATTGCGTGGGAATGCCGTGATCAGGCCGATCAGGCCGAGATATACTATAACCATCCGCTGCGTGCTAAGGTTAGACGCCTCGAAGACGAGAATCTGAACCTAAAGCGACTGCTTCGAGAGAATGGCATCTCGTGGCAGATTCGCCCCAAGCTCTCTCAGAAGTCGGTGACCCGAGTAACCCGCTCCTCCAGCAAGGCCCAATCCGCCTCCCTTCCGCATCTTCCGGTTGAGGTCCAGCTCCGGATCCTCTCTTACGCGCTAACTAGTCCTCATGCCATTGTTGACCCGCTTTGCAAGCTCAAGCAAGAGCATATGTCAACGCGGGAGAAATCCAGGACTCATTTCCTGGCCATCCACTTCCTCGCTACCTGCAGGGCTTACTATATCGAAGGCACCAAGCTTCTATGGACCAACAATTCTTTCATATTTACTTCCCCTGAAGCGCTGAGGAATTTTGCCGAGATCGACCTCAACTTTCGACGCGAGATCAAGGAGGTCAACTTCCGCGTCATTGCCAGGTTCTACGATGACGAGGACCGTACCCACCGAATTGACCGCCGTCATCACCCTGACATTAGAAAGCCCATCACTTTGACTGTGCACCGACGCCCCAAAGAGAACACGTTAGCTCGCCGCGGTTTTCGAACGTACGGTTGGTACCAGCTCGTCGACTTTTTAGCAGCACTGCTACCCCCTTTTGATCCTTCGTCTATCACCCCGTGCGTGGCCTCGACAATTCCGAGCCCTACTCCGCCGCCCAAGTTGCTTCCGTCTCTGGAGAAACTTCGTATTGATTTTGTCAACTTCGGCGAGGACCTGTTCAACCACCCGCCCCCCCAGCTGCACGAGCTCGCCTCTCACCAGTTCGGGTGCACCCTAAACGAGTTGGTCTTGACCGGTCTCCCTAACGACGAAACCGGCCTTCGAGTAAGTAGCGAACTATCCGGCCTCTTAAAGGACGAGGGCCTTCTCATCGACCACGCCCCAACCATGGTTTCTCTCAAGAACTTTCTGCGCCCCCTCAATTGTGATACGGTCGGATGTCACTACTCGGCCAAGGTAGTTCGAGGAATGCGAACGGTTAGCGAGCAGCAATACCACGATGACGTCCACGCCCATTTCTTCGGCGTCGATTTCCCGCCCGCGCCAGAGGACGAGGGCGAGCCGCCTTACTCCCCCTTCCACTCGTGCCGAACCATCTGGAAGAAGGTACCGGTGAGGCTTGACGACGGTGACGAGCGCAAGTGGGAGCTGTTCGACAGGATAAGCGGGTCGCCGTGGACCGAAGTCGCGGAAGACGTGACTTTGTTCGACCACGTTCGGGACAACGATTTCATGGTCTGCGACAACTGCGGCGAGACGCACCCCGGAGCCATCATTCCCATGGACATGATGGATCTCTACGACGAGGACCTGTGAACAATACACACCCGCATATACTCTGAGGACTTGGCCCCCTTTCCCCCCTCCCCGACACAGTTGTACAACTATTACGAACGACGCGCATGTGATACCAGGTTTGTTTTGGTCTTTTCAGGCTTCCACCATGGCAAGTGCCGTGGCAAGAACGGGGGGACGGGAGGAGGCTAGGAGTGAGCCGAAGGGGATATAAGATGACCAGCAACCGATGAAGCCTCCCAATCCCCAAGAAAGTGGAGGGGAGAAGAGAGAGGGCGCGTGGGCATCGGCTGGCCTAGGTTCTGGGATGCAGTATAGGCACTGGAAAAGACTGCATAATGTAATTGATAGGCACTGCTTGTGAGGGACACATTCCGGTTCTTGACTCTTGACTTAGTTGATGTTGGATGGTGACTTTGCGGGTCTACTTGATGTGGCCAACTAATCCCACCCCCCTTTGCATGTGCCGCTTTTGTTGTGCCGCCAACACCGCGGTGATCTATTTCTCTTTCGCATCGCCGGTCGAGACAGCAGTCCATCTGACACTCCGCATCCGTCGAGCCAACCGCTACATATCCTCTTCGCTGCCCACCAAGCAGGGGGGGGGGGGGGGGGCGAAGCCTGTCCTTCTGTGCTCTCCCTCTCCCAGTCGCTTCTAAAGGTGCGGCCAACTTACCGACCTGCTTTTGTTCTTATTTCGTCCTTTTAACTCCAGTTATAGTACCTATAAATGACCTCCGCCATCCACCCCGAATTAGGGGCGAACAGACTTGTAGCAACAAACAAAGGTCCGAGTCTGAGCACCACTACTACTGCCAGCGTCGACACTGAGACTACTCCTCATCACTTTCACCATCCTCCTCCTCCTCCTCCTCCCCCTCTTCTTTGTCATCCGCTACCCCGTTGGCGACCGGACCGTCGCTTTCCAGCTGCAGCCACTCGTCCCACATGGGGAAGAGCTCGTCGTCTTCTGTTGGGACGCCGATCATCTTGGAGACGCGGCCCTTCTTATTCTTCTCCAGGCTACCCTTCCAGGCTTTGACGGTATCGACGGTCAGGCTCGGCTTGTACGTTTGCGAGAACAGGACGGCCTCGGCTAGCCTGTTGGTTTTGGTGAGAACCTCCACACAACCTGCCGTGTCACCCAGTAGCCATTTGCATGTGAATGCGACGTTCTGGGCGCCCGACTCCTCCGCCTGCGCCGCTAGCGCCTCTAAGCCTGTCCGGTCAGACGTGCTGGAGTAAATAAGGAGCAAGGAGCCCAGATCCCGCGCGTGGGTGAAGCACTCGGTTGCAAGCGGAACATCCCATGCCGCGAGAGCCGCGTCGCCCACCGTCTTCCATTTGTGGTCGCTATCGGCTTGGCGCGCCAGTTCAAGAGCGATCTCGTGTTGGTTTAAGGCTAGCGACAGCTCAAACTTGTGCTCGGGGTCGGTGGCCACTTCGAGCGCTAATTCCTTATGGCCCTGGCCCTCGAGGAACCTAGCAATCTTGTTAAGCTGATCAGGGGGTATGCTGGGGAGTAACTCTGCAGCAGTCTCCATATCATCACGGAGGACTAGCGTTTGATACTCGAGTACAGGGAGGGATAGGGAGAAGCTCGTAACATTTACGTCCTTGTCGGCAAGATATATCCGGGAATCTCTTTGGATGTATCCAAGAGCATACATCGGCTGGTCGAAATGTGAAATAGTGTAGATCTGATCTCCAACCAGGTAGTTGAGTCGGTTTGTGCTGTTGGTATATATGAAACAATCCCCAACCCATTGGCCTGTTCGCACACTGCAGGGGAATTAGCAACAAGACGACAGACGCCACTTTCGCTGTCTCTGTGAATGCTTACCTCTCGGCAATGTCGGTGATGACCTCAAAGGCGGCCTCGACTCCGTCCTCGTCTACTTCACCCGACTGCGCGGCTTCTACATAGTTTTCGCGAGAGAATCGCAGGACGTAGAAAGTATCTTCGCAGGCCAGGGTGACGAGCTCGCCGCTATCTGACCAGTACACTTGTCTTGGCTCGACTTCGATTCGTCTTACTAGACCTCCGGTGGCCCAGTCGTAGAAAGAGACGCCGCCCTGGCCCTTGACACCCAACAGGACACCGCCGGTTAGGCCGTCAGTCTGGAAAGGAATATCCAGGCCGCCGGCCTTCTCGACGAAGTTCTTGTAGACCTTGACACTCGTCGCCGATTCGCGGATCGCAAAATCGTTGCTATTGTCTTTTGACGCCCACACGAAGTCTAGGGCAGAGCCGAATGCCTTGTTACGCCACGCCAAAGCAGTATATATAATGTACTCGCCATCACCACAGACGGCAACGAAACGCCCGTTCGGAGAATGAATGAGCGTCTGAGGGTACACCTCGCATGTGCCAAGTTCCTTGGTGGGGAGCGTGATTGGCTCGTTATCCTTGATCGAGGCATCTATCGTGCCGGTCAGCACTCATCCTCATCACCTTGTCACGTCACGGCCATAGAGAATGGGCGGGGAGGGGAGCATACCGCCACCTTTGATGATAGAGGAGACTACTTCGTTGTGCCGCGCCCAGATCAGCTTGCCGGAGCTATCCATCGACACGGCAGGTTCCTCTCGTCCCAGCTTGACCACCACAGCACCATCATCGAACCCGACCGCTACGCCTTGCTTGCCACGCTGATATGAAACACACCAGGCGCGTTCTAAACCGTAATTGAGAGACTGCTCGAAGCGATAAGTATTCGCGTGCCATATCCGGATAGTACCATCCTCAGAACCAGATATAATGACGGGAAGCTCTGGGTGGTAGCAGGCAAAGGACACGTTGTTTGTGTGGCCCTCGAGACTGGCGATCAGACTCTTGGTGGTGTAGTCCCAAACCTTGACCGTCCTGTCGTCGGATGTGGTGAGGAGGTAAGGCTTGTCGGAGTGTGGGTAGTAGTCGACGTGGTTGACACCCTTGGTTTCGTGGGCCTCGAGGGTGAAGTTGGCGGTGGAAGAGCCTAGGCTCCAGATCTTGACGGTCCTATCTAGACAAGCTGATGCGAATGTGTTGGTGTCTTTGGGATTGATAGCCAGGCCCATAACATAGTGGCTGTGACCTTCGAATACCTGGACACACTTCCACGACTTCTCCCAGTCCCATAGCTTGATGGTCATGTCATCTGAGGCGGTCAAGACGAAGGGTTGCGTAGGATGGACGGCAATAGCGCGAATGTAATCGGGATGCGCCTCGAAGGAAGTGATCTTCTCAGACGTGTTGTAGTTATATACCCTGAGCTGAAAGTCGTCGGAGCCACAGACTATCCAGTTTTTCCGGGCGACAAAGCGACCAGCTCGGACGGGCACATCGGTGAGCTCAAAGGTTTTGACGATCTGCTGCGTTTCGTACGACCATATGTAGACATGGCCTTTCGAAGGTAGTTGTCAGTGAAGATGGCCCTTCAGCACCACATCGGGAGCTCGAGGAAGGGGCGGAAACAGGCTCACCGCTGTACAGTGTTGTCAGGATCCATGGTTCTTGTGGGTGGAAGTCGATGCCCTTGACACGCTCGCTGCGCGCAAAGAGCTGTCGCTGTGCGTCGAAGGCCATGTCAGCAGCGCATCCAACTATCGCTCAGGCAAGCCATATAGTCGCGATCGGAGACACAGGGCAGCGGCCAACTTGGCAGACAGTATGGCGTAGTGCGAATTAGGCCCCCGGCGTAGGTGCCGGCCTGGCTCGGTGAGAGAAAGGCCAGGTATGGTCCTCGAGGCCAGGCCGGGCTCCAGGTATCGACGCCCAGATGCCCAGATGCCCAGACCTCGCGTCTCGATCTCGATCTTGACTGAAAGGAGGGGGCGGAGGCAACGGAGAGATTGCACGCACCTTGACATCGAGCCTCATTTTGCCGGGAGCTCCAGTACTGTATGTAGAGTGAGTGGTTCCGGAATGCGATGATTCGTCCTAGGCGGGGTCGGGCGTGGTCGCAGGCAGGTCGATATTATGATTATTACATGGACCAACTGATCAGGCGACGGTTGGAAGCACTTGTTGTTGATATCTTGCCGGTATGGCGGGAGGAGAGACCGTCGGTTCGGTTCGTCGTCGACTCAATGGTATCCGATCTTTTGGTGTAGGTACATACATACAATTTACCCTGTAATTGGGGGGTGTGGATTTTCTAGCTGCCCTTATTTTGAACTTCAACTGTGGTCACTTTCCTTCTCCCCTTGCGCCAATCATTTTGCTTACGTAATATATGGCTTGAGCTTCAGCCACAAAAAAAACTGGGAGGGAGGTGCCCAATGTACCTTGCTGGTGCTGGCATCAACCAGTAATATCGTTAGGTACCTACCTAAGGAAAAACATCCACCTACCACTACGACGACGACAACGATACATTTTCCGTACACCCCAACACCCACTTAAGCGATAAGTTGCGTGGCTTAGATAGAAAAGACACAGCCTGTTGGGAATTTCTCTACAAGCGTGTGATTCGCAGGCTACTGCACTTTTGTATGTTAGGTAGTTTTTCACCTCGGTACCTACAATGGGGTGGATTTATTTTCGAGCTCATATAGGTAGGCACATTACTCAACAGCATATGCTCTCTAGGCGGTGTTCTCTCCCAGAATCTATCAATTTGCCTATCGAGTATTGAATGCTACCTAATCGTCCTATCCTCGTCCCATACAAGGTTCGATTGGAGCAGAGAACGCGGCACGCGTTATAGTCGCAATTGACACCAGTTAGATCCCGACCTCAAGCGCGTTCTCGTCTCCCCAATTCCCATTTCCGGTATCATCCTGTCATACGCGAACGCCCGTATCCCGTGTCGTTTCCCTGTATCAAGCAAGCGCTTCCGTGCCGTCGACTTCGTTTGAAATGCAGATGCTGAAGTAAGAGTAAATGTAGATAGAAAGGTATTGTGGCTGAGGAGAAGAAGTGATCGAGGAGCTCCGTCGACAGGCTTAATCTTGGCTGTCGGCTTGCACCCGCTGGACAATCTCTAGGACCTTGGGATACAACTTCTCCGTCTTCCGTAGACCGGTCACCTTGGCGACCACGCCCTCGGCGTCGTTCTCGGCCATGATCTTGGCGAGCTCCTTGCTCTCGTCATCTCCTTCGACGTTCTGGAAACGGAAAGCCATCTCGGCCGCCTCCAGCAACGCTGTCGTGTCTAGGCCTAGCTCGGCCAACTCAGCGGCTGGGCCGATGAAGCGTTCCTTACGCCCCAGTTTCCGGAGCGGGGCACGGCCGACACGCTCGACAGCGTCAGCAAGATGAGGATTGCTGATTCTGTCCATGATCTTTTGTTTATATGCTTCTTGCTCCTCCTCCGCGATGCCGTGCTTTCGGACGATCAAGGTTGCGGTCTCACTAATGGCAGCGGCAACCTGATTTCTGATGTCCTTATCACGCATGGCATCATCGACTGTCTGCTTTTGCCTATTATACCCAAAGTAGGCGGCGGTGGCGTGGGAGGTGTTGACCGTGAAAAGTTTGCGCTCGATAAAAGGAAGGAGGTTGTCTACCCACTTGATGCCCTCGATAGACGGCCTCTCGACGTTGCTCGCCGTATTCTCACCCGGCTGGAAAGGGGGGGCCTCGACGACCCACTCGTAGAACTTTTCCAGGGTGACGTCCAAGCCCGAGTTTGGGTCTTGGGCGGGAACGATGCGGTCAATTGCAGAGTTGGCATAAGCCGCCCTCTCGTGGTGGTCCTCGAGGCGGTGCTCGGGGGTGTTCTTGGGATCCTTGATGTGGCCGGCGAGGGTGTCTGTGGCGCCGATCATGTTCTCGCAGGCGATAACGGCCAGGGGCTTCCGGTCGTTTGAACGGACATCAATGCCCTTGGCGATGACGGGGGCAATAAACTTGAGGATGTTGGGGCCGACAGAGCAAGTGACGACGTCGGCGGTGGCAATCTCGTTGATCAATTCCGGCTCATTGTACTTGGAATTGATGGCTCGGTAGTTGGTGATCTTCTTGGTTACAGTGCCCTCGACACCACGCTCGATGACGTTGTACGAGGGGGTTGCGTTGAGAGAGTCAACCAGCTTGTCGACGACATCAGCGAACACGACCTCGTAGCCGGATTCGTGCAGAAAGCAGGCTACGAAGCCCCGGCCGATATTGCCGGAGCCGAAGTGGACTGCTTTCTTGCCCATGGTGGGTAGGTGAGTGCGGTGCAAGTAGAAGAGGAAGAGAGGGTAGAGGGTTCGCAATGACAGCGGACAGAGAAGGGGGCTAACGAGTCGGCAGTTGTTGTGTTTTGATAATGACTGAATTGTTTCCCTGTGTTGATTCAGACGAGGAACACGGGGATAGGAGGTGGGAGATAGCAAGTCGGTTGTAGCGGTTGCGAGAAGGGTTGGGGGAACAAAAGGGGATAGCAGCAGGAGAAACAGGGAAAGTGTGGTGCTTTTATGTATTACGTAGGTAGTCGAGAGACTAGGAAAGGACGTCCGTCGGGGCGGAAGGAGCCACGAGGCCCACGAGCCCGGGCGATTCGACCGCCGGAAGTGGAGGGGGTTTGCGGCAGGAATGATCGTTGTCAACGGACCCTGCCAGTCCAAAGCGCAGGTCAGCTAGTAACGTACTAGGGAGTCTCCACCCGGGGCGCAGAGGGACTAAAGTACCTGTGTACATGAGATAAGTCGTGGGCTGTGTGCAGTATGCCGATATATTCATAGTACCTAAGGTGGGTGCCTCTAGGAAAACGTATAATATGGTACCGGATTGTTGTCTAGAATGAACCGTATCTTATCCGTTAGGTACTGTGATGCAGTCATGCCGTTACTCACCGTTACTTCTCCCCTGCTGGGGCTTGGCGGTGTTGTGTACATGCGCATGCACGCCCGCAAGCCAGATGTTCCATTGGAGCAGATGGTTGCACTGCCTGGTTACCCCCTCTGCTATGTTTCCTGACTCGATCTTACGCATTGCTTGCCGTCGCAATCCACGTTGATTAATCCAACACCTACTAACTACCTACGTCCTGAGCAAAACATGCTACACATACTGTAGGAAGGGAAGGGGACGGGAGGGGGATTTAATCATCAAATACTTCGAGATACCTACGGTTTGGCTTTCCTTCAGCGCTTGGCTCGATTACCGTTAAGGGGCCGTTTGCCGTCCGCACCACAGTACAGCACATGCCCGCAAGACAGAGAGAGAGAGAGTTTGGTTGGTGAAATAACCCAGATCTCACGAGGCGAGCTTATTGACGGCGTATTGCCAGGCTATTCGGGACGTTTGTGAGCACTAGACCCCCCGTATTATTGCCGAATTGGCGGCTTGCTGCTGAAAGATCGTTCGTTACTAGTCAAACATTTTGGTAGTAAGCACCGGCTATCCTATCGACGCTTCGGGTGCCGTTCTTTTCCTTTCTCTTCCCTTCTTCTCATTTGTCTCTTCCGAGGCCGTCATTTGTTCCTCTTGTTTCTTTGGGTTGGAGTCAGGTTTTACCTTGGTCCTCTTCCAACCGGGCACTTATATCTCGCGGGTTCCGGCCGAGGGTATTGACAGATAGGTGTATGTTACCGTCGTATGATCCGGTGGCGCCCATCCATCTGCCTCTTGATGTCACCTCTCTCCTCATCTGTCTCCCTAGCGTTCGCCAGCAACTTCCAAGGCAAAATAGCCTCAGCTCCAATTGTCATTCGGCGAGAGGCTACATACCAGGTAGGTAGTAGGTATTACCTCATCTAATAGCAACAGGTACTTATCAGGGGCGGTTGTATCCGCGCCGAGCGCAAAATGCCGTGTGCTGTTGGATCCCGATACCCGATCAGTCTCTTGGCAACTGGTGCGTGAATTCATTGTTACGTTTTCGTTACTTTCGATTCCATCGCGATCTACCTGCCCCCGCTGGCGATCCCTGAGAGTCATTTCACCCGGAGGGTTCGGGGAACGAGGTCTAGTTGCGGACGCCGGCCACGCACCACGTCGGTATAGTTATGTCCATTTGTGTGCGTGACTAGGCAAGCTGGTATGTTGAGAGAGCCCACGCCGACGAGGCAAGCTAAGCACGAAACAATGGCCTGGCCGTACTATGAGTAGCACGGCCTTCACCCCAGGCGCCCTGGGTGTGATTCGATAGCCGGTGAGCGCTGGCACGTATCCCACCCATCCCACTGCCTACAGATCTGTGCGTGTATACACACCAGCATCAAATCCATCTCAGTCCCTGCAGCTCTACCGCGGTCCATTTGCCGCCAATGACGCAACTAGAAGCTGACAGCCGATGGAGAAAAGGGCGGGAGTGGCAGATTGCGCCGAGCTAAGACGACGAATGATGACGCCTACACATACCTAGATACGCCTAGCTGCGTTGTGATGTGGCCACCGAAGCTGCTTCCTTGATAGTAATTACGTCGCTCCGTCTTCATCCATCGTATATATGTATGTATGCATGCTGCTTCGGCGTAGTCGAGCTGCGTATCGTCACATACCTATGGTAGATAGGTATGTATGTGGCTACGCACGTAGACCAGGGGACGGTTACGTCCGATAGGAGCCTTGGGAGGTATTGTACACAACTGTGTGGGAATAATGGGTAGACAGATCATAGCACATGGACACCTACACATTCGTACCAGTGCAGTCAGGCATACCTATATGCGTTAAGTGCCCCTAGGTAGGTAGGCATATAGCTATTTTTATACGGACCGAATCTAGAATGCTCTCCGGTTCACATCACGGCAATGTTGCCAGTTCATCTGACAAGTTTCCAGGCGTAGTTGTTTGCAGGCCAGTATGTACCTTCGCTGCAATCAGGAGACGCCGAGCGCCAGACCTCTGAAGAGCGGAGCCGGGAAGTCTCCCGATATACGCATGAGAGCAACACGATATTACAGGTCATAGACATGCCTGCGTGCACAGCTACCTCTTTTCGGCAAATGCCTTTCGAACCAGTTGCGATGTATGCCCCATCCGCCCGTTGGGGTTGGGGTAGAATGACCTAGGCGGTACAACAGAGACAGCCTAGATGGTCCGGCCGTCTTCAAGACGTGTAATTGTCGCGATATGGCACGGTAAGACGTTAGACGGAAGACGGTAATGTACGTAGAGCAAAGTACCTACACATTTCGCCCGGATCTCCAACCGAACAGACTCCTTGTGCTGTTCCGCCGCCCACTTCTACTGCCCCTCTCTAATGCTTGGCGATGACCTCATCCGGCGTCCCGACTTGCCGCCCACAGCCCCCCTGGAGAGCTAACCTCACTGGCCTCGCTAATCTCACCGGACAATCCTCGCTAGCCGACGCCGTCCCGCCAATTGCAACGCCGCCAACAAAGTACCCAACCTACCTGTAGGTCATATAGGTACTTCCTAGTGGGTTAGGTGCCTGCCAACGTAGTAGGCGACGCCTGGGCAGTACCTAAATCACTCAAAACCCCGAGGAGCACAGGAGGGGAGGGGGTCGAGCACATCATTTCGTCTCCTTACATCTATAGTATCTCATCGATTCTTGCAGGATCCTGATCAGCGTTGCCGGACCTGGCGTCGCATTCGATCGATCTCTGGGTATTCCTACTTGGGTCATCTTGCGCCTTGATTACGTACCCTAGTCGCGCCGGTCTCTTCCCTACTGGGTTTCCCTCAACGGCCAACCTTGGGACGAGGTTTGATACGCACCAGGCCGATGATGACTTCCATGGCGCCGTAGTTGGCATGCTGTCTCGATGGCTCCGCTTTTCCGTGAGCCTCTTACCGCTTCGTCTCGAGTCGCGGTTCACGATGCTGTGTACAGCTTTCAGCTAATCGCTGCGCAATATTCTCCTTCGCGTCGTCTGCGAGCCCTGCCGCCCGCGACGAACGGGGGCCACATCGCTAATTCTGCCGTGGTTTATGCATAGGTTGCCGCCTGTGTCTTCGTTTTCAGTAGCGTTGGCGAGATGGCCCGGCTGCCTTGCCTCATGCCGCGAATCGCTGCAGGAATAATAGGCTCGGCTGCTCCTTGAACATGTAGCCAAGACTGTCGCTGCACGCATCGACACACATATACACACACAACACATACATTACCTATATATATTTGTATATTTATACGTACGCATATCTGTCGTTCGCAACGTTCGATCGCTTCAATCCACGTAGGGTCAGCGCAGCAACCAGCATGCGGCATAGCGTTCTCGCAAGTCGCTGGCGGAGCCAGCAGTTTCCCAACAACACACGCGTACCTACACAAGAGCGACGTGGCGCATCGTGGCCAGCTGGCTACCGGGGACGACTCTGCCCTGTCTGTGGTTGAACGACTCGCCGTTCGTCAGGGACCACCACCCCTTGCATGGCGAACGCTGGATATCCAAAGTCGACAGCTAAGTTCGGAGCCAAGCAGGATCCACTCACACATGCATCCTCCCCATGGATTGCCGCGACCCTATTTTCCTAGATAAGGGCCAACTTCACGCCGGATGATTGGCCTGGCGGTCGAGTCTCGGCATCAGCGAGGCTGTGGGTTTTCACCAGACTCATTACCGCCTGTGGTTAGGTGCAGGACGGCCCACAAGCCCATGACCTATCGGGAGAAAAACGCATGATGGCCTCAAACGTTGGCTCGGGACCTAGAGCCTACCTAGCGAACCCCATCCCTCGATGGGAGGTTTCTCGGTCTTGTTGCGTGCTCGGGACATCTAAGGCCTCCTGGTGCTCCTGTTCGACCTGGATCGTGAGAATATCCCGTTCCGTTTGGCCCAACTACCCTGGGTGATCCTGGATACTAAATACAAATCACCCGGCATTAGCGGGCCGATTATGTGGTGAGCAGGATTATTGCGTTGGGACCGCCTATTCGATGGTCGAGATAGGTGCATCGGCGTCTCGAGAAAGGGGGTCAATTGTGACTTTGATCCTGTTATTCGACGAAAAGGACCGATAAATTTTCGCCATTTTGGGGTAACGCTGCGATTCAATCCTCTACGACGGCTTTACGCCACGAGGCACTAGAATATGCCGGCGCTGGCTCCGACGATTTGGGGGGAATCGATTCTTTAGGTGGGGGGAGATGGATGTTCGGCATAAGCAAATCGGATTTGTCTCCTTTAGTCTCTTCGGCCGCGAGACCGCCGTCGTGCCCATCTTCCGACCTGGCATACGCGCTGGGCGCCCGGTTTATTCCGATAGCTGCTCGGGCGGTTGAATCTGGAATCTCCGGTTAATTTTCCGATCTCACAGGGACAGATCTCACCGAGGTGCAGTATCGACGGCTGCAGCGCCGAAATGGTTGGATCGAATCTGAAGTTGATGGGATGGAGATGTAGGCGTTTCTCAGGAGAAGGGCTTCATAGACGTTTCTGCGCATCCTTACTTGGTCTTGGCTCGTTCTACAACTACACACCGGCAACACGTATGTCGAAAAGGGGTTGCCCCTCTAACTGGTCGCGAAGACATGTCTCTTCGTTTGGTCGCGCTCCGTCTCCGCATCCTAACCATCACACTAAGGGGCGATTCCCCCTCATTCCCCAGATCCCTCCGAGTGACACCGTCCGGGTTAGCGGGCTGGTCCCGCAACGGGGGATGCCAGGCCGCAACGTGTGATGGCCTGTTTTTCATGCCCTTCAACCGTGAGGATTTTCCATTCGCCCTCTTACATGCATGCATGGGTGCATGTACTGGGATGTTTTGTGATGCGCACACTCATACCCCGCGAGGCCCTTAAATCAGGTATGACGTACTGAGAAATCATCCCCGGCGACGACTTGAGGTTTGGAGGACATTCCATAGGACTTGTGGGCAGACAGGCGTCAAGCTACAACACATTTTCGCCGACCGGGCCATCTTCTAGAAACCGGCTTGAGATTTATGTGCTACATGGCGTAGTTACGAAAGAAATCAGAACGAAGGTGGTTTCTAAAAGCACATGAGCGGCTCGCCCAACGAAAGCTAGCCTCGCAGAGATTGAATCCATGGTATTCGGTACCTCTCATATCCCGAGTCAGGATAGCATCCCAAGGAAGGGTGAGGAACGTAAGGGGGAAGTTAGGCCGTCGCTGACTCTATGCTACCAGACCTTTGGAAGTTACTAGATGGCTATGGGTTCTGGAAACCTTCTTAAACAATTGGGGAGGAGCCCGAAACTTGCATCGAATCAAGCAAGGCCAGGCCAAAGTAAACCCCTATCCCGTCATTTCCTCTACGAACCCTATTCCAGGAGACTTGAAGTTACGTTGTTCGTAATATGATCAAGGAAAGGAACGCCGACTTCCGCGACATTGTTGGGGAGATATAGCAATGGTTCCTATCGCCACAGAGTTTTTTTTTTTGTTGCTGTCGTTACTTTCGATGGCGCTAGCTGTCCTAAAAGTGTAGCTGATTCTTCTCTTCCCCGGCCACCCTTCCCCAGACCCAGACGGCGCATGATGGGTGGTGAGTCAGATAGAGGTCGATACCGAAGGCTGAGCTAGTCGTGCGTCAGGGGCTCAGGTCTGACCCCGATGTCCTGGGCGGGTTTGTGACGAGATGTTCACAACCATCGGAAGGTGGATTAGCGTTCTAGAAGTCACCCGTATTTCTGTAGAGCAATTCTAAAGCTAAGGCTTAGTGCCGGCCTTTTTTATAGTCGGCTTTCGGGAATAGACTGGTGGGAGTTGAGAAGTTGAGAAAATTGAGGGGAGGAAAAGGGGGTGGTTGAAAGAAAGGAAGAGTGTACCGACACATATCAGCCTAATTGCCTTCTCTACAGGTACCTGTCCATTGTGTACAGTCCAGGTACCTAGCCTCTAGCAACTCCTTCACGGTAGAGACATGAAACCCTATTGTCCTATCATCATCAAATTATGGAACGGGGCCACGGGGGGGGTAGGCAATAATACACGGATGGGCAGTTCGCAAGGCATAACCCCCCCTTCCCCCCCAAGAAGAGAAATCACCTGGGTATTATATATATTCCGGCTAGTAGCATTACATGATGCTAGCAGTCTATTGCTTTTTCTATCTTCCACTTAGGCCCTAACCAGCAACTTCTTCCCCGTAATCTCGAAACGCAGAACCACCATAAATGCAGCCGTGAGCATGAAGAGAAAGCCCGAGAACAACTGGATCCCGAGATAGTTTCCTGAGGCGCTCAGTATTGCCCCGGCTATGGGTGTGCCAATAAGGGATGCCACTCCGTTCAAAACTGACGACATGCCCAATCGAGTCCCCAGCCGGCTGAGATCGCGCGTGAAAGAGGTGAGCACGACAGCTGGCAGGGCCACGATGCCCCCCGTGAAGAAGCCAAAGAAGATGGCGAAGGCAATATTGCGTCCAGCTGAGTTGGAGTTGATCCAACCAAATGTGGTGACGCCGGCGAGAGTGACGCTGATGAAGAACGTATGGGTTGGCCCGATCTTGTTGGCGATGAGGGATGGCGTGAGCCTGCCGACAACGGAAGAGGCATTCAGTATGGCTACGAGATAGTAACCGACAGTCTGGCCTTCGAGGCCGTGTGCGAGTGCGTAGGTCTGGAGATAAAATATGGGCGCGAAGAAGGCGACGTAGCTGAGGCAGATGCCGCAACAGTAGATCACATACGGTCGCTCTCGGAACGCCTGCTTATCGAGCAGTGACCGTATCTGAACCGCAGTCGTGCGTCTGCGTAGCACGAGGAAAGATATCGATAAAGTGGCCAAGGAGGTGAACCCCATTATGCGTGTTGTCCAGCCAAAACCAACCCGCGGAAGCAGACCTTGGAACATGAGGGCGTATATAACCCCACCAAAGCTACTTCCCGACGTCACGATGCCCATAGCGAGGGCTTTACGCCTCGAAAAATACTCGGGTATGATGGCGACCGACGGAATATACAGACACCCCGTGCCCACCCCGACGCATATAGACTGCGCGAGAACAATCTGCCAGTACTCCTTGCAGATGCTGGTCATCATCATGCCAACGGTTATCAACACGAGCCCGGCGGTGAGAAGCAGATGCAAGCGGCCGCCGTCATATAACGGGCCGCTGATCACGCCTACTGCCAAGAGTAGGAAGGATTGGATTGATCCTATCCAGGAGATGGCCGACGGCGACATGTGTTGGAGAAGTTCTGTTTCGTAGTACGTTTGGTACACACCGAAAGTGTTGACCGTACCCCTGATTTTCGTGTTAGCCGGTGTTCTCAGAATGCTCGGTGACCCGGTTGCCGTCAGGCGACATACCAGGTGTTGAAGTAAAGGGAATACGATCCGAGGACCTGCAGCCACGCAGTCAAGCCCCCGTCCGGCGGCTCGCCATCCTCGACGACGATCTCTTCGACAAATCCCACGTCCTTTTCGTCCCGGACCGGCTTGTCGCTCTGGTTCGAGCGGCTATCACCTGAGGCGATTCCATTCTCGAGCGTCGTGTCCGACTGGCTGGAAGGGTTGGACATAACTACGTCGATAGCGACGACGGCAATCACCGGTGCATCCAGCTGGAGGTTCCGGGTTTAGCATGGAGAACGCATTCCGGAAAACAGACACATTTTAAGGACCCGTAACTCGGACGACCTTGAGGATATTTATTTGTCATTTGTTCTTGGCAAGGGAATGTGACTCCGGACTGCAAGGGGCTCTCTGGCCAGTCAATGCGAAGACGGCTAGACGTAGCAAGGGTGACCTTCGGCTTCGGCTCTACTCTCGGCTCGGTATGGACTACACGATGGACGCGATAACACGGACGAGTCGCGGATGACGGTCCAGCATTGCATCTCCGGACTCAAGCTCAATTACAAATGATGAGGGCAAGGCGTATCCTGAGACCCAGCGGGACAACGAGGGTATCATCACCTGCCGATGTCGTTCCAGGACCTGTTCGATGGCATCATAGTGAAGCGTGATGTCGACTCAACAATACCCCGAGAGGAGCTCTGGTCTGGTCCGCATGCGGAGACTCCATATGTGGATATCATATTCAACATCCACCGACCGCCCAGGTTATATGCGCAGTCCGGCAAAGCTGCCGTCAAGTCCTTGACAGTCCGAGAGGCATATACACCACCACCGCATCCTCCACCCACCGAAGGGCGTACATATATGCATATGCACGTATACGTAAGCTGCCTCTCCGTCAGGTAGTTAGAGGGCGCATCGCGTTTACGGCTATGATTGGACACGCATTTTACAACTTACCTTGTAACCTCATTATACCGACGGGGTGTAGCCTGTAGTGAGGCTCCCCTCCCGCCGTTACCAGTATCATTCTCACATGTCCACATGTCCGCACGTGCATGTAGGTAGAAGCCTACGGTACAAGATTAAGATGTAGGGGCGTCTACATTTTCCCATGATACGTGGATACTGATCATCAGCTAGGCCATGGGTCTCAGGACGGAACTCGAGTATGTAGCATATATTCGGTAGTATCTCGGACCGGCTACGTTATATTGCTAATCTCGATATTCAGCCTGTGTGATCAAGCTGGTGTAGGCAGACGTTTATGTGTCTCTATGGAGCCAACTGGGTGCTTTCTCCACGAAACTGGCCAGGTAAACGATCGCTAATGAGAGATATTTTCTGTGAATCTATTAGCTGTATTGCCGTCTGGTAATTGCCTAAGTTAATAAGCCCACGAGGGAGGCGGTTCCGCGTGGTCAGAGTTGCGTCGAGCAAAGCAGGACATTATACCTGTGTGAGAACGAAACTTTGGCACGAGAAAGACGCCGAGAGTTCAATGGCAACGAGATGGCAACACGGCGGCCTCAGTATCGTATTACTGACTATGGTGAGGGGCTACAGGCTTCGCACAACATCGCAGTTGTTGACGTCCTCCGATATCACCTTGATATTTAGCAGGAAATACCAGGCCGAGGGGTTGTCTAGCATCCGCCGGACCGGCGAGACTCAACCGGTACGGTTCACCTATCGACTTAACCCGACAGAATGTTGGCAGGGGTTTTATGTCAGAGAAGTCGAGCCACGATGATATAGACCGGGTCTTCTGATAAGCGTGACAGAAAGAGAAGAGGGCAGTGTTATCGACCACTCTAGCCGGGGTTGGGGTAGAAAGAAGGCCGGCTGCTCCACGCACACTCATATAGATGACATTGGCACGACGTGGTATTCCAAACATGGTTGTCTTGACACCAACAATAGGAAGGTGGCTAAAACAAGGCGAGCTCGACTCCTCTGGAGGCTGCGGCCTGTTCGGGGTCAAAAATATCGTCACCTCTGTCCCAGGCTTCATCGATCATCCCAAATAGGGCCTGCGTACTTTTGCTAGTGTCTCCCTTGGCGCGTTGATCTCGCATGCTGTTTAAGGCCTGTTTCCACTCTGGGTGTTGGCGGAGCAGTCGAAACTCGGCAGAAGCGGAAACATAAGGGAATAGGGTGCCGTTGAGTACGAGCAGGTGCTGGTATTCCACTCGCTCAAGCCCTACCCGCAACGCATCAAGCGCACTAACAAGACGACATAGGACGACCTCTGTGCATGGGAGGCGGGAGTCCATGGCGGTGTGGGTAATATCAGGATCGGCCGGAGCCGATGTCGAGTCCTTCCCTCGCTGCCGCCTGATGACAAGTATGCCGGCATAACGCCAGGCATCCCACAGATGGGTCTGAAGAAGCTCTCCAACTTCCCCGGTCCAGATCCACAGTTCTTCTTCGACGCCGGGCTCGCCGATGCGAGCGATTATGTCCAAAAGTTTCCGAGGAACACCAGAGACAGACTCGACGCCGCCGTCCACACAATGGTCCCACTGTACCTGGGCCCGACGAAACCGCCGCCAGAATTGAAGCCGACGAGTTTGCCTGCCAAGGACCAAATTGGGGAGGTCCATGACCCCCAAGACCTCGAAGAAGTGGTAGGTATACGGGTCGACATGGGGGTTGAGCTCGGTGAGATCGCCGTGAAAGTTGTATAGATCTGCTATACAGTGTAGAATGTTGGTCCATGGTATCGTTTGGATAAACTACCCCGTGGTTCGGGTAGATTAGCGCAACCGACCTGGGGCATTAAGAAGGTCGGTAAACGTACGGAAACGGAGCAGAGGAGCAGTCCGGCGCCTAGGGCCCCCCGTTTGAGCGTTCCTTGGCTCTCGAGGAGCTCATCCTTGAAGAGCTGGACGGCTTTATCGTAGGCCTGGTGAAACCTTTCGAAATTATTCTCGTCTAGCGATAGTTGCAGGGCAACACAGACGGCCACGATGGCCTTCGATTCATCAATGACCTGCAAGAAGCTCGCCTGATGCCAGTCGCCCTTTTTACTCGAGAACAACATCTGTATGCCCGATCTGAGGACTTGAGGGCGGCGGAGAGCCGAGTTAGCAGAGGCACAACCAAGCCGGAGCGGACGCGGGAGGCGGGGAGGTAGATAGGTAGGACGATACGCACACATACATACATACACGCACACATATAATGCAGACACACATAGGTAATACAGGCACACTTGCAGGGATGCTTACATTCCTGGAAAACCCGTCGATCTTCCTCGGCCTCGTCGAGCTCCGGGAGGGCCTGCTCGCTCGAGGGCTGGGCTTGGACGGACGGGCTGGATGCCCACGAGCCGGCTTGTGTGCTCGGGACGTCGTCTGACGTGTTGCTCTTCTCGGGCGAAGACTCGCGTTCAGCGGGCGTGGACGCACCGGCGAAGCGGCCACGCGAGGCAATCCCGTTGTCCCAACGCAGCCGCACCCCGTACCCGCCGCAGCCACCGGGGCGGTTCTGGCAGGCGAGGCAAGCCGGACGGGTCTCGTCACATTTCCGCTTCCTCGTCTTGCACGTAATGCAGCCGCCTCTGGAGCGACCCATGACTGGTTTCTCCGCCTATAAGACTACTTTCAGGTGAGAGGGAGGGGAGAGGACTATCTAGCACTAGGCCAGCGTAGTCCCTTTATAGAAGGTCTAGGCGCCGTCGTTGTCCGTCGAGAGCCTCAAGGAGGACCCCCCGATATTACCTACCTATAGCTGCGCTTGGGCGTTGGGCAGCCCCGCTTCGACCTGGTCGACGGGACGGACGGCGGCATTCCTGGGTTCCAATGGACCCCCATTACCCCATCTATACCCTTGCCCTGATCGCGTGGCCCAAGCCTCCCTTATCGGGGACAACTCCGTAGTGCTAGCTAACTAACTACCTATCAGTACCGCTTCATTGGTAGGTGGGTATACCTACCTATATTGTGTGTCAGTAGCTAGCTACCTACCCATGTAGGGAACTCCTCGTTTCTAGTGGCTAGGGTCGAGGAACAGGTGAATTGTTCGTCCGTACAAGCCTGTGGCTAAAGCCACCGTCAGCTAATCAACGGTCATCTTCCCCATTCCTTTCTAGGTCGTTACAGCAGGCACCCCGTCCAATTTCTGAGACAACAGCGTGCCTAATAGCCGTTCACGACCCTTTGCCCGGTTGTTGCTTAGCGCTGGCCATGCAACGCGGTGAAGGTTTGCCCGTCGCCGACGGTTGGGACGGCTTCTCGAAACCCAGGCACTGCCGCTCGAACGTTCGTGCAGGCCAGCTGGCAGATGAAGAAGAATCGATAACGCGTCACGATCCATCGAAGATAGGAGAAGAACGCGCGACGGCTCACCGGCATACGCCAGCCCTGCGGGGACCTTTGCACTCCGTTTCATGACTCACGCGGCGACAGGGGTACTATCTACCACGCTGGTGCGTGGGATCTCTTGTTACGTAACATTGATAAGGTCGTTGAGGCTCGATTATGTGAGCTACTACGTACGAGGTAGGTGATATATATGCTGACACCGGCAGAAGGGCCATCCGAGAAACAAGATCGTCACCTTCGAGAAGCAACCCCGACAAACATCAGCATCTGGCTCTGCTGGTAACCACCGGCCGGATTCATCTCCGAGTTTTCGCCGCTCACCGAGAGAGATGAAACCATCGCCATGCTTCCTGTGCCACACAAATGACATGGGACAGTCCTACAGAGGGAATGGGCAGAGGCTCGCAGTAGCATTTCCATGATTTAAGCCGCCACATCGAACTACCGCCTACGTAGAACATTACGAAAAGCCTCCGGCTTCTCGAACAGTCTTGCCGAGATGGCTTCGTTAGATGATCTGCTCGAGTCGGCAGTGAACGACGGCACGGCGCCTGGGGTCGTCATCATCGCCAAGGATAAGGAGGGCAAGTCTTCAGCACCGGGGTTGATACGACAGGGTTTTTTTTTCTCTTTAAATCTTTTCTTTCCCGTCAAGTTACTGACCCTTCGCCTCGCGCCCATAAGGCAAAGTCGATTACGCGAAGGCGTTTTCGCGCGAGGGCGGCACGCCCTACGCTCTCGACACGGCTATGGTCATATCCTCGATGACGAAGTTGCCGACGTCAATTGCTGCCCTGCAGCTCGTCGACCGGGGCCTCGTGGCTCTCGACGAGGATCTCTCGCCGCTGCTCCCGGCCTTCGCCGAGAAGGGTGTCCTTATCTCCGTGGCGGACGACGGTACGCCGGCTGTTCGCAAGCGGCGAAATCCCATCACTCTGCGCCACCTGATCACGCACGCCTCTGGTGCTGGCTACCCTTTCCTTGACAAGGCCCGTCTCGGCAAGATACGGTCAGCGCACGAGCACGACACCCTCGATGGCACGGTCGAAGAGACGTTCGATCTGCCCATGCTCTTCGAGCCTGGCGAAGGGTGGGCGTACGGCACCGGCCTCGACTGGGCCGGCGTGCTCGTCGAGTGGCTGAGCGGTCTCTCCCTCGACGAGTACATGAAGCGGAATCTATGGGAGCCCCTGGGGGTCGGTGGCGACAGTTCCCCTACCTTTTTCCCCGACAAGAAGCCGGCTGCCAGGGTTCCCGTGGCGTTCTGCAGCGATCCGGATGGGCCCGCGGTCGAGAAGCCGGGGGCCCCGACGATCGTCTCCGGGCTGAAGGCGTGCTACGGCGGGCACGGCCTGGCCGCGAGCATGCGAGCCTGCTTCGAGGCCGCGTACTCGCTCCTCGTAGACGACGGGCGGCTGTTGAGCCGGGAGACGGCCGCGCTGATGTTCCAACCCCAGCTGTCCCCTGCGAGTCGGCAGAGCCTAGCCGCGTTCATGGAGAAACCCAAAATGAAGCTCCTCTTCCCCTCGCCGCTCATCGACCGCGATTACGGGCTCGGTGGCCTCCTCATCGCAGGGGATGGCCACGAGTACTGGCGAAAGGGGACGCTGATGTGTGGGGGTGCTGCGAATCTCAACTGGGTAGGTCAAGTTCATCGTGCGGTCTAGCCAAAATGGATAACCATGCGTATCAACGTGCTGACGAAAATGTCACCATGCGGTTCATCGACCGTTCCGCCGGGTTGTGCGGCGTCTTTGGATCTCAGGTGATGCCGCCCGGCGACCCGAGGATGAGGAAGCTAATAAATGCTTTCCACGCAGACGTCTACCGGACAGCCGGGAAACTAACGTGATTCACCAGATATGTTACTCTTTGGTGACTTTTGTCGGTAGTTGGTATTTGTGTTCAAGACGCCAGCTACTGTGGCCTTGACTCGCATAGTAGTAATAGTCGCAGACCGTCGCGGCGAGAAACAACGATCGTGGATGACCTAGTCGAAGGGGTTTGTATCCCCTTCAATATTCTAGTCCAGGTGCGATTCCAATAACTACGGAGTTTCTTATGAAGTTTTTCTCTGTAGAGTGTTTACCTTAATACTGATCGAGTTTTATAAAGATTAGTAGATCACAGCGCAATTACTTGAAACCATGGTAAACCCAACACCGCCTTATACTAGTTAAGTAAAGCCTATAAGCTTAGTCTGTTCCGTTTACCCCTCATTTCTATATCATTATGATATTAAGAATGTACGTCCCTGTGATATCTATATGTGGATACTCTTACAAGGTGGTTGCGGGAGCGGCCCCTCGGGAGATAGAAGATAATAGCGGCGGCTCGGCAAATACGTTGGGATCGGCAATAATAATCGAGACCATTGAAGCCTCCGGGTCGCGAGCGAGACCCGGCCCCTTCGTTAAGATAAGCAAAACAAGAAACACATGTGAATATTTTCTGTCCCGCTAACCAACAGCCAGGATCAGGATGATATATACCCACATATAAAGACCCCGGCTAATCGAAGCCACCCCATGCCCAAGAGTATTCTGCCTTCTGCCCCTCATCAGGGCGCCGTGCAACGCAAGCGCAGGCGCAAGCACTCGATACGAAGCCGAGAAACACAGACGGCGGAAGTCTTTTCCAAAAGAGGGTGTTATATGCGCCACCGCTACTCTGGAAAGCATGCTAGGCCGCTCTCATACGGGTACCTACCTATCTTGAGGCGGACCCTATCCCGGGCTGTCCCACCCGCTCTCTCCGTGACCGTCGATAAAGCACCCGCGACGCTCTTAAATAGCACGGGTCGAAGTCCAACTACTCCTCTACCTATTCCTCTGCCCTTTATACACCTACGCAGCTAGGACCCGCACCTAGATCGAAGATCGCACACCCACCCACCCAGCGTCCAGGCAACATGGCGGACTGGGAGACTGCCGTGGCCGAGAAGAAGCGCGAGCTGGCGACCGCCATACCGGACGCGTGGCGCATTCCGGAGGGCGCGCTGTCCGGTTCCGAGACCAAGCTCGTCGCGCAGGACGCCGTCCGCGCGTCCGGCGTGCTCTCGCCAGCAGAGCTCGCCATCACCGAGGACAACACCGCTGCGCAGCTGCTCGCGAAGATCGCCCAAAGGGAGCTCACCGCCGTCGAGGTCACCACCGCGTTTGCGAAGCGCGCCGCCGTCGCCCAGCAGCTGGTACGTCATCTCCCCTCTGCAGGGAGGGGGGCTTGGGGGTGGAGAGTCCCGATGCTAACAAGTCCCGTCTGCAGACCTCCTGTCTGACCGAGATGTTCTTCGAACGGGGCATCGAGAGGGCCAGGTGGCTCGACGAGTTCCTCGAGGAGAATGGCCGGGTCTACGGGCCGCTTCACGGCCTCCCCATCAGCTTAAAGGTTCGCTAGCCGGTCGTTCGTCGGCGGGAGGACGGCGAGGGTTTTGTGTTTGTGTCCGTCTGTGTGTGCTCGCGCGCGCACTCGCTCGCTCTACGATCCTGACGTTTCTTGGGGGGGACCGCATCTAGGACTCCTTCCGGGTCGAGGGCATCCACGCGACGGCCGGGTTCGTCGCCCTGCTCGCGGAGCGGCCGACTAGCAACTCGGCCCTAGTCGATCTACTGCTCGACGCCGGCGCCGTCCTATACGTGAAGACGAACATCCCACAGACGATGATGGTGCGTTGCCTACCTATCCGTCCCCGCCTCGTTTTCTTTTTCTTGCCTTTTCTTTTTTTATTTTTGCGTTACGGATCTATAATATCCGCCTGTGCTGCGCTGTTTGCTGGTTTCCCTCCCTTGGTAACACGCGATCCAGACCGCCGACTCGGAAAACAACATCTTCGGGCGGGCGCTGAACCCGCACAACACGGCGCTGACGGCGGGCGGCTCGAGCGGCGGCGAGGGGGCGCTGGCGGCACTTCGCGGCGCGCCGCTCGGCGTGGGCACTGATGTCGCGGGCTCGATCCGCATCCCGGCGCTGTCGTGCGGCGTGTACGGGTTCAAGCCGACGCCGGGGCGCGTCCCCTTCGGCAACCAGGCGCCTGGCCTCCGGTCGGGGCTCCCCGGCATCGCCCCGGCCGCCGGCCCGCTCGGCCAGTCCGTCGCCGACCTCGAGCTGTTCATGACCGCCGTCGCCGCCGGCGACCCCTGGAGGTACGACGACGACGCCGTGCCCGTCCCCTGGCGCCCCGCCGCCCATCAGCGCCGCCGCCCCGCCGCCAAGCTGCGCGTCGGCGTCTTGCCCGAGGACCCCGCCTACCCGCTCCACCCGCCGGTCCGCCGCGCGCTCGACGAGGCCGCGTCGGGTCTGGAGGCGGCCGGGCACGAGGTCATCCGCCTGCCGGCAGACCCCGCGCGAGGCGTCTCCCTCGCCCAGCGCATCGCGTTCCAGTACTTCGGCCTCGGCGGCCGGCTGTACGGCGGCCACCTGATCGAGAAGGCCGGCGAGCCGCTGGTCGCATCGGTCGCCGCGGGCAGCCACCCGTTCACCACGGAGCCGCCCGTCGTCGCGGCTGGCCTCGAGCTGGCGCAGGTGCTCGAGAGACTGGGCGCCGCTCGAGGCGCGTACAGCGACGCGTGGCGCCGGACGTGGCTCGAGCACGACCTCGACGTCGTGCTCGCCCCGGGGGCCCAGAACACCGCCGTTGCCCACGACACGTGGGGCCTGCCGCCGTACACGCTCATGTGGAATCTGATAGAGGTGAGTGCGCACGTTTCCCCCCCCTCAAGCGTTCCACCGACCGCGCCGCGGGAATCCGGAGTCTGGCTAAAGCCCTGGCGACGATATAGTACCCGGCGTGCATCGTGCCGTTTGGGAAGGCGTCGAAGGAGCTGGACCCCGAGCCGGTGACGTATGGCGTGCCGTTCCAGCCCGACTGTAAGTCCTCCGTTCCTATCGCCCCCTATCCATGATGAGCTTCTGAAAACGAGGAATGTGGTTAACCCCTGGACCCGAAGACGATCCCGTCCAAGTCGACGGGGCACCCTGCGCGGTGCAGATCGTCGCGCCTAAGTTCAAAGACGAAGAGTGCCTCTGGGCGGCGGGCATTATCGATAGCAGTCTGAATGCGATCAAGGTAAATTAGGCATCGTCTCATGGTCGTACTGTGGCAGACAGTCGGCAGGAAAGTGTCAAGGTAGCAAGGATCAGCAGAGGCCTTCTAAGCGACTTGACGAAGTTGTTACCGGCGTTGCCAGCGCGGACTTATAAGCAAATAACCCTCGCGTATTACGTTACCAATTACTACTCTTAGAACTTTCCGACGTGTGGTGAGAGCAAATACAGTATCGGTATCTCGAGGGGGCTGAGTTGGCCAAGTCACTTTAAATCCCCTAGATGCTGGCCTCACCATAATGCGGCCGACGGGACCACGATCAGTGAAATTCAATATTTATTGGTCGACTTCCGATTTTCCTTTCAAGATACGGCAGAGGAGAACTAGAGTCCGAGGCCTAGGTAACTACGTCGTCCTTTGCATCGCCTGGCGACGGCCCGAGCTTAACGTGATGGTGTTGCGTTGTTATATACCTAGCATTCGGTGAACACTCAAATTACCTTCGTTGTATACCTTTTACTCTCCCTTTTCCTTTCTCTTCGCGCATCACTCGTCGGGTAGTCCCGGGTACGTATATCGACTCAGAGCCTCGACTCCTTCCCAGGCGTCAGAGTCGATTCTAACCTTCAGGTGCTAGCAAACTTCTTGAACGCGCCGATAAGGCTGCCTGTGCTAGCGTCGTGACCCTGGCCATTGCCAGGCTCATCCAGCTCCTTGAGAATTTTCTTGGCGAGAACCTTACCCAGCTCAACACCCCACTGGTCGAATGAGTTGATATCCCAGACTGCTCCCTCAGTGAAGGTCAAGTGCTCATAGTAGACAATGAGGGCACCGAGTTCAGCGGGCCCGATCACATCGCCAACTAGGATGCTAGTTGTTGGGCGGTTGCCTAAGAATACCTTGTGTGGGACTAGTTCGTCGGGAGTGCCCTCGCTCTTCACCTGGTCGGATGTCTTGCCGATCATGAGGGCCTCAGCCTGGGCGAAATAGTTGGACGCTAGCATCTTCTGGTGGAGGTTGCCAGAGATGGGGTTGTGCGACTTCGCGGCGAGGATAAAGTCGGTGGGGATCAGCTTGGTGCCTTGATGAACGAGCTGGAAGAAGGAATGCTGGGCGTTTGTGCAAGGCTCGCCAAAGAGGATGGGACCCGTCGTGTACTTCGCAGGGGTGCCATCGGAGGTGATGGTCTTGCCGTTTGATTCCATGGAAAGCTGTTGCAGATAAGCCGGGAAGCGGTGCAGATACTGGTCAAATCTACGCCCAAGTCAGCATGCTGTATTAACCCCCCTGGCCCCTCTGACAGAATGCTTACGGAGCAACCAAGTGCGTTTGTGCGGCGAAGAAGTCACTATACCAGACGCTCAAGAGACCACCGAGGACGGGGATGTTGTCCTTGAGGGGGGTCTCGCGGAAGTGCTTGTCCATGGCATGCGCGCCGGCTAGAAATTGGCGAAAGTTGTCGTAACCGATATACAAGGCGACGCTGAGACCGATGGCGCTCCAAACGGAGTATCGGCCGCCGACCCAGCTCTCAAAGCCAAACATGTTCTTGCTGTCGATGCCGAATTTGGTAACTTCGGACTCGTTGGTCGAGAGAGCTACGAAGTGCTTGGCAATGTCTCCCTTGCCGCCGGTCTTCTCTAGGAACCACGACTTGGCTGTGTTCGCATTCGTAGTGGTTTCTGCGGTGGTGAAGGTCTTGGATGCGATGAGGAAGAGGGTCGTCTCGGGGTCCGAGCTAGCGAGGGCTTCGGCTATGTGAGTGCCGTCGATATTGGAGACGAAGTGAAGAGTTGTGTCTTTAGCGCCGTAGTGTTTGAGAGCCTCGGTGACCATGACGGGTCCCCTGAACTGATGTCAGAAGAAGAAATTCCACATGCTCCGCGAGTTGTGGCGCACTGAATCGAGTGGTGCAAATCTACCACTTACAGATCGGAACCACCAATGCCAACATTGATGATGGTAGTAAGTTTCTTCCCTGTGTACCCTTTCCACTCTCCGCTCCTCACCTGCTCGGAGAACTCTTTTATGTGTTCCAGGACCTCGTTGACGCCGCCCTTGGCGTTCATGACGTCCTGACCGTCGACCTTCATGTCCCAGCCGCCGACATTACGGAGTGCTGCGTGGTATACCGCGCGCTGCTCGGTGAAGTTGATCTTCTCGCCAGCAAACATCGCGTCGCGCTTCTTCTCAAGGCCGGCCTCCTGGGCGAGCTTGACTAACAAGTCGATGGTATCTTCGGTGACGAGGTTTTTGCTGAAGTCAAAGAGAATATCGACGCCGGAGGCGCCGTTGCGGAACGTCTTGCTCAACTTGTCGAACCGAGCAGGGTCGGAGGCGAAGGCCTCCTTGAGGACGAAAGTTTTGCCAACGGTCTTGTAGTGCTCCTCCAGGGAGGCCCAGGCGGGTAGAGAGACTGCTTGAGGCATCTTGGCGTAGTGGTTTGTGGGTGCGTGTAGTGGTGAGAAGGGAGATAGTGCGGTAATAATCGGATGCTGAATCGAGTAAGTTCCTCGTCAGTAGGCCGTCCGGAATAGCAAGGAGGGAGGAGAGGAAAGCGTCGAGCCGCGGGTGGAAGAGAAAAAGAAAGAAAACAACCGGAGGAGGCTATGGATGGTATTGTATAGCTATGAGTTACTTTGAGGGGGGGGGGGGGGGTTAGAGAGGGTTATGTAGTTGTCACGGAATTGTTCTGGTGCTGTGTGAGTGATTCTCGACTAGGGGCGCGAAGCGCGGGGATTGTTGAGGGATGGCGGGGCAACACAGACGTGAGGGCTTAAACGAATAGGTGTATGTCACAGCTGCGTTTCACTCACCTCGAGGTAGCTGGGCGGACCTTATGCGCCGATGAGACGGGATGAGACGGAGCGGCTGGATATCAATCGGTTTGTTGGTCTCGCTTTTTGCCAGAGCCGGAAGACGGTACCGTGTAGGTTAAGCAGGCTGTATATATCGGCCGAGGGAGTAGGATTAGTATGGCTATACTACGGTATCGGGACCAAATTTCGAGACCTTCTCACAGTACTGTGGCAATGAGAGAAGACAGAATGGAGGCGAGGGAGGAAGAGGCAAAGGGAGAGACAGAGGAGGGAGGTTGCGTGGGGGGGTTTGAAGGTCGGCCGGACGCAAAGGACCGAGAGGTTGCCTCGCCTACGTAATGGGACGATCGAGCGTCATTTTTAACCACCTCCCACCTTCTACTAATCGCCTGTTCTCTTTCTTGCATTTCGTTACTCAGCTTGGGTACCGACCTCAAGGTACATATTGTAAGCTCTCATTGCTTCTTCCCCCCTCCTTCCCCCCCCCCCCCTCTCCCTCTCGACCCCGCGCTAGTGACGTGATGTTTTTTTTTTCGTTCTGTACCTACATACCGAGAGACCGGCACTCCCCCTGCCGCAGGTACCTACCTTAGGTACCTAACCTGCCTTACCACCTTCTGTCTCATACTGCTAGGTACCCCCCAGTGAGCACCTAACCTACCTAGGTACCTTAGGTAAACACTATTCATGGGTGCTGTGACGGGCAATGCCTTGTCTTCGGCCAGGTAGGCGATGCATCATGGCTGGGGGATCAATGCGGTATAAGGCCTCAAGGTCTACATACCTACCTAGGTAGGTGGGTAGGCATTTATGCGATGATGTAGGAGGTAGCTCTATGCCTGGTCACCCGTCCTAACGTAGATACATGTGCCCAATGCCACCCATCTTTATCTACCTGCCAGTAAGGTAAGCCGTCGACGTCGGGCATCCGTGTTGGATTTCTGCGCCTAATGATTAAGTCACCAACTTCCATAGTGGCTAGTGGCATATTGGAAAGACACGGGGATAAACGACGGGCTAGATGTAGCCTATCCTACCTCGTAGGCCGCGCCGTGAAGAGGCGCGAAACCCATCTAGAAATGCCGACACGCGCACGGGAGAGCTGTATGGCCGCACACAGAATAGGTCAGGTAGCTACTGCTACGTTACCACCCCCCGCAATATTGCTAATGGCGTCTTTCTTTATCAGTTTCGGTTCCCCTCTATCTATAGAGTTGCTGTCTCCTGTTTAGGCATCCTTGGAAGTGCAAACTCGGAGGCATCGTGAACAGCTCATGCCAAAAACGCCACATGGAACTGAACCCCCTTACTATCTGGCCCGGAATTCCCTCCCTGTAAACGCATTGCAATGGTAAGTGCGACAACAAAAGGCTTCTCCCCTCACACACACACACACCGGTGCTGGAACCGACGTAGGCTTGGACGACTCCCGCAAACCCCCCTAGAGGTGGACGTCGGCCTTGGGCCTGTCGCCACCTCATGCCAGCGTATCGTATTCTCCATGCTCGCGTGCATTTGCGACCTCCACCCGTCGGAGCATTCGTTGCCGCGCGCCGTAACTGCGTGGGAGAGGCGTGTCTAGCTCCGTCTACCTATCGCCGATCCTGGATGCTGCCCACGAATGACGGGTCTTTAACGCTACCGCCGGCGTCGCCGAGCCCGGCGATTGGTCGGTTGTAGCTGAAGCCCACAAACTGGTTCTGCATCGTTTCTGACAAAACCGGGCCCTCGACGTACGAGTCTTGGGGGGCTTCCGACGTGAATTCGGGGTCAAAGTTGCCGGTATCGAGAGCGTCCGCCTAACGTATCGAAACTGGGTCAGCGGAAATGTATCACCTACGCGAGGCGACCGCGAGAGAGGACGGGGAAGGATACTCACAACGCTAGGCTTGAAGGTCGGCTCGTACTTGCGCTGCAGCAGCTTGCGCCAGTCGATGGCGTGGAAGAACGGATGCGCCTTGATCTCAGCGCTACCCGCAGCTCCTAAACGTTCTTCCGGGTCGCGGTTCAGCAGCTTGGTCAGGAGGTCCTTGGCTGCGGGCGGCACCACGTCTGGACCGGGGAAATGCAGGGGCTCCGAGAGGATCTTGCGATACATCTCGTTGGTGTTCTCGTCGTAGAACGGAGGGAGACCCGTAAGCATTTCGTAGAGAAGGACGCCCAGCGTCCACCAGTCCACTGTCTTCTTGTATCCCTTGCCGCTGAGGAGCTCGGGCGCCAGGTATTCAGGCGTGCCGCAGAACGTGTTGGTGCGATCCTCATCCTTCATGTCGAGCTTGCAGAGGCCGAAATCGCACAGCGCTATGTGACCTTGGTAATCGAGGAGGATGTTCTCAGGCTTGAGATCTCGGTAGATGACGTTGAACCCGTGAAGGCATTCGAGGGCGCAGAGGAGTTCGGCAGTGTAGAAGCGCGCCCGGTTGACGTCGAAACGCTGCTCCTTCTGGAGATGATGGAACAGCTCGCCGCCGTTGACGAACGCCAGGACAAAGTACAGCTTCTCGGGGGACTGAAACGTGAACTTGAGGGGGACGATGAAGGGATTGTTGATCTGGGCGAGCACCGACCTCTCGGCGAGCGTATGGGAAACCTCGGATCGAGAGATGATGTGGGCCTTGCGAATCGTCTTCAGGGCGTAGATCCGGTTCGTGTCCTTCTTGCGCACCTGCATGACCTTGCCGAAGCTGCCCTTCCCCACCACCTTGAGCAGTTTGAAATCCTCGATCTTGAGCTTGCCAGCACGGTTCTCGACGTACTCGACGCCGATCTTCAGCCTACCCGAGCCGTACTGCACGTCGACCCAATCAACACCAGTATGCCCCAGCTCGCGCTCCCGGTTGTTGAACTCGGCCGCCGCCTTCTCGCGATCCTTCTTGTTAGCCTTCGGATCTTCGACAAAAGCACGCTTCTCCTCGAATCGAGGGTTGATCCGGACAACACCTAGGAAGATATCCTGGCCTCGTCCCGACCCCGGAGCCGCGTTGGGATTGCGCATGTATAGGTGCACGTTTAGCTCGGTCACGCGAGACACGTCGAACTTGTACTGCGTGTTGTCGCCAGCCCACAGGGGATTCTCCGGGTTGCCCGAGACCGAGTTCACGAAGACCTGAACCTTGTCAAAATCCAGAAGGGCGTAGGGCAGGTATTTGCTCGAGATTCGGCCGTGGTTGGAAGGTATGCCGGTAAAGCCTCCGGCAGATGTCTGCGGCCGGCCGTTCGCATACGATCCGACCGCCGCTCGCTGAGAAGATCCCGGTCGCACGGAACCGGGCGCGTTGAGAGCGTTCCCCGTCGACATCGACCCCTGGCCATGTTGGAATGCATTGCGGTGCTCTTCGGGAAGGGCGAAGTTCTGACCCTCGTGTAGGGTAACGACGAGGATGCCGGGTTTCGGTGGCTTTACGATCGGCTCTTGTACGAGGCCTTCCGATGCGGCTGCATAGTGTCAATAGTGCTTGGACGGCGGGTGTGTAGATGGTTACAAACCGATCGAGTCAGTCGGAGTAAGAGCAGAAGGGGTCGCAAGTCCCTTCTCGTCTTTCTCTGTGATGGTGGAGGTGGAAGGATTTCGTGAGAAGGTGCTGGTGAGGGGACCCAGATGGGTTTCCTTCAACTCTGGTAAGAAGCATCGTGTCAGTAGGATCACCCACGGCCATGGACTGTCAGGTGGACGGTGTTGATCCTCGACGGGAAATGCATCAGGGCGGTGGGCAGGGGGCTCGGGGGGCTGGATAATCACATTCACACTTGACTCGGCTGCGGAAGGGGGCACTCTTGACTTACTCTTGGTGAGCTTCCACGACATCTTCCCAGTGCTAGTACTACGGCGATCGCGGCGTCGAGCGATGGCCAGATGGGGTAGAGTTGGTGGCAGTCGGTGAACGTCGCAGAATCTCAGGCTCGCGGGCGAGATGATTTGATGTTATGGCAAAAGAGGAGTAGGTGGATGGGATGAAAGGGGGGAGACAACTGTGGGAGGGGCAGACGGGAGTCAGTTATCGGTAAAGCCAAGGTCATCCGCTCTTCCTCAAGAAGGGCTGCGGAGTCGGACAGATGGTAGAGGAGGGTATGTAGCAGGTAGATGATAAGGCAAAGGGGGAGATGATGTAGAGAAGTAGAGAAGGTGGCTGAGGGAGGAAAAGAAAGAAAAAAAAGACATGGAGGTAGGTCAGGATGGATGGGTGGACGGTTGATCAATTGGAAATATTGGGGAGAGGAGAGATCTGAGGTTGTTGACAGGTACTTTTTTGGCCTGGTCTTGCTGGGTCTCGGCCTTTGGGGGCACAGACAATTCTCGGGCAACTGCTTGAACCGCACAATAAGTGTGCATATTCAGTGTATCATAGCGGTTAGCAGCGCCAGAGCAGAGATAGCGTGCACATATAGGGGGTCCTATCTCAGGGGGCGGGGGGGCTGTCTTGGAGTCGCCTTAGAGGCTTCAAGGGGTGCTACAGATTCCAGCTTTAGCGATGTGGAGTTCCCCTGGCTTAAATGATCTTACTGCTTCAGGTGCCTGTACCATGCTATGTAACAGACCACGTAGGTACCTTGGGTACTTACCTGCCTCTAACTAAGGGGTATTCTTATGTACTGCGGGTACGTGGAGTCTGTGAGGAAGGTAGGTACTTACCTAGGCAGGTACCCAACATGTGTACGCATATACTATGTTATACGTACCTACCTAGGTATATACATCGGAGCTGAGCGATAAGATAAGAGGTATATGCCGGGCATGTTGGACGAAGTTATGGCCTAATGCTCCATATCCCATGATCTCGTCTACCCTCACTTGTAGGTAGTTTTGCATACAGTACAGGTGCCAGCCGTGATATCTGCTGGGAGGGAAATTCAGCATGGAAGTGGATGTGCTAAGTTCGGGCCTATGTCTGCACACGTAACTGCATACGCGTATTGGGTAGGTGCAGGTAACACCTTATGGGTAACCTCATATCCAGTAGGCGTTACATACCCAAGGCATATACCTACGTGTATGTGGGTGGAAGAGCGTTCACACCACTCGATACCTAACATCGATATATCTACATTGCGTTCGTGTATAAGTGTAGAATGTATGCTTGGTCCTAGACCTCGATCCTGGCCGACTCATATCCATATGTAGGTATCCAGCCGCCGAAACATGTCCCCGTGTTTGTCCCTGTTGATTGTCGAATTTGTCAGCTACCCGTCAACACGTCTGCAGACAAGTATCGTATACATGGACACGAAGCACACCCGAGCAATGCACAGCCTGGCTTCAAGCCTCTAAAAATCTCCCTGTAAGTCTGGGCGCGCCCCTCTACGTAAAAGCGCGGACACGTAGAGAGGGAGAGCGGAATGCCGGAATCAAGAAATGAGCCGTTGGGATTACTTATGCGGCATAGTCTCTAACCATGTCTACGTAGGCGGCACTGCCACTAGATACGTAGTTATACTGCTTCCATATAGGAACAAATTTCGACAGTCAAAATATAGGCGGTAATTAGCCGTCCCGTAGGTATACCATCCCTGAGACTTCGATAGGTTGCCTATTATAGATAAGACGAAGCCACCTGTGACCTTTCACCGAATGGGAGGTGTCACCAGCATCGTCGGCGTTAGGTAGTGGCTAGCGGACTGGATGGTGCGTGTATGCAAAGGTATTCCTCCACCTATCGGTGGGTGTGCCTGTGTTGGATTGCAATGGATGCGCCGTCTTTGCATCTAATATCTCGTTTTCTTTGACGTACCTACCTGCTCTGGCTTGTAGTGCTACAGGCCTACTGCCTTCGAGTTATTTTTAGCAACCAATACCTCGTGTTTCCTCATTTTGCAATGGCAACTAGGAACTAGGAAATGAGCAAGACTGTGGCTTGTGATGGAAACACCTACGCCAATGAGAGAGATCTCGAACAAAACTCATCGAATAAGACGCGAGTCACGCACGTGTCCGCTAGGTTTAGTGAGGCGCTCAGTTTTCGTTAGAAATTGATGAGCCATGTCAGACTCTCTTATTCATTATTCTATCTAGCTTGCGTACGGAGTTGAGGAACTCTCAAGCCACGAGAATGATCCCCCATCTACTCGTACACTAAGACGTAGAAGCGGCCTCAATAGCAAGTCGCCGTAAGATAGATAACATCATTAGATGCACGTACATCCCAAAAGGGTGCGCAAGACGGTGGCTTAGTTGGCCTTCGGGGGCTGAGTCGACTACATTGTGCAACTACCATTCGATGGTAGAGTTCCCCTCTATCATGTCATAAGCGACAAACCGACTCCGAGATATGTAACCTTGCGAAATGAAGCCCTCACTAACGGGAGCAGTTCGATCATTGGGAGCTTGGGCGTTGTAACTTACGTAGATGCCACATGGATATATACCTAAGAAGGCCACTATTAGTACCTACAGCAGATCTTCAAGGGGGTATTTCTCGTGACAGCTACGTACCCATTAAATTACCCAGGCACATGGCACTGGGTCCCAGTCGGGAGTTTAAATGTAGCGAGATGCCATGTTACCACGTACTCAACGCGTATGAGTGGACGGTGACGACGAACCCCCGTCGTATACCTCAGCCTCTACGCATTGGGATGGGTTGTATTTAAGGAGACGGAGAAGGATTCATGAAATTGCGTTGTCGCGACGGCAATCCGGGACCTCCAGCCAGTGGAGCGGCGCCCCTGTCCACACCGAGCTGCGCCTCACCACTCAACTTCCTCCAACATGGCATCCAGGCCAGATGGGTCGGTCGCTAATCGATGTCGTTAGTCGCGAACACGCTGTCCTTCATCGGCCGTGTCGCAAAGCCTACCCATGCTGCACGTACATCTCCGCGATTTTCATGAAACCATCCGGCCGCTGGGTCCTATAGCTTGTCTTCCGGCCACAATTTGCAGATCATCATCGAGGAGAAGGGGTTCTACCGGCATGGTGACGATGGCTTCCGACGGCACCAAACAACGAGGGGGCACACCTGCAGCTGAACATATCCGCGGTGAGGAAGGGGGGATCATGCTAGGCCCAGCAGGGCCGCCGGAGTCCCGGCACAGCGACGCGCAACTTGATGATCAGGTCGCCTCAGATTTTGCCGTCGTGTCGCCTCGCGTGTATTTGACTGGATGGAGATTACATGTCCTCACATTTGGGTATTGCTCCTACTCGCGGAGGATGCGTCTGTCTAGGCTTTGCGAACCTGACTGCCGCGCAGATTATGCCTCTCCCTGTTCCTGTCCGCGTTGGAGACGACGATAGTCAGCACGTCTCTCATTTCGATCACTAATGCTTTAGGGGGGTTCGAGCAGAGAGATTGGGTCGTTACCGCGTATCTCATCACCTATACTGGCGAGTCTCCTTCCCCCGAGACACCGTAGTAGTACAAAGGAGTCACCCCTAAACGATCAGTTTGTAGGCTTCCTCATCATCTACGCAAAATTTAGCGATGTCCTGGGCCGTAAGCTGTTGTTACTCGTCGCGATAGCGTTCTTCACCGTGTTCTCGATCGTCTGCGGCTCAGTTTCAGACATGACACAGCTGTATGTCGGACCAGCTATGGACTAACTGAGCTTCCCGTGGGCCCGTCGCTAAGCTATCTGTAGGATTGTATTCCGTTCCCTCCAGGGCGTGGGCGCCTCCGGTATCTATGCACTCGTGACGGTCATCCAGCCCGAGATGGTCCCCCCCGAGAAATGGGGCAATTTCGTCGCCGTCGTCTCCCTCGTCTTCATCCTTAGTTCCGCCCTCGGCCCGATACTAGGCGGCGCGATCAACGACCGTTCGTCCTGGCGATGGGTTTTCCTACTGAAGTAGGCTAAGTAAAACCTCGAATGGAGACAGTGATAGAGTCAACTGACGCTCATACAGCGCTCCAGCCGGTGCGGTTGCGACCGCTCTGATCGCCTTTGTCATGCCTGCTCACTTTCCCGACCTGAGCAATCCGACCGTCCGTATAAGCTTCCGCTCCAAGATATCTCGGGCGTCGCTGAGTCGTCTCGACGTCATCGGCGCAGCCCTGCTGCTCTTCTCGTCCGCTCTGATCGTCTTCGCCTTCGAAGAGGCAGGCTCTCGGTATCGTTGGGATAGCCCTGCTATCCTGAGCACCATCATAATCGGCGGGGCCCTTTTCGTCGGCTTCATCGTGTGGGAAAAGTTTGCAGGCTCGTCTAGGTCGCCCAGCGAACCCATTTTCCCTCTTCGCCTGATGAAGGGTCGGCTATTTAGTAGTCTCATCGTGTGAGCACACTATTTACAAACTAGGGAGCTCGAGTAATTGATGAGTGACAGGGTTGCGTTCTGCACGGGGCCTCCATTCATGACTGTATTGATCAATCTCCCGCAGCGCTTCCAGGCAGTTGATGGCGAAAGTCCTTTGCAAGCTGGTATTCGTCTCTTACCCTTGCTTCTTGCCTCACCCGTGGCCACGGCCGTATCTGGACAACTTGCGGGCAGATTCAAGGTACCGCCGTTTTACCTTCTTGTATTCGGCTCGTCCATGCATTTGCTTGGGTTAGGTCTCGCAAGCTCTATACCTTTTACCAGCGGCAGTGCCATGTACGGCTACGAAGTTATCATGGGGTTTGGGTTCGGAATGGGTCTAGTCTCACTTTTGGTATTTACACCTCTAGTAGTGAACAGGAATGATATGGGTACGTCTTATCACCCTAAGCATCGGTGGTCCTCAGGTGGCCAACTTGTTGACTATTCGTCTCATAGCTGTCGCGATGGGCTCTCTCACCCAGATCAGAGTTCTGGGAGGGACTATAGGACTGGCTATCAGGTAAGATATTTACGTCAACTTAACCAAAACAACACAATAACAGCGAGACAGTTCAACGGTCCTGAATAACCATCTATCTTCCAACTTACCGAAACTACTCAGTCCGGAGGACATCCAGCATATCTCGGATTCGGCACAATTCATAAACACACTCCCAGACGTTACCCGAGACGCGGTGCGACAGATCTTCGCCGATGGTTTCAATGCACAACTGCGTGTCATGATGTATTTTAGCGTCGTAGTTTGGGTATTTAGCTTGACGCTTTGGGAGCGGAAGATGAGGAACGCTGCTAATATTGAAGGCTACTGACTTCTAACAAAGTTGGTGGCTGTAATCTCGAGGCGTTCGCTATCGACCTTACCCGGATACACACAATCCGCAGTGTGTATAAAGGAGATCCTGTCCTACGAAGCTCAAAGCATTTCTGCTGTAGTGTCATCCCCTAAGTCCCCGACCTCTGAATTACCTCGCTCTATGCGGTAAGAGGACCGGTTTCTGGGTCCCGTGCGAGCTCGCCATTTCGGATTCTCTCGCACAGGGCCTTGAGGACTTCGGCCCCCCTCCTGAAGTCCTCTACCTCAACGTAGATCGCGCCGCTGAGGCGCCACCACCACGCGCCGCGGTACAACCAGGTCTGGAAGTAGAAGCCGCTCTCGCGCTCGCCCCTAATCTTGATCCAGCGGACGACACGAGGCGCGTGCTCTGGGCTCACCTTGCCGCTGCCGCTGCCGCTGTCCGCGTCGTCGGTGCCTAGTTCGATCGGCAGCCGCACGTTGGCGAAGAAGCAATCCCGGATGCACGATCCGGGGCAGTCCAGAATTTCAGTGCCGAAGATATCAGCGACGACGGCAGCGCTACGCTGCGCAACTTCGCGGCAGTATGCTTTGATGGCGGCTTCGCCACCGCAGACGTTTGTGCGGAAGTCGATCGCGGCTACAGTCGTAGTAGTACTTTAGTGTCTAGGCTCGAGGAAAGCGTGCGAGATGGGGGACGGAGGAAAAGGGTTTACCCTGAACGCAAAGCCAAGCCGTCGTGTCATCGGAACCTGTGTAGATGAACGTCAGCTTCAAATAAACGAACCCTCTTCCCACCGTCCCGTTGCGTAGCCAATATTCTATAGGTAGGTATATCCTAGCTAGCAACAGCTAACACCCCGTCGGATATTAGAATTCGCAGCATCGCCAACATACCAGTAAAACTGAACATCTCGGTGAAAGTTTCGCCGTCCTCGTCAATGACGCCGAGCCGCCTCCGCGGCGTGAACCCGTGGCTCGTGGGCAGACTCGTCCGGATGAGCGGCTGGTGGCGGCGGGGGATGTAGAGGGCAGCGCAGCCACGCGGGACGAAGAACCACTTGTGCAGGTTCGTGACGAGGAAGTCGGGGCGCAGGACGTCGAGGTTGATGTCGATGTGGCCGATGCCGTGCGCGGCATCGACAAGCACCATGGCGCCCTCGGCCTGCAGCGCCGGCACGAGGCGCTCGTACGGCACGCGCAGGCCCGGCATGCTGATGATGGAGTCGACGATGGCGAGGCGCAGGCGACGGCCCGGGGTGGTCTGGACTTCGCGGGCGGCGGCGACCATGGTGGCGACGAGCTCGTCGTCGGGCAGGGGCCACTGGGGGCGCGCGACGTGGACGTGGACACCGCGCGTCTCCTCGAGCCAGGACAAGCCGTGGGCGACGGCGCCGTACACGAGCTCGTACACGAGGACAGTGTCGCCGTCCTGCCACTCGAAGTTCTTGAGCACGGTGTCGGTGCCGGTGGTGGCATTGGGCACGAAGACGACCTCGTCCGGGTCGGCGGCGCCGAGCACGCGGGCGGCCAGCGCGCGCTGCTCGGCGAGCCGGCCGTAGAAGTCGAGGGAGATGAAGGGATCGGGGGCGGCGTCGACCTCGGCCTCAAGGGCGACGTGGGTGGCGCGCACCGACTTGGGCACAGTCCCGTAGGACCCGTGGTTCAGCGGGGTGTAGCGCGGCGCGAAGGCGAAGTGCTTCCGGCGCATCTCGGCACCGAAAGGGACTTCCGGGGTGCCCGACATCTTGGCGGTCGTTGTCTGTTTGGAGCTGTCGGGGTTGTCGTGGTAGACAATCGTCATAATCGGCCCAGCGATACTACGCTCGCCGCCTCGCTACGCGGCCGGTGGCACCGGTGATATACTGAGGGGGGGGGGGGTGAGTGCGACTGTCTAGGAAGTTCGTAGCACCCAAGGTAGGGGGGACTTCGCCGTTCCCGTGTAGGAGGTGTATATATATACCTACCTGGTGTGTATGCGTGGATACCGGGGTGAGGAGGTCTCGGCAAGCGATCGAAGCCCTTCGCTGCCTAACCGAACCGCTCCCGCATCGGCGTGGCTGCGATGGCGCTGTTGAATGACTTAGATCTGGGTTAGCTTTATGCAGCTCTGCTGGGGCATGAAGCTGGTAGGGTTCAACTGCGAGATGCCCGCCCCTCTTGGAGAATCTCTTGGGTCCCGGACTCGGTGCCTCTCCACCCTAACCCCTCCTGCTGTAAACCTTCCCCCGAACATCTTTTTCCCAGGACTGATCCAGCCAATCACGTCTCGCCGTTCCTGTCTCCCGCTAACGGCCTGGTCCTGTTCGCCTTTCGTCTATCGTTTATCGACGCGCGCGGGAAGGTTCTCGAGTTTCTCGAGAAGCGCAACGGACGCCTCGACTCGGTCTCGGTTTGCCGTTCTACGGTTAAGTCCTCGGCGCGCCGATGAGAAGTTGTCTTGACGGCGATGGCAACCATGATGAGGGATTACTTCGAGAATCCGGCGTTCTCGTCCCCCTACCCCGCTTTCTACGGGGTAGTAAGCAGGGCTCTACTAGGTGTCGGGTGCTAGGAGAAATTCGGGCGTGGGCGCGAGGAGAGGAGGAGAGAGAAAGTAGGAACGGAGGTTTTACTGCTGTCCGTCGAGGCGAAGCTTTCCTCCGGGTGCCTAACCAAAATGGCCCCTACCGCTATGGGGAAAATACCGGTAGGGAGCGAAGGGTGCGGGTACGATACCGTGGACATCTAGCCGTGGGGGGTTTTCCCGACTGAACGGGCGATTATACGGCTACCTGCCCCTTCGTGCCGCCGTCGTCGCGGGCCCGTCTCATTATCTGTACATAGGTAGAAAAGTGACGTTAAATATCCATCCATCCATCAACCCTCCTGCTGTAGTCCGATGATCATCGTCATCACATTACTTGGGTGACCCGGTCACATATAGGATGTGGACGCCGCATACCTCCTCCGCTAAGCGACGTGTACTATGGAGGTGAGGTTCAGACACACTAAGCCTACCTACCATAGGTACCTAGCCCGTCTGCATGCGCGCGATTCGCCTCCTGCGACAACCCATGCATCCGGACCGCAGAACGCATCCCGAGTCGGCTTGTATCGGGCAAGTTGACGTAGATTCTATCGTTGCCATTAGGTAACGAGGGCATTCGGCCCAGACTAGACTTATGAAGCTATTGGTAAGAGAACCCAGTCACTTGGTACTTGTCGCGTCGGAAGCCGTATAAGCCTAGCTAGCCCGTTGCCCCGCAACAACCTTTTGATTTCGATACTATAGCCCCCAAGGTCCGTACATTTATATCCGATGCTATTGGGTTTACAACTTGTCGCCCTGCATGTTCTTCGCCGGAGCAGGTTGCGGTGTAGGCCTTGAAGGGCAGTGCTATCTAAACCCCTCCCACCTGGTACTTCTACTCGACATGCGTAACCTGTAGCCTTGCTTCGGACGGCGAGAGCGCTTGGGTTCTGGACATCGAAGTCAAGGGTATCTATGTATATGCAGACACACCAGTGGCGACAGTGTTATTTCTGTGAGGGTCCTGCCTGCTTGGGAGAAGACGAGGTTCAACCCCGATCCCCAAACTCGGTCGACAACGTGAACGAAATGACAACATTAGGTATATATACTCCCTCGGCGAGCCGTGCGTTGCCCGTCGAGTCTATCCGCATATGTGGCGCGGGCGGCGGTATAGGACTCAGGAGAAGGCTTGGGATAGAAAACAGAAACTTGTTGCTCGTAACTCTCTTGCTTCAAAAACACCGCCTTTTCCTTGCGCGCAAGGTTGGATATCCTGCCGGTGCGTAGCCGACACAAACCAAAACGCCGTCCGATGCAAAACCTGCTAAATGGGAAAGAGATTATCGCGTCAATCTTCGAGACCGGCCCGTCTTCGACGATGCGAATGACCGTCACAGATGCGACGACCACCATCCTTCAGGGGATTGCGATTCTCCCCATCCCCCGACGTCATTCTCTACGCTTTCGCTTCTCACCAATCCACTGCCCACCCGTTCTGGTCTAAGAATTCCTGGCACGCTTCTCGCAGCTGGAGATTCGACCGTAGCTCGCTAGGATAGAGTGGCTCTCGCGTTAGAGGGTCGATGGGGTGTCTCCGGAGGTGCTCCATGATAGAGGCTCTCTCATATGACTTGCCCGTCTTGGTCTGTGTAATGAGACGAATCAGTCGCCCATCCATAGCTATACATCCCCCCCCGGTCGGATGATGATCCAATCCTAACTAAGGAGGAGGGGGCGGCTGAAGCTACACTTACTATAACCGGATCGACCATGATACCAAAACTGATATCGTCGATCGCCCAATCCGGCACCTTGCGTCTCTGCTCGGAGGCGGCTCTCGATTTCTCAAACGTCTCCCGCAGAATGGAGATCTTCTGATCCCACTCTTCAGCGACAAGCTTCTTGTCTAGGGCCGTGGTGCACGAGTTAACCACGTCGTCGCGTTCACGCTCCATGAGGGCGACGGCTTCGTTCTCTAGATCCTGCGCCTCGCGCGTTCGCCGCTTTTCCCGCTCTTCCCAACGTTCCTTCTTGCAACGGAGGACCTGGTTCGTAACCGGGCCGAGCGACCGATCGTTGGTCTCGACGCAGAGGCGGTGGGCATGCAGGGCGTTGTCGAGGGCGGCGTCGTAGTCACGTATGGCAAGCTGACACTGGGACAGGTAAAAGTAGGCCTTCATGTTGCCGTGAGACAACTTAAGGCAAGCCTGGCAATCCGAGATGGCAGAGTCGTAGAGCTCGAGACGAATGCGCGCCATCGCCCGGTTGGTATACAGCAGGGGGTTCGTGTCGTCTGCGATTATGCTGTGAATCCGGTCGTTGTTAGCTTAGGCCCGGAAATCGCCCACCCTCTGTAGACAGTTTGCGCCCTGGCCTCCTCCTGTACGTACGCTTTGGAGTAGAGGCTCTCGGCGCCTATGTAGTCGCCGGCCTGGAAATGGTGATTCCCATCCTCCTTCAGCTTGGCCGCCTTGTCCACATCCTGGGGCATGTCTCTAAGCCTTGAGCGGCAGCTCGAGTAAAGGGGTGACTCTATGTAAGGTCAAGAGTGAATGTGGCACAACAGGAAAGGAGACGGTAGGTGTCGGCGACCTGTCTCTTCGGAGAGAAGGAGTATGCACGACTGTGTATTGATTCAGGTGGGTATTTGTTTCGTTCCGTCAGACAAAATGCGAGGCAGCGGGAGGTGATGTTGCCGAGGGGTTCTCATCGCCGTTGAAGGGTTAAAAGGGGGTGGGGGGGATAATAAGAATATCGCCGCAGGGGACGGTTGAGGGAGAAGTCGGGGTCGTGCAGACCAGGCCAAGATGGATGCGGCGAGATTGGGTGGTGAGAGAAGGGAGAGAGACTACGACGCACAATTCCATCCGTTTCCAAGAGCGCCGCCAGTTGAAGTTCAGCCTTATCAGCCGACCAACCTCGATGCCTGCTCGGAACTAGAGATCGAGACCTCCCTTCGGTCGTGGCGCGCGCGCAACGTGTTGGGATGCTCTAGCCATTTGTCAGGCGAAGATTCGAGAACCCCTCAGGGGCTTAGCACCTTTAAGGAGGTAGGTAAATAGGGGTGAGGCGGGGGGTTGTGGGGGGGTGCACTGTACCTACCTAGGTAGCCATATCAATATCCGTTGCAGGCTACCTTGGATACCTAAGGTATCTACTTACACGTAGGTACCTCATTTAATGGCGCATTACCACCGGAACAAGGTTTGTATATATCAATGTACATACACAAACTCTTACACCATGTAGAGATACCTCTCAGGTACCTGCATATCTCAAATGAATTGAGGCATATATATATGGCCCGGAGGTCGCTACGCCAGCACCCCGTAGAAGGTAGGTTAGGTACCTCCTTACTTCGCCAGGATTCCCCACACTCCCTTCTCCCCTTATTACGTAGGTACCCAGGTACGTATTGCCCACTAACTCCCCTGACTTTCTTCTCTTGCCCTTCCCTGCCAGCTTTGCTTCATACTATAATTGTAGATGCCTACGCCCACGAGGGCAACGATACAATCGATCTGGGCATGCTTTCTTGGCTTGACCTTCGACATCCTCTACCCCTACCGTGAAATACCTAAGCGTAATTGAATCTGTTTTGTTGCATCTTTCCCGTAGAAAATCAGCCTGTCACAACTGATCGCAACAAAATTAACGATGCCATACCAACCAGAAGGCCTTTTACTGCCGCAGCTGGGCGAGGTCATGCTTATCCCAGGCCGACGCTTCCGTACGGGTTCAACCGCCAGCCCAAGAATCGGACCACTATCATCACTCCAGAAACGCCACCGCTCTCGTCAGAGCTCAACAAGGTACCTCGTTGAACCACAGTCAGGCGTGGCCTTCAGCGCGGTCGAAATGGTTCGTTAAGCAAGAGATCCAAGTTCATAATTAAGGGGCTAAGTATATATTAAGGGCGATTGCCTTTCTCGTGCTCGCCGCTCTACTTCCGTCTATTCCTCCGACTCTCCTCGCTTGTCGTCTTGGCCGACGTTGGGGCGAGCTGACCTCTCGGGGCCGACGTGGATGACGCCAACCTGGCGAACAACTAGATACGTGGGGATGATTGCAATGCCCCAGAGAGCGAAGGTAATGCCTAGGGCAGTTATGAGCTGGACGCGTGTTAGCGGACGGCAGCACTTGGGTTTCCGCGAGTTTACCTAGTACCTACCGGTGTCGTGGTCGAGCTGATGCCGCTCGAGATACATTGCCCGGCCGCTTCAGCTGCTCTGGCCACGGACATGTACCGCGCCGTCTCCCCAGGCTCTTTTGCTAGGAAGCTGATGAGCCAGAAGCCGAAGTTGTAGGTGAGAGAGAAGTTGATCTGCCAGAAGATGTACAGCGCCCAACCCCGTCCGAAATCGCCGTCATCCCAGTCGAGTGCCGGCTTGTGACGCGTGTATTCGTTCTGCACCACCGCGCCCCACACCCAGCAGCCTCCGATGAGGGTCATCATGGCGATGTACCCGTACCGCGCACGCTTGTTGAGGCTGACCCGGGTCCAGTCGAGGAACATGCCGAAGGCGAGTGTTGTCACGACTTGAGCAATCGCCGAGACCAACGAGGCGAGGGCGCGAGAGCGGACCGAGAAGTATAGCGATAGATATGCGCTGATGTAAGGGAGCTCCCACGTCACGTAGATGAAATAGGGGGCGCTGTCAACCTTGTCTATTAGCTTACTCCGTCGCTGATTCCAAGAGCGTGTTCACGCACATGAAGAGGAAGTCTTTTCGCAACAAGACTCGGGTCAGCGCCTTTAGCTCAGCGAGATCTGATATCCGTTCGCTCAGCTGAACGCGCGTTCCGTTCCTGCGCACAACCTTCTCCGGAGGCGTCAATAAGAATGAAGCTGCCGGTCCCAAGCATTCTAAACATCGCGTGTGAGCCAAGTAGAGAACTCGAAATAGCTTCAGCTGGACACTCACGAAGTACGACGAAAACGATATAGGTCCTCCAATCCAGCTTTCCGGTGGCCCTCCCCTGGTAGTTAAAAGCGAGGTTGATAATGCCCCCGAGAATGGCGCCGCTGTTTCGGTAGCTCAGCCAGTATGCGAGGTACCGGCCCCGCTTCTCGGCCTCGGGGTAGCTCAGCATGATGGCGCCTTCGGTAGCCCAGAAGATGCCGGCCGAGAGGCCGCACGCGGCCGAGCCCAGGTATATGAACCATTCGTTACCGTAACGATTATTCGTGTACAGAGCAGCTGAGTAGATGACGAAGCCGACCGTACCGACCACGAGCGAGTTGCGCAGGCCGAAGCGGTTCGCCATCATACTCCCTGTTAGGCATGTAAAAGTCATGACGGCGAAGAGGATGGCATTTCCCGCCCTGTGCTCTCCCCCCGTTAGCCAGCTAGTCCCACAGTTGCTCTCTTGACTTGGTGTTGCCTCCCGCTCACATTACCAGATATGGCGTCTGCTGCCCGCCAGCGCCAACGGAGTTCATCGCATTCCATAACCCGGGGGCGGCAAACGCGGCGATACCAACAATTGTCGCGTTGAAGAAGACGCCCCGATACCACACGTATTTTGGGCTGGTCGCAACAGCCTCCTCGTCGCCGGACGAGGACGCCACGGTGACAGCATTTGCTGTCGGGGTCTTGTCCGTAGACATGAGTACGGGTTTGGTTGGATGACTGTATCTGGATGACTGTATCTGAGCCGAGCCGTACTTCGTGTGCGATCTCTTAGACTGTAGAGCGGCCTGCGTTTCCTTTTATGAAGGCCTAGCTTAGGCGATGGCCGTCTCCAGCTACGGCGATCAATCGGATCTCTGGTCGGGATCGAGGCCGATTGCGTGCTCGAGACCAAGCCGTTTACGTATTGCCTGTCTACGTTACTGGATCCTCCTCTAGCGAGCTCCTGAGATGAACCTGGTCGTCGGGAGCATGATGCGCAGATGGGATGATTGCACCCCTAGGCCCGAACCTGCACGACCGTACTGTGAGCCGACTAACTCAACTACTCTTCCGTCGACGGCCTGGTCACCCATGGGAATTATACGATATTTTGGATTGAAGTTACTCCTGCTTTTATGAGCATTCAGCAGTTAGACCCCTTCGACCGCGCCCTAAACTAGTCAAGTACCGATGGAAAGGAACGAGATGAGAGAAAGGCCGGGAATCCCCAAACACATTCTCGGGACTTCATCCCGGCTCTCTACGGTATCATGAATCCGGGGAGCCTGAGCCATGGCATGGTATGAGGAGGGTGTGCTTGAGCTCGTTACGTAGGCGTGGATGCGACCTCTAGCTTGACAAGTAGGTATTAACCGATTCGTTGCAGGGGTAGCTCAGTCTGTTCTCTATCGTCAACCACCAATGAATCGCCCGCTCGAGATGCTTTGCGGGGTCGCTAGAGTTACGACATTTTGATCGTCGCTGACGCCTTCAACAACTCTCGCGATTCTATCGCAGTAAGGATTCTCAGCTCCAGGCTAAATATGGGCTTCGGAACATAGCCGATGAACTCTGGCACTATCGATCCATCATAGCCGACCCGAGCTCGGGGGAAGGCGATCAAGGCGTGGACGTCGCAATACAATATCAACAGAGCACCTCGGCGACCCTATGTAGGTTGATTGTACAGCTGCATCGTAGCCACAGAATTTTGCCCACCATGTCGAGCGACCACCAATTCGAGGCCTTCACGTTCGATGGCCAACAAGACACAACAAACTTCGGCCTGGACACCAGCGCGCCCTTCCCGTTGGCGCTGAGGCCTGCCAACGGATGGAACCCGACGTTAGAAGACTCCATACAAGCAATTAGGAGATTGTCAGAGTCGGGTAAAATATTCGAGGATGTGAGGATACATGGCGGCGCTGTGCTCATTCGCGGACTACCTATTAGGACACCGCAGGATTACAGCGAGGTTGCGCATGCGTTTGGTTTTCTTCCTCACGAGGAAGTTGGCCGGCCGCCGCTACGAACGGTGCTGGCGCCAAACGTTAAGACGGCAAACGAAGGGTAAGATATTGCTTGAGGTCAGACCGTTGCTATATTTTTCTAAGTAACGAATTCTCCAAAGACCGCCGGAACTGCCCATCTGGCCTCACAGCGAGTACGGATGGTCGACGATAAACCCTTCTTGGTTGACGTTCTCATGCCTGGATCTGCCGGATTCTGGTAATTCAACCCATATTTCATCCGAGAAAAGGCAGCATCTAACTTGACTTGTTTAGGTGGCGAAACTCCAGTCATCTCCAGCCTCGGCTTGGCGGCGGCGCTGAAGCAGCGAGCCCCGGAGTTCGTCGAGAAGTTACTCCAGAAGGGCGTGAAGTATGTGTATCGATACGGGCTCGAGGATGTGAAGTCGAACACGGGGACGAGCGTCATCGGTGCGTACGGCCAGCATGTGAAGCCGGGCGACGATAAGGAGACGACGAGGAGAAAGATCGAGGAGGAGGTACGACGACATAGCAACCGGTTCCAGTGGCACGAGGATGGGTCCTTGAGCGTGACGCACATTGTCCCCAGTAAGAACATGGGAAGCGCTTATTTCTCGGGGGGTGTCTAGCTGACAGGTATCGCAGTCATCAGGATTCATAATGATACCGGCCTGACTACTTGGTTTGGCAACCTCACCAGCGCATGGGGTCGAAGCACGTACCACGGCGCGACCGAGTTCCCGTACCGAGGCGACGACGGTTCCTATCACCCGCCCCCTGAGTACGGCGACGGTACGCCAATTGAGAAGGAGTACCTGGATCTGGCACTCGCGCTGGCGGAATCGCTGCAGGTCCTAGTGAAATGGGAACTTGGCGATATCGTGCTGCTAGATGTACGTTCACCCCCTCCCCTCTCCCAACTCGTTTTTATCACCCGCTACGATCGCATCTGACTGACGAGCCTCTAGAACTATGCCGTGATGCACTCGCGGTCTCCCTGGACTGGCAAGAGGACCGTGCTGGCGGCGTTGTGGAATGACCCTCACCCGAGAATAAGTGATTACCCACCGAGCACTAGAAGTGTCCTTGATGCCTCCCCAGAGGCGAGGCTGTGATCATGGATATTTTGGTGGCCGCACGCTTTTGAGCAACCGGATTCTGGCTTCACGTACAATCGTTAATAACATCCCACAACCTCTCCTCAGTACCGTACATCAGCCAGTAGGTTATCAGGGACGCGGTCTCGCTGCCATGGTGTATTGCAATTTCCAAGCCGCCGATTCCGCTATGTGCTCGATGCTGGTATGACCTCCACTGACCTGGGCACACGGTATGACTGTTTTCCTGTTGGCTTCGGACCCGGCCGTTACTGTTCCTCCCATTTTCCGAACTTCCCCACCGATAATAACCTGTAGACTACCCCCACGTAGGACTCAAAAACAATATGGCATCCTCCATGATCCCATACATTCGACGTATGTATTCGTTGGCATATTAAACATATGTGAAGTCCGGTGGGAGGTAATGCCACCTCTGGTCTCACGGAGGCCTTTCTTGCGGTATTATGGACTTGGCTCTTCTCCTTGGTGAAGCATCTGAATTTGCGCCATCTCGGCTTCTCGCTAATGATTCTTCGCAATCTTCTCAAGTGTTAGCTTCCTCAACGGAGATTAAGTAGATGCTATAACAAGTTCAGGTCACCTACCATTGCCCTGAGGCCGTCCCAGATCACGAAGATTACTAGCACGAAAGCGACCACCTGCCCGATGCTCCAAGTGTCCTCTGATTCCCCAGATAAATATTCTCGATTCCAGGACCGAGTCAGGAACAGTACGGAAACATTGGTGGCATAAATAGAGAACTGAGATATTATTGCTATTAGTCCAGGTAAGAAGTAATCGTTCCGTGAGTGCAGTATTGATGATTCATTGCCTTCATTTTCTCTCTGGGAATATAATAACCACAAAGAATAAAATGCGTAAAGCCCGAAGTAGGTCGTTGAGGTTGATATGTAAACGTGCTCCTCCTTTGGGTGCCCTAGTGAACGAATTAAAGGGAAGGTATTGTAGCAACGTCCCGGAATCGAATCGTCCCAGTACTGTAACTTTACACCAAATAATATAGTAAACGCGAAATGAAGTACCGCAAAAATGAATATCAAAGCCCCTTTAAAGGTAACTGTGCTGCTTAGGTGGGAACCGAGTAAAGCAGCTGTTATAGATATACTAGCTTTAATATTTAGCAACACAAGCCAAGGATAATCAATAGGAATAACTTGCCCTCCAGAAGTGGCTGTGTGATATATTATCCGATAATGATATAGACTTAAGGTATCGTGTTGAGTGAATGAAGCAATCAAAAGCGAAATTCCTAATGTGCACCTAGTTATTAGATATTGTTTTCAGTGTATAATATGATTGATGCATTTATAATATAATGTAACTAACCGTATATAATTTGGGCGTCGCTCATTCTCTCCAGTGTTTTCTCTATCAGGGCCTGCTTTTGGTCGCTGGACGCCACACCTAGATATGTGTTGAGGATCCGCGCAAGGGTTGCAAAATGACGTTCCAGGAGGCGAGGGGCCCGGACGTCGATAGACAATATTACAGAGAGGATCGCCGATAAGCCTCCCTGGATTGCAAATGCAAGCACAATCTATGATATGTAATACATTAACATCATTGAAGAGCGAATGCCTGGGGGACGTCACATACTCCAAGTCCAGCTATGTCAGGGTTGGTGTCGCCGACATCCCTGCAACTGGGTTCCATTGTGCCAACGCCGGTATTCGTAGAAGCCTCAATTAGGGCTTACGCATCAGCTTCAGGCTGGGAAGAGGCATTGGTTTCTGTGAAGCTTAATGATAGATTTGGAGATTTTTATACTAAAATCTAGACTGCGGCCGGAAGCCGTGTTATATACCATAGGTCCCTTCGCCTCAGTATACCTAATGTAGTCTGGCTACGATCACTGAATCGGGCTTCCCCCTTGAAGCCCTCAGGATCCAGCCTGCATGAGAGCATCCTTGCTTCGGCCAGTGACAAACTCCTCTCATTTTATTTCCGCCGCGCTAGAATACGTGGCTTTATGTAAGAGACCAATGATATCCCGAAAACTGACAGCCTGCCGTCGATACTCTAATATAATACACCCTCACTGCCATTTTCAGCTCCCGCTGAAATGGTCGCCGACACAAGGAAAAATGTGTATGTCAACATTTCCCCGCTTTGAAACATGGGCTTACATGGCCTCGTCCGTGACCGTTGATTAGTTGGGTGGTAGGATATCAAAGAGGAAAGGGAAGGGCTGAGTCCTGATTACACCATGGGTAGTTTGTGCGTCTCGTGCGATCGGAGGCAAGGGCATCATCCACTTCAAACGTCCTGTCCCTTGGCTGTTGGCGAAAAATATGAAGAAAAGGTTGTGAATAATATAAATACATATTCGCGCCCATCGCCTCCTGACTTTCATGGCCATGTGGGATATACCTACGTGTCTCAATATCCGGTGAGGCTAACAGTGTAGAGTATCAATCTCTCCTATTTTATTCCCCGTGTTGCCGAGCCAATCGTTTGATAGCCCAGTAGAATCCCAATCCAATCACCCAGAGGACAATAAGGACTAACGCAAGGACGGGCGCGAAGAATGCACCCCTGATGACCACGAATCCGCTAACTGCGGCAAACACCACAGGGACCAGAAGGAAAGGCTTGTATGGCCGCCGCAGCTCGGGCTCGCGGAACCTGAGGACTATCGCGCCCAGAACGGTGAGGAAGAAGAAGGAATACTCGCCCAGACCGTTGAAAGTCAGGAGAGCGCGGAAGTTTCCGAAGAAGATGTATAGGGCTGAGAGGATGGCGGAGAGGAGGATGGCGTTGATGGGCGCGTCCGATTGGGCCGCGGACGACGGACTCGGTATCTCCGTCGGAAGCTCTATCTCATCACCCCGCCTGGGCTTCAGGCCGATGTGACCGACGTATGAGAAAATACGGGGGAACCAATTTCGGTTCGCCGCCGCAACAGCCATACGACCGGCGACGAAGGAATTCCCGAGAAGAGAGCCCGCAACGACCAAGCAGATCAAAACAGCCGCGACGATGCCGAAACCGCGGCCCAGAAGACGAGTTATGGCAGTCTTCACGATTTGTAGTCAGTGGGAATCTCCTTTTGAACACAATAATAGGGTAGGGGATGATACTTACCACAGCTACGCTATCCGTCGTCGAGACAACATCCCACGGGAGCAAGATATAGTAAGCGGTATTGGCGGCGATGAAGCAGAGTATGATGGTTGGGACAGCTGAGTTGATAGCAAGCGGTAGCTGGCGCGCCGGCGACTGGAGCTCGGCGGATATATAGACGGCCTATCAAGAGGAGCTGAGTCTCCCCCGTTAGATAGATATGAAGGAGCGTGAGCTTACCTTATCCCACCCCGAATACGCCCACAAGGCTCCGTATAACGCTGTGGCGTAGTGGCCGAGTATTTCCCAGCCGCCCAGCTGGTCCCAGTCTGTCTTGCTCCCGTCAGGGTTTGTAACCTCTCTGTTGCCAAACCAGGGCCTGTCAAACCAATCTCTCCCGCCGACATCCTTTTCCGGATCGGAAGTTTGAAGGATTACGACCACGATCCCCGCCAACACGACAGCAGCAATGGTGACGAACTTCGTAACCACGAAGAAGTTGTTCAGGCGTGTGCTCGCCTTGGTGCTGATGGAGTTGGCGACGCTGATGACGACCAGGATGAGAATGGAAAACAGCTTGTGCTCAATCCTGGCTGCCTGGTCCGTCACGCCAATAGCAGAGTAGATGCTCTCGACGAACACGATGCTGAGAATGGCGAGCGTGGCGGGCATCACGGCTACGATCCACGTCCAGGCCGCCAGGAAGCCGAAGACATCCCCGAAGATGTACTGCAGGTAGGGCTGTACGCCACCTAGTCACGGGCCTTAGCATGCACGATTCGGGAAGGGGTAGGAGTTCAGAAGAGTTTTGTTTAGTTAGTTGACTAGTGAAATAGCCTGCTCACCCTCGCCCGGGATCGCCGTGCCGAGCTCTGTGATGGTGGAGGCGCCGGTCCAAGCGAGAACGCCTCCGACCAACCAGACAGTCAAGGCGGCACCGGGAGAGGGCACATTCGTGTCTATGGAGCCGGGGGACGTGAATATGCCGCTCCCGATGACTATGCTGATGACGATGGCGAAGGCCTCGAGGGCGCCGAGATTCCTGGTGAAGGTGCCTCTCTCGCTCGCGGGCACTGACGACGCCGCCGCGGGTGGTGGGGCGCCATCGCGCTCAGGATCGTGAGCGGGTTGGGGCTCGCGCTGGTCGGCGAGGAGAGGCCTCGACGCGTCATCTTCGGCCTCCAATTCTGGCGGCATGTTAAGAGCGAAGGAAGTTGATTGGATAATTAACCCCCTGAAATTATAGGGTGGTGTTGTTGTGTTTGAAGGGGAAGAAGTTGAGATGTTCTTGGTTGGCCCTCCGAGACGTACATAACCCGGTAGAGAATCACGCAATCTGTTCTGAGCGGGGCGCCTGGCGTGTGGGTGTCTGAATGCTTGCGATTATCCGATACCAGTTCCGGTAAGCACTTATCCGAAAAAAAAAGGGGGGAAGGGGGGGGGGAACGATTCAAGAATCGATCGGTCTGGTCACCACGCTGTGCACGTTTCTATCTCGATACTGAAATGATTTGGGCACAATGCCAAGTCAACGAAGTCTTTTGAACTATGTAGGCGGAAATAGATGGGTTCGTTACTTACTGTGTTGCCTGTAAGCGACCAACCCCTGTCTCCATCTTCATACTTGAAGAGGGCTCCAATGCCAAACTCCATTATTTAGGTATCAATACATAGCAGTATGCACACGCACTGCATTTGAAAGAGTATTGTAAGCTACCCACAGAGCAAGACGACGTTCTTACAGAGGCGTCTTACAGTTCCTAACGACATCGGCTCTGTGATAGTGCAATGATTCTCCACTCCCCTCGCGGGGGGTTCTTTTTCCACCGCGAATCGCCACCCGTAGAGCCGAAGCCACGACGATTCGTCGGGGCCATCAGCATCTTCCACTATCCTGGACAGGCACAAGCGTCCCATTCTTGTCCCATTGGAACCCGGCCGGGGTTATTGGCTGCGGACCGCCGTTCTGGAAATTGTATATGTCGTCCATGAGAGGCAGCGCTCGAACTTCATCGTCGCTCAGGCTGTACCTGTAGATGTAATCGTCCATGAGGCAGTACGACATCCACAGTGACTGGGGTATATTCTTGGGCTTCTCGCTCGGCCGTCTTCGGTGCTCCACGTCGGGGAGCCATCGGTCTGCTCTCTGCAGCCGGTCGCCCCCCTCGTCTTCTCGATGCGCCCCCCCTCCTTCCTCTTCATCAGAGAGTAGGAAATCGTCCATATACCTCTCCTTGTCCCTTGTATTCCTCCGGCCTCTACGTTTAGCCTTCGCGGGCGGCGTCCCGGCGTCGACGCGGACGGCCGCCACGTTGGGCGGATTCGCGGGTAGGCCGAGAAGTTCACGCTGCTGGAGCAACGCAGCCTCGGGTCCCATCCCCTCAACTCTCTTCTCGAGCTCCTTAGCTATCTTAACCCGCGCGTTTCGTCTCTGTCCCTTGCCGCTCCGAGATTTTGCCCCAGTTCTCCGCCTGGGCTTCTGAATGACTCCCCGCTGCGCATCAGTACTACTGTTCGACTGCAACCGGCATGCAGACGCATCTCTTTGCCCAATACTGGAGGAGCGTCTCTGTCGAGGAGGACGTTGGAGGGTCATTTTCGCTGTTGGCTGAACAGGCTTACGACGCGTTGCCTCTATCTCTCGGCAGTTCACGGATTTCTCCAAGTAGAGATGGAGCCCTAGACTAAGAATAGGACGAATACTCTCGCCAGTGTGATACTTGAAAACACTTCTTAACGCAGAGTTGACTGGCCGCTATTAAATTCGTCCGCTATTTAGAAGTGTGGAAGGGACAAAGATATTGATCTTATTATCCTTCCGGTTGTGACGAAAGACCAAGAAGCCCCGAGGTCAAGGCAGTTGTGTCTAATAGCACAGTTAAACATGGGCTTTGTTTTCTTTGTCTTATTGTGTCTAGATAGAGCAAATGTGGGAGTATCACGGTGGTTAGCGCAACCATCCAAAATCTATACGTTTTTGTGTTTTAATATATACAGTGAAGCTCAAGCCTGAATGTGGATTACCCCATGGCTTTATAGTCTAATGTGTTGCAGGTTAAATCGTAGTAAAACATAGCCAATGACGAAGCGAGGGATCGCAGGTTCGAGGAGAGACGCTACGGATCTAGTGCTGGATGTCTCGGGCGTGTCGCTTGGAGCCGAGGCCCCTTTTTGCAGAAAAGCCGGCGACCGCGGGGCCTGGAATCTGGTAGTACTGGAGGTCGCCCCAGATGTTGATGGCAACACCCGGGTCGCTGCTGTGGTACAACTCGGTAGCGGGGATCCCCTGGGGCAGCTCGTTGCCCGAGCCCGATATCTCGAGATTAATGCACTATTACGAGTCAGCGACATATTTTTGAAAAGCTTTCGGGGTTTTCTTCTTCCTTCTTCGTTAAGGCTCTCGTGGAACGTACCTGGGGGTAGAATTCAGCCTGGCCCTCGTGAGCCTTGTGAAGACCGAGAACCTCATGCCTCAGAACATATGACCCGGGTCTGATGTTCTGGGGGATCGTGACGGTGTACGTGTCGACGAAGCCATCGCCTTCCGGCTGGACGGACTTGTGAACCTCGGTAGTAGCCCACTTCTGGCTGTTCCACTGGGGGCTGTCTGCGACGCCTCCCTGGACGAGACCACTCTCGTAGAACTTGAAGAACTGGAGACCGTGCTTATCCACCTGGCTGCAGCCAGCGTCGCCGCACGAGGCGAGGTAGTGTATCTCCGGACCTGGGTGCTCGTACCCGCCGATGGTGTTGAAGCGGACAACCTGCAGCTGGGAGCCCGCAGCGATAGGTATCGAAGCCGGCGCGTTTACCGCGTTTTGGGAGCAGATGATGTCGGGGCTGTTGAGGCTAGCAACCGAAATCGGGCCTTCGTCCTCTGTCGAGAACTGCCACGAGACAGTGTTGCTCTGGTCCGCATTCGACCAACGTTCGTATCCGGGGTAGGTTACTCCGTTAGCAACGATTCTGCGGACGTGACCGTGGCCCAGCACGGTGGTCGCCAAAGCGGCCAGGGAGAGAAGCGCAGTGAACGACGGCATGTTAGGAATAGTTAAGTTGAGAATGAGTGATCAACGATGCACCGGGCACTTGGGACTTGGCGGAAAGAAAATAATGTGTGCTATACCTAATACACCCGGCCTGCGAATGAAGAATACGGTATAGTTAACGGAGCGAGAAGAATGAGAGTGGGCAGCGAAGAGAGAGTGGACGTGACATTTAAGTACCTACGGACTCACATTAGCGACCAAGGGATAATATCACGACGGTCGCGGATCACCCCTTTCTTAGTTTTGCTGAGACCGCAGACGCAACTCTATCATTCGGTGCCGACATGATGGAAACATGTTTCAAAGCCAACCACTCGTTCGAAAGAGGAAAGTCGTCTTGCAGGAGGATTGCCGGGGAGCCTATAATTAGGGGGCCATAACTCTATAATCGCCCCCCTTTCCCCCCAACGATCAGATGTGAGGCGTTCGAACGGCGCGTTTGATCTGGCTCCCTCTGCGCCGCCTACAACGAATCCCTGTGGCGCATCTTGAGATTCGGTATCTCATTGGATAGACCCTCAGGGTCGCAGCCGGAGCGGAGGGGGTCCACCTACGCACCCTCGTCGATTGCGCTATACTGGTAGAAGATAGAACAGTTTCGTAGAATTCTACACCCTTACCAGTTGGAGGAGGAGCGGTGCTTATACCATGTATATACATGGGTGAGACGATCCAGTCCGCGTGGTGAAGCTATCTAGGATCTGGCAGCTAAATTAAGAAGCCAGACCCTCTATATCCCACCTTTCGCAATAAACACGTTGCAGCATTCATCTATTTCAGTGCGCCTTCGCGCTATCATGGGTCGACAACACAGGTCGACGTCGTCTGTTAACGACCTAGGGAGGTAGAGGCTGACAGCGGTATTCAGACCTGCCTGTCTCGTCGGGCTGCTCGATTGATACATAGGTACGTAGGTATACGGGTTAGGTTGAGGTCGCTACAGTCCGTTATTTCTACCACCACGCATAGATTTCGGATTCAGAGATAATATTGGTATGTTGCATAGAAGAAATATAGAAGTCGGATGGGCGCATGAATATGCAATTAAGCTGTTAGGGACTCCGAGACGCCAACACCGTTCTTCCCTCGGCGCTTAACCATCCCTTTACTCACTACGCGAAATCAGGTCAGGTTATGTGCCTACGAGGTGTCTTTCACACACCTACTACGTGGTATCCCATGTTCGCGGCTTAGAAACGCGGCCAACCGTGTGGGGAAGTATGTTTAATATCGGCCGTGGCACGATGCAAGGAGAGCGAAAGCCGCGTGCCCCGGCCCCTAGGATTCTCGACATCACCCTTAAATAACCCCAATGCCGAATGATACGCGTTAACCTACCTAAGTAGTCAGGTGTGTACGTAGACACCATACTTTGTCGGCCCTTTACTTGAGCTGCTGTGTTACGCGGTGGCGGGATAACCCCAAGCGGGCGACATTACCGAAGCACGTAGATCTACTGGCGCTTAAGCTGAAACCAAATGCAGGCCTAGTGTTTCCCTCTTCGAGTTCATATTTCCAGTAGTTGACGCTGAGATAACAACTCCGTCGTGGATTTCCACGGAGGCAACGTTCTGGTGGATGCAATGTCCGTTATCCATACTAACTCTCGAACCTAAACTAGCCTCTTGAAGGGTGAATCCCCTAATTGCCTTGTCACGACACTTATTAGCATTGTGCTCTGTTTCGTAGCAATTGTAACGATTAAACGACTTGTTTAGACTCTTAAAATCTTGTCAATCGTGGTCATGAGTTTACACCTATTTCCATATGCTTTAGTATGCCCGTGACTAGAGGGAAGAGATATGATTCTTTAGCGTGTTTAACGTCGAGGTAGGTATTACCCCGAAGCGCACAGGCAAATCGTGGCTAGGAGTAGGTAGTTCTATGATATGAACGAATCGGTATCAGCTCTGGGCCATCCGACTACGCACTCCAAGGGCCAGGTGATACCAGGGAGGAGGACGCCCCTAAAGTTAAATCTACATCGACAGCCTAGGTGCGTCCATTGGGTAGGTTGTATGGCGTGTGATGTGGAGGGTGCAAACGAAAAGGAGGCGTGCTCTTCAAGTCAACATGGCGACTCACTGGAACGAGAGATCTCACCGCATGAACTAGGTGACGAGGTCTTGTCTCACACCTTTGCCCACTTTCTCGGGCTCGTTCTAAAGGCGAGATCATCACTCGCTGGGAGTAAGTGTGTATGACAGCCTTGTGACCGCCATCGAATAGGGGCCAATGAGTGTCTCGCCGCGCAGTTGTTGGGTGGGGTGGCTTGAGCGGGATTTATGTCAACAAGTCTTCCCCTCTTCGTCTTCAAGTGGCGTCCTTCTGCTTACCTCTATCCCACCTGATGCCTCGGTAGAGCAGAGCGCAGATAAAAGGGGGAAGACGGTACTAATCGTCTGGGCTGAAATGAGGGCAAGAAGTCATACCTATACACTGTTTCATGGCTGATTCCCCGATCTCTCATTAGGTACCGAGGTGGAGTAGTTCCGGGGGGACAAAAGCAATAGGTAAATGTCTGCGATTTAGCATCCCCGGCCTCTTCTTCGGAAATACCGCATCAAGGGGGCGTTATTGCTGATGCAGAGGCATACGAGTCCGAGTCCTTTCAGTTTGGCCGTCGGGAAGCACTTTAGAATCTAGCCTGCACAATTCGTTCTGAGCACGGGCAGACAGGTGTCAAAAATGGGGGAGATAGTGAGGAACATGAATGTCCCCTTCCCGTCGTCCGGCGCCCTAGGATCGATGCTGTACTAGGTCCAGCCGGGGCAAGCGTGTCCCCGATGGTCACAGCGGTAGCGGTGGGTGTATCCTCTTGCTCGACCATTCCTCAACTCCTTTCGTAGCCGACTAGACGAAGAGCCCCGCCAGGACGGCGCCCCCCGTTTGTATATATATATATATATATATATATATGTCCCCGTCGCATGCATAGCCGGCGGGTTTGAGGGGAGTGGGCCTTGGGCCGCTTGGTACCGCACTGGAGCACCACGTACCTAGTAGCGGGTGGACGGGGTTGGGTGAGGGACCGACGAGGGACCGGTTCGAGGAGGTGAATACCGCAGGTTACTTCACAAGAGATTATTTTGACGCGGAATGGGCTGGATAGGTGATTGGTCCCCATCCGCTCGCCGGGCTTGCTGTCGATTCGTAGGAGCGGTTAAGGCAGGCAGCCGTGGTTGAGTTTCATCCAAGCAGACAGAGACCGATCCAACGGTTGCTGGGTTGATTCCTCCACGCTACCTCTCGTGAACCCCGTGTAGCAGGGTGATACCTCCCATTTCTTAGGCAGGGCACTGGCGTTAGGCACTGAACACATAGATGACTTCACGCCGCTCCTAGATGGGTGGTTTTAAGGGTGGGTTAGGACGCTCCACGTATCTGACGGACGGAACTGAGGAAATGGGCGTTGTACCTAGATGTGGTGCAGCGCTTGCACAGGTGCCTGCCTGTGGGTACCTTAGGTACCTCCCCCAAGACCCTGCCTCTAGGGTACCTGCCCCTCGGGTATCTAACCTCCTACAGTGCATGCCAAGAGGTGGGCAGCTCGCCGTGAAATTACCTAACTAATAGGTATAGAAATTGTACCTATTGAGACTTGGGTAGGTACACACACATATATACCTACATACCTAAAATACCTCCTCCCGTCAAGACACCTATAGTATAACGCGGTTGCCCTTGTGAAGATTGCTTAGGTGCCTACCTAAGGTACCTAGATACCTTGGACCTGTGCGGTACAGGTTAGCTACCATACAGGGAGGGGGGGGTCTATTGACACTATGTCAGCAACCCTTTCTATGACTGGACATAGTGTCTGCCTCGTGATAAGAGTGAATTAAACTCTAGGCTGACATTATTACCATTTCTCGACATAGTTACCATCCGGACATAATGTCTTTATTTTAAAAAAAGGTACATTCTATAGGATTACCCGGTTACTTCTATGTTACTAAGTACGTACCTTTGTACCTTTGTATCTTTTACGTCTGTTACCTACCTCTCTAACCTCCTACCTACCTACTTCTTCCATAGGTTCGAAGATAGGTAGATAGATTCCACGTACGCGAACTAGCTCCATAGGTTCGAAGATAGATAGATTCCATACGCCTAAACTAGCTCTTATAGGTTCGTAGATAGGTTCGTAGATAGATAGATTCTACGTACGCGAACTAGCTCCCATAGGTTCGAAGATAGATAGATAGATTCCATACGCCTGAACTAGCTCCCATAGGTTTACAGATAGGTTCGCAGATAGATTTACAGATAGGTTCATAGATAGGTTCGAAGATAGGTTTAAAGATAAATAGATTCCATACGCTTGAACTAGCTCTTATAGGTTCGTAGATAGGTTCGTAGATAGATAGATTCTACGTACGCGAACTAGCTCTCATAGGTTCGAAGATAGATAGATAGATTCCACGCGCGAACCAGCTCCCATAGGTTCGCAGATAGGTTCAAAGATAGATAGATTCTACGTGCCCGAACTGGCTCCTATAGGTTCGCAGATAGGTTCGTAGATAGATAGATTCTACGTACGCGAACTAGCTCTCATAGGTTCGAAGATAGATAGATAGATTCCACGCGCGAACCAGCTCCCACAGGTTCGCAGATAGGTTCAAAGATAGATAGATTCTACGTGCCCGAACTGGCTCCTATAGGTTCGTAGATAGGTTCGCAGATAGGTTCGCAGATAGGTTCGTAGATAGGTTCGTAGATAGGTTCGAAGATAGATAGATTCTACACACGAACTGGCTCCTACAGGTTCGTAGATAGGTTCGCAGATAGGTTCGCAGATAGGTTCGCAGATAGGTTCGAAGATAGATAGATTCTACGCGCGAACTGGCTCCTACAGGTTCGCAGATAGGTTCGCAGATAGGTTCGTAGATAGGTTCGTAGATAGGTTCGAAGATAGATATATTCTACGCGCGAACTGGCTCCTACAGGTTCGTAGATAGGTTCGTAGATAGGTTCGTAGATAGGTTCGCAGATAGGTTCGCAGATAGGTTCGCAGATAGGTTCGCAGATAGGTAGTAGATCATGGTATTTGTAGAAAAAAGATAAAGACAACAGGTCTAGGTAAGTAGGTGGTCTAGGTAGGTAGGTAGGTAGGTAGGTAGGTAGGTAGGTAGGTACCTATGGAATATATAGACATTATATCCGTCTGGACATTGGTTCCTACGCAGTCATAAAAACCATCCTGAAATTATAAGAAGGGAAGGTAATAAGGTCGGTACCGCGACCCTTGCTGTAATTCTTTTAGCTCTTTCGAAAGAATAACTAGTTAAGGTAATCCTTACTAGATTTAGTTACCGTATCCGTACCCCGACTCTATTGCTGACATACTGTCCATAGACCCCCCCCTCCCCGTATGGTATACAAGCTGTGTACTTGCTTCGGTCAGGAGGACACCTAACCTAACTAGAGCTAGAGAGGTACCTACCTATGTAGTATATACCTAGGTATACAGCTGTTGGGAGCAGGGGTGGTAGGTGTGAGTTGACGAAGCTGTTGAAGCTGCCGTTCTCAATCCATGACATCATAAGACCAGGATACCCCCCAATCGGGGTCTCGACGGTAAGCTCCGCGAGCCTCTCGTCATGGAAGCGTCACTGACAAGTCGCGATTCCCGTACCCATAGATGTAGCCAACTATGGGCCAGGTCGCTTTTAAACACCGTCTTTCCTTTTCTCTAGTAGGCTCCATCTCGACACCCCAGGTACCTCCTCGTCAGCCTGCCTCTTTCATGTTCCTTACTTTGCTGTGTCTCGTACAGGTGACCACTTCTACCTTGCTAGCGGTAATCCTCCCTCTCGTCTTAGCCATAGCCTAACTGCGCCCCCTTCACCGTCTCTCTAGGGATGGCGTCTGGGATCGGATTGACAACCCCCCTTTTTCATCCCTTCCTCTTCCTCTTCCAGGTCCTCCAGTGGCTTGCCGACAAGATCTTCTCCCCCACGCCCCCGGGGCCGAGCACCCACTTGACTAGGCCTAAGATTGCCATTATTGGCACCGGCATCACAGGCGTAACCGCGGCAGCTCATTGCATCGGCCATGGGTTCGACGTAATAATATTCGAGGCCGGCGACAAGCACGGCGTGGGAGGAATATGGAGTGTACGAAACCCTAGCTTCATCGGATCAGCGTAGACCAATGCTGACACCCCCCCGATAGAAGGTCAACAATACCTCAGCCCTGCAGATCCACTCCCTCATGTATAGGTTCCACCCCTCGGTAAAGTGGAACGGTGGCTACCCGGACCGACAACAGATCATAAGCCAGGTGAGACAGCTGTGGAAGCGGTACGGCCTGGACACGCGCACCAAATTCAACACGAGGGTCAACGAGGTCTATCCTGACGAGAAGGGCCGCTGGATCATCAACAACACATCCAATGGTAGATTTGAGGGCGTCATAGCTGCCGTGGGGACCTGCGGCGACCCTAAGATGATTCGTATCGAGGGCATGGACAAGTTCAAGAAGCCAATCTGCCATTCCAGTAACCTATCCGGGTACGTGGAGCAGAAGTGCCACGGTGCGGCCGAATCGCGCTAACAGTCGCATAGAGTGGAGGCCAAAAATAAGAGTATGATCATCGTAGGAGGCGGCGCATCGGCTGTCGAGGCCCTGGAATATGCTTCCGTACGTATGCTGCTCTGCCATTGGCTGGCTCCATGGGGGTCTCCCGGCCCTAATAATAGACAACCTCTGACTCGAGATGCTTAGCAAGAGGGAGCGTCTAAGATATACATTCTCTCGCGTAGCGACAAATGGATAATCCCACGAAATTGGGTTGTCGATATGCTATTTTCTCTGAACATTTGGGGACAGGAGACGGCCCTGTCCGTGATCCCGGAGAAGCTGCTGAGAACGTTCTTCTACCGAGACCTCGAAGAGATCGCGCCAGCGGGTAAGGGGCTTTTCGTGGACACGCCAATGGTCAACTCAGACGTCATGGACAAGCTTCGCTCCGGGGAGGCCGAATGGATACGATGCGATATCGAGAGGTTCACCGACACAGGCGTGTTAGTTAACAAGAGAGATAGGGGGGTGCCGAAAGGGGGGCCGGGCCGTCATATAATGATTGAAGGCGACATAGTGGTGATGGCGACCGGTTACAAGCGGCCGTCGCTAGACTTTCTCCCGAAGGAGTGCTTCAACGAGCCGTACGGTCCGCCAAACTGGTATCTCCAAACATTCCCGCCCCAGCACCCTTCCATTTCGGCGATTAACTGCACATATCTGTCGGCTATCGGAACGGTTGGGAACTGGCATATTGGCATCTACACACGGATTCTCCTCATGTTTCTCGTGGACCCGCTGACAAGGCCTTCGACGTTCTGGATGGAGCGTTGGATCGACATGACCAAGGTGCTGAAGGCCACGGCCCCGACCGGCGCCTTCGACTTTTTCACATACCTCGAATTGCTCTGGTGGTTCTTCTTCTGCATTGCTATCAATCCGTTCCGCTGGAAGTGGGCGTTCTTTGTCTTCTTCGGACTGGGATTCGCACTCCCTAGGCAGCTGGTGATAGCTGAGGACCAGGTTCGAAATGGTGTAGGGACTCAAAGGTCGGACCAAGGCAGTCGTGACATCGGTGCAAGTTTCTAGGACAGCCGGTTGGACTAACGGGCTCTCAACGGCGATTCCGTTGCAACAGATACAGGAACAGGGGAATGCAGCTCCGAAGGCGCACTCTTGATGCGGAAGGAAATACAAGATAGGATCCATCTTAACCAGGCTAACTACTCGCGGACGGAATCACGCGGGTTCTGGTGTTTACTCAGGTCGCTGTGATGACACTTCTACCCGCCGACACGTACCATCGAACGGCTCTAGCAGAAGCTCATCCATCGATAAGCTTGAAAGCTCCCCAGTGCTTTTATTGCCCAAAACACGTTCCGGCCTGACAAAAAAGGGAGATCGGAATGATGGTAGATTCTCTCGGCGAGTGGACTTCGTGGAGCGATTATCCGGATGTGAAACAGTAACGAATAAATACGGGAAGAAAGGTTACTCAGTCAGTTGGACGATGGGAGTTAGCAGTAATAGCCGCGTTAAGGGGCTTGGGTGATTCTGCGAGTGGTTTATCGCTGTGCTTCAGCACGACCAGCGATAAATGGAAATCGGCAATAGACAATTGCCGGAAGAGGGATAGGTATGTGCCCAAGTAAGACCTAGGTACGATATTACCTATTAGTTTTGTCTCGTCATCGCTTGCCTCGATCTCTGCGTCCGCTTTCTATAACCTTGAGGCGCTTGTTGAACCTGTCGCCTATTTCTCTGGTTCCGCTACTGAGACCGCTGCCACGACCGCCGTCGACTGTTTCCCGAACCCTCTTGCGGCTCTTCTCTAACAGCGCCTTGGTACCGCCACTACTCTCCTTTCGCCTAGTTAAGCGCTCGATACGATTCGCGCCCTCGTCTAAATCTCGCCAGTCCTCGCCGCCGAACGTCATCTTACTGCTGCGGGCCTCGGTCTCGCTCCTTTTAGCGCGCTCCTTCTTGCTCTCCTTGGGCAGGCGCACGAAATTGGACTCCTCGTACTCGCGACGGCGGTCCTCCTCGTGCCGCTCAGAGGCGGTCTTGACTTTGCGACCGCGGGCGACGATAGTAGTACCGACGCTAGGCTCGGCGAGCGGCGCGGTGGATAGCTCTGCCGAGACGTACTCATCAACGGCGGCAGACTTCAGGGGCCGGCGCTGCTCGCCGCGGCCGGACCGCCGGTCGAAGTCAGGCATGGTAGTCGGCGCGATCTTGGGTGGCCGGTAGGCGCCGGTGCGGTCCTGGGAGGCCGTTGCCGCCGCCATGCCGACGGGGTTGGACGGCGGCGCGAAATTGCTGAAGTTGGGGGCATACTGCTTGGCGGCGATGGTGGGGGAGGCCCGGCGCATCCGAGGATGCTGGCTGCTAGGTTCCCGGTTATCCTCGCCGTCGTCGCTGCTGTCGTCGCTGCTGTCATCGCTGCCGTCGGACCCTTGGTCGGATCTCGACCCAGAGTCGGACTCGGCGGCTTCCCTCGCTGCCAATTGGGCGGCGCGGTCGGCGTCGTCGGCAGCGCGAAGGATCTTGTCGAACTGGAAGTGAAGTTTCTCCTCGAGCGGACGTACGCCCTTGTCCAGGTATAGGCGTAGCTCGACTAGTCTCCTGACTACGGAATCGAAAGGGTTCCTCTGGTCTGGCTCCTGGCCGTCGCGATTCCTGATATCTGAGGGACTGTGCGGTTTGGAGTATTGGCGTATCTTTATGAGGATGAGAAACACGAGGTTCTGCAGGTAGGACAGGAGGAGTTCGTTCTTGACGTCGAGGAGCGAGACGCCGTTCTCGGTAGGCTCGATGGTGCCGTCGACTCTAGATGTTGCTTCGAGAGCGGAGGTAAGCGCGTTGGTTAAGGAGTCCAGCAAGGCTGGTATAGACGCGGGCACGGCCATGACTTGGGAGGTGGGTAGGCGAGGAAGGAATACGCATTGGCTCTCAAAGCCGCATTTCTTTTCACGGCCAATTCGATTGTCCGGACGGAGTGCGACGGGTAACTCGGACTGGTATTCTCGCGGGACTGCAGTCTGAAGAGAAGAAGGAAAGAAAAAAAAAAGGTTGCGGGCTCTTATCGATACGAATGCAGTGAGCTCCTAAGGTGCTTATCGTAGATGGCCTAGATTACTCATAGGTATCTCTAGGCAGGGTTGAAAAAAAAAGTTTAAGTTGAGTTAAAAATTTTAAGTTTCTATTTTCGAAAGCTTTTTTAAATTAAGTTTTCTTTTTCAAAAACTCAAGTTAAGTTTTAAGGAAACTTAACTTAGAAGCTTTTTTTTTATAACCCTGTCTTTAGGTACCTCTTAGTAACATATGATGTAACGGAAAGAGGCTACTGCCGCGTTGGGTGCTACGTAGTGGTAACATCTGTCGCTGCGCTGCCGAATATCCGATGACTAAGAATGTTTCTAGATGACAGCTGGCCCGGCCACGCCCACCCGTTATCTTACCCAGGCATAATTGAACCCTCGCTGGCTGAAACCATTTTATGAGAGAAACGGGAAAGGCAGCAACATGAACTGAGATTTTCTATCTTGCAGCTACACCCGCCAGCATCGCGCCTCATCCAACCCACGGACTCGCCGCCCTCGCAGTCCTCGCAGCCCACCGTTCTCACGTCTTCGTCCTCGGAACGACCTGCGCATAATCCCCACAGCACTCACGCAATCGATACTAGCCGATACTCACTCATTAATGAACGCGCCCCCGGGACAGACCCAGCTTGGACACTACCCTCCGGATTCCATCCCCCAAGGGGAACCGACGTCGAGTCCAGGTGCTCCGTGATTGGTCTCCCAAACCGCTTCCACCTGTCTGGATGATACGTAAGTCGGTGCATAATATCGCCAGCTTCAATTGCCTCTCATCCCCTACCAACTCCGTCTACGAGCTCTCCAAGTTAACCCGCCGGCAAGAGCCCATGCTGTAAGCAGCTCTTAGGCAAAATGAGACCGAACACCTTTGCGCCGTCGTGGGCGCTCTGCTCCGCGCTTCTGGCCCTCCCCCAACTTTCCGCCGCCTTCTACCTCCCCGGCGTCGCGCCCACATCATACAAAGACGGCGACAGGGTGCCTCTATACGTCAACAGTATTAAGCCTATTGCGGCGCAAGATGCCCTCCTCCACTCTGTCATGTCGTACGATTACTATAACGAGAGGTTTCGCTTCTGTCAACCTGAAGGCGGCCCCTCCTATGTGTCCGAAAGCCTCGGAAGCATTCTGTTTGGCGACCGGATCATGACCTCTCCCTTCGAGCTGAACATGGCGAGGAACGAGTCCTGCAAGAAGCTGTGCAGCTCGAAGTACGACATGCCGTCTGCGCATTTCGTAAACAAGCGTATCGCGCAGGGCTATGCTTTGAACTGGCTGGTTGATGGACTACCGGCCGGTCAAAAGCTGCTGGATGATCTGACCGGAACCGCCTTCTACAGCCCGGGCTTTGCCATGGGGTTGATATCGACCACCGACCCCGACGGACCAACCTTCTTCAACAACCACTACGATATCGTCATCGAGTATCACAAAGTCAGCAACAGGCAGGACCAGTTAAGGGTGGTGGGCGTAATCGTTCAGCCTTCGTCGAAAGCGTACAAGGACGGGAATTTGGACTGCAACGATAACCAGACGCCGCCCGTGGTCTTGTCCGAAGACGCTTCCTCCGAGACGGAGGTCGTATTTACCTATAGTGTCTACTGGACTGAGTCGTCGACTGTGTGGGCTACCCGCTGGGATAAATATTTGCATGTCTTCGACCCCAAGATCCACTGGTTCTCCCTCGTCAACTCGGCCGTCGTCGTCGTCTTCCTGACCGTTACCGTGACGTCGGTCCTCTTCAGGGCATTGAAGAAGGATATTGCTCGATACAACCGGCTGGACCAGATCAACCTAGAAGACCTATCAGGCACATCGGCCCTCGAAGACGGAGTCCAGGAGGATTCCGGCTGGAAGCTGGTGCACGGAGATGTATTCCGGACCCCGACGCATCCGTTGCTCCTATCCGTCTTCCTGGGCAATGGTGCCCAACTGTTTGTTATGACCGGCTTCACCATCTGCTTTGCATTGCTAGGGTTCTTGTCACCGTCAAATCGCGGCTCCCTGGGGACGATAATGATCTTCCTCTATACGCTCCTGAGCTTTGTCGGCGGATATGCCTCCGCGGTGGTCTACAAATCGATGAGCGGCGAGAAGTGGAAGCTGAATATCGGTCTGACCCCCCTTCTCGTCCCGGGCATCGTATTCTCGACGTTCTTCTTCCTGAACCTCTTCCTCTGGGCCAACGGGGCCGCCGGCGCTGTTCCATTCACCACCATGCTGGTCATCATCGCCATCTGGTTCATCATCTCGATTCCCCTGTCGGTTGCCGGCTCTTGGCTCGGATTCCGTGCGCCTGCGATCGATGCCCCCGTTCGAACTAACCAGATCCCACGACAAATTCCTCCCGCCACTACTTACCTCAAGCCGATTCCCAGCATGCTGCTTGTGGGCATCTTGCCCTTTGGAGCCATCTTCGTTGAACTATACTTCATCATGAGCTCAATCTGGTTTAGCAAGATCTACTACATGTTTGGCTTCCTCTTCCTCTGCTACGGTCTCATGATAATCACGTGTGCGGCGGTCACGGTTCTGATGGTGTATTTCCTGCTGTGCGCTGAGAATTACCACTGGCAGTGGCGATCCTTCCTGGCTGCCGGCACGAGCGCCGGTTACATCTTCATCAATGCCTTGATGTACCTAATCAGCAAGTTATCTCTTGGTGGCCTGTCTGGCACCGTTTTATACATTGGGTACAGCGCTTTGCTCTCATTCCTGTTCTTCATCCTGACCGGTGTGTATTTCCCTCCCCGCGTAGAGTCTTTATCCATACTTATGTTTCGCTCAGGATCGATCGGGTTCTTTTCCAGTTGGTGGTTCGTCCACAAGATCTACGGCTCCATCAAGATCGACTAAACGACCGAGATAGCCTCCGGGCAGCCTGTAGGAGGCGGGGCAGAGGCTCTTTAGCCTGAGTGGCACGGCTCTGCCACCCAAATTGTATGATAAACATGTACAACCAGCAGCATATTTCCTCCGAAACACTCTCTTCGCACAACGCGCGCACAAACGAACAAACATACACACAGGCGAAAGAGATGTGAAAATACGACGGTTCGCACGGATGGGCTAGTCTCTAGGTGCCCGGCGTTATGGGAAATGGGTCGTTTCCCCCGCGCTGTCGCGCGCATAGCAATGGAGAATTGCTATGGTCTACATCGATAAGCCTAGCTTGACGGCAAGGGTTGTAGTGGGCACACGCAGCTCCGGCTTGGCTAAGAAACAAAACGGTTCACTAATAGTGTGTGTACGTACGCATAGAGAGACACGAGGCGGACGGGCTCAAAAGGAAGAAGGGAAATACATATATATGTTGTAATTCTACCATTGCGTATGCGGGGACGTAGCATACGTGTCTGATGAGGTGTGTTCTATTGTAAATCAAGCTAAAAAGTTGAGGCCAAGATTCGATGCTGACAATATGGGTTCCCTAGCAGTAACCCAAGCAGCGTGAGAGACAAGTTCCACAGCGAGGGACGCTCCGGGGAAACGGGGACTGGGGAACTAGTTCTTCTCCACCTGACAGGTAATCTAGAAGAATTTTACGTATTTAAACACAAGAGATGCTAATGAGTAGTTAGCGCCATGCCTCTCTCTCGCCGCTCAACCATCCATCGCAGTTATCGAAAAACCTACTAGTCTAGGTAGTGTCTTTGAGCTGCTGGCAGTTCGAGCAAGGGCCGCGCAGGTTGCCCCATACTTCACCGTCCCGATCTCTTATATCACCGAGCACTTAGAATTGGATTAGGGTCAGTTCTCGTAGTCATGTCCACCGATATCAACGCGGGCGTGCACCAAATACCAAATTCAGCTAGTTGATTCAGTTTCACATAGTTACGTATTTTCGTAATATGAGGATAATTTCTCTCAAGCAGCGCACCATCAACTTAGTGAAAGCTGACTTGCGCTCTTGATGCAGGCTGATACTATCGCCCAGAGACTTATTAGGTTGAAATACTTAACACCTAAGCATGTTATGGGTTGGGGCGAAATACGGTTTCGTTCTCTGCTTGCCCAATCAACTTACACGGATCTGGTGTAATGACCCGATAATAGTAACCGGACCCGGTAACGTGCCCTGTCGCGCTTTGGCGGCGAGGCCGTTATCCGTATCGAGATCTATCGGCAACGGAGACGAGGCCGGCCCCCCTTGGCGCTGGGATAAAAGGTGTAGATTTACCGGTCTGCTGTATGCTGTAAGAAGCCTACTATTCGAGGTTATTCAGAGACGGCATGTTCATGATCTTCGCTGTAGAATCCACCATGCGGCTTAGACGCGCTGCTACTCTGTTACGAGAGTCGAGCGGGACGTGGCATATCGGAGCATCTAACCTCCACGTAGTCGTCATGTAATAATCTTCAGATCAAACACATTCGAGTAACGGGCGTGGCGATGTGCACAATGTACGCCTGGAAGTGATGCTCCCAGCAATTGCAAGGATCTGTCTTGGTAGACACCTGGTAAGGTTTTCGTAGTGCTAGATTCGGGGTTCGTAGATATTGACTAGCGACGCACGTTTCACTATCTGGAACATGTTCGCTCGTGAGCATAGCTAACTGCCTAGTCAGGCGGCAACACCCATACCACCGTTGCCCCCACCATATAGACGTGGATGAGTACGTGGACAGGATTGTAATCGAACCACAGTAATGAACACCACCTGAATGAACTAGGTGTGTAAATGAGAAAGACAGGATCACGATTCAGTTTACTTGCTGTGCCTAGTAAAACCCGTGATACGCACTCGGAGTGTTGTTGTAGCATTGGTCCCATATCTAGGATTAAATTCGCACAACGGCGTAGATCCAGGTGAATCGCAGCTTAGATGAGGTATCCATTCGAAGGGCACATCAATTTTGTCGGGTAGGATCGTGCGTCCCAAAAATACCCCCACAACTAGACTCTATCCTCTAAAAGGGGATGAGTTTAGTGTTTCTCTCAAGCTTCATCGGCCTCTCCGGCCCTTCGCCCGCGGGGGGTGGGGTGTGGTAGGCATCTGCGTAAGCAGATGGGCAGACACGCGGCTTTAGCTCATCATCTAGGGGGCACAACATCTCAATCATCGTCGTCATCGTCATCGTCACCCATGAACTGGAACTGCCTCTTCTCGGCCACGGGACTCGTGCTCGGGCTCCCCGACGGCCCGGCGCCGCCACCGATAGTTACGCTGGCTCGCCTCCACGCCTGGCTCTGCTGCTGGGCGGCTGCCTGCTGCGATTGCGCCTGCTGCTCCCTCTCGGCGCGCATCCGCGCTTGGGCCTGGGCCTGCTGCTGGGCTTGGTGCTGTTGCTGCTGGCGCGCGTTCTCCTCGCGCTCGCGGCGCAGGCGTTCTTCCTCCTCCTGCTGCTCTTCCTCGGCCTCGCGCCGCGCCTTCTTCTCCGCCTCTGGGTCGTAACCCTCCAGCTCGACACCCTGCTCGAGCATGTACGCGAGCGAGGCGATGGCGCCCTTGCGTACTTGCTCCTCGCTCGGCCACGGCACGAAGGACAGGTGCGCGTGCGGGTTCAGGTGCGTCTGCAAGGGTTCCGGGAGCGTCGTATTTGTCGCCGTCGCTGTCGCGTCGCTGATTACGGCGGTCGTTGTCGTGATGCCTATGGTTTGCTGTGACGTGCCCAGGTCCACGGGCGTCGGTTGCGACGGCACCCCATTGGCTGCTGCGGGTGTCGAAGCGCCGTTCGCATTCGGGGTCGCGACCGCGGGTGTCGTGGCGGTCGTTTCGGCACCGCTTTCAGCCTTCACCTCCACCCCAGGCCCACTGCTGCTCGCGTTGCTAATGGCATTGAAGGCGCCAGCAGGTGGCATCGTCGTCTTGCTGATGCGACGCGCGTAGCTCAACAGCTCATCGTAACGAATATCATAGCTCGGGTGGTCTTCAGGGAAAGACGTGGCGGAGGCACCGACCAACTCGCGGCGCGTGTTGGCCAGTAGACGCAGGGTGTCCTTGATCTGCCCATCGAGGCTGGTGGTGGCGGCACGTAGGTCCTGGATCCGTCGGTAGTTTGACTGGTGGGTTTGCACTGGGAAGGATCACGCATCAGCTTGGCCTTCAAATGGGCATACGTCCTGGTGAAGAATTACAGTATAGGGGCTCGACTCACGCTCTTCTAGACCCTTATTCAGCTCGATGTCGGCGAGGCCTAGATCGTTGACTTGGGCGACGGACGGGTGGTACTTGGCGATAGAGTCGACAAGTACGCCTAGAGCCTTTTCGACGCGATCGAAGCAGGCGTCGAGCTGCTTATCCATCCCGCCGAGATCCTTCGGCCAAACCGATGGAGAAAATTAGGGGTGCATAGGAATCAATAGGAAGAGGACGAGAGGTAGAAGCGGGCAGGCAAGCTGGAGATAAGCCAGCAAATCTTAGGGCGATTTCTTTATTGACTTTCAAAGGGTAGGAACAGTTAGAAGTACAGAGTACAAAAGTATGTGCCTACATTAAACCAGGCCCGCCACAGATTCTTTGTGGCTTGTAAGTGGCTGTGCCGGTCGCAACCGGGTTCCTCCTCCGGCTTCTTCCACTCTTTCGCCGCCCGCCAATAGAACACACCTAGTTTCACAGCTTGCCCGTCACTCAGGATCCAGGAATCGAAGCTATCACCACCAAAAAAAGTCTCAACCTCCAAACCGTTGACTTCCCCCTACCATTGGACCTCCTCCCCGCCGAGCTCATCGGTAGAAAGTGAAGATGGCCTCCCAGGTACGTCCGACACTGCCTTTTCACGCCCATCCATACCCTGCGAATATTGTGGCTCTCGCGACGCCTGACCACCCCTCACCCATCGTCTGATTTGCGCTCCTAATTATGTAGATCTCGCTAACGAAACTACTCGCCGCGCAAACAGACACCCATCCCACGACTCCCTTATCCTACTTACAAAAGCTCTTACGGGCCTAAGTGAGTGCCGCCGCGTCCACTATCGGTTCCATTTTTCTAGGACCTACAGCCCGAAGCAGCTCGACTGTGCGAGGAACGGGTGATACGATGGTTCCTAGTTTCGGCGGTTCTGACGAGCTGGAAGAACCTTGTTTACAGCAACCATCTATTGCCTTGGGCTCAAGCCTGGCTGACTGGGACGTCAACAAATAGGTACCACTACCAACCGAACCTCTCCGGATGGACCTTCAAGCAGGCCGTGAGCTTGTAAGCACACCTCTCGAATATTGCGCCCCCCAAGCCTACCCCCCTCCTCTCGCCCAGCCCGTCATCATCGCTACTCCTATAGCGAACGGGCAGTCGCACTCGTTATCCACATAATGAGCCCGTTTCTACTACCCGGCCCGCGCTGTGGACGCACCCCGACACCCATCACCACATTATCCAAGGCAAGGCGCTAACAACAGGGTCTCTAGCGGCTTCAAGAGTGGCGCCTTCGGCGGCGTCGCCCTTGTAGGTGTTCTCTTCTATGCCTCCGGAATCCCGCGGGTAAAGCGGGACATCCTGGAGAAGATACCCCTCATCGGCGGCTACTTCGCCCCCAAAGAGATCCCGGCCTCGGATAGCGTGAGCCACCCGCCCCCCTTCGTCGTGTTCATCTTCTTTTTCATAAGTCTGCCTACCTGAACCGGTCTTACTGATCCCTTATTTTCCCTCAGCCATTCTAAACCGTATTGGACCGGATCGTGTGCTGGAGGTCTCTTGCTGTTTAACCTATAGAACGTAGTGAAGAATCCTGGGAGACGGCGGCGCATGCATCTCAGCGACTCCTATATACCACAAGAGCACTACATACCCATCGTCAAACATAGATCTCGTCAAGCCATAGGAGCCTCGCCCACTCTCTGCTTTTTGTATTTGTACAGTTTCTATCGCGACCCCCTGACTCGGGCCCATCCTCATCTAATTGTCTATTATGTATGATGATGGTAGTACACTATGTCTTCTATGCGCAGACCTCTCTGGTCATACCCCCTTTTCTCTCGGTTGACTATAGTCCACTTCTATCAAGAGCTAATTCCTGTCAATTCCTGTTTCATCTCATTCTTTATGCGTGTGATGGTTCCAGCGCCTCCATACACGAGACCCGTGTAGACCATGGCTACACTCGCGCCCGCGTTCAAGGTTTTAAGTGCACCGTGTCCGTCTGTGATACCTCCTGTAGCAAAGATGACTTTTTGCTCCGGCGGTTTGTTGGGGACCTCCTTTGGTTCAGTTTCCAATGCGCCGGTGATAGTCCCCTCGATTGCCGCTATGCTTGTGTCTACGGCCTCGTTGGCTACCTCCCTTTCCAGCTTGGCAGATTGCAATGACCGTCCATCTAGCATCTTCCGGTACCGACTCACCAGCTCCACCGTCCGGTCAAACATCATCGGGCCCGAGTACCCGCCCGCCTCAGCCAAGGTGCGCTGCTCCTTGGCCTTGATGTTCACTCTCGGCGGGATCAGTCCGGTTCGCCGCCTCGTGGTATTGCCTACGATGACTCCGTCGACGCCGCTCGTCCATACGGCCTGCACGATGCCTTCTAGTTGGGCATCTTCGTCCTCGTCCGGCGAGACCTTGACCATCACCTTCGGCTTCTCCCTCCTGTCCGTCTTCCGTGCTTCGTCGACCACCGCGCTCAGGATCCTAGTAAGGGGCTCTACGGCCTGGAGGTCGCGCAGCCCGGGCGTATTTGGACTGCTCACGTTGACTACGAGGACGTCTGCGTACGGTGCTAACCGCCGGACGCAGTATACATAGTCCCTCTTGATAGCCTCGACGTCCCGCTCGTTCGTCTCCTTGTTCTTCGCGATCTGGACGAGCAGCATACGCCCAGGTAGCAGGCTACCAGGAGGCACGTTGGCCTCGCCATTCAACACGCTCGCCTCGTCTAGCCCGACAGATTTCGCGTAGAGCCTCACCCTATCCCTCAGCCTCCGGGCCATGGCGTCCGCGCCGTGGGAGTTAAGCCCGTAACGATTGATCAGACCGTCTAGCGTGGGGATGCGGAACATGCGGGGCTTAGGGTTACCCTCCTGAGCTAACGGGGTGCACCCGCCAACCTCGACAACCGAGGCGCCCAGGGCAAACAGGGCGTCGGGGATCTCGGCGTGTTTGTCTAACCCCGCCGATATGCCGATCGGGTTCGCTAGCTGGGACCCGAAGACGGAGATGGAGAGATCAGGTCCGATGGCAGAGGGCCGCTCCCGAGGGTGCAGACCCAGGCTGTACAGACCCTTCATAGACGACACAGCAGCATTATGGGCCTCCTCCGCATCCGGGTACAGGAAGCGCAGCAGCGGGGGAACGACGTAGCGGTGGATGAAGGCACGGGTGTCTGTGGCGTAGATGTACACGACGTAGCCGGTGACGGCAATCGAGGAGGCATACAGGAACGGCTTGAGTCCGGGGACGTAGAAGGAGCCGGCGGAGGAGGACGAGGTGGAGGCATGGCGAGTAGCTACCCGGGGAGGGAAGCGATGTAGGAGCACTGCTCGTCTCGCGGGTCGGGTGGCAGGCGGGGCGAGGAGGCGGGTCATGCGATGTGGAGATGCCATTGCGACGGTTAGTCCGTGGGCATATTAGCCCTCAATGGCTCGGCGGATTGAAGAGGCAGAGAGGCGGAGGAGTCGGGGAAGGTGATTAGTGAGTGGATGCGTCGTTGGGTCGGTCTGAGGTGGAAGAGACCAGAAAGCTCCCATTCTCCTAATTCCTGGGCGCGATGCTATGCGACGTTCGGCCCAATACTTCATAATCTAAGCTTAGTTAAGAGGTGGTCTGGAGCTGTTTTTATTTCTTTTTGGACGGGGGAGAGAGGTTACCGTAGTGGGCCGATATTTTCCGGCCTGTTACGGCCCGTCGCCGATCCTTCTCAGCTGTAAGCACTGTTTAATTGGTACCGACCGGGACAGGTGTCATCGCGGTCACTACCTAGGTATCTACCTAGGTACCTACCTAGGTAGGTACCTGGTAGGTAAGTCTGGTGGGTGTGTAACTGCATCCATAGCAACTGCATCCCAAGTAGTCACAGGCAACTGCAACCACTTCCAGCCTGTGTCGAACTTGCCTTCTAGGAAGCCGACTTTGTTTGCAAGAAGGTACTGCCTTTGGTAGCGCCTGACCGTTGAATGAGCACTTCTTCCATCTCAACAACAGCAATTGCAACCCGGTTTCTTCCACCTGCCTGGCCCGCTTGGCTTACCTTATCTGCCTACACCTCGGGCATTGCCAGAGCTCTCATTCCCTACTCACCCCCCCAACTTCATCAACCACCACGTTTCTTTCTTATGTCCTCAACCCAGAGCATGGACCTCGATAGCTGAACCATCCCCTCCCCTGTGTCCCTCCCCCGATCGTCATTTCTCCTCAATCCCTCCTCAGCCTTCTTTACGACATACCCATGCCCTGAGCTGAGGTCCGCCTCTCTCTTTAAACCCGCCAACATGACGACTCTCTTGTCATCTTGGCTCGACCCGTCCCTCCTCCACCAGTTCGTGCGGTACTGCTTGGTCTCTACGGGTATCTACCTTTACACGAAACACCGACAACAGCCTCTGGACTTTTCTCTGTCTTTCCTTTCCATCGGAATTCTTGGTCGTCTGTGGCTGTCATTCGTCGACAAGCACGTCCCGGACCCCTATCTGGTGCGCTGCATACCTCCTAGCTGCTCATTCCACGCCCAAGCATATGCCACATGGTTGAGAACTAACTCCTAAGCAGGATGAAGTCTTCCACGTTCCCCAAGCGCAGGTCTACTGCGACGGACAATACGACGTGTGGGATGCCAAAATTACGACCCCGCCTGGCCTGTGTGTCTCCTCCCCTCCCCTCAACCCAGCCATAATGACATTCGGGCTAATAGTCTGAAAGGTATGTCCTCGCGATCCTGGCCAACAAATTGGCCGGATTATCCTGCTCGACTTCTCACCTCCGGGCCTTCAATGTGGAAATCATCTCCTACCTCGCCCTGCTAGCTACCGTATCTCGAGCTCGGGTGGAGAATCCAGAGTCGCATGCCCGAGATTCCGACGGCTATGGGAGATACGCCTTCTGGACTGGACTAAACATTTCTCTATTCCCCGTATTGTTCTTCTTTTCGGGCTTATACTACACCGATGTCATCTCTACCCTGGTCGTCTTGCTGGCCTACACTAACCATCTCTACCGAGTTGGTCAAGACAGACCCTCCATCGCGAATGGCGTCTACGCTGTGTTCCTCGGGCTCGTGGCCTTATGCGTGCGCCAGACTAACATATTCTGGGTAGTTGTTTATATGGGTGGCCAAGAAGTCGTACATGCTGTTCATCTCCTACGACCAGAGCCTCTACCTAATGATGCTCAAGCGATGGATGTGCTGGCACAAGAACCCGAGTCTACCATCCGGAGCTATTCTAGTGATTACATATCCAACCGGATGACCACTCCGGTGTTTGCAACACTGCCCGAGCAGGTCAAGTTCTTCGCCTGGAGATACTCGCTCGGTGATATCCATGACCTTCCTTTATATCTGGCTTCACCAATCGGTATGTCGCAGCCGTGTCTGGACACAGTCTACCCAAGCTGACAAGAGCAGACCTGCTTCTTTGCGTCATTAGTATCGGTATAGCTACGGTTTCCAATCTGGGAATAATTGTGCGCCGACACATATGGCCACACCTCGTAGTCCTCAGCGCATTTCTGGCTTTTGTCGTCTGGAACGGCGGCGTTGTTCTCGGTAAGTCAGCAAACCCAGCAATATCTCTCCTACGCTGACTGTTTATCACTGACAATCTGCAGGAGATAAATCCAACCATATCGCAACTCTCCATTTAGCCCAAATGCTATATATTTGGCCCTTATTCGCCTTCTTCTCTGCGCCCCTTTTTATTCCGCAGCTCTGGAAGCTCGGCGTGCTTGTCTTTCAATCTACTACTACTGGTCAAAAAGGCTCGACTGCTCAACCATCTCCAGTTCGTCCCGACATAAATCAAGAAGAGGCTCCGCTCCGCGACCAACCAGTCCAGTCTGCTAGTCTGAAGTTTTTTAACTATATTGGATCAAGCCACACTGCCCACACCATTATTCTCCTGCTCAGCGCCGCCTTATTGTCAACTATTATTGTGCGATTCAGCACAATTATTCACCCGTTTACCTTAGCTGACAACCGACACTTTATGTTCTACATTTTCCGATACACAATCCTGCGTGCCTGGTGGGTCCGGTATGCTCTGGTTCCCGTCTATGTCGTCTGCGGCTCTCTATGCTGGGTCGTCCTGAGGGGAAATCCACAATTTTCGAGTATCCCTTACGACAAACGATGGGTCCGCACCCCCTTTACCCTAACACGGGTATCTGGCGGCGGGCCATCTCTCTATCCATCGCCACCCGCCTCCACGATCCCAGCACTGACATCTACGGTGCTAATCCTCTTCCTCGCTACGACGTTATCACTAATCACCGCGCCCCTCGTCGAACCACGCTACTTTATTCTACCGTGGGTTTTCTGGCGCCTGCTCGTCCCTTCCCCACCGTCCGCAGTGATGGCCATCCCTCTTACCAATTGGGTCAATACTTCCCGAACCAAAAAGCAGCAGCGGCAGCACGGTGAGAACACCAAGGAGGAGAAGCAGCGGGAGTACGAAAAGGAGAGCGACAAGTACGAAGGAGAGGACAGGGATCGAGCCCTCGAAAGGGAGCTTGCGAGAGCGGGTGCGAACACGGATATTTTTGACGGCGCCGCTCTACCAAAGCTACCGCCGCCAGGCCAGCTGTCGTCGGATGCGGTCATCGTCCTCGCGCTCGAGACAGTCTGGTCCCTGGCTGTCAACGTTGTCACGATGGCTGTGTTCATCGCGTGGCCATTCTACTGGCGGGACCCAACCGACGGCACGCTGCTGGACGGCGGGAGAGTGCAGCGTTTTATGTGGTGATGCGGCGAACCAATTTGCTAGTTGCTAGATTTCCCTTAGACCTGCGGTGGCTTCTTTCATTAGGTAGGTACTAGGTCCGATGGGTTGGCAGAACCCGCTATGATGATGCCTCTTGTTGGTTCGGCCGCGATTGGGTGGGCTGCCCCCATGCGGCCCCAGATCTGCCGGATTGCCTTGGCGTTGGGTTTGGGTTTAGAGAGACTCCGGGACGCCTGTCGTAAAAGTAGGTAGTGCGAATGCAAGAAATTCCCCTGCGTCACTCTCTCGATAGCTCCTCCGAGCAGGTGAAGCATGTTTTAGATGCGTGCCATGGAAGTAGTTCCGATATATAGCCCGAACGAGCTGACACGTAAGCGAGCAATGTTTCCTGTACGGCGACCCGAAGCTCCAAATAGGCATCGACTTATCTACCTCTACTTGTCTCGAGAGCCGGCCTACCATGCCTATAGGGGGCGATACGAACCCAGGAAAAGCATCACCCGGATAGCGGCGTCGGGGAGCCAGGTGACTCACGGTTGGAAGATAGATCTATGTGAGTACCTAGGTAGGTAGATAGGTAAATAAATGTACCTAGTTAAGCGAGTAGAGCAGAGTAGGGTTTGGTTGTCGTCTATATACGTATATGTAGTAGTATGTTGGTAAAAGCTATGTACGTTGGGTATGAATCGAATCCCATCCGGCGCGTCTTTCCACTCTCGCTTCCAGGGGCGCAAAAAAGGGGGGTGGAATTTGGAGAGGGCAAGTGAAAAGACGCGAACCCCAAGTCCCACCCTTTCCCTCCCGCGCCCCTGGGCCTTTTCAGCCTCCCATTTTCTCCCCTTTCCTCTCCTCGTCCCCCTTTTTCTTCACTATCGCTTGCCGACGATAGTGTGCATGTGTATATGTATGTGTATGTTTTGTGATTAAATTGCGCCAAGGCGCAGGTCCGGGTTCGGGTCCGAGTCCATCGTGGCGCTGCGCGCCACGTGCCGGGTGGATGTAGGCACGAGGGCAGAGAACGCCGACACGCTGTGCGAGCCCGACGGCAGACGAGCTGGACAGTCTTACCTTCGTCTGGCCGTCGCCGGCGCAGGCCCTCTTTATGCATCGCTTTCCTTCCCCTTTCCATCTTTTTATCTGTATGTGTTGTTGTTTTCTGTTTTTTTGATACCCAACTCCCTCTCGATCGACCCAAGAAAACGACCCAGACTTAAATCACCGGAACTCGACCGACCAACCGCCCAAGAGCCGTCCCGGGCGTCCCAAACCATCTAACGCCGTGCCGTGCTTTCCCGCCCAGTGCTATGTGAAGTAATTCCCCCGCGTTGATGTTTCGAAGCTTTCGTGTTGGCCACCCCAATCTAATCATCTTAAGTGCGCAAACCATGCAATGGTGACCTCAGGTGTCAGTTTTAGATATGCTCGCTCTATTGGACCTTTTTCCCAATCCCTCTCATTGTCCCACCCATGCCATCCTGGACCACGAATCCCGGCAGATGAAGCATCTCGCTCCGGCTGACGCTTGGTATGGAGCAGTTAGATCATAGGCTCAGCCGATCCAAGCTTAGGCGGTCCTGGCTCCGCACACGTTTTACGACGCCGAGCTTGAAGAAGCGCTCCTCGCCGCCGGCAGTCCGGCCCCCGATGTACCACTTGTCAGCTCCGAGAACGTCGCGGAAGCCTTCGCTACTGCTGTCGCTACCACGCCGGCGACCAGGCGACCCCGACCCCGGTATCGGTACGGAGCGGTGCGGCTGGGCCTGGTTCTGGTGTTGGTGTCGGCCCCCCGAAAACTGGTTCATGACACTGGTCTGCTGCTGCGGCGACGAGGAGGGCGGCGAGGATGCCGGGGTGGAGGCGTGCGCCGCCGAGGAGGAAGATATGGTCCGAGCGGCGGAAGCTGCGGAGGCACTCGACGTGGAGGGTGACGTGTGCTTATTGGGCTGGGAGGCGGCGGAGAGGGCGGGCGGAGTCTGCTGCCGAAGGGCGGCGATGAAGGAAGAGAGGAAGAAGGGGCGTTGTGACGAAGGCATCGTGGGTGGCACCTCTGCTGTCATGTCGCGTCACGCTGAGCCGGGATGTTGTAACCGTATCGCGAGAGGGGGATTTTGACGACAGTGCCTATCTTTCTAGGCCCTGGATCTCCTTCCCTCGCGATCGCGGAGCTGTGTCGTGTTGTTGTTTTCTAGACGAAGGAAAAGTGCTGGTTCGTATTACCACCTAACTAGCCGGATGCGGTGCGATGAACCGGGGCTCGCGAGGAAAGCGGGTAGAGACGGTTCGGCGACGAGAAAGAGGCGCGGACCCGTTGGCGAGTGATGATGGGAGTGATGTGTGGATCGGTTGCTGTGTGGTTTCGCTTCGTCGACGCTGTCGGGGAGACACGGGAGAGAGACGGACTCGCTCAGTTAGGAAAGGCCCGAAGAGGGAGGCGAGGGATTTCGATTATAGGTGCAGTCCGAGGAGTTTTAACCCGCGCAGGCGGACAGGATGCGGTCGATGCCTCGCTGTCTGGTTTTTTTTCCCTCTTTCCTGCTGTAGGAGGGAGGAGGGATGTGCGGATGGTGGAATGAGTTGTGTTGAGCAAGTTGGTGTTGCGGGTGCTGGTGTTGTGCGAGGTAGAAAAAATCCTGACGTCGAGGCACATCCATATCGACACTTACCTCCCTCCCTGCTTTACATACTTGGCGGTTCACCCCCCCTCGGCCAATCCCGGGTAACATGAGTGGGGTGCGTGGAGTTGCGGTTGGGTACTCGTGCGTGGTGCTGCGCAGTACCGCGCATAGTACTGCGAGGTAGCGGAACGCAGCAGACGCTGTAGACGCAGTGGGCGCAGCGGGCGTAGTGGGCGTCGTGGGTGTAGTGCTGCTACCTGCGCAGTACATCGAGTACATGTGTGGGGAGGGGTCGTTGCAAATGGTCGGGCGCTGATAGGCCCCGCGACTCGCTGCTCCGAACCGACCGTGGTGTGCGCCCAGCGCCCTGACGGGTATGCATAGTGGAGGGCTGGGATGCCCTGTATCACGTCGCGCAGTGACAAGTACACCGCTAATCACCTGCCTCCTCACTGGCCCAGCCAGCGCTCCGAACCCCGCCGCACTAGGGCTCGCTACCCCGACATACAATTTTATGCGCAGCTGCACCATGTCTCGAGCCCCAGGACCGCACCAGCATTGCCTATCGGCGGCGGTGCATAGGTCAGTCCCTAGAGGTTAGGTACATAAGCCACTACATTGCGCGGTGCGAGCCTAACATGGAGCCCCCCATGTACCTATGGTAATGCATTGTAGGTACCACCTACAGCACCTATAGGTGCTGTCCACTACCATACCCTGTGGGTAGCGCGACAACCTCGATGCACATGGGATTTCAATTCCCTTTGCGAGAATGTGCGGTGTGCACATCGAGCACCTGTATTATCGATGCACAAGCAGGCAGTTTGATTGTCTTATGCACACCCACGAAAGCGCCGACGCCGAGTTGACAATTTCCCCCTTTCCCGTTTTTGGTCGCCTCCGCCCTCTCTCTCTCTCTGCCATCTCATCCCCTTCTACCGCTTCCCCGGATTTCCACCCACCCCGTTCGCCATCCCCGCCCAAATCTACCCATGTACACACCTACATCGACAAGATACGTGCCACACACGTCTACATCGAGAAATAAATGTGTGGGCGGTATCCATCCGGTAGGGGGGGCTCGGTATCGGCGGCACGGATGGACCAGGCTGGGACGGGGATCGAATGTTTTTATCCTTTCCCCCGATCCTCGGCCGTGGATAGGCTTCCCTTGCTCGACTCAGCGGGGATGACCCCGCTGACCCTGACCTACGTACGCGATCGGGCGTTACGATGCGACGCCAGCTCTATCCCTTCGCGCATATCTCGCGTCTCGGCGTGCGGCGGCATCACTCGCACATTCTGTCGACCGCCGCGCATGTTAGGTACATGGCAATAGCGGGACACGGCCTTCGTGTGCGGTGTACGGTTACCTCGATGACCACTTCACACTTCGCGGTAATACGTGCGCAGCAGCAAGCGGGCCAATATAATAAGCCGAAGGGCGGCGTAACACCATTGATCTGCACCACCGCATCTGTGCCCACAGCGTGACGACTCGCCTACCTACCTAGTCACTCGCTATGTTCTGGGACGACATGATGTCCCGCGACGCTAAGATGCTGCGGCAAGGGTGACATGGACGCAAGAGACGCATCTTGACGTCGCTACCAAGCCGTACGCCGTACCATTGCAGATGTACCTAGATAATATCTACGCGCGCTGTAGCCGTCGCCAACTGCAGTTGGATGGGGCTATCTAGCTCGATAGAGATAGCAACAGCTTCATCCAGACGGCATCCCACGGTCACACGGGTCACTTGAGGCCCAACTCCCTTCTGGCCTGGAGATCTGGGCCTCTGCTACGTACGACTGCGATAAGGCAAGTAAGCTATACCTGCCTACATATTTCTCTACCTTGCCGATCTTGGCGAGGGGTTGCTCATTAGGGTGTCGGCCCTCGGAGCACATGCACATATATCATGGGAGCTCGCCTAGACTACACACGTCTTGGCCATGTAACATTGCTATTATCTTGGTATCTCGGTGTATTCTACTCATACATCTACCCGGATCGTGTTCGTCTCAATCTTCAGCGTCCACGCCTCTCTACTGAACTAGCGGCACATTGGCCTACATTGCCAGGCTCCAAGCTCCCGTCCCACAACATGGGCTAAGCCTATGGGGAGGGGTACTACGGGAACAAAGAGAGGAAAATGGTGACCTTACGTGTACAGGAATCCCCATCACGGAGAGTGAGGGGAAGGTGAGGGGTATAAATAACCCTGTCGGTTACTCGCCTACGGGATCACTCCAGCTGGGTACGAGGAACCGCGCGTTGGGCAGGCGGCAGCCTTAGTTAACGCCCGCCACATGGATCCTCGACACAAAGTCGGGATTGACGAGCGGGTTGTGGAGTTCGGCGATGGTGCTCATGCACGCCGCCGCCGGGTCGCCCGAGCCGGTGAGCAAGCCCTGCCAGTACTCGTTGCCGGGGAACGCGTTGCCGTCCCAGGCGTACGAGACGACGAGCAGGCGACCGGCGTCCTCGCCGACCAGCGGCGCTGCCGGATTGCGCTGCGTAAACTTGACCGCCATACCGGCCCGCGCACAGGTCACGCTGATGCGCCACCGCATCTCTCCCGTCACGTCACCCAAGTACGCGAAGTCGACCGTGCCGACGTGTTCGAGCCGGCCGCGAGCCGCCGTCGCCGCTGCACAGAACGCTTCCAGGAAGTACTCTTTTTGCCTCGCGCTGACGCTCCAGACCCCGAGTCCGAGCCCGACCACATACACGTACGCGGTCCAGCCCGCCTCCCGCGCCCGGTCGTTCGCCTCGAAGAGCAGCATCTCGAGCGGGATCCGCATCCGCGCTACGTAGGCCTCGTCGTCGAAGCTATACCGGGCCAGGCCCCTGATGCCCAGGCCGAAGAACTCAAAGAACAGCTTTCGCAGCTCTTCGTGCATCCTCGGCGTCCCGGCGATCGTCTGGATGAGGTCGGCGTCCATCCGGTTCGGGCGCTCGAAGCGCGCCCCGACCAGGCCGATGATTATCCCCCGGTCCTCAAAGGTCCCCGCCACTTGCGGCACGGCGCTGTTGGACCGCCGGCCGTCGTTGATGAAAAAGCTCGGGCTACTGACACCGATGAGACTCGACAGCATAATTTCGTCGTAGCTCAGGTAGTCATCTAGAGAGAGCACCTGATTCTGGCCCTGTTCCTCGGTCCCCACTCGGTCCCATTCTCTCCTAGGGTCTTCCGGGAGTATTTGGCCATTGCGAAGCATGGTATGATCGTTCATGCCCATGAAGACTAACGGCCGCTTCTCGATGAGCCTGGCTATTTGTTGCCTGGCGGTGAAACCATCTTGGTAAAGTCTTTTCTCGTAGCTGCTGCCGTGCTGTTTCTTGTGAGAAATGAACGACTCGACGAGACTCATGAACCGAGGGTGAATTACGACCCGGGTGCTCTGAGCATCGCGCCTGACGACGTCGGGTGGGAAGTTCAGGACACTGTTGGCGCTTGGGAGTAGTGATCTGATGTGAGCAATGTTGGAGTCCCGGAGACCCAGCGAGCTAAGACAAACTGCCATCGTAGTAGATGAATCCGTAATTCTCGTGACGGCCGGTGTAATGTCAGTATTAATAGGCGAAATTCAGTTAGATATGATATTGGGTATTAGCTACTAGCACTAATCCGCGGTTGAATACCCAACAATAGAATTCTGTCCGCCGTATAATATGGCTCACGACAACAAAGGAATAAAAAGAAAGCTGTTGTCGGTGAACGCTATTGTCTTCGCACCACAAACACAGTTGAGTCATTCTCATTCGCCAAGTTTGTTGGCTCAGCCACGTCAGCCGCAGCGCGGCGACTTGCGACGCCTAACATCGATAGAGCAGGACGAAGCCGACTCGTTGTGTGCGTTTCGTTGATCAGGACGAGTTATATAGCCTCTCGACGGACTAGATATCACCGCATCGAGACTTGGGCGAGTGACTGCACATGCTGCCTGGTAGTCGAAGATGTCCGCGGCATCGGATACCGCGTGCTTAGCGCTCCACAGCTATCTTACCCGGCGCTGGGTAATGCTAAGAAGCGCACCTCAGTAACGATCCAGAGAGACCTTGTATAACCGACCAATCGTGGGATGGGATGTTACAAGGCTGAAAGATACTGTATACCTAGCTCATGTGTGTAACCAGCCGCCTGAGGACACCCTGACCATGTGATACTACATATACATTACTCTTATACAGCACCCAGGCAGAATTTTATTGGATCCTCGTTTCAGCGTATAGCGCCGCCCGATTCTTGTACAAAATCGCTGGCTTACTTTGAGACACAGCTTAGACAAGTGGCTGGTTGTTTGGTAACGTGGAGCAGTCCCATGTAATAGGTCTGAAGCTCGCCAGACGAGGAAAAAGCCGCAACTAATTTCTGCTCTGCCTAATCCTGGGACTCATTCGCGTGTCACCTAGTTAGTTTCTTCACCGGTTATAGAGTCTCTTACTCCTCACTGCATACTCCTCGTTTTGCATATAACACGGCCCGGGCCAACCTCGGTGGAGGCATAAGTAAGGTATATATTATTACCCATGACTCCCGCAGGCATGTTCCAAGTATTGGGAAGCCTAATATATCATCAACTCAGATTCGCGGTATTATGTGCAAGTGCGAGGTATCGGGGCTAGTTTCACTCAGCACTACGGCTAAAATAGCGACCTGGTTATGAAGTACAGTGTCTGGCTGAACATTTCCTCCCTGTATTAATATTAGATTAGACAGCTGTCGGGATAAAACGCCCGTGTTGGAAACTCTATACCCCTGGGTATAACCTTATCTCCTACGTCCCGTAGAAAGACGTAACCTACATAAGTCTCTGTACCCGCCTGACAGCTTGCTTAAGGAACGTCAGATTTCACACAGATCAGGGCTCGATCATATGATTCATGCGAAAATTTATTAGAGAATGTTGGCATCTGTCCAAAACCGGCTGTCGTCCTGTAGGCAAATACCCTAACCATAGGCGTATTATTACTTAAATAAGACACATCCCCCGAACTCCCGCTAAGATTGTGTTACGTAGTCTTATGGATGGGGTGATACGTGTGGATTCACACCGCCGATCTGCCACCCCAGGTGATGAGAACAGTTACAGAACCGCCGCGACTGCTATTCGCGCATTGAAGTTACGGCCGATGGGCGCAAGTAGTTCTTATAGTCGGCGTAGTGCCTGTCTGCGGTGTCCTCCTAAACTTTCGAACTGGGATGTTCGGGAGCTGCCAACATGCAGAGACAAGCCACGCGGCCAACGGCACCAACGATCAAAGCTTATTGCAGAGGTTTAGGCTTACGGCTCCTCAAATTGCTCCGATATGCACATCCAGGCGAGATTTAAAACGCGGATGCACTTGTGCCCCCTTCACGTCGACTTTGATGTGAAGAAAAGTGTGCGTGGTTTCGCGCCGGCATTCCCTCGGCCTCATATATATTAGTACTAGCAAACATCAAGAGCGGTTCATGCACCTGACGACCTCTGACGCTCAACTGCCAACCCAATAGAAAGCTGTAAGTGTTTAACCTATCGGGAGATTCGTAGTTGACAGGGGGGTATCGCTTGGATGTTTCTTGCCTTGCTTCAATACATGTCGATAGGAAGCATGTTGAATCGATCGTGCAATGTAATATCTCAACGTCAGTATCTATTCATATTACTTCGAGCCGTCTTCTTTTGACTATAAAGCCCGTCCCAGTCCTCGTTTTCTCTGAGAATATTATCAGCGGCAACATCAGACGTTCTCACAACTTCCCTACAAAGCAATCAGTAGACCCATTCCTTACAGCCTCACTCTCCCTGCCCTAAAGCTCATCCCCCCCCACCAACATGCCTTCGGCACTCAAAACGGCCCTAAATCTGGTCGCCGCCCTTGCCGCCCCGGCTGCGGCCTTCTCGGGCGACTTGACGTACTATTCCCCGGGTCTGGGCGCCTGCGGGCTCACACACACCGACAGCGATGCTATCGTCGCAGTGTCGCCCAGCCGAGACGGCAACTGCGGCCGCACCATCAACATCAACTACAACGGCCGCGTCGCCAGCGCCACAGTAGCCGACAAGTGCATGGGCTGCGTCGGCGACAGCATCGACGTCTCCCCCGCCGTCTTCCAGCAGCTCGAGGACACCGGCGCCGGCCGCATCAGTGTCGACTGGGAGTGGGCATAAGGGCGGGGTCTGGGATCGGGATTCTTTTCATTTCTGTGTGTTTTATTCGAGGTGGGAGGTGCGTCACTGGATGGTGTTTGGGTAGAGGGGGGGGGTCATAAGAATGTGAAAGGGGGGAGCTGTGTTGGGCTATGCGACAGATAGGCGGGTTGCTCATAGTTTGTACGGAGGTTAGTTTTCGGACTCGGTCTGGTTACTTAGGGCAAATAGGAAAACGGAAGTTGGTTTATGGGACTGTCTCTTACTACGAGTTGGCTGGGTGAGATATATTTAAGGACTTTGTTTTTTAAATCTTGACTTTGTAATACTTGGTGATGATTTTATAGTCTATCTTAATATATTCCGAGAGCGGGAACACGTGTCTCTCCTAAATTAAGAGCGCTAACATAAAGAACTCCTCTCCATATACAACCCCGGAACCCACAGCGATAATATGAGGTATATGACTACGGTCACATTCCCATCGCTCCTCAGCTAGGAGATTATTAACAAACCCAGTCACCACCTCATAATATATCATATTTTGAAGGAGGTAAATCTCTAAAATTATCATACTACGTCTTCAAAGCCCTTGTAGGCAGCGGCGGTGCAGCTGTATCGGCACGCCCCCGTTCGTCCAGATCTCGCAATTATAACCACCACCACACCCACACAAAGCTTCGACGTACCTCTCTAGAACCGAACAAAATGGGGCCGAAAAAAGGTTCTAGAAAGGCTCTGGGACCTTTGGCCAGTGTCAGCTGAGAAATTTCACGGCCCGCTTTCCCTCCGGTCAGTCATAGAAGGGATGCTTCTGTACGTTACGCTGAACACCACCGTCCAGTCATGCTGATTCTCGATAATTACTTCGTCACTGCTAGATTTTTAATAGAAACCGCTTCGGTAGCAACCTTTAATTCGTTACGTATAACCGCGGGATGGGCTGACAAGAATACTTTCGGGAATCCCGTCAAAGTTGACATTGAGGCTACCCCGGGGTGTAATGGTTACAATATTAACTCCAACCGAAGCAAATCTAGCCTGATCTGAACCTAGTAATGACAGTTCCACCCTTCGCCTAACCTCCCGCATTTATTTGAACTTGTTTCTCTGTTTTTGCTGCAAGATATCGTCGGCGTTGAGTATCTGAGGACATCTTGTTATCCTACCGAAAACAAGCGAACGCTAGCAACAGGCGCATAAAGTACAGTAGCAGTGACACAGACACAACACGTGGATAGGCCGTTAGGGGGCGCCGGCCTCGTATCCCACAAACTCGAAGTACTTCTGCATATCGGGGTCCTGGATGAGGAGGTCGACGGCGTGGGTCTCGAAGGGGATGACGACCTCGAGGCCCTGGTCGGCGGCGGCGGCGCTGTCCTCGGGGGCCGGTCGCTGGGGGTAGATCATCATCATGTTCTCGTAGACGACGTCGGCGATCTGCTTGGCGGCGGCGGGGCGGCCGAAGCCGAAGTCGCGGGCGCACATGGTGGCGCGGCGCCAGTCCGTCACGGCCAGCGACATGGGCGGGAAGATGTCCAGCCGCGAGTGCATCGCCGACACGTCCGCAACCGGCGTCATCGCCGCCAGAAAGCCCTCCAGCGTCCGCGCGTCCACTCCCGCCGTGATCTGCCGGATGTACGCCGCCAGCCGCGGCAGCGGCACTTCCGAGATCACCTCCCCCAGCGTCAGCTGCTTCTCCTGCAGCTGCGAGAGCCCCCCGCAGAGCAGGTTGCCCTGGTACCGCTCCGATACCTTAGGCGTCACTGTGCAGAGGGCTGTTAGCAAACGAAACGCACCGCTTAGGGGGTGGAGAGGGAGGGAGAGGAAGCGGAGACGGAGAGCTCTCTCTCTCTGGATGTTGAACGTACGTCGGCCGCGCATATTCACCGATTCCAAGAACACAGCTGGCAGGGAGAGATCGGGCAGGTAGATCTGCGCGCGATTCCGCATCATGACGCGCCACAGGAACGCCGTCAAGGCATCGTAGGTGGAGATCTGGGTCCCGTCGCCGGGGGCGGCGAGCTGCTTCAGCTCGGCGACGCGGCTCTGCGGGAGGTGGAACAGCAGCCAGGAGCAAGGGAGCCAGTCCGGGTGCCTCGGCGGCGGCGGCGGCGGCTGCACCTGGTCTTTCGGGTCGACGGGGGGCGGGATGAAGCGCGACCGGTCCATGAAGGCCTCGTCCCACGCCGGCGGCGGCGTGCCGTGCCGGATCGAGTAGCAGTGGTCGGCGATCTGGTGCACGAGGCTGGTCGTCCCCGTCACGTCGCACACCGCGTGGTGCTTGTGGACGTTGAAGATCATGCCCCCCGGGATGAAGGTCAGCTGGAAGCCGGACACCTCCGGGCTCGTGCCCGGCGGGCGCTTCGAGGCCATCGACATGCCCTCGATCGTCAGGAGGCCCGGGTCGCCGAGGCTCTGGCTCGAGAACTTGGCCCTCTCGAGCTCGGCGAACGAGGGGAAGTCGTCGCCCGGCCCGTCGAGCCACTTCACGTCGAACCGCGCGGTGCTGTCCGGCTTCTTGACGATCGAGAAGCTCCCGCCCTCGCCTTTCTCCACCGTGCCGACGAAGTGTCGGCACTGGCCCAGGGTGGCGGCCAGCGCGCGCTTGAAGGTTTCGGCGATGGCCGCCGTGTCGGCGCTCTCGAGCTTGAAGATGAGCGCCCAGGTGCTGTAGTTCTGGGTGACGATGAGGTCCAGGGGCGACAGGCGGAAGGCCTCCTCCTGCTCTGCCTGGGGTCCCGACGGGCGGATCTGAAATGTCTCCGTCCGGCCCCTGGCAAGCGAAGCCAGAGTCCGGGAGAAGTATGGCGCAGACTCACTGCGCGAGAGCAGGCTCCTGTGCAACGGACGAGTGCATGGCCTTGTTGGTATGCTTCGTGCGCACTTGTAAGCCGGCAGGAGGCGTGGCAAGACTGACTTCGATAACGCGAAGGCCATTGCTAGGGAGAAGTCTCGGGGCTGGTTATCGAGGCATTATTGTGATTAGGGCTTTTCGGGATATCTCTCCTTAAGATGCCTCTCTACGCGCTCTCAAGGCTCAGCTTATATGGCCTCCAATGTTACCTAACTCATACCTGCCTACCTAGGTCTATGCTACTTTTTATATCTACTAATATGCAGTTATCGGGTATAATGAAAAGGGCAATATAAGAGCAACTCTCGGGATATGCATATACAGGGTAGTTGCAATCTTACGGAGACCCCTGCCAGTTTAGCTGGTTGACGAACACCCCAGGTGGAAGATCCTTAGGCAACGGGATAGCCTGCTTGCTCCCTGTCCGTGCACCGGTGCTATCGTCCAGCTTTGCCCCCTTCGTATAGGGAGGAATCGAGTCCCTCCGTCAGCTCTGGCATTACTGGTGGGCAAGTACTTACTGAGGACGTACCTGGCAACTGGCTGTGATTCGAGATGACAGCAGCCACTACAGGCAATTAATATGGATGCATATAGGGAGCTAGATATATTATACAGGTAGGTAGTAACTAGGGGGGGGCGCAGGAAGTGATCAGTAACTTCTCTAACACTTCATAAGGATACACAAGTATTACGCTCTGTGCAATATGACAGATCGAGTTGTAGACGCTGTCTTATATGCCGATTTTAAGGATTCGACCCACCCACCTCGCGAGTTCGATTTGGTGTGTTGCACGGGGTCCTATTTTCGGGCCTGTCAGGGTGACATTCTAATACTACTCGTCTCAACCAATATTGGTTATCTTCTAGATTCACATCTTACCTCACGCCCAGTTGAAGGGCCTATCATTTCTCTGGTAATGGGACATGACATCTCCTAGCATTGTAAGAAGGGGGTGAACGAAATGTCGAGACACCAATGAATAGGTATTGGAGACTGCCGAATAATATTAGAGAGCTTTTACAAGTTGGTCGTGGGAATTGCTATATTAGTCGCGAAGAAGAAAAAACGAAGTTATTTCTGCCGTAAATTATTACTAACACTGCGTATAGCTGAGTAATTGGGCAAAGCGGCTATACGAGTTAAGGATATTTTCCTCGACAACCCCGGGTTCATGAATGCACTTTGGCGGAAAATGAAACCCACACCGTGGTTGAGGCATGTTAGTGTTGTCGCTTCATACATCAATCATTCATTTCGACTACGCCGTCGACAGTAAACCCCTCTCCCCAGCAATGCAAAATACTTCTTGAGGCTAGGTAGTCGATGATAATGATGACTGAGCAGTGAAAGATGCAACGCGCCTAAACCCTCTATCGATTTCCCAAGCGTTGCCGGCGGATCTACAGATAATATCTACGTGTGCGGTATTATTAACTACATGACCACCGAACCCGAACCCCTCTTTCGACAGACAGCGCGTCCGGGGTATTAAGTGATCTTTTTCTGCGCCCCCCACGCCACACGCACACTCTGCCACTTTAACTCTTGACGATGATCCTGACGCCCTTCGTGTCCCACTTAGGCATGGGGCGGACGAGGTCGACGATGAAGTCGACGTCGCTGCGGTCCGTCTCAAAGAGCTCGAGCTTGTGGCGGCGGAAGAGCATCGCCAGCGCGACGTACATATCCATGAGGGCGAGGTGCATACCGATGCAGACGCGGGAGCCGCGGATAAAGGAGACGAGATAGTAAGAGAGCGGGCGCACGCCGTCCGGGCCCTTAGGGTCGCCCAGCCATCGCTCCGGCACGAACTCAAGCGGGTTCGGGAAGATGTCTGGGTTGGTGTGCATATGGTACGCGTCCATGCTCACCGCCGTTCCTGCCGGGATCTCCCACGACCCGTACTTCATCGACGCGAGACGGTTGACACGTGGGAGGCGCTGCACCGAGCCGAACGAGAGGCGGAGAGCTAGCAGAGTCCCAGTCAGCGTCGTTTCTTCCCCTCTCCACAAATATACCCGACACACTCGGGGGAGACACTCACATTCGTTGATGACGGCGGACAGGAAAGGCAGCTTCTCAAGTTCGGACCAGGGGAGGATGTTGGCAGGGTCAGGCATTGCTTCGGTGAGCTCGGCCACAAGACGCTTCTCGACCGACGGGTTCCACAGGGTGTGGAACGTAGCGACGGACAAGGTCCACATGGTAGTCTCGATGCCAGCGCCGGAAAGACTCATGGCCTCCTGGGTCAGCCGTTTGAAGCTGAGCTCCTCCTTGGGCAGGTCGGACGCGAGGATGTCGTGGAAGATGGTGGGGTGCGACGACTCCTTCGCGAGCATGTTCTTGCCTGCGAGCATCTCACGGACCTGAGGACGGATAGCCTATTTATTATTACTGCGTTAGCGGAAACCTGTGGCATCGAAGGGCGCTCTCATGATTCCACTCACGGCACGGTAGTCGAGGATGGGCTTGAACGACGGCACTAGGGTACCTAGAACCCTATCGGGCATCCAGTGCATCGTCTGGATCAGGGAGTTGAAGTGCGTGGTGTAGTGAGCTGCGAAGACCCAGCTCATGAGAGCGGACGAGTACGGGGACTTGAAATCGGGGGAGTCCGAGAAGCGTGTACAGCGGGCGAAAGCCAACTCGGAGACGACATCCGCAGTTAGAGTCCCCCACATGTCGCATACGTCAATAGGGCGACCCGTCCCGGCGTACTCGGTGCTCAGACGATACGAGATACGCTCGGCGATTTCGAGCAGCGTGTCGTTCATGCCGTTGATGCGGGACTTGGAGAAGAAAGGCGCGATGGCAGCCCGCCGGATACGGTGCTTCTCGCCCTCGACGGTGCTGATAGTAGCCTCGGGCATGCCAAAGCGATGCTTGTACTTCTCGAGCTTGTCGATGGGGCGCGAAGCGGTGCTCTTGGTGTAGACGTCATTGTAGTACTCCGGGTCGTCGATGTGGAGCTCGTTAGGTCCGACGCGGACGATGGGGCCGTACTTCTCGTGGAGCGACTTGATCCTAAAGGCGGTTTGGCCGCCGCCTTTACTGATCAAGTCGTAGTAGGCCTCGTAGAGCGTCGTCAAGGCGGCGAGCTTAGGGCCGGGGAACTTGGCGATGGGGCTGAAGAAGAGACGGTATACGGCCAACCAGACACCCCGCACCAGAAAGACGGCCGCGATAGCCAGGACCGAATTCAAGTACGAGAGCTCAAAGTCGAAGTTCCTGGGGTCGAACCGGAAGCCTTGCAGCCCCGACCCGGCAATTTGGGTATCATTCATCGTAGCAGCGCTCGAAGACGGGAAGTTAGGGCAGGCGAGACTTGGAGATAGGTAGAGAGAGAAGAGAGGTGGAGAGAAGGCGAAGAGACGGAGGCGAGAAGGCTGTAGGTATGCCGCTCAATAGTACCAGTGACTCAACAGCACTAGCGCGGAAACAACCTAATCAGTCTGCAGCTGCGGTGCCTCTGATCACGGCTCTCGCAGACTTTGTTGGCGAGCAAGACGAGTGTCTGTCCGGTCCCATTTTGTCGGCTCAGCTCCCTACCTTGGGTCTTCTGAAATACCTCCCTCGAAGGCGCCGCTATGCCGGTCAATTGTGCGACCAGCTATAGGATCGGCACCGCCAGGATCCAGACCCCGACCGGGATTCCGCGTGTGGCACGATGAAGATGTAATCACGGTCGAGCAACTCGCAGCCGAAATGATACGAGCGAGACGCCTGCTTACACATGCCTGATCGCTATAGGACGATGTTGATAACGGGGGGGAGGGGTAGGGAGCGGATAGATGCATGGCTGAGGGGATGCAGGTATCAGATAAAACGCATAGGTGCATGTTCTGGCGTTGAATGCATATCGTCCTATGCGGTACTCGCTGGGGGGAGGGGTGGGGAGGAGGGGATGTTCCGAGGTATGCGACGCAATCGAAGATCTCGCAACAGGGAGGCGGGATTCTGTCAGTGCGAGGGTCTGCTCCTCTGGGCGCGCGCGTTGCATCTAGCCAATCCGTAATACTACCTGGCCTCGTAGGTACAGACAGCCTGCTTGGTTATGCTGGCCTAGAAGCATGACGGCGGCGAGGTCGGTACCTCGGCCAGGTATATTGCCTACAGCAGGTACTTGACGGCATCCGTCGAGGGATGCATGTAATAATACAGCGTCACATATCCCGGGCGCGTAGGAGGTAGGTACCCGGTACTTTCATGTCGCGATGCGGCGTCTCCTTTGGGCCATTAGGCGGCACACCTGGCGGGATGCCTCCCTCCCCTCCCTCTCCCCTCCCTCTCCCCTCGTGTCGAGGGTGCTACTCGAGACGCCTCATACCGGCACACCCCCTCCCGCCTAGCCTGCCTGCACAAGGTGCGTACAGGCAGGAGGACACAGGTACACGGCATATGTGTGCGATCCGTCGCTATTTCGGGCGTCAGCGTCAGGGAACGTGGGTACGTGAGACCGTTCTGGAAACATTCGGTGCGATATTTCAGCCGTCTATGTCTCCGACACGGTCAGGACGCCTCTGGCCGGCCAACAGCCGCCGAGACGCTTGCGGCGATCGCAGAGACTAGATTAATAATGCACCAGGTGGCGGCGGAATGTCTTGAATTTAAAGGCGCCAGGCTCTCTAGTCGTTTACTTGACGCCCGCTTCTTTTGCTCGCCCACCCTAGATTTCTCGCCGTGTCCGCCTCCTCGTCTTTCTAACCCCAGTCCGCACACACACGCCCTCGTCGACCGTCCGCTTCGCAGTTCGCCGTAAACGTCCACCAAGATGGCCAGCTCCACCGTCGTCTTCATCAGTGGTGCAGGAAGAGGTCAGCTCTTCCTCTAACCGACCCCTCCCTCGCTCGAACCGTCCCCCCCCCTTCTTCTCCCCTTCGACGCTTGAACCCATACACCCACCCCGGTCCCCCTTGTCGGCCACCAAGAGGCTTGGCTAACATAAGTCTCGTGCAGGCATTGGGAGGAGCTTAGCGGAAGCTTATCTCTCGCGCCCGAACCATACCGTAGTGGGCAGCGTCCGTGACCCTACTAGCGCCAATGCCCAGGAGATCAAGGCCTTCCCTGCCGCCGAGGGCAGCCGGTTCCTGTTAGTCAAGATCGAGAGCAGCTCCTTCTCGGACCCTGCCGCAGCCGTCAAGGAGGCCGAGGCTGCGGGCGTCGACCACATCGACGTCCTCATCGCCAACGCCGGCGGTGCCGGCGGCAGCATCTCGCCCCTCGATAAGGTCACCCCCCAGGACGTCACCGACGTGTTCAACATCAACGCCCTCGGTCCCTTGGCGCTGTACCAGGCCGCGAAGCCCCTGCTGGACAAGTCCAAGGCTCCCAAGTTCCTAGGAATCTCAAGTGCCGTTGGCTCTATCGGGAATATGGAGAACTTCCGGGCGCACGTTGCGCCGGCTTATGGTATCGCTAAGGCGGGGTTGAATTGGATCTCCGTGTATGCATCTCCAATCGCACTCCCACTCTCTCTTCTCCCGCGCGCCAAGCCACGATAGTGGCAGCAGCAACGAGAAGGGCGACAACAACAACCTGTCGTAGTAATAGCGGCGGTGATGCCAGAAGACGTCGAGGCTGCGGTCGTGGTAGCATCAGGCGTAGTAGGATCCCGAGCTGACAACTTGCAGGGCCGCCCACAGCGGAAACAAGGAGTACATCTCCTTCGTCGTGCATCCCGGGTAAGCTACGCGGGGCCTCTCCCCTCGCGCCAAGGGTGCTTAGCCAGCTAACATCGCACAGTCTCGTGCAGACCGACGGCGGCAACAGAGCCGCGAAGGGCATGGGATTACCCCAGGCACCGCACACCAAGAAGCAGAGCACTGACGCCATCCTCGCTCTGGTAGGTCCCCGCTCCGAAACCCCCACGGTGAAATGAAACGGGAAGTTAGAAGAGATGTTGCTGACACGACGGGGCCCGCCCCGCCCGAAGCTTGATAACGCCACCCGCGAGAAGACGTCCGGCAAGTTCTTCGATGCTATCGCCGGGACCGAGATCCCGTGGTGAGAAAAGAGTTGAGAGGACGAAAGGGTAGGGAGGCAAGGCATAGGGACCTAGGCGCAAACGCGGCCAAGTTGGCTGACGTTAGAGTAGGCCGGCAATTTCCCCTGCCGCATACCTACTAGGCATTCCACGCCTTGCCTCCTGGGTATGCGCACGCGCGGACGTGTAATAGCTGTCTACGTTAGATTATGCTAGGACGAGTGGAGGCAAGGAAAGGGGGCACTGCCGCAGTTCTGTCCCCGTCCTCTAGTTACCTAGACAAATACATACCTACACGTACCTACTTAGACCTAGCAAATTCCTGAGTGCACATGCCCCGACATTTGCCGACTGCGCACGCGTGGGCGGTGATGGAAACGTACGAGAGTGACCCTCGAGTCACAGTAATCATAAGCCTCCAAGATATAATCAGGCGGTCAGAAGTAGTCGCGGTCTGCACATATCGTACTGGAGTTGTTGAAGAGGAGATGGAGACAGGGAGACGATGAACGAGACGCGAGGGGACGTCGTGTTGGAGGGTCAGCCCACGCAGCGCGGAGGTACGGTCGCCGCTTTGGGTGAATTGCATTCTGTCCCTCCATGCGCGGAGAGGCATTTGGGCGATGACATGGAGAGAGAGGGGGGGGGAGGAGGAGGGATGGAGTGGTAGGTGGTCCGCGATTACGCGCATACACACCTGGGTGGGTGATATCTAGGACGTTTGAGAATGCCCGACCACACGATCTAGGGTCGAAGAGCCCGAGATCGATATGTCCTCCGGTCGTCCGCACGGCGTTAGAGGTAGTATCACGTACGTACGTGCGCTCGGCTTTGCACCCGTGTGTTATCTGTCGGAAGCGAGATGCAAAACCGACGCCTCGCCTCGTGCACTTGCCTATTCCGTACCGCGGGCTTAGATACGCGATAGTATCACAGGCGTCGATTACGCTCACGCTCGCCGAATAAGCACTACTGCATCGTCGTGGTGAAAAGACGCCACAGGCCCGGCTCTAGTAAGGGTATTACCCAGGTATCTCTTCGCCTGCGGGCTGACGCGCGGGTCGAGCTCCTGCGAGATAACGAACAGCGATTCGGTCTCGGCGCGGGCGCCTCTTGCGGTAGGTATTATTATCTATGCAGAGGTCGTGCGCCGGGATCTGGCGTGGCGTTCCACGATGCAGGCACTCGCCAAGTACGCGGGCCTCAGAGCAACAATACTACCTACCTACGTAATCGTCCAGCCCGTCAGCATCCTGTTTCAAGAGCACGTTGCCACGAGAGCGAGAGCCGGAGCGGGTAAATTATTCCATGGTTGCAGTATTACATGTGATTTAGCCTATCTACGCCGTCCTGCCGAGTTATTGCCGCGCCTACGATTACCTACCTAAGAAAAACCAAGGAAACCAATCGCTCACCCTCTCTCTATCTCTTCCCCCCCTCCCTACAGGTTCTTCAGCTCGAACCGGGTGCGGAGACGCTCGCCGTAGCGGATGAGCAGGAAGGCCACGGGCGCGAACAGCACGGCGATGAAGCCGAGCAGGCTGTTGCCCCAGCCGACGCCGAGGCGCTCGTACATGCGCAGGCCGGCGAGCGGCAGCACCGCGCTGGCGACGGACCGCACGACCGCGTTGGCCGCGATGGCCGACGCCGAGTACGGCACGAACGCGTCGATCAGGTAGGCCAGGATGCCCATGAAGATGATGATGGTGCCGACGCCCGTGATGCCCATCCCGATGATGGGCACGATCCAGTGCACGCGATACTCCACCGTCCACCCGTAGATGAACAGGCCGGCTGGGAGCAGGATGGCGCCGAGCGGCAGGGACGAGAGGCGGTATTCAGGCTTGAGTGGCGTCGGTTTTGCGCCTGTCGCCGCGGCCTCCGCGTCCGCTTCTGCCGTCTTCTTCTGGATGCTCTTGTTCGAAGTAACGGTGTAAACTACCACGCCTAGTAAAGACCCCACGCCCAAGCCGATAAAGGCGAGACCGACGACGCTAGTGCTGAAGCCGTAAAACTCCTGGAATACCTGAGTGATCGAGGTGAACATGAGATACAGATATCCGTAAGTGATCGCGATATATAGGGCCATGATGATCATAATAGGCGACAAGACAAGCATCTTCAATGGCCGGACGATGCTGTGCTTAAAGTGCTCGCTGGAGGTCAAGCCGTGTTCAAGCTTGGAGCGCAGCTGTGAGTTGCCCGTCTCCTTTCGGAGTCGCGCCGCCCTTCGTTCGAGGAGGGTCGGAGGGTACGTCTCGCTCATGCCTACGAGCGCGGCGAGGCCCAGCGCACCGCCAACGATGGCCAATAGCCAGAAGGTCCAGCGCCAGCCCTTCGCGCCCGACAGAAAGCCGCCGGCGATGGGGCCAACGACGGGCCCTAGCAAAGGCCCGATCGCGAAGAAGGCGATGGCGGTCGCTCTCCTTTCCTGCGGCACCATGTCGGCGATCGACCCACCGCCGATGGTAATAGGGCAGGATCCGAACACGCCGCTGAAGAAGCGGAAGACGATAAGGGCGTTGAGATTAGGTGCCAACGCACATCCGACGACGAAGGCAATGAAACCGACGTTGCAGGCGTGGTATACAGGGAGGCGGCCGTACAGCTCCGACAGCGGGGCCATGACGAGAGGGCCGGCGGCGAAGCCCAGGACGTAGACGGAGACAACGAAGGCGGCGATCTCGAGGCTCGAGGAGCCGAACTCCCTCATGAGCTGGGGCACGCCGGGCGCGAATATTGCTGTGGCAGCGACGGGCCTAGTCAGTGGACCGTTCCTTCGGGGGGGGGGGTGGATTAGGACTTACACGACGCGAGGGGCGTCAGGAAGGTCATGGAGCTGATCAAGATCAGGTTCATGCGCGTCCGCCACGCTGGCCAGTTGTACGGGTTCTCCGGGTCGCCGTCGCCGTCCCAGTCCACGACGTTCGGGTCGACGCGGTCTTCGCCATCGCTGGCGCCCTCACCCAGCTGCACGGTGAGAGTGTCCTCACTGGCGTCGGGCTCCTTGCTCTCGGCGGCCATGATGTCTGGGCGTCCCAGGTGCTAGTAGTAGTGGTGGTAGTGGCGGTGGTGCTTCTGCTGTTCCTGCTGCTGCTTCTACTTCCGTTACTAGCTTAGGTAGGCTTGATCGCCTTGGTAGGCTCGGCGAATCTCTTGGACGTCAGCGCAGTGAGAACTCTAGTCCCGGGATTGGCGCCAAGGATATACACCAACGCCTAGATTCCCAAGGTTTCCTGCCTTATCTTTTTTGTCTCGTTCCCTCTCTTCCCGTTCTCGCCCCGTTCTCCCGTTCTCGCCTTTTCCTGCCAGGCCGCTTCGAGCAGTCAGAGGAAGTGGGACACGCAGGGTCCCGTTCGCGAAGGACTGAGCGATGTGGGCAGAGAGAGGCTTAGGCAATGCTAGTAGTTGTTTCACTCGCGTGAGCCGCGCCCCGTCAGCTAGCGGTCTACTGGTGCTCGCGCGAGGTGTCGCCAAAAGGCAGTGCTGGCCCCCGCCAAGTCCTAGGCTGTGATGAGCAGATGCTGGCAAAGTGGGTAACGTGAGAAAGAAAAAAGGAGCTCTCTACCCATCTGTAGGTAGGTATACGACCTCTAGGCATCAGCACAGCCAGCCCGCGCAGTCTGGCACCTCCATCCTGCTCGCTCGGTGGCGGGCCCGTAAGCACCGGAGACTTTTGGAGCAATTCGAAGCCGACTATTCCTGGTCAGCCGGGGACGTGCTAATCTGGCCGAAGCTCACTAAGTTACATCGCGGGTCCTTGGCCTGGTCGAGAACAGCGAATCAGACTAGAGCGTGGGTAACTGCATCGTATGCAATATGCGGGTTCGGATTCGGGGCCCGCTAAACAGCATATACATAGGTATGTATGAGCCTGCAGACAGTCGCGCACCGGGGCTTTTTTCGCGGAGGTATGCACGTAGGCCTAAGCGATGTACCTATGCACATAGCACGCACATATGCACGTAAAGGCCTGGGAGAGTAAGGGGGTGGGGGTAGGGCTAGGTAGGGCTAAGGGTTATTCCACCATTGTTCTACTGTGACCGTGCGGCGAGCGGCCCGCGGTCTGGGATGGCACATGGAGAGCAGGGGAGGGGGGTATAGCCCGACGACCGCACTCTCTTGCCTGCACGCCCCCATCCCCTGTCGTAGATCTGCCACCCCGGCTCGTCGCCACAAAACCCCTGGCTGCTGTGGACGTAGCAGCAGCCTGGATTCAGGATCGAAGCTATCTCCTACCCTGCCGTCCACGCCTTCGCCCGGTGCCCGCGTCGAGCCCTATCCGGCACGCCCGTATACCTCCGACGGGCAGGCAGGGCAGATCCAAATTGTGCTGGGATGATTCAAGACTTGGCTAATCCCCATGCAGCAAGACGCGATAGGCATTCCTCTAACTGGGCTTGCGATCCCCAGGACGGGCTATAGGAATCCGCCCGTCCACGGCTCGCGCAGCTTAGAGGTCCAATATCGCGTCATCGTCACTGCTATTTCACTATCGCGATCAATGCCATCCCAAAACAGCACAGCCAAACTGCAGCTTATAGCCTGCCGTTCTTCTCTCCCTCCGCCCGCCTTGTCTGCGACAACACTTGGTCACGTGGCCTGTCCGGCAGCGGCATGAGTTCGTCCGAACAGCACCGCGATCCTCCTCGCCCCCTCCCCCCCCCCACGGCCTTATCTGCCTCACTCTCGAGACACTAACGCTAGGAGCGTCCGGGCCTACTACCGATCCAACGTAGGTAGGCAACAGAATCCTGCCTCCTAGTCGCGGGCGATCTCATGTTCTGACGCGGCACAAGACGCAACGCACCAGTAACGACATGATAGCGGGTGCCAAAGAGCCGGCAGAGGAGGCACCGACGTGATCCAGATTCGCAGCCGCAATGCGTGGGGTCGAAAACTGCCATGGCGAGAAAAGCTTGACGCGATCCAAAGAGGCACAGGGTGGCACGGGGGGCGCGACACCACGTCCACATGCTATATTAGGCCTTTATCCAAAACCAGACGCAACCCATCCTTCCTCGTGCCACAACGGTGGGCCAGTAGAGGATAGAATGTCAGGATTTGGGTAACACGAGTTTGGCATGATGGCGAATGCCGCCGGATTACGCAACCGACCGAGCCCACGCTGCAGGTGAGCCATACCGGCGAGACGGCGAAATGCGGCCTAGCCAGATAACGAAGGAGATGACGGTTAGCCCTAGGTCCTAGGTACGGTCTCGTGGGCCTCAGTATCGTAAGAGTTGAATGAGGTAAAGGGATTCGGTATCGAGGTTGCCGTGGAGTTGCCATCCGCAGCCAAGAGTCCTAAGAACAGAGTGGTTGACGCCATGCCATCATTGCAACCAACTTCATCCCTTATGCAATTAATACCCTGCATGCGTCTGCAGTCAGTACGCATGTAACGACGGCCTATCAAACTACTACTACCTAAGCCCGTGGCATACTGGCCGCTACATAGTTTCTGCTGGCCATCGCTTATTCCCCTGTTCCCCCACCGTCGCCCACGCCATGGCCGATTACCGCGCCGAACTACGGCAGCTAGAGCCGAAGCGGGTGTCATGTTACAACGTTTTGTTGGGAGATCGCCGGGGACAGGAGAAGGCGAATGCCAACCTAGGTATTGGCGAGCACATACTACCTATCTGCATGATGATATTCATCATAGAGGGTAGAGCAGAACTAGCGGAGAGGTGTGGGTTGCCAGTCAGACCTAGGTAATGTGCGTGGAATCATTCCGCGACCGCTATTACCAAGACGGAATTCCGCAGGGGGACCAACACAGCCAATACGAAGTCAACCTACCCACTATGAAAATACCCAATAGGGAGAGCTATTGGTATTAGAAGCTTACACACAGTCTCGTAACCATCTACTCGTAAGCTTGGACGTGTCATATAATACACACATCGGCGACAACCGGCTTGTAGGCAAGTTGGTGGACTGAAGTCTACATTACGGTAGGTATATAGGTAAGAAACTAGGTATAGTAACATCTAGAGCTGACCCAGAATGTGGGTATCGTTGCGGTGGCTAGCTGACAACAGGAATGGTGATACAGGGAGAATATAGGTACAGCAAGGAGAGCAAACGGGCTACGGGGACGGAGCGTCGAGAGCGAAATTACCGCCAGCCGAGCCCGGAGACAAATAATAGTATGTACAGCCCAGTAGAATAGCATAGCCCGGAATAGTACAGTATAGCATCGCAAGTCAGCAACGTCAGCGCATTCACACCCGACACAAGCGGCCCTGCGTATCCTCACGCCAGGCCTCGCTGCCGACCGCCGTGCGGGCGTACAGCAGGCCCTGGGGGTCGTACTTGGCCTTGATGCGGCGCAGGCGGGGGTAGTTGGGGCCGTAGAAGGTGGTCTGCCAGTCGGGCTCCTCGAAGTTGGCCTCGTTGAGGTAGGCGGCGCCGCCGGGGCTGGCGGCCTGGATGCGCGGCATGACCTCGCGCGTCAGGCGCGCCTGGTACTCGAGGTTCTGCGCCCAGCTGACGTCGAAGTCCCAGAACTTGATGATGATGCAGGTGAGCAGCGTCTCCCGCCAGGCCGGCAGCACCGCGTTCGCCGGCGTGGGCGCCTGCCGCGTGTTCGCGTTCACCGCGCCGCAGGCCACCTCGAAGTGGGCCTCGTTGGCGCCGCGGAACGCCTCGCCCAGCGCCGCCACGCCGCTCGCCGACTCCACCACCGCCCGCGGTACCAGCCGGCCGCCCGACAGCTGGCCCGACTCGGTCGCCAGCTCCACCGGCACGAACGTCGTGCGGTACAGGTCGTAGTACGAGCCGAAGGCGGCCGACGACGTGTTGAGCGCGACGCCGACGCCCTCGAGCGCGGTGACGACGGGCTCCAGCGTCGCGGCCACGGCCGACACGTCGGCGCCGGGGATCACCGCGGCGAACACGTACAGCCGCGAGTCGCGGATGAAGTAGGTGACGACGGCGCCGGCGTCGGTCACGGGGCCGAGGCTGGCGTGGAAGGCGTTGACGGCGCGCCAGAAGGCGTCGACGTCGCCGGCGAAGGCGGCGTCGCTCGCGCCGAAGGAGAAGCTGGCGAGCTGCATCGGCGTCTCGGCGTACGTGCGCGTCGTCATGGACAGCACGACGGCGAAGGTGCCGGCGCCGCCGCCGCTCAGCGCCCAGTAGAGGTCCGCGTTGCGCTTGGGCGTCGCCACCAGGTGCTCGCCGTCGACCGTGACCACCTCCCACTCGAGCACCGAGTCGGCGGCCATGCCGTACTGCGAGGTCAGGCTGCCGTGACCACCGCCGGAGGTGTAGCCGCCTGCGCCGCCCACAGTGGCGCAGGTGCCGGTGACGAGGCGGACGCCCCGCCGGTTCGCCTCGGGCAGCACCTCGTTGAACTTGACGCCGGCCCCGAGGCGGATGGCGGTGCCGTTGTAATCAAGGTCGCCCTTGTACGAGTCGATGAACTCGACAGTCTTCAGGTGCTGGGTCCATAGCGATAGGGAGCCCGCGCCAGTGGATTTTCCGAGAAGGCTAGAAGAAGGAGGGGAAGGACTTAGACTTGCTTACGAAGAAAGAAGCCAAGAAACAAAAACGAGGCCACCCGGAAGTGTGGTTCAGGTTGAAAGGGGGGGAAGGGAAGGACAGGGGAGGGGATGACTCACTCATGGCCTGTATTCTTGATAACGAGGCGAACGTTTTTGCTCTTGGCGAACTGAAGGCCGGCGCGGATATCGCTAATGCTCGAGACGTTGATAGAGTAACTAGCGTAGTTTCCCAGCAAGCAGGGCTGCTCTCGCGGCGTGAACGGCGAGCACGTGTTGCCCTGGAAATAAGGGTTGATGATCTCGGCCGGGTCGTAGACGCTGTGGGTTGGTTACATTGCGTTAGCGGGTTTCCTCTTCCCAAGCGAAACCACGCATAGGTCTCTGTGTCCGGGACGGGTAGGGGGTGATTCGTGGACGTACTGTGCAGCCGAGCTTAGCCACGTTTCCTTCAACTTATCACACCTCGCCGCGTCGTAGGTCGGGTCGTGACAGGCTGAGGCTAGGGGGACGGTGGCAATCAACCGGCCACCAACGGTCCTGTTGAGCCGTGCCCAGTCTGCTTGGCTCGGCCAGTCAGCGTCGCCTGGCAGAGTCCTACAGTTCGAGCTGCGGGTGTCGAACAGGCTGTGATCGCCATGCGAAAAGGGAGTAGGAGATGCAGAAACAGCATGCGCAGTCAGCCAGACGACGCTCCACCCCTTAAAGACAGCGCGAGCTAGATTAGAGCCAAGCATCTTTGCAACCCCAAAGTTCGACACTACTAGATATCGCAATGGCCGTTCAAGAGAGCGGATGGAGAGTCAAAATTCTAGCTGGAAGACAAGGCGCGCGGATCTATTTGTATAACAACGGCGTCTTAGTACTCTCGTTTACCACGATCAGCCGATCGATCAGCCCCCATGGCGCTCGCCTAACTATTACTGTGTCTAGACGTGAAGAAAGGAGGCAAGGGGGGCCATTCGTTGCATTTTTCAGCCTCTGGGTGCTATTCCTGGACGGGGCGGCATAGCTGAACACACGGAGCAAACGGCATCGTCCCATCGTCGCCGGCGCAGGGTTTGGATAAGGTGGTTCCACGTGGGCATATTCGAGCTTATACATAGCCTCAACCTCAGCCCAAAAAAGGGCGGAACCTTTACCTCAGCATCAAGACGGTTGTTAAATCCCATGAAGGATCCGCAGAAGCGAGGGAGAAAGGGGGGGTGATAACCGCTCTAACTGGCAACCCTGCCAAGCATGGATAGCACACGAGCTAGATTACAACACAATCTCGTTTCCAGGGCGGCCTCCACGGGATAGTGGGCATGGAACTTAGGCAGACAGAAACAGCCTTGTCAGAACGCGTAGGTATCAGGACTAACACCGTGCTCTCATGCTACGAAGGGGGGATGCGTGGAGGGAGAAGAGGAGAGGGTCGCGGGAGGGCTGGTGGTGACTAACCCCTATAGCATTGCCTCCTTCCTTTACAACTAATTACGTGCCTCACCTATAGTGCTCAGTGCCGAGACTCAGCCCTCAAGTCTTGAGCAGAAAAGAGGCATTCCCTCAAGGCCGCAAGGGGGGGGATTGAAGGATTCGGATTCGGGTTGGGTCGGCGTGGACGGACCTATCAGATTCCCCAAACCACGAATCCGTTCACCCTCGTCGGCCTGAATCGAGAATGTATCTTTGGCGAGGACGCGAGAGATACCGTTAGTGTAGATCGCCGCGGAGGCCGAATGAGGCAGGGTGCTCGCAGAGACGCGCGATCATCGCTAGCTATCCATGTACGCACGTAGGAGACAGTGTACAGGGGGGTCCAGATGAAGGGAACAATACATGCGACTAACCGCACAGCTGTAAGCACCAGGACGAAAGGGGAGGGGAGGGGGGAGGGGTGCACATAGCGTAAAATAAGACGCAATGATGCCATGGTCGTAGGGTAGTTGTAAGGAGGGTAGGATCTTGTCTCGACCCTGGCGATTGTCACATTGCACTGCGTGAAGGGTCCACACACATGCTCTCTCTTCCTCAGCCAACCTGCATACATGCCTACATAGGCATATACCTGTATACAGGCATCCGCATGGGTATACAGTGGTCGGGAACGGATCCTACATCGTCCAAGTCGGGGGGACGTTGACTCTAACTGGTAATAGATCGGCGAGTTCCCGGGTCGAGGAGGATGGACGTCCAACAGGTAAAAACGACATGGAAATGCACACTAGAACCAACCCCCCCCCCTCAGTTTTTTTTTCGAAGCGACGCCAAGGGGTCTGAGTATGTGTGCAACGAACCCCTATCTTGGTGTTGCTTGTCTCCTTCTTCCCTATCTTGGACAAGCATTCCTTCGAAGTGTTACTCATCCACTTACACAGCATATACCTCTACTTGAGACACTGGCTTTCCCCCCTCGCTCCATCTTTGGTAAGCTAAACCGGCTGCTCCCATCTCCAGGGTTGAGGAGTGACATACCGATCACGTCGCCTTATCAAGAGTCAGTCAGCAAGGAACCAAGACCAGGGTCCCCCGTGATGTCATCTACATGCATATATGCATACGGATATATGTATATATGTGTATATATCAATATGTATTTATGCCCATGTTAAGTCCGAATCCTGGCAAACGTCCAAGCATTATGGAAAAATGCTTGATCCCAGATACTTCTTGGCGGCGCAGACTCCGAGAGCGCATGGGGGTACGAGAACACCGGCATCGTTAAGATTATGTTCACGATAACCGAATAACTGCGGCAACGTGGTGTCTGCCTTATCTCTCTTACACACGGGAGAATGGTTTATTTTTCGCATTTCTAAATCCCCTCTATCTATCTAGATGTCCGTCCCCATGACTGTAATACAATTCTCCCCCTTGCTAGCTCCCTATGATCCATCCTAATCAGCCGGCGTATGGCGCCTTATTGGCTGTGAGAGAATGACCTCAGTCAGGCCCTCTATTTCCCGAGATGACTGCGTATGAACTCCACCTGGACCTCCATCGTTGGCGCAAACGTCTCGCCGTCCAACGCGTTCATGTGACCCCTCCCCGCGACGACGTGAATCTTCTTGGGACCGTCGATGCGCTCGTAATACAGCTCGCGCTGCTTGTCAGCCGGTGAGATGGCGTCCTCTTCCGGTGTGACCAATAGCGTGGGAGTGGGAGCGATGAAGCGAATCAGATCAAACGGGCTCCAGGCCATGATGTTGTAGTATGTCTGGAGCGTCGTGCTGGCCTCAAAACCCAGCTTCTCCTTGGCCTCCGCAATCAGGCGCAGCTCCTCTGGACCTACGCCTGAACCCCCAAAGCCCGCTGGGTTGTCCCCCTTTTCCGTAACCATGGGCAGCCGGAAGGGCGCGTTGCCTGCCAGCTGGGACTCGCGGTCTTGCATCGCCTTGGCCATGACGCGCAGGCGCTTGTTCTCCGGGAGTTCCCATATGGTTAGGGGGCAGACGGCCACGACGAGCTTCGCGCGCTTGTCTAGAGCAGCTGCACAGAGTGCCACGGCGCCGCTGAACGAGAAGCCCCAGTAGGCGATGCGGTTCGCGTCGACTCGCGGGTCCGACTTTAGAAACGTCAGGGCGTCGTGGTAGTCCCCCACCTGTTGGGCTGGGTTGATGTTGTTGGGGGGAGTGCCGTCGCTAGAGGCGACGGTCCGAGGGTCGTAGACCAGGGCAGTGATGCCTGCGCTCTGGAAATACTGAGCGATATTGGGCAGGAATACATCGCGTGTCGTATTAAACTGAATAGTTAGGAACGTCAACGCCAAATCCCCATTCTCGACGGCCTCTGTAAAGGAAAATCGGCTTCATGAGAACTAACCCCCGGTGTCATAATGACCGCGGCACTCTTGGCCCCGGCAGGGTAGAGATGGCCTCGTAGCGTGAGGCCATCCAGCGTCTTGAATTCTACGTCCTCTCGCGACATGATGGCGTCTGTGGTCGTGGTGTTTTGCTTGTTTCGAGAAGAGCAAAATACGACAGTATGGTAGTCAGTAGAGTGTCTAGAGAGAGAGAGAGAGAGCCGGTCGTGGTATGAGTTGGCGCGCAAATCCAGGGAGAACGGTCCGAGTAGCTTGGAAGCTATGTAGAGCTTGCCTTCACATGCTTAGCGGGCGCCGTACGCGCCGCAAGTCAACAGAGGACTCGTATAACTGGCACAGATACAGCCGGGTCGCTTAGATTACTCATCCCGAACATGATACTACAGCCCCCTCCAATGCGTGTAACCCTGTAGGAATCATGGGCCTCGATCCTACAGACGAGGTTGTAGATTCGAGCTCGCAGTCGGACAGAAAGAGTACAAACGGAGCCGATCCCGAAATTTCACTACCGGATAGTGTACTTGGGTTTCATCACATGTACGTGAGGACCACTGAATCCGACGACGGAGATGTCAGCACTTCTGAACACCGACCTCACCGCTAATGTAAGCATAGCGTTATAGGATTGACCCCCAACTAGGCCTCAACTTGGTTGTAATCACTGTTCCACTCAACAGGGCAGGTCCTTCGAATTTCCCGAACCCCTCCCCGAACTCCTCCTTGACGGCCAAGCAGATAAGGGCCGTCAGCATAGCTCTGCTTCAACTAAGCCAGGGTTCTCTAGCTAGGCCCTGGCCAGAACAACCGACCATGTCTTCGCCGAGCAAGTCACCGTCCGTACGGTGTGCCGGCTATATTTGTCATTCCGCAACTTGCGAGACCAGGCCCGACCAGACCCGGCGGATTTTCTGGGGCCGCTGACAGCCAAGGTGGCGGTGATACAAGCTCTGCCGAGAACATGGCACAGAGCTTACGCTGCACGAAAGACTTCGATACTCGAGAAGGATTTGTACGCCTTGTGCCCTCATGCATCGGCCGTGATGTATACGGTAAGCGAGCTTCGACGTATCTGGGGTGCAGTTTCGGGGGGTTTGATCCTAACCAAGATACCTGCTTACAGAGTTAGTGACCATACACGATATACGCAGTTATGGGGATTACGCACCACCACATCGATATCAACAGGCAGCTCTGTGATATCTATATAGGAGCCGATGTCCTCAAATGTCGTCGAGTTCTCTGACACTTTAGCACGTATACCTTAGACTTCCTTCCTGGTCTTCCCCTTCTCTTCACGATAGACCGTTAGATTTCTCCAGTTTTCAAGGGGACTCATTTTGACATGGCACCCGGAAGCATAACCCCCCCTGAGAGGGTTGCCGGCAGCCCTGGTGAGAGCAGCTATTTTGGTAGTGCTCCCGCGAATGGGAACGCCAATGGGCATAGCAATGGCCATAGCAATGGACATAGCAATGGTCATGCCAACGGCCACAGCAATGGCCACGCCAACGGTCATTCCAACGGCAACGGGCAGGCCACCCCCCGTGCTGCCTCTCAAACGCCAGTCGCCATCGTCGGTATGGCTTGTCGCTTACCTGGGCATTGTCACACGCCCAAGGCCCTCTGGGACTTCATGAAGGCTGGCGGTATAGCCAAGAACGACGTCCCCAAGTCCCGATTCAGTCTGGACGGGCACTACGACGGCTCCAAGAAGCCGTACACGATGAAGACACCTGGAGGAATGTTCCTGGAGGACGTCGACCCTGCCGACTTCGACGCACAGTTCTTCAACATCAATCATATGGACGCTAGCTCCATGGACCCGCAACAGAGGAACCTCATGGAGGTCGCATATGAATGCCTCGAAAATGCTGGTGTCCCGATCGAGAGCCTAAGCGGCAAGCGGGTTGGCTGCCTTGTGGGAGCCAGCGCAGTAGGTGAGCATTTCCACGCAACCCCTTCTTCCAAAAGACCCCTGAGTCGCTAACTCGAGTCAGATTACCACGACATGACTTGCCGTGACCCCGAGGACAGAACTGAGTCTCCTACTATGGGATCTGGTCGTGCTTTACTTAGCAACAGAATCAGCCATTTCCTGAATGTCCACGGACCAAGCATCACCCTCGACACAGCTTGCTCCAGTACGCTGATCGCACTCGACACAGCATGCCTCTACCTTCATGCCAACCAATGCGATGCTATGCTCGTTGGTGGCGTTAACATGTATCTCAGTCCCGAAAGGAACCAAGATATGGGTGCGATGCGGCCCACGGCATCCTCTACGGGCAGATGCCATACGTTCGATGCCAAGGCAGATGGCTACACGGAGGCAGAAGCCATTAATGCCGTTTACCTAAAGCGCCTCGATGATGCCATCCGTGATGGTGACCCGATCCGTGCTGTCATTCGCGGTACTGCTACCAACAGCGCGGGTAAGACGCCTGGCATCGCAAACCCGAACCCCAAGGCTCAGGCGATGGCCATCAGGGCTGCCTACGCCAACGCCGGAATTTCCGAGCAGGAGCTGGCCGAAACTGGCTACCTCGAGTGCCACGGAACTGGCACTCTTGTTGGCGATCCCGCTGAGGTCGAAGGCGCGGCGTCGGTCTTCGCGGAGACTAGAAGGCCTGACAGGCCGCTTGTAATCGGCTCGGTCAAGAGCAACATTGGCCACTCGGAGGCCGCAGCGGGTCTCTCGGGTCTGATCAAAGCTGTACTCGCAATCGAGAACCGTTCCATCCCGGGCACCGCCACTTTCATCACACCCAACCCCAAGATCGATTTTGAGAAGTCTCGGGTGAAGGCTTCCCGTAACTCGCTGCCGTGGCCTGCACACACAAAGTTCAGGGCCAGTGTTAACTCGTTCGGCTTTGGTGGCGCTAACGCGCATGCTGTCATCGAGTCGCCAGAGTATCTGCTGAAGGGCCGGGCCCTCCGATACAAATTGAGCTTCGTCGACGAGCTGAGCTTCGATGACTTTGATGATTCCGACGACGATCTCCAGAGCTCCGCGGCTTCGTCATCGAAGCCGAAGCTCATAGTCATGTCGGCCAACGACGAAATTTCGCTCAAGGCGTCCATCAAATCTCTCTCGTCGCATCTAATCAACCCAGGTGTCAGCGTCAACCTCCAAGATCTCGCCTACACTCTCTCCGAGCGACGCAGCCAGCTCTACCACCGCAGCTACAGCATTCACACCAACACCCAGATTTCCGGCGACTCATTCGAATTTGGGAAGCGTGCGGGCCAGGATTCCAAGATCGGCTTCATTTTCACCGGTCAGGGAGCCCAGTGGCCGACTATGGGTAAACAGCTGCTTGAAGCTTTCCCTATCGCCAAAGCCGTCGTCGACGAGCTTGACAAGGTTCTCCAAAGCCTTCCGGAACCCCCTAAGTGGTCGCTCTTCAAGGAGCTTACCGAGGACCGCGATGCCGCCCACCTCCGTGAGCCTGAATTCTCGCAGCCGCTCGTCACCGCCCTGCAGCTAGCTATGCTCGCAGTCCTTTACGATTGGGGCATCAAGCCGACTAGTGTTGTCGGCCATTCTTCCGGAGAGATTGCAGCTGCCGTAGCCGCCGGTTATCTCCTTCCTGAGGAGGCTATCAAAATTGCCTACTTCCGCGGCCAGGCCGGTAAGGAAATTCCTCCGGCTCAGCCGGTCGGTATGTTGGCTGTAGGCATTGGTGCCGACAAAATTGAGGCGTACATCGATGCCGACGACGACCACGTCCAAATTGCGTGCCACAATAGCCCCCGAAGCTTGACGATTTCCGGTACCGTCGCGGCTCTAGAGCGACTGCGGGACCGGCTACAGGCCGACTCTCATTTCGCCAGAATGCTGCAGGTCAACTACGCGTATCATTCCAAGTACATGAGCGCCATCGGCAAGAAATATTTCCAGATGCTGCAGGCGCACTGCAAGGAGCCACTAGAAGGAAGCAAAGACGTGACCATGTTCTCCTCGGTTCTCGGCAGGCCGATGGACAAGCCGGCAGATGCGCTATACTGGCTGGAGAACATGGTTTCGGAAGTCCGCTTCGACCAAGCTGCTACCGAGATGTTGAAGGGCAAGGATAGCGTTAATTTCTTAGTCGAGCTCGGCCCTGCAGGCGCTCTGAAGGGCCCTGTCTCGCAAATCATTGACGCCCTCCCTAGTACCGGTGGGCGACCCGTATATACGTCCGCCGCCAAGCGAGGTCCGGATGCCCTGCTCGCTATGTACGAGACAGCAGGCAAGCTGTTCGTAGCAGGAGGGTCGGTCAACATTGCTCGTGTCAACGAGTATAGCGTAACCGAGCCGCCGTCGACGCTCGTCGATCTTCCCAATTACGTATGGAATCACACAAAGAAGTACTGGCACGAGAGCCCGGCGAGCAATGAATGGCGATACAGGCCGTTCGTAAAGCACGACCTTCTGGGAACTAAGATTCTGGGAACATCGTGGAAAGCGCCGATCTGGCGGAACACTCTTCGCCTCGGTGATAACCAGTGGCTCAGAGACCACAAGATCGGCGAACAGGTCGTTTTCCCTGGAGCCGGGTACGTAGCCATGGCGATCGAGGCCATCTACCAGGCCACGTGCATGACCACCTGGGCCGATGGTGTACCCGAAAAATACCAATTCAGACTGCGCGACGTCAAGTTCTTCCGCGCCCTTGTACTGGACGACTCGTATGACCCCAAGGTCATGCTGAGCCTTCAGCCAGCTGCCGCTTCGGTGGGCCCGTGGCACCAGTTCAAGGTGTCTTCGATCCTTAACGAAGCGTGGAGTGATCACGCCTCTGGTCTTATTCGGATAGAGACTGAGTTCACGGAGGTTACTGCCCCCGAAGGCGCGCTGACACCCCTGCGTTCGCCAGTGAATGCCCGCTCCTGGTACAAGGCGATGCTGGCCGCCGGCTTCAATTTCGGACCGTCGTTCCAGAAGCATCTTACCATGGAGTACACAGCCGGTCAGCGCAAGGGCCGGTCGACCGTATCTCTAGAAGCACCGCCCTCGGCCTGGCAGCAGTCGCCGTATGTAATGCACCCTGCTTGTATGGATGGTTGCTTCCAGACCGTCCTGTCCTCGGCCTGGCAAGGCGACCGGAGCGCCGTGGACGCGGCTTTGGTACCGCTGCAAATCGATAGCCTAGTCATTCCCTGGAGAGCACAGCAGCCCAGCGAAGGTATCGCCGTGGCAAGGTCCGAGTACGGCGGTATCGGCAGGACAGACGTCGCTAAGAACTGGTCAGCCTCGACGACCACCTACCACCCAGTTGACGGCAGCTTGCTACTGGAAATGAAGGGTCTGCGCTATACTGAGCTTGACAACTCCACCAAAGAAGCCACTCTGAGCCATACCTATTCGCAACTGCGCTGGCAGCCGGATGCATCCTTACTCTCCGAGGCAGGCTTCCGAGAGCTAGTCGCCGGTGTTGAAGAGAAGACCGAGGTCGCAGTGGCCCAAAAGCTCCTCGACATCTTTGCGCACAAGAGCCCGTCTCTTTCGGTCCTTGAGGTAGACCTGACCTCGTCCGAATCCGCATCAAGCATTTGGCTGGAAGCCAACAGCCCGATCCGGGCAGCGTGCACTCGTTACCAATTCGCGTCCAGCAATGTCAACGGCGTCCTCTCCCTGCAGGAGACTTACTCAAATGCGGAATTTACGGTCTTGGACTTTAGCAACGATGAGACTGTTACGGAGGAGAAGTTCGATATCGCATTGGTGAACCTTCCGGCGCATCCGGAAGAGAGTACGGAGGTTGCCGTCTCAAACATCAAGAAGTCCTTGACTGACCGAGCGTTGGTGGTTGTTCTTGGCAAGCGGAATATCCTCGAGCAGGTCGTCCGTAAGTCTGCTTTCAGCCGGGTTTGGTATTCAGACTTCGCGGCGCTGGCACAGGCTGCTTCCGCTGAGGCTACCCCCGCCGGTGCTCAAGATGTCTACCGATTCAAGTTCAGCGACATCAACAGCGAAACTTTACCAGCCATCGACGCCTCCCTCAACGAGACTGCCAAATGGAATGTTGTGCCTGTCTCGAAATTGTCGGACATCTCACCGAGGAGTAAGATTCTCATCACCGACGAACTAGAGGCCCCCGTCATGTCCCAGCTTAACGGCCAACAATGGGATACGCTGAAATATCTCGTGAAGAACGAATGCGACATTCTCTGGGTCACAGCCGGCGCGCAAATGCAGGTGACCAATCCCACCAAGGCCGCGATCAACGGATTCTTCAGGGTGCTCCGCAACGAGGAACCGCTGCTTCGACTGATAAACCTTGACGTTGAAGACCCCTCGGGCAATGCCACTGTGGACGCGATCGACGCCTGCTTGGACCTTCTCTACGCCAAGGAGACTAGCAAGACGCAGATCGACAGTGAGTTCGTCGAGCGCCGCGGCGTCATCCACATAAGCCGCATCCTACCCGACGAAGCCGTGAACGTCGCAAAGGAAGAACAAGTGTCTGGACGCCCTGCCGAGACGATAGAGTTACACTCTGCCAAAAACTGCATCCGACTAAAGGCCGAGCGCATCGGTAACATAGACTCGCTACACTACGGCGAAGTGAGCGACAAGCCGCTGCCAGTACCGGAAAATTGTGTCGAGATTGAGGTCTACGCGTCGGGCGTCAACTTCAAGGAAGTTGCCGTGACTGTCGGCATTGTCCCCGAGAACGAGCACCTGCTGGGCGGAGAAGGTGCCGGCATCGTCACTCGTGTGGCTCCAGATGTTACGGACTTTGAGCCGGGACAGCGCGTCGTCTTCTTCGAGAAGGGGTCGTTCGCCAACAGGGCCATCACCACTACTCAGCGTGTCCGCCGCATCCCTGACTCGATGACTTTCGAGGAGGCTAGCACCATTCCTTGCGTTTTCATGACATCCATGTATGCCTTATACCGCCTAGCCAGGCTGAAGAAGGGCGACCGGGTTCTGATCCACTCGGCCGCTGGCGGTGTTGGTATTTCTGCCATCCAGCTTGCTTTACACGTCGGAGCGGAGGTGAGCTTCCTACTCTCTCATGACAAGTTTACCGTAACTCTCAAACAGATGACGCTAACTAGAGCAACCTTTAGGTCTACGCAACCGTGGGAACGCAGGAGAAGCGCGACTTTCTCAAATCGCGATTCGGTATTCCCGACGAGCGCATCTTTTCGTCGCGCTCGAAGGCGTTTGGCGAGCAGATCCTGTCTTACACCGGTGGCAAGGGTGTTGATGTGATCCTTAACTCGCTCACCGGCGACCTGCTGGACGAGTCCTGGCGCATCATCGCTGACGGAGGCACGATGGTGGAAATTGGTAAGAAGGATATCTTGGACAGGAACAGCCTTGCCATGGAGCCGTTCAACCGCAATGCTTCATTCCGCGCACTCGACCTATCTCATAAGGAGATCAGTGACGACACGATTAAGAGGTACGTTTCACCTTGCACTGAGGCCGGGAGGGCCGTAACACGAACCCGGCCACTAACATACCCTCCAGCCTTCTCACCGATATATTCAACCTCATGGAAGAAGGTCGCCTGAAGCCCATCGCGCCGATGAAGGTGTTTTCTTTCACCGACATCCCCGCGGCCTTCCGACTCCTACGTAGCGGCAAGCACACAGGAAAGCTGGTCATCAGCGATGGCCCAGACGCCAAGATTGAGGTGCCAGTGCGCAAGGCGCCCCGGGGCCTGAAGCTGCGCGACGATGTAAGCTACCTGATCGTGGGTGGTCTCCGAGGTCTCTGCTCTAGTCTTGCTACCTTCCTCGCCCAAAACGGGGCGAAGCACATTGCCGTCATTTCGAGAAGCGGCCACGACGACGCGAGGTCACAAAAGGTCGTCGAGGATATCCGTGCTCTGGGCAGCAATATCGACCTGCTCCGGGGAGACGTTTCGAACCTAGAAGACGTTCGGGCCGCTTTCAAAGCAACAAGCGTGCCCATCGGCGGTATCGTCCAGGGAGCTATGGTGCTTCGTGATCGCGTCTTCGAGTCCATGAGCATCGAGGAATACCATGCGGCGCTTGGCTGCAAGGTGGACGGTACGTGGAACCTGCACCAGGTATCGATGGAGCAGGGGTTGGATCTCGATTTCTTCACTTTGCTATCGAGTATCTCGGGTCTTTGCGGCAGCAAGGGGCAGGCCAACTACGCGGCCGGTAACGCGTTCCTTGACGCCTTCGCCGCATACCGGCAGAGTCTGGGTCTTGCAGCGTGCTCGGTGGATTTGGGTGTGATCCAAGATGTTGGCTACATGGCGGAGCACGACGAGCTACAGGACCGCTACGACGCGGCTGTGTGGCACGCGATCAACGAGAGGCTCCTGCGCAAGATCTTCGGCTTCACGCTCATGCAGCAGCAGCCGGAAGCCATCAACGCCGCCAGCAGCTCACACATGGTGACGGGCATCCAGGTACCGCAGCCCGAGGACTCGTTCCTCCTGCGAGATGCTCGCTTCGCCGGTCTCCGACTCAAGGAAGAGGGTGGATCCAAGAAGCTCGACGGTTCCAAGGACGTCCAGGCCATCCTAGTCATGCAGCGGTCCAAGGCCGACCCGGCTGCGGTGCTGCAAGTGACTGTCGACGTTCTCAACCGCTACCTAACAACAAGTCTGCGTCTATCCGAGGCCTTGGATGCTGCTCGGCCCCTCTCGACCTATGGTATCGACTCGCTGGCGGCCGTCGAGTTCCGCAACTGGCTGCGCATCGACCTCGCCGTTGAAGTAACGACGCTGGAAATCGTAAACGCGCCATCATTGATCTCCATCAGCGAGAAGGTCATTGCTAGGATCCCTACCGCTTAAATCGGTACCGTTTCGATGCGGCATATCGCTATCCGAGATGATCCGGTGTAGAGAATTGATAATGATGAAGTGGAAGCGAGTCGTGCTGCTCCTCAAGCCGAGCCAGCCGTAGACACCTTGTGTGCTTACATAATGTCATCGATTCGCGCCTGGGGGCACTGAGTAGCGCCGATTCTCGACGTTATCAAGCCATCGATGACAGCCACAGGCACCGCACCGCCACGGCTTTCGCTTGGTACTTCGGTACGCTCGAGAACAAGAGCAGCTTAACCATCCACCACGAAGGAAACCGGGCCAATATTGTGGTGATGTTTGAGTAGTGGATGATAGTCGGGAATTAAGCTGGAATTGTAGGTTACTCAAAGGTATATATGTAAGAGTTTAGGATCCTGTATAGAATTCCGTTTCCCTTCTCAAATAGATAGGTACACTACAATAAATGCCCATGCACACACACTCGATGCCCCTGTCTCCCTTCTGTTGCAGTTCTAGTATTGTCAATCTCCGACTAGTAACGAGGGTGTTTCTCCACAGGCTAATCTCAACAGTCACCTCTCCGATCCATAGACATACCTAACCACGAGTTCTTACAACGGCAATTTTTCGTGGGATAGCTCGTAGGAGATATTGCCAATTAGCGCTATTAATTCAATCCTTAATTTTAAATACCAAGGCAGTATGTTCCAATTACCAAAAATACCTACATTCACCTATGGGTACCCTTCTATCCCAGCCCCTCCCGGATCTCACAACTCGCCATCTTCACCCCAGCTCGTAGGCGACTCGCTCATCTCGAACCTGATCACGCGCGCAGTCACAATGTCCCGGTGCCGGAGGACCGGCCGATCCACCGCCCTGCCATCGACCGTGAGACCCTTCACATACGGCTTCCCCGAGGCGGCGCCGCGCGCCTCGATCACCAGCGTCCTCTCTGGGCCGTCGGCCGCCCCCGCCTCGCCGCCCGTCGCTGCGCCGGCGGGGAGCCGCAGCGCGACGCGCTCGAAGAAGGGCGAGCCGACGACGTACTCGTCGGCGGCCGGGTTGACGGGGTAGAAGCCGAGGGCGGAGAAGACGTACCAGGCACTCATCTGGCCGAGGTCCTCGTTGCCGCTGAGGCCGGCGCTCGTGGCGTTGTAGTCGTGCCAGGCGAGGGCGCGGACGCGTTCGGCGGCCGCGCCGGGCCGCCCGATCAGCGAGTACAGGTAGGGCACGTGGTGCGACGGCTCGTTGCTGTGCATGTTGTGGCCGCCGTCGAAGTGGGCGTCGAGCCTCGCCGCCAGCCCGCGCCGCCCGCCCGGGAACAGCGCCGCGAGCCCCGCCACGTCGTGCAGCACGTCGAACGTGTACACCCACTTGTCGCCCTCGGTCCAGCCCCACGTGTCGTTCGCCCACGACCCGTTCGCGTTGCGCGCCCGCATGAACTGCGTGTCGCTGTCCCAGACGTTCGCGTAGTTCCCGGCCCTCCGCTCGAGCGCCGCCGCCTCGTCCTCCGCCCCGACCGCCCGCGCCACTACCGCGCATGCCGCGTCGTTGAACGCATAGTCGAGCGTCCGCGATGCCGATTCCGACCACCTGTCATTGTCGACCCAGCCGTGCTCCATGTAGCTCGTCAAGCCGGCCCGTGCCTCGTGCGGGGTGTCGGGTTGGCGATCGTAGTACAGCAGCTCCGTGTCGTTCTCCGGCGGCTCGTAGGCGTCCTTGCGCACCGCTTCCCAGGTCTTCGGAAGATCGAAGGAGCGGAATCCATGTGATATGGCGTTCGCGAGGACAGCATCTGCGTTCGTCGCGATCATGATATTTGTCTCGACCATATTAGCCCATATCGGCAGCCGGCCAGACCAATCAAAGATCTTCAATAGAGAGCGCATCATGCTGTTCACTCGTTCGGGTGCGAAGAGAGTCAGGAGAGAATGTTCGGCTCGGTAAGTGTCCCAGATAGACCAAGACTGGTAGTATGAATCATTGCTCTCGTGGACGCTATCTGTATATCCACTGTAGAATGTACGGGTGCATTTCGGATCCCGGCTCGTGGGCTCCGAGAAATCGTTTGGATACTGGAGGGCGTGGAAGAGGCCGGTATACCAGATCGTCCGCTGGTCGTGTTCCTCGTCGGTCGAGTTTACGCCCTCGATTGTCACTCGACCAAGCTTTTCTAGCCAGGCCGATTTCACCTCTTCGACCGTGTGCTCGAACGAGGTGCCATCGGGACTTTCGATATCCAGGTTCTTCCGCGCCTGCTCGATGCTAACAAACGACACAGCGGTGCGGACCTCGATTCGCTTGGTGTTTGCATGAAACTTGACGTATGCGCCAAGCAGCTGTCCTGACGCGCCATTGATCCCTTCGGATATATTGGCCCCAAGTGAGGTCCCATATGAAGTGAATGGCTCAGAGAACCTAGACACAAAGTATCCCTGAAAAGAGGCTGGGCGGTTCGGTCCCAGTCTGTAATCCTGTCGTTGCGGATTGCTCCCAAAAACCTCTCGCCTTCGCGGGTCGATTTCGACTTGCCCAGTCCAGTTCCGGCGGGTCACTTGGATAGATATGTAAGGTTGGATCCGTTGTGCGGAGCTCTTGTAACTATTATCTTCGAAGTCAAAGCGTAGGTGACCAGTATGTGCAGACGCACTGAGTGCTGCGCGAATTTGGCGTGTATAGCTTCCAGAAACAGCACCCCTTTTCCTGATACGCCCATTTGCTCCCTCCCGGACGCTGCCTGGTACCGAACCTGCCCCTCCGGGCACGGGTCCTTCTCCCGCCGCCTCCTCCGTCAAGTCCCAATCGTATTCCCCCTCGGTGTCTGCATCTAGAAGAACTTCGTAGACGTAGGGGGTGCTAACTTCGTCCTTCTTGAGAAATGCCAGGCTCCGGTGTTGAAACAAAGATTTTACATCCGACGTCCACCCGGGAGCAAGCACCACCTGCCCCAGCTCCCCCATCCAAATTGCCGGTTGGTGCGTAGCTTGGAAGCCGTGGATGAAATCGTCCGCATCATGGTACGGCACTTGCGAAATGAAGTTTTCTCGTGTCTGGGGAGTCCAGCGTGTCATACCAAACGGTACGGATACCGACGGGATCATGCCACCGTTGTCGTCCGGCGAGGCACCGTACGTGCCAATTTTCGGGTTGACATGCCGGAGCACGCCCGCACGAGCGTGGTATCCTCGGCTGTCTTCGCCCTGAATCTGTGTTGTGTCGGCTCCAGTCGGGTACCCCCAAATGCGGTACGATAAGAGACCAACTAAGAGATTCTGGACGAGTAAACGCATTGCCGGAACCTGGAAGGCATAAGGTTGACTTAGTTGTTAGCAGCAGGTAGGTATGTGGGATTTTTGCTGTTCCTGAGGCCTTTAGAGCCCTTGGGCCCGGCGTTCCGAAGGTCTATTCCCCACGGGGAGGTAGATGCTCTTTGTGTTGTTACTAACAGCTACGTTGCATCGGATGTTGAAAGCAGAAGGGTGATGGCTGTATGATGCCTGTCCGGCTGGATAAAGGACAACTCCCGGTACTTGGCGAGTTTCCGGGCTAAACCTAGCCCGAGTTCGAAATGCCCGCAGGAGAATTTTCCACTCCGAACAGCAGCACCGTAACGGTAGCCAGAGACCCCACGGTCAGTGCCGGGTGCGTGTTGGACAGGTACCTCCTCGCCATCGTTCTGAACCTGCGGGTTGGTGCGCTGTGCCAGGGGACGCCTTATTTCTCAGCTTAACTGAACCCGAATGGCCGGGAAAGGATGAGTAATCAGGAGACGAGAATAATTTCAGATGTTGCACATGCTGCTTAAGTGCACACTACGAATCCACGAAGCCATATTCATCGGCGCGTTGGATAAATCCCATCCTCCGGATAGGACGTGAGACCTTACCAGTTGACACACACAAATTGATATACGTCGAAGCAGTTCGCGCTTCTCAGTTATGTTTTTGTGGTATTGAATAGGTAAAAACACAGAAACCTCGTCGAAGGCTGGGGAACAGGAGGGCGCACAGGTAATTTCAACAGAGCCAGTCATCAATAGTCATCACAATATTAGATTACTATATAGGTACATATGCGCTCTTTTGATCGCCATCCTGGCTGCCACGCCTTCGTTCTCGTATCCTTTCTAGAATATTTATTTCCTTTAGCTGGTATTTATAGCTAGCCGATCATTAGATATAGGTAGTTGTCACCCTATTGTTGCAGTTGTTATCTTGTTGATCGGCACCTAGGCCAGTTGCTAGCAGCTATGGCTGTCTCCTATCCGCCCTACTAATAAATAGCGTGCCCACGCTGTTCCTCTTCAACATTTCCGCCCGTCCGTGTATTTGAAACCAACCTGACATGCCCGTCTTGGAAGGATCACCATGATGCCCGACATACACGTAGGTAACAGTGCCACCCCAGCCATACCACGCCTCTTCATCGCTACTACCTATCTTTAGCAAATGGCTATAGGTACTACCTACCTATATACAGCCATACCACGAGATGACAATCGCCAACTGCACAACTCCGGGCGAGCGTTATGGGGATTTTCTATGCACAGCTGCCGCGATATCCGGGGAGTGCGGCGTGTCACGCGTTCAGACGCCTGCTGGCTACGCCGTAGCAAATGCGGGTAGCGCTAGGAACCAAACACACACAGTATTAGGCGCGGCGGTGTTGTTCCCAGGCTCAGAGCGGCAGAGAGGAGGGACCCAGAGGAGAAAGCAATGGTACCTTGGCAGCGCGTCTTTATGTAGATGAAACTGCCCATGTCTCGGCCGCCAACGGAACCCAGGCCCACGCGCTGGACCAAATCGAGTGCTTATACCTACCCTTGGAAGCTGAGCTTTCACTGCCTAGTTGTGAATTAGGCACGAGCGTTTCGCATCCCTATACCTGGTGTCCATTGGTCGGGGGCCCTGGTCTTCGCATGCCGGCCCCCAACTCGCCACTCGACATCGCCTTGGCTTGACCGCTTGGGTAATTCAGGCCCCGTAATACCGTACTGCACCTAGGTATAAACAGAACCGCCGTTGCTGTAGTAAAGCGATGTAGGGTTCTCTTCGTATCCACGCTCTGCCTAGTCCCTCGTCATCCATCGCGAGACATCGTGATAGCCGTCTGCTCCAACATGTCGTTCCGCGCTGGGCGTCCTGTTTCGCCATTAGATCCGGGCTACTTGCAGAGCGGTGAAGACCGTCGCGAGAGCCTCATCAGCCGGCTGTCCTCCGAAAACGTACCCGTAGGGCCGCCCATCGGGGTGGCGACCTCGGGTCCGCAGAGTACATGGTGGTACGCCCAAGGCGTGCAGAACTCGCAAGGTCGGTTGCAAAACGTGCCTCGTCGCATAACATGTCACATCCAAACCAGAGCAAGCATTGATAATGGACGAGTTCACTTATTAGAGGTACAGAAGCTGAGCCGAGTCTTCAAGACGGTCGGCCTGGGACGCCCGATGTAGAGGATGTAGCGTCTACTAGTAATAGCGATAGCTACCAACCAGTAGAGAGGCGGGAGCAGCCCTCGATCCTCCGATGGTGGTACCTGGAGATAGTGTGTGCTCTCGTGGCCATAGGTAGTCTCGCTGCCATGGCCGGCGTGCTGGGAAGATTCGACGGGCAGCCGACCAGCACCTGGCCTAACACCGTGCTTACCCTCAACGGTCTGATAGCCATCCTAGCCACCCTCTGCCGCGCGAGCTTCATGCTACCTGTAGCCGCAGCGCTGAGCCAGGCGAAGTGGAACCGGTTCACCGACCCCAGAGACCAGAAGTACCACCGACTTGACGATTTCCAGTTGTTCGACGATGCCTCCAGGGGTCCTTGGGGCAGCGTTCACCTGCTTTGGAGGTTCAGGCTCGTGTAAGGCGCACTCGACGCTCTCGGCGTACGTTACGGGGGCATGCTAACAGATTCGCGCACAGTCATATAGGCTGCCTCGGGGCTTTGCTTACCATCCTCTCTCTAGCTTTCGGCGCATTCTCTCAGCAGTTGGTCGATATTCGGATCGAAGCCGTTCCCACCACTTCGCAAGGCCAGATTGGGGACGTCGCCAGAAGTAGATGGGTTGACGCAGTCGTCGGCATCAGCAATTCCTGTATGTTCCTTCGTAGGCCCGCGGGTTTACCAACTCGGTATCGATGTTCTTTCTAATCTGCTCGCGTCTCATTTAGGGACGCCTGTTTCGGCGACTAAATTGGCTATATATGATGGCTTTTTGGCACGAAGCATCGGCATTCCGCAAGTCACCTGCCCAACAGGAAACTGTACTTGGCCGGTGATTCCTACGGTTGGCGTCTGTGGCTCCTGTGTGGATCTCACAGAGGATATATCCTACGACCGGTTAACGTCGAGTCTGTGTCGTCTGACACTGCTGGACGGCCCTCGACTACAAGCCTATTGTGATAGTGAAGACTTCATGCCCGTTTTCACCCTAGGCCCCGGGACCGGCCGCGTCTTCGATACCTCAGACCCCCGTATCCCGAGTCGCGACGCGCCGAATACCATCGGCGAGTTCAGCGCGCTTGGGCTCCCTGGCAGCAAGACGCCGGGAAATATCATGACGGAATCCCGAGCTGCCGACTGTGGCCTGTGGTATTGTCTACAGGCGCGTAACGTCAGCGTCCAACTCGGCGAGCTCAGCGATGTTATCGTGGACACGTGGAGCAAGGCAATCACCATCGAGTCCGCCCCTTTTACCGGGAATGTGACATTTACCGACATTCCTCCCAACTTCAACACCGAGCCCGAGGCAGTCTATGGCATGGCCGCAATGCAGATGTTTGGGATGAGGCAGTATCTGAACAAAACCGTAATCGGTAACGTTAGCGCCGACGCCCTTCTCGGCGTAGTTGCATCGACCACTGATTACGCCGAGGGTATTCACGCCAATTTAGATGAAATGGACGATTGGATAGCGAGGCTCACTAGGAGCATGACAAACAACGTACGGGAAAACAATGTAGTGCCTTCAGACCAGGACCTTCACCGCGGTACGATATTCGGGAATGAAACTGTGTTTACAATCCGGTGGGGGTGGATCGCGTATCCGGCCGTGCTTGTGTTCTTATCAACGTTGTACCTGATCGTGGAGGTGGTGCGGACAGCTTACGGCGGGGCAGCCCCGTGGAAATCGGATGCCCTGCTGCCCATTTGCATCGGGATCGACGAGGAGGCGAAGCAACGAGCCATCGTTGGAGTCTACGAACCTGATGGAACTAAGGAAGAGATAGGGAAGTCTCGTGTCCGCCTGTTGAATCTCGACAGCGGGCTGATGAGCTTCGAGGTACAAAAGAAAGTCGACGCCTAAGACAGATTATAATACATACGAAATGAGCGAAGGCGGGGCATTTATTCAGAGCCACGCGAATTTCACCAAGCATCTCGAAGCCGTGCCGCACGGTCACATTTACGCCGTCCATTAACAATTTAGAACCGGCATGTTTCTCTAGGGCGTGGAGATGGTAAAAGAAAACACTGAAGGATGGCGGGAAAGGTTAGGACGGGCAAAAGCTCTCCGAGATAAGCAGGTTACACAGCCGCACTCGAGTGCCGTGGCGAAGTCCCCGGCGAGTCGTCCTTCGTCGGCGAGCACCGCCCCACATTTCGCCGGCACGCCGGAGACTTACAAGACGCTTAAGTAATCAGCGCCGGGAACTTTCCGGGCACTCGCACGGAATAGGCCCGGTCGCGGAATGGTATCGGACCAGCGAAAGGCTTTGTCAAAATAAGATGCCGGGGAAAGAGTTGGGACGACGGGGCCTCGCAGTGTCGAGCGAGACCCCGAGGAGCGGAACTATTCAGACATAATAATTACCATAGCCGCCGGAAAGGGGGGCAAGGCGAGCATAAACTTGTGGAAGCCTGAGAAGCAGGCAGGCGAAATAGAGGCAGGTATTGTTACGTGCTAGCCAAGTAGGTGTCCCGTCAACACACACATACAACCTTTGTCTCCTCTAAGCTGTGGTACTCAGCTATGCAGATGGCATGCCGCGAACGAAACAGGTAGATGTAGAGGAGAGGCCCACCGGGCGACTTGGGAACCCACATCGAGGGGTCGCGGGTAGTCTTACCTACATGTCTCCGGCCGACGCACCAACAACTCCGCGAGCAAGTCTCCGCGGGACCTTGGGATATCTCTACGCGCAAGCACATATAAACCCCGACACCACTACCGTCTTGGTGACCGTCGAGAAACCCCCCAACGCGCAAAAACGACACCACGCTTCGCTTACGCCCCTGTTGCCGACCTACATATACCAGACATACCCCCCGTATCTACCATCCCATACCACCTCCCAGCCCGTACGAGTCCCTCCCCTTCCTCCCCTCCCCTCTCAGAACCATGTCCGCAGCCATCGAAGCCACCGCCGACGTCCTAATCCTGGGCGCGGGACCGGCAGGGCTCGCGTGCGCGGGGGGGCTGGCCCGGCAACTGCACAGCGCGCTCGTGTTCGGGCACGGGGCGCACCGCAACGCGCGGGCCGCGCGCATGCACAACGTCGTGGGGTGGGAGCACGCGGACCCGGCCGCGTTCCGCGCAAAGGCCCTCGCCGACCTCGCCGCGCGCTACGCCGGCTTCGTGCGCTTCCGCGACGTCGAGGTCCGCGCCGTCCGCAGGCTCGACGCCGCCGCGGCCCAGGCGCCTCGCTTCCAGGTCGAGGACGTCGATGGCTGCCGGTACGAAGGCCGCAGGCTCGTCCTCGCCATGGGCGTTGCCGACGCTATGCCCGAGACGCCCCGCGGCTATGCTGATCTGTGGGGGTACGCGATGTGAGTCTGGCTCCCCCCTTTCTCTCTCTCCTCTCTTCTTTCTCGCCCTTTACTTTAGAGTTCTAACGTGCTGGTCGTCGCCGCCGCAGCTTCCACTGCCTCTTCTGCCACGGGTTCGAGGAGCGCGGCGCCGTCTCAGCCGGCGTCCTCGCGACGGGCCTGCTGGGGTCTCTGCGCACCAACCACGCCGCCGAGAAAGACGCGGCTCTGGCCCCGATCATGGCCCGCATGGCCGCGCGCCTCGCCGGCACCGTCACCGTATACACCGACGGCGACGAGGACCTCGCGCGCCGCGTCCGCGCCGAGCTGCGCAGCGCGCGGCGCTTCCGCGTCGAGAGCCGGCGCGTCGCCAAGCTCGAGAAGGACCCGGGCGTCGCCGGCGTCGCCGGGCTGCTTGTCACGCTCGCCGACGGCACCGCCAACCGGGAAGCCTTCATGGCATGTCTTCTCCTCTCCCTTCTTCTCACCTTCCTTCCCTCCTCCCCCGTGCTAGTTCCCTTAGCCGCTAACCGCCAGACCCGCACAGGCCCATGTGCCCGCCACCGCCGTCAACCTGCCGGACGTCGTGTCGGCGCTCGGCATCCGGCTCGCGCCGCAGGGCCACATCGAGACAACGGCGCCGTTCTACGCGGCGGCGGGCGCGCCGGGCGTCTTCGCCGCCGGCGACTGCGCGGCCCCGCTGAAGTCGGTGCCCGTCGCAACCATGATGGGCAGCTGCGTCGCGGCGGGCCTCGCGCACGAGCTGCAGGCCGAGGACAACGTCGAGGACTGATGGTCGCGCGCCGCACCCGAGAGAGAGAGAGTGCGTGGGTGACAGCAGGAGGAAGAGGCTGGACGTGAAACAGAAGCGGTCGGCCGGGGGACACGGACCGTGGGAAGAGTGGCGTCCGGCGCTCCAAATTATAGGATATGCTTGCACGCATGCCTGCCTAATGTCTGAACGTCGGGTTAGACAGCTCGCGCGTGATATTATTTCTGTGGATATATTACAGGAGAGCATCGAGCTTAGAGTACTCATTGGTGCCAACAAGCTCCCGTCTCGCAGTGGTGATGCACCCAGCAGAATACCCCTAATTCATGGCCTTGGGCACATCGATGCTTCTACCCAGCGATAATCAGAGGCATATCAGCTATATAGCATAAATAGACCACTTGCTGGCTGTGCTTCACGGCAGCCTGACTGCAGGTGAACAAGACCTTATTCTCTAAACTCATGTGAAGATCCTGAAATGCGCATCTGTCTACGAGGTGAAAATGCACAACGACATACAGGCCATACATATACTCGACGCGATAAATATATTGTGCCCCTGATCATGCGTCGTCTTTATTAACCCACACGCACAGTATGCTCATATCTTTTTGACCAGGTCTTAACAGGCTCCAGCTATACCGTCCCGAGAACGCGGTCCCAGTGGCGTTCTTTCGGCAATTACCGACAGTAATGTACATCCAATAGTATCATAACTTACTCCGATACCGATCTCCTCTCGAGATCTACGATAGACCCCAGTCTTCTCCAGCCTCGTAATCCATGTCGCCCTGGTCCCGTCCGCGATCGTTTTCCACCTCGCCCTCTTCGAGCCCGGCAGTGGCGCTACTCTCTTGAGCACTGGCCCTGTCTTTCGCACCTGAGTCCTCCTCGGTGGCATCGGTCATAGGAGCGTCACTATCCGGGGCGGCTTTGCTGTCTATTTGTGGAGTAGAATTAGCCCACGCGATCTCCAGCTTGTCGTCCAGACCAGGAATGGTGTTGTTTGCAGAAACGCCAAACATGAACTGCTCCGCCGTCTTGCGCTCCTTGAAGGTGATATGCGTCGCCGCGGGATCGGTGTGAATATCCTTGAACTCCCCAAAACCCTAGGAATCGGTTAGCGGAGGGACAGGGAGGCCAGAGGATCATGCCACTTACAAAGAGGTACTGTCGGAGGGCCTCGTCTTTCTCCGGGATCGTGAAATCAACTCCAGTCAATACGATGACCTTCGGTCTGTTGTCCAAAGAATACACAGCATAGGCAGCGTGTCTAGCTTCCACACCACCACCTCTGCCACGGTATCCGTAGCTGCCTCGGAATGCCCTCGGGGCGTAGCGCCCGCGGAAGACCCGGCCACCTCGGCCACGACCTCTCGCGTTCCACGAAGCGTCCTCCTGCGCCGCATTTGGGTCGATGCCCAGGACGTTGGCTTCTTCTTCCAGGGCAGCCAACTGGGCTCGAAGGGCTTCGGTCTGCGAACTAGGCTTCTCTCCTGCGCCTTCGGATGCCTGTGCTCCTGTCGTCGACGGCGACCCATCCTTCGGGCCTTTATTGACCAGCTTGGCCTGAAGCTTGCGCTTCTCCTCCAGTCGCCTCGCCAGAAGTTCCTTTTCCCGCTCCTCCAATTCCCGACGTTGTCGTTCGATCTCTTGGCGCTTCTGGGTCCTCTCGTCGTGGATTTTCTGGGCCTCTTCTTGCTTGCGGATGAATTCGTCCATGTCAAACGATTCGGCATTGCCATTAGCCGGCGCGTTGCCATTTGCGGCACCATTCTTAGCGTCGCTCTTAGCTTTGCCATTCAGCGGTGCCGAGCTGGCCTCAGAGTCCTCGTCCTTGTACCAGAACACCTTGACAAATCGATTGTCGAAAATGACTTTGGGCGAACTCCAGGCCGCGTGGGCAGCGTCCCAGCTACCAAACTTGAGGATAGCGAGCGAATCCGACGCCTGCATTGCGATTTCCCGAATCTTGCCAAACTGGGAGAAGTATTCTCGCACTTGGTCTTCGCTGAAGTTCTCACTGGGAATGTTCTGCACCACGATCGTACTCTTAGTCTTGTCATGCACGGGCCCGTTCGCGGCAAAAGCCACCCGTCCTTTGCCTCGCTTCGTCTTGTTAGGCTCGCGCCGATTCGCGGGAGGCGCTCCGTGAAATGGGGAAGGATTCGGAGGCTGGAATGTCTGCGCCTGCGGTTGGTTTATTAAGAGAGGCATCGTGAGCGCCGCATTGTTTGGATCGTATTCTACCGGCCATACGTTAGCACGCGCAGCCACCGGCCAATCTCCCATCGCGACCGATTGCTTACCTCCGTTTCCTAAGGCGCCGAGGGAAGGCACAAAAAGGGATTCGGAACCGTGTTCGAACATACAGTTGCTGCCTCTCGAGCAATATCCCTTGGTATCATAGTCCCGGCAGCGCTGCTTTCGGCGGCGTGACGAAGGGGGAGCGAATCCAGAGTAGACAGGCTTTGGCAGGTTGGGAACGTCGGGGATAGGGATGCCAAGCTGCTGCAGCCTCTGCATGTTCTCCAAGATGCTGTTCGCATCGATGGGCGGCATATTCTGACCATGCTGAGAAGGCTCGAACGGGAGTGGCGGCAAGGGCCCGAAGTTACTGGGGCCCGAAGGCATCTGGTAAGGATTGGGATATCCACGTTGAGCTCTCGGTCCGTACGGGTCATCAAATCTCCCACCGCGCTGGGAGTAGCCGCCTCCTCTTCGGAGCTGCTTGTAGGATTGCGGTCCCGTAACAGGTCCGCGACCGTTCAAGATGATATCCACGTCGCCGTCGTCTCGGTCGTGGAACGCGCGCTTGCGCGACGCACCCTGGCCGATCGGGGACGCCATCGCAGCAGGGCCGAAGGGTAGGCGCGGTTTGTATTCGGACGACGGGACGCTGGTAGCTGTTGGCATCGAAGGAGGCGGAACAGTCTGACGGACGATGGGAGGGGCAGGGGGAGCTCCCGGGAGGTACGATCGGAACTTCACCGCCTGAAAAACATCGTCGGTGAAGGAAGAAGCATCTGCGGCCGGTGGTTGTCAGTATCTAGGCGACGTCGGCACAGAGTAGAGAGCTGCGGCGGCGGAGCTGTCCTTACCTTCTCGAAGGAAATCGGGGATCTCATCCTCGAACATCTTGCGGATGGACTCGACATCACCGTCATGTCGCAGAAGGGCTAATACATAGTCGGCAAGGACATCGGCATCTGCGTCGGAACTGCGAAGAGATGAAAGACGGGGAAAGAGGTCAGCGAATTGGCCCAGGGCCGGCGAAAAACATGGGCAGGAGGCACAATAAGAAAGGAGAGGTGTGGTGGGCGTACGTGTTCGCCAGGCGATTTATGATCCAGGCCCGGAGAAGAGACGCGTCGCTCTCGGGGAACAGCATGGTTGCGTAGGGGACCTAACGAGTTAGAGACGACTACGCATTGGTAGGCGAGGGCGTCTGAGGAACGGCGGATAGCATGAGTCTCACGGGAGAAGAGCAGACGCGGCGTGTTGACAGGCAAGCGAGGAGAGGACAGCGGGTCGGCCAAGGTCGACGACAGCAGAAAGGGAAAAAAAAAAAAAAACAGATACAAGGCTGAAGATGGGATTGACAGATGAGGATTTGGAATTGGCCGATGGACTTGTGGATAAGACGGGAGGATCTAGGGACGTTCCTTTCTGGAAAACTTCCCGCGGCGCGCTGCCACCTGCCCAGGTAGGTACCCAGGTACCTGGAGTATGTCATCAGCCTGGCCTAATCCGGCAGTACATCCTCAGCGGTACCTTTGTGGGGAACTGGGCAGATTAGCGCGACTTGACGTGGTCCAAGCTCCCGAGCTTTCCTTCTCTGCTTCGCGCTGTTCGTGGGGAAGGTGGGGGAGGCGTGTGAGGGAGGGAAAAGCCCGACAAATGTATCTACCTACCTATGTAGAGGTACCTGGACATGACAGTGTCCGGCGTATGAGAAATCAGATGGATCTGGAGATCTATCTCGCTCATCACCCCCATACTCTCTCCCCCTAGCGTACCTACATGTAGGTATGTATAGCTCACGTTCAGTGGGACATACATAGGTACCTAGCAGGGTTTGAGACTTGCAGGCGGGAAAAAGGCAGTTTAGCAGGGACCGTATGGGAATTCCATCTTCCCTCTTTCTCTCTCTTCGTTTTTGTTTTCATCATATATGCCTCTTTATTCTATACCGCGGTAAATATAGGTCAAGGTAGGTAGGTCCTTGTGGGCGTGTGGGCACGTGCAACCATAGGGATATGCCCCACACACAGATAGCTTGGATATCTAGATAGATAGAGCCACACCCGCGGGGTTCCCAGGTAGCTTCGATTGAACCTCCCTAGAGTTCCATCTGGTAGCACCTCGACGTTTTGCGATCGCCGAAGGCTACGATCTATCTGCAAATCCGCGCCTTACAAAGGCAGGCAATTGCAGAAAAAGACTCCGAGGATTAAGCCACGCGAGGGACCGTATAATAACGGTTAAACAAAAGCTGTCGACAAGTTAAACGATTACATCGGAGAAGAAAAGATTCTACCTATTACGGAAGATCATGGAACAGCAAATGGCCCCAACGATGGCTTTAAAGAAAGCCCAGAAGGAGAACGCGCAATTGGTTAAAGCTAACCGGTTGCTACGAGAAGAACTCGATCGCAAGTCCGTCCATCAGGACAACCAAAGGAAGGCTATAAAGGAACTCAGTAACCACGTGGAAGCCATGCAAAAGCTCATAAAAGAGTTATTGATGGCTGAGAGAGCATACCAAGAAAACCAGTCACCGGAAGTCTCCCAGTCGCCGAAAGCTCCCGCGCCGTCAGACTCGAACCCCCAAGGACATATACCTCGCCGATTGAAACACCATGATTCCGACAGCTCCTCCTCCGACGACGACGACAAGAACAACAAGAAGAGGAAGAGCAAGAAGCACGCAGAGGAGCTCGAGCGGAAGGTCTTCGATGTGTCCCTCCACGAGAGTTGCCACCTCAGAGGGGTATCGGGTTGGGTTATATTTCGAAACGCGTTTCTGCTGTACTTCGCAGAGAGCGGATACGAGAAAGGCATGAAGATGTCCAGGCTCGAGGACCTCCATCTAGCGAGAGTAATTACGAATAACTGTAAGGGGCGAGCTCGGAGGTTGGTTTTGGGAATGGAATCGGGCATAGAGATGCTAAAGCTGTTCGCCGAAACATACACATCAACGAAGGAGTTGGAGACGAGACAACACCAGAAGCTTGCAGAATTACTGTATGCGGACGACTCTCAATGGCCTCGTTCCTGGCGTGAAGGCCGGAATAAGCCCCACACCACAGATAGCTTACTCCTATTAGATGCCTAGACAGAGCCACGCCCGCGGGGTCCTGGAATCGCTTCAATCAAAATACCTGATTCCCACCGTCCTGTCGGCATATAATCTATGTACCTGTGCCCTGACACCCCACCTGCCGACATTTGTGTGCACCTCGGGAAGAAGGTGGGTAGGTATACCTCATAGACACAGAGGGAGTACGCCGTCGCTACTAACAGGGATGATCTATCTGGGTACCCGAGGCACCCAGGGTACTAGCCCCCACGTATACGCTTAAGTGTGGAAGGAGGTAGCGAGAGACAAGTAGCTACATCGCCCACGGAGAGTCGATATCGATTCTGCAGGTAGCATCGCGGTACCGTTGCGGGTCCGCTATAAGATCAAAACAGGAGAGCTGTTCATCCTATAGCCAGTCTGCCTCGAAACCGTGGGAGCTAGTCCTCTCCTCACCTGTCCGCCGCCCTCCCCGGTCTGTCCACAACTTCGCCCGTCCTTGTCACGAATTCACCTCAAGGGGACGGTAGAGACTCGACTGAAAATTTTTTAAATAAATAAAAATCACACAAGTAGCTCGGCTAGGTACACAGCGTTCCGAGCGGCACAACTCGCAAACAGGGAGATCCTCGAGTTGCTCGACTTTACGGGCGTCTACTTAAACACGAGTCAAGAACCCCTAGGGAGCTTCCCCCCTTCTTCTACCCCTCCCTCCCCAACTAACACCCACCTATCTCTCTACACCTATTACATGCCCACATACGAGCTGGCCCCGGCACCGTAACCCCCCCCCCCAGCCCCTAGCCCGCCATGGCCTTCACCATGCACTCGCACTCGGGGCAGTTCTGCCCGGGCCACGCCAAGGACCAGCTCGAGGCGATCGTCCAGCACGCGATCAGCCTCGGCTACACGACCATGGGCCTCACCGAGCACATGCCGCGCATCGGGCTCGAGGACCTGTACCCGGAAGAGGTGAGCCGGACAGCCTTACTTCTCCCCCCCCCCCTCCCCCCCCCGCCGACCCCGACGCGCGCTGACCCGCCGCGGCTCAGCTCGACGACCCCGAGGCCTCGCTCGCCGCGCTGCTGCCGCGGCACGAGGCGTACCTGGCCGAGGCGCAGCGCCTGCAGCGCGCGTACGCGCCGCGCATCCACATCCTCGTCGGGTTCGAGGGCGAGTGGCTGCGGCCGGACGCCTACGCGCCGCTCGTGGCCTCGCTCGCCGCACACCCGGCCGTCGACTACTTCGTCGGGAGCCTGCACCACGTGGCGGGGGTGCCCATCGACTACGACGGGGCGCACTACGCGCGGGCGGTGGCGGCCGCCGAGGCCGCCGCCGCCGCGGGCCAGCGCGCCGCACCCTTGGCCGGCAGCGGCGACGCCGATGCCGATGCCGATGCTGTCGACCTCCCCCTCCCCGCGCGCGGCGAGGAGGCCGCCTTCGCGCGCTACTACGACGAGCAGTACGCGATGCTGCGGGCGCTGCGGCCGCGGGTGGTGGGCCACTTCGACGTGGTGCGGCTGCTGAGCGCGGCGCCGGGGCGGGACGTGCGCGCGGCGTGGCCGGCGACGGTGTGGCCGCGCGTCGCGCGCAACCTGCGGCTCGTCGCGCGCTACGGCGGCTGGCTCGAGTGCAACACCAGCGCGCTGCGCAAGGGCCTCGCCGAGCCGTACCCGGCCCGCCCCGTCGCCGAGGAGTGGCTGCGCCTCGGCGGCCGCTTCACCCTCTCCGACGACAGCCACGGCCGCGCCCACCTCGGCACCCACTACGCCCCCGCCCTCGACTACCTCGCCGCCCTCGGCGTCACCGCCCTCTGGACCCTGCGCCGCGACCCCCACCCTGGCGCCCCCGCTGGCGCGCCCAAGGCGAAGCTCGTCGAGGTCGAGGTCCCCCTCGAGTCCGTCAGGGCCGTCGTCAGCAAGTGGACGTAGTCGCGAGGGACCGCACTCGCGGAGAGGCGATAGGAGGCTGCAGCTGACAGCCGTACAGGCGGCCGGATGGTTAAGGGGGTTGGCACTATGAAAGACCGGGGAGGTTAGAGAAAAGAAGAAGAAAAGGCTAGAATTAGACCGAAGAGGCCCGGTGTGTGATTCTGTCGGGTCCGGCGACCGATCGTGCCGCGCCCATAACCTGAGGGCATAGGTAGTAATAGCATGGTGGGGATTCGGCTAGACGTGTAGGTATATATATATATATACCTACCGAACCCGCTCACCCTCCCGGGGAGTTCTATGGCTGAGTTCGTCGCCAGCGTTGCCCCCGCAGATGCGCAGCCCTTGAACATGCCGTGGCAGAACCCGCACAGAATTACCACGCTAATCCCGAGTCTCATCCTGGGGTCTTAGGTAGGTGGAAGCTGGACGTAGCCGGACCTGACCCTCCCGGATAGTGACCAGAGATGTGGCCTTACTGGTTACCAGTCCATCTCAACGTACAGTATGGCTAAAAAAGTACACGTATCATTTAACCCAGGTAAATATCACACCAAAACGTGCTGGTCGTCGACCATGCCACGTAGAAACAACCTCGGCCGGCAAAATGGATTATATTGCAAGTCACCTCGCTATTAATATGTATCTGTCATTTCTTAGCCCGGGACGGCATCTCCGATTCGAATCACAACAGCTCCGTATTAAGCCACCGAGAATCATCTATTACGGAAAACGAGGGCACCCCCCCTACGGCTCTCCACTCCGCTGCTAGCCGGTCTCATACCCACGAGTCCGTCCTTCGCTTTAGGAAGACTCCGGCTTGCATATTGCACGAAAAGATCACCGACGGTTGAAATTAGAAAAACGCAGGTGCAACGACGCGAACTGGTGTATGGTATGCATGCTTATTGGGTATCTTTTTGTGTTTTGACGAAAAGGCGTAGTTCTCATCTATCTGCCTCTCGTATCCGGGGCTTTCCGGTATTGGTACAAGTGATGCCTTTTTTCGTGAGACGCGGTGTTGCTGCCGACCGCGAACATGAATTATAAGGTCGTTAATCATCAATCATTAGCATAGAGGAATCGTTTCCTCGGGATGCGTATCTTCTTGAAAATCGCTCCAACTTTCGATTACGGAATGCTACCCGTCACCCAACTCCACGTTCTCGAGCCACGTTCTAATGGCCGTTCTTAAGACACTCTCCTTCTCTCTGACAGTTTCGTAGGCTCCGGTTGGGTTCGTACTCTGACTCTCTCTCTCGCGTTGGTCCGCCACCTCCTGAACGATACTTGACAAGGCGGACAGGACTACCATCTTGCACTCGGCGCGGGGCACTTCCTGGAAGTCAATTGGATAGATAGGAATGTCATGCTCGGTAGCCTCGGACACCTCGCTGTCTCGCCTCCCCCTCCGTTTGCTCGCGGATCGTGAAGACGCGGTCGAACTTCCTTTGCTCGCGTCGCTACTTAGAGCAATAACTCTCTCAACCGCATCGATGAGGGATTCGTCGAAAGTGACCAGGTCCTCTTCCTCGATCTTGTCTTGAATTGGCTGTTCGTAAGGCGAAAGAGCCGGTGCCATCAAGGAAGAGCCGCGAGGCGTCAGATAGATGCCGGTGTTTCGGTCGACGGGCACCTTAGGCCTCACTAGACGGCGATATCGTAGCCGTTTGATGGTGAAGTTGGTAGCGTCGGCGATGATGGCCGTGCTGACGTCAACCCACTGTTCGGCCGGCCATTCTTCGGGTATTGAACCCAGGTGGACAGAGGGGGTGGGTTCCGAGACGAGGAACTCTCGCACTTCGTCAAGCAAGCTTCTGTCTTCTGGCGGAGGGATTGCCTGAAGAATGAAGTCTGGGTGAAATCGCTGCAGCCAACCTGCAGCATTCAGAGGGACGTCGCTGTCGACGGCTAGCCTGGAAAATTGTTCGAAGCCATCGAGCGCACTGCCCAAGCCGGGAGTCGAGAGGTAACCGCTGCTAGATGGAGAGCTGACGGCGGTTTCAAACGAAGTGAGATAGTCCGGGAATTGAACATCCACGTCGATAACCCCGTCGTCGTTGTTGATAGACGTCTTCACCGGGGATTCGTACGCGCCCAGAGGATCCGGTGTTCTCAGCTGAGGCTCGAAATGCTTGCTTTCCAACCGTCTCGGCGTACCAGGTTGCTGAGGTGGCGTGTTGTCACCACTGGATTTTTGGCTTGTCGGCGTATCGAGAATTTGAGCTTCGTGGACCATCTCCGACAGCTTATCTTTCCCGCCAACTGTGGCTTTGGTGGGTGACGTGAGCGGGCTACCATGTTGAGCGGGTATATCTAGGGTCTGTGCTGTTAGAGAGGTTGATTCTCGCCGTCTTGGACTCCACAGCCCGCTGATAACGCCCCAGCGTGAGCTCTGCCGAGAGTCGGTGCTTGCGTGGCTAGCATGGCCCATGCTATCGCCTCTCTTTAGTGATCGTTTCAAGTCGTCTGCGGCAATGCTCCCACTGCTGCCAGGTCGCATCCCGCGGGTTGTCCCACTCCGATGCACCGTAGAGAAATGCGGGATGGCCGAATCGGGAATTATCGTGTTGGCGGTCGCGGCGCTGCTTTTTCGAGTGTTGATGTCGCTTCCGGCGATAGGGAGATTTCCCGGCTTGATGTGGTCGGATGATCGACGTTCTTGAGACAACTCCATGCTGAGATGTGCGAGCTGCGCGGGTATTCCAGTTGCCGACCTCATCGTGGCGTGCGACTGGATGCTAAAGCTTCGGGTGTGCGACGCGCCTCTAGGTCCCTGTCGACGGTTGATCTTTCGCCGCAGAGATTCCTCCTTGTTTATCGGTACGATATACGACGGCGGAGAGTAGCCAAAGGCGGCCACGGACGCAGAGGTTGCAGGCCGCTGGGTACGCGCCGCCGGCAATTGCTGGTTGGCAGGCAGGAAAGCCGAGAGCAAGAAGATGAGCCTCCTCGCAGCCATCTTGTTCTTCGCGACGATTATGGTCCGAGAAGGCAGAGACGTACTCTCTTCGCTCTTCGCTTTCTGTTGCTGGTAGCGTCGTCTCCGGTACCATATCGGGCTCAGCGCCTGAAGCCATTCCGTATGGGTTGCGAGGAACGCCGTCAAAAGGTTAAAGAAGAAGAATCCCTGCTCCCTAGAACCCGCCCACCTCGCAACCCATCTAGCCTCTTCTCTCCAGGGGCCCCATCGGCCTTGCCCTGTCACGACCCTCGTAGCTCGGAGACCAGAGACGATTCGCACCTTGGCGGCTTCGATCTCTTTACTTATGTGCTGATCCTGCGCCAAGCAGCTGGGGGGTAGCGCGACTAGTTTTGCATTCGTCTTGGACGGCTTCATCTGAGACGAATCTGAGCCTCTTCGGCTTTTAACCGAAGGTGCGCGAGCGATCTGGGTAGGCAGACTAGGCTGATATGGGTCCGGAGCCGACATATCTGCCTGCTTTAGCATGGGAATGAGCGTGGTAGCTACGACAGATTGAAGGTGAGTAAGAGTTCGCATGATTATGTCCCAATGTTGCGTTATCGCATCCATATGATGATCCTCGATATCGTTACTGTACGTGGTTTCGAAAGACTCGGAGCCGAAACCAGATCCGACCATGGTCCATCCAGATCGGCGAGCAGAGCCCAAAGAGGAAGGGAAGTGGTCCTGTTCTGTATAGGAACCAGAGCCTCGGAAGGATGGCTTCGGTAACGGTTCTATCGCGCTGGGCGAGCTCGACGGGAGCTGAAGGACCAAAGCAACTGCGTACATCGGCGTTCTCCGCTGTATAGGCCTCAACTTCTTCTTGCTCGATTTGGATTCATCTGGAGAATAGGGGAACGGAAATCCCACACCATCTTCGGAAAAGCGGTCGTGGGGGTTTGAGACCTGGTTAGGAGTATCCGAATCGTCATGTGGGAGATTGACTGGGAATAGACGGGTCACTAGGATCTTGTTGCGATCCAAGTGCCGAGACGGAGGGGAAAAAGTCTGGGATTGCGAGCCTGCCGTCTCGGACGTGAACGATTGCGCCAGCCTACTGGATCGCATACTCGATCTCCCCATCGACCCCCGGCCATCGCCCACGTACGAGCTGGAGATGGGAGACAGCCGTGGTTCGGACGGGATAACGTGGACCTTGGTGGACGTCCCCTTGTAGGACATAACTTCCGAGTTGGCAAAGATACAACTGGAGAAGCTCGCTAGCTCTTCCCGATACTCCCTCGCCGCCCTTTGGGACTCGGTCTCGGCAGCGCTGTAGGCACGAGACTGCAGGGATCCCCGCCGGTCAAATGCGCCCTGGCGAGGTTGGGGGCTACCCGGCTGGATCACCTGCGGTCTCGAAGACTGGCCGAGACTGCTCTTCCTCGGAGACGTAGGGCCTCGTCGGAGGTCCTGCATAAGGGACTGCGAGGAAGGGACCGCAGTTGACGGATGTGCACGCTCACCCGGCGATGCGGGAGACGGAGTAGGGTGGCTGTCGAACAACAAGGAGGGGCTGATAGAACCTAGAGTATCCTGCATGATTATAACGCGAACATCGCGCACGTCGATATCGATATCGCCATCGTAGTCGAAGGGATTCGCCGGGCCCGGGGACTGGACAGCAGATAGAGAAGGCAGCGGGAAGACTTGATCCTGACGATAGTAAAGAGCCTGCGTATCTGGGAATAAGAGGCTGCGTGTATGGATCTCCTCCTGCACCGATTCGGGCGTGGGCCGAGTCGAAGGGGCACCTTCTGGTGAGCCATGACTCCCAGCCGTTCCGGTGGTGAGACTAAATAACTTGCCCAACATGTTGGTTTTGGGGAACTCCAAAAGTCGAGGGCTCCACGAACGCCGTGTATTTCAACGATACCGGGTCCACGGATTGATCGAGGAGTCTCAACAGGCTCTCATCCGGTGGCGAGGGCCCTCGGCGGCGTTCACCATGGTGTCAAGAGACATTGAAAAGGAAAAGAGGCACAAAGCACCCGGAGCCCGGACAGCGGCGAGGACGAAATAACAACGAAAACGAAACGGTAACAGGTTATGGCAGACGGACGGGCGGTCGAGCGGCCGAAGGGATAAAACAAGCCACAGGTGTCCGGGCGCCCTACCGATTGGCGTGGCTCTCGACGGTGCAAACAGACGGACTCCTGGGGCAAACAAGGCAGGGTTCTCTTCGGGATTGTTGCATATACTCGAAAATGTCGACAAACCGACGAGTATAGGGGTGCAGAGACGTGCACGCGTCCTCTTAGCCCCTGGGAGGCGACGTGACAGCGTGCGCGCAATCGGAGAGGACAGGATAACGCGGAACCAGGGGCGAAGGGGGAGGGTCGGCTTCGAGTTCTCGTCAGTCAATGGAACGTCTCCCGATCCAAGACAGCTCAGGCAGACGGCAGAGAGAAAGATGGAAATGTGCGCGAGCCCAGCCGGGGCTCCTAAGATGCAGGCGAGAGGGTTAAGGGGAAGAAGAGACGCGGTCTAGTCGAGGAGGGAAGGCTTACTGTGGGGGGGGGGGAGGTACTAGAGGTGGGAGAGTGAGAGAGTGAGAGATAGAGAGTGCCGAGGGAGGAAGATAATAGGTAGGCAAGTAGATAGGGAGAGGGTGGATTATGTAGGATGTAAGTGAGGAGGCCAGCCAAGTGAAGGTAATAAGACAAGGTGAGGTGAGGTAAGGCGAGGCCAAGTAAAAGGGAGGTAGGGTTTGTCTGCTGGGCGCTGCGAGTAATGCATTCGTCGACACGGATTGGAAGTTATCGAAAGTCATCGGCGTCTAGGGGACGGTCGAATTGTAGGTACCAGGGCCTTATGTAAGTGAGATCCCACTTGAATAATAGCGGGCGAGATTAGGATGGATCGAGACTAGTCTGGCAGCGGGAGGAACAATGCAATGCCAAATCAAAGGATAGCCAAATCAAAGAGGATAGGAGGTAGAGAGAGAGAGTCGACCGAGCGAGAGAGAGAGAGGCCACGCCGCCTCCGTCGATACAGCTTTACTACGTATGCGCCTAACCCACCTATCCTACAGGCGAGGTACCTACCTACCTACCTAGGTACCTTAGGTACCTGTATGCACCTCCTGCCTCCTACCTCTCGCGTTATGACGTCCACTTAAATGCTCCAGGATACGGGCGTGTACTTGCTTCGAGGATGAATGTAAGTACTTGCGTACGGTCTGTGGGTGCAGCCTATACCTGTGGGCGGGCGGCTTCTGCATGCGCAGATGTACACCCTAGGCACGAATAGGTTAAGCAGTGGGACCCTCAATTCCACCATGTACCCACGCCTGTACATCTGTACAGTAGCCACCTGCTAATGTACCTAAATAGGGTATTATACAGGTAGAGGTAGGTAGGTACCTACCTAGGTAGTATGTCTGGGACGGTTGTTTTGCTCTCTCTCTCTCTCTCTCTCTCTCTCTCTTCTAGGTGCCAAGCCGATGGGAGCATTGCCTAAGGTCAAGTTCAGTGGATACGGATCAGCCTGTCATCTGACAGACACGAACGTATATGCCCGCCGCCGGGTTCCCCTCATGTTCTTCCACCAAACTGGCATGCTACATGTAGGTATGTAAGTAACTCGACGCATTGGCAAGTAGTACGCTGCTGCAATAAGCCATCCACGTCGACCAGGACAGCCGGGGGAGGGGGGATACGTTGACGCTTTGCCAAATGCTACCTACGTTGCCTTCCCGACCGAAGAGGGATGCTACCAAGGCATTATTACCTAGGTATGTCGATGAGTTGCAGATTTCTATACCCTGCCAGCCTCGGGCACGTCGATGCCGGCCTCGACGCGTGCCTACGTATCTACCTAGGTATATAGGAGGTATACATTATCCGCCTACCTAACCGGCACGTGGACGTCCGTGGGAGAGCGTTGGATCGCGAGCAAGTGTTTTTTTCATTATATATATATATCTCTCTTCCAGCAACGGGCAGGGTGCCCTGGCCCCTTGAGCCACATTCATGTACGAGGTAGGTATGCCCTCTGACAGGTTGTAGGTGCCTATATAGGTACGTACCCAACGTGGTTTATACCTCAATTGCCAACAAGGGAAGGTAACAGAGGCAAAAGAACCCCTCGCCCGCTCTGAGCTCCCCACCAACTCGTCCGGCCGTGCAGAGCACATTTAGGGCGGCAGTTAAGAAACCCGGGATTGGCGACAGGTAAAAAGAGGAGGACTGCCAGATTCGATGCGATCTGGCGGTGAATGATGGGTGAGAGATGATGACCCTATGTACGTGTGCGCAGGCCAGGTATGTAGGTATATGCAGGCATGTATGCAGGTAGGTGCGCAGGCGTGAGCCATGTAAACGCATGTATGCGCACTTCCACGGGTTGGTAATCAATCAACCGTCAACAAATCCCGGCCACGCGGTGCAGGCTGGTGGGGCTCCAACCCACGCCAGGGCGCGGTACTATGTACCTGTACAGCATAGCGTAGGCGATGTACCTAACCTGGGCTCGGAACACCCCAGCAGCAAACCGGCCCTAAACGGATCGACTTGGGGCCAGATTGTCCAATCGATCCACCGCCGCCGGGTACGCATGCAAGTGCTGCAGTAGACACCAGACTAGAAGTACCCCTCCCTCCTTGGCCCCGCCCCTTTCTGGTCAACTCGACAACATCCCCCCTAATCCTGCTACTACTCGCTCATAGAAGGCCACACATCTATACTCATAAGGTAGCTAGCTAGCTAGAGGTAGCCTTCTTCGCCGATATATGCCTACACGTTTGTCTGCACGCTTCTCTCTCACACGTAAATAGTCGTCGAGCTATCTCTGCGTCCCGTCTACCGCTAATACGCATGCCTCGTAACTGCCACACGTACCTTCGGTACATCTCCCACATCATGGTATAGGAGGAGGGTTCCATGCTACCTGGAAGAGAGGCATCTACCTCTGGAGGTACCTCATCCGGCAGGTACCCAGGTACGTAAGGCACCAATGCGGTTCAGTTCCCTCTGTCTGTCTCATGTCATTGGGCTTCATCGGTCCATCATAGTTGAATCAATCGATCCGCCCTCTGCCATCTAGGTCAGAATGCTACGCTCGTCCAACAACGTCCCGGCATCGTGGCACCCATTGCCCCTTCGAGCCATGTTCTACTGGCTGGCGCCCGTTGCTGATCCCTGTTTCGGGACTCGTACACGCGACCTTTTCCCGCTTTCTTCTGGAACGCCGACATTCCCTTCCCTCTCCTCTCGTATTGATAAATCTCCCGATCGCACTCTCAGGATCCGTCGGATACGGGCTCCTCGGCGTAGCGTAGGTATTTGCTAGCGCATGTTATCTCGACCCGTCTGCTCGAGGACAAAATCCCGTCTCTGAAATCTCTCTGTCCAGAGCTGATTGGAACGCCTAGCCGGCTCGTGACATATGTTTGACATATGGACCTGGATCGGCCATGCACGACGCCCATCCGCCTACTAGAAACCTGGAGCAGGATGAGGACTCGTAGTGCTGATGATGACGATCGGCTTCATCAGCTCCCGCTCTAGAGGCGACGCGAGAAGTCCGAATGCCTAATTAATCAACCAGCTGCAACATCCAGGCGGTGAGAACATGTTGTAGCCTGATCCTCGCCAAAGGAATGTATATGGCCGGACGGGAGGACGGACGAAAGGCCGGCTGAAATTTCTGCGCGCCCCATCACCCCTTAGCGTCGGTTACGAACGGAGAAAAGAAAGAGACAACAAGAAGAAGAAACCATTTCGGATCTCACCCGCGCCCTCTACGTATAGCTGACGCGGCTGCCATGCTCGTGTCGCAACTTGGACGATCCGAGGTTGAGGCTCAGCTTGTTCTGAGCCCGGCCAGCCAGCTGCTGCTGGTATCAGACGACGCCTCGCAACCTCGATGCGCCTTCAGGAATGTGATACAAGCTGGCCAGTCACCGGCCTGGGCCCTCAGGTCGGCTTGACGGCCGCTCCGCCGCGGACTTCACATGCGATCCCAGTTGCACCGGTCTAGGATAGTCCAGCAATGTGCTCCATCGAACCAAAACCTGGAACCACACCGGGAACAGCCAGACCAGCCGAGAACATGTCTACCCAAACATGGAAGTCTCCCGCAGTACCACCGCGTCCCGACCGGGAATCGTGAAAAATAGTCGTCGAAGCCGCTAGTGGGCTACTCGCTCGTTCCACCTGCTAGTCTCGTCTTCGCCGAGCTCGTAGTTGTTCTTCCGCCGGCAAATCTTTTTTTTTTCTCTTGGCTACCTGGGTTAGTTTATCCAGCAATGTCCACCGAAGCGCTTCGTGGTCTCATCTTGTATCTCGACCGCCTCGAATGGGCTTCCTCTTCTCAGAAGAGGAAAATTTTCCAATTGACCCGTGTCAACACAGCCGTATAACTTCACAACAGTGAGCCAAGAGGGACCTTGGTTCGTCTAGACTCTGTAAACACCGTGTGGAGTATTCGTTATATTTTTTCTTCTCAATTTCGCGAAGAAAAAAGGATCCAAAAAAGCACCCCACCCCTACCCGTCCAGTCCGCATGAGGCGGAAGATAGGTACACGACGGCGATGCTATAGACCGATGGGTCTGACCAATCTGATCCTGGCCAGGGGTTTGGCGTGAGGGTGGTGTCAGGCTTGCAATTCGGCCAGGTGATGCCGATCGACGCCGTAGCTGTATTCATTCGTGCCCTGCGCAGCGCCCCACGTTACGCACCTGGCTCCGTTCTCGACTGCCGGTATGCAGATGCAAATACTCACGCAAATCGAGCAGTTCGCCCAGTTCCAGGTTCCAGGTCCCAAGCTCCGGCCACCAGCGACCCCGATTAAACCAGCAGACGATCGTCGGATGGAGTCTGGTTGGCGAGTCGCCAGCGCATTGGCCAGGCATCGCCCTCTCTTATTGACATACTGAGTTACACCTTCGTCGAGGTCTGGTAGTATGCTTCAGGTAAGCATCCCCCCCTCCCCCCGGTTTGAGCTATTGCTCTAATCATCTCACTAGCAGATGGTGATGTTGTAATCGACCACAGTGCATACCAAGAACCCATTTCCGCGTACCTTGGCAGCCCCCGTGATCCTTTCCGCTGAAGCTCCATCGGCGATTCGAACCGAAGATCTGGGGATCCGCTTAGCATCACCCGCGTAGCGTCGCCGGCATCCAGACGTGATGGAACGTGATAATAAGACGTGGAGTCGTACTTTTGCAGCTGCTTGCTTGGGCCCAGGCGCTATTAGGACGATCGTCGTCCAGGTAAGGCATCACAACCAGTCCTCGACTGAGGTTGGCTAGCTGGGGTGACGACTCTGGCCCTCGGCACTCCGGCTATGCTCTTGATCGTCTTTG